ATCGAGAAGCACTTTGAGCCTCTCACTGATAAGCAGAAGCGCTATGCACACTTCATCAGCAAGTAAGGAGATCCGTCCTCTCGTGATGCTGTGTAATCAAGGCCTTTGGGGTTGGATACGCCGAGCTATATGAGGTGCGGGAGCTAACCAACACCCCTAGAGCCTCATTTGCTGGCACCCGCATTGTGCTCAGACAGCTGTCCCCTGAATCCGAGCCCATCTACGACTTCATAATTGCCTTGCACAAGTCCAGCGGAGGCGATTGGAGCGGCCTCGCCAAGAAGGCCGGTGTCAACGAGACCCAGTTGACTTACTTCCTTGAGTATGCTGCCCAGTTCTTGGGAAACAATGGCAACTACAAGAGCTTCGGCGACGCCAAATTTATCCCTAGAGCTGAGGAGAAGACCTTTGCAGCTCTCGCTGCCACCTCGCCCGAGACTGAGCGTTTCTACAAGGCAACCAACGGCGCCATCTTCAGCTCCGACAAGCAATCTCTGATGCACCTTGGATATCCTGACAAGGGCCACATGACTACCTACTACCCCGACTCCCCTCACATTACCAAGGATGAGATTGAGGCCGTGTCCGCATGGATGGAGAAGAAGGGCCTTCTTCCCGAAAACACCCGTCTCCGCAAGACCAAGGAGGGTTCTTTCGAGCTGCTCATTGCGTCTGCTGTCACTACTGTTCCCGCTGATGGAGGTGATATCGGCAAAGAGACTGATTTCCAGCTTGAGGACGGTCCTCTCAAGGGCAAGACGATCAAGCTGGTGTATGGAGACTACGCTGCAGAGATGAAGGCCATCTCGGAATACATCAAGAAGGCGCAGGAGAACAGCGATAACGAGACCCAGGCGAAGATGCATGAGGCCTATGCGAAGTCCTTCACGTCCGGCTCTCTGCTTGACTTCAAGGACAGCCAGAGATACTGGATTAGAGACAAGGGTCCTATGGTAAGTGGCACGAAATATCCACAGCAGTTATGATCTAACGCTCGGGTCTAGGTTGAGTCAAACATTGGGTTTATCGAAACCTATAGAGATCCCGCGGGCATTCGTGGCGAGTGGGAGGGCTTTGCTTCAGGTATGTGCTCTGCTCGTTTCTTCTTATTTTTTCTTCTTCTTCTGGACAGAAAAATACTAACTACTTGCAGTTGTCAACCGTAAGTCTCATATAAGTCTGTCACAAAGATCTCATTGCTCAACATGTCACAGTTGAGCGTACTCGTGCTTTCGGCGAGCTTGTCTCATCTGCACCCAAGTTGATTCCCCTGCTTCCTTGGAGCAAAGATTTCGAGAAGGACAAGTTCCTTTCTCCCGATTTCACATCTCTTGAGGTTCTGACATTTGCGGGTATGTACAAACCGATAAATTTTTCGAGACGATTCTGACTTGCGATCCCAGGGTCCGGCATTCCTGCCGGAATCAACATGTAAGTGGTTTTCAACCACGGCCTTTAAGTTCTTTCCGCGCAAGTCAACAACGATACTAAATCCTGTCTAGCCCCAACTACGATGACATTAGGCAGACGGAGGGCTTCAAAAATGTTTCCCTTGGCAACGTTCTGAGTGCCAAGGCTCCCAATGAGAAGATCCCATTCATCTCTGAAGCCGACTTGCAGCTGTACCACAAGTACAGAGACCCCGCCTTTGAGGTCCAGGTCGGCCTGCACGAGCTGACTGGTGAGTCCTCTTGTTACTGATACCAGAATGGCACTAATGAGACCAGGCCACGGTTGTGGCAAGCTCCTCCAGGAGACCTCTCCCGGGACATTCAACTTCGACGAGAAGAACCCCCCCATCAGCCCGTTGACCAATAAGCCTGTTACCACTTGGTACAAGCCTGGTCAGACCTGGGGGTCCGTCTTCGGCAGTCTTGCTGCTTCGTACGAGGAGTGCCGTGCCGAGCTTGTTGCCATGTACCTTGGGTAAGGATATCGAGCTTCCTCTCACGGTCTATTGGCTGACATAGGTTTAGTTGCGAGTTCCCTGTTCTTAAGATCTTCGGCTTTGGCGACGGAACTACAGACATCAATAACGAGGCTGGCAACGTCTTGTATGCTGCTTACTTGCAGATGGCCCGTGCCGGTCTTGTCGCTCTGGAGATGTGGGACCCCAAGAGCCAGAAGTGGGGTCAAGCGCACTCCCAAGCTCGTTTCTCCATCCTGCAGGTTAGTGGTGATGGTGTGGGTTGTTCCATGATTATTTGTACTGACCATCCTCTAGTGCTTCCTCCAAGCTGGCGATGACTTCTGTAAATTGGAGTACAAGAACGACGACTTGTCTGACCTTGAGATCAAGCTCGACCGTTCCAAGATTTTGACTACTGGTCGCGATGGTTAGTTCTCAGAAACTGAATAAGATCTGAACATATGATGATGCTAACCCTTCATAGCCGTGGGCAAGTACCTCCAGAAACTTCACGTGTACAAGGCCACAGCCGACGTCGACAACGGCACCGCCTTCTATAAGGAGATGACCGACGTCGACATGGACTTCTGGGGCACCAAGGCTAGGAATGTTGTCCTAAAGAACAAGCAGCCCCGCAAGGTCTTTGTCCAGGCCAATACCTTCCTAGACGAGGCATCGGGTAAGGTCAGCCTGAAGCACTACGAGGCGTCCCCAGCCGGCATGATCCAAAGCTGGGTCGACCGCGAGTTGTGACTAAGCTCAGGATCCAACATGACAGCTGCCAAGCTGTGAGGAACTAAGAGTAGGAAGACAAAAACCAGTAGAGAGGGGACAGCATTACATGAGATACGCATTTTAATAAGAATGCCAGCAGAACGGGAGGGGAGATCATTGCATTGAAAGTGTGACTTGAGCGCTGTCTATCACAAGACCATAGAGGCGGAAATTGCCCCGTCAAGTTATGTTCCCGAACAAGCCCACGCCTCATGTAACTCTTGGATCCTGTTTTCCGTTCTTCAATGCAAGCAAGTTTTGTCATCATCCAATTTTTGTTTTGTTTTGGCAAAGTCCTTTCCCCGGCAGGGGTTTGTGGGTGCGTGGTGGTAGGTGCTGTGCCGTGGAGGTGTACGTTTTGTGGACGAGATATTTTTATCTTCTTTGTGTGTTGCATTTGAAGAACCTCATTACAGACGCCAAATGTGACCGATGCCGTCGACTTCCAAATGCAATTGGCAAAACCAGCCCAGCCCGTAGCCATAAGTTCTTCGTCGTCTACAACAACCTTGTTCTCAACCGCAAGAAAAGAAACCTGGGGTCGAAGAAAAAATGTGTGTTCTTATTTTTGGTTCCCATTTCCCTTCCCCGAGTCTTTTGTTTTCCCCTTCCGAGCCTTGCTACCCTTCAATCACGAAAGCAGCGCGGCAACAGGCGGAACAAGCACCTCACGTCAACGAACCCAGATCAAACCAGCCGGAGAAAAAGACTGTTTACCAGGTCATCTCGTGGGGCTTGTCACCCTTGCGCAGGCTGAAAGAACTCGCCAGGTAGGAGGCAAGCATGTCAACCTTCTTGATGCTGGCGAGCAGGGCCTTGTCGACAGCCTTCTGGTCAGCCGCACGGCTGCTGTTGACCTCCTTCTTCTGTTAAAGCGACACGTCAGTTTTTTGTTCCTCGCGTGTCATGTCAAAGTCCCGCCCTTCCAGCCAGCCGAGGGCCAGGAGGGCGGTTTTATATCGTGGGTGTGCTTGTGATGTAAATCGTACCTGGGGCTTCTCTCCCTGCTTGAAGAAGGCGTCCTCGCCGACCTGCTTCTTGGCCTTGTCGGCGGTGAAGTACTTGGGTTGCGAGATCTCCTCAATCTTCTGGGAGTCGACGCCGGAGATGTCGACCTTGTAGGATGTGGCGATGACGTAGCGGGAGTTGACGCGGCGGAGGGGGACGCCGTTGATCTTGAAGGGGCCGGTGACGAGGAGGACACCCTGGTCGAGGGTCTTCAGGAGGACGACGCGCTTGCCGCGGAAGCGGCCGGCGAGAAGGATCAGGATGGTTCCGGGCTGGAGGGTCTTGCGAGGAGCCCAGGGGCGGACGGCCTTGCGGACCTATGTTGAAGGTGGTTAGTTTCGCTGTCGCCTCGTATTGTGTGCGCTTGTTGCCTTCGCTTGTGGAGGGGCATGTCATTTCGGCCACGAGCGTCTTCTTTCCATCATCTCGATTGTCTTGGTTGCGTGTCGGATCGCGATTGCGTAGTCGATATTGGCGTTGTGGCATTCCTCTTGTCCGCTTTGAAAGCCCTCCGAAGTCTTTTTTCTCTTCTTGTATCGGTTTTCGATGCGTTGCGCTCGGGTTGCCAGGTTCCTCCTCGAATGTTTCCTCCAAAAGACCGCTCGTGATGACAAATTTCCCCTCCATTGGTGCATGCAACAGGCGCAGCACGCGTGGGTTGTAGCAATAACTCACCTTCTTGGCCTCGGGCTCATCGTCGGCGTTGTACCACTTCTGCGCCTTCTGGGAGGGGGCGGGCACGACCCGAGTCGACGAGCCGAACTTCTTGGTCGTGGATTCCGTCTTCGCCGACATGGTTGCTCTCGGTCCTCGTTGAGGGCTGTGGTGGTTAGCGGGAATAGGGGATCGTGAACGAAAAAGAAGAAGTGGTTAGTTCTCGATCAGAGGTTAGCTGTTGGCGATTCGGATTGAGAATTCTGTGTCGAAATTCCTGTGTATAGGGCCTACCCTCTTACGCGCTAGTCTCGATTCGATAGAGTGGATACCATCGTCTTCGGTACGCTCAGTGGCGCTAATTGGGCAGGCGGTATGCGTACCCGCTTTTCTTTTAACAGACAACAGGAGGTGGGAAAAAGAACAACAAAAACCTATTCGGCCGGGGGATACGGCTTCCGATTTTCCGAGCCCAGACCATTCGAGTTGATGGAATCCCAATGGAATCCCCAGCTGAGGTGCAGCAGGTACCTAGATAGCTGACTGACGGGATGTATGTCACTAGACGTCAACAAAAAATAACGAACATGAAGTGCATTTTTAGGGATGGCATGCCAAGCGGCTCACACAAAGCCCGAAATAATTACACTGTCAATCTCTCTTATTGATTACTCGCCCCGCATCACCTCTTTTGTTGTTTTTGCTCCTTCTACAACTTCTCTGAATTGGTACTTAATTCAAGGTGGGCGAAAAGGAGGTGGTGTTCCATCATTCCGTCATGCGCATGGACCACGTGGTGATAAGATAAAGCTTCCGAACATGCTAGACGCCGCCGAAAGTGCGAGAACATACAGGTAAAATCGCCCAACTTGGTGACGACAACAACGAGTGGCCTGAAGATATAAGGGGTCACGGGTGTTAACGTTCCCAGCCATTTGCATGTCTCGTATTGATCTTTGGATCAATACTTGCGATACCCGGTTTATACGCCAGTAGTAGACAATGCAAGCCAGAAGGCAGTTCATCTCATCGGCCCGGCGCATTGTCGGGTCATCATCACCGAGACCTACACGTTTAATCTCAAGGGCCATATTCAGCAAGTCCCCAGCCCTCAAACACAGTGGGAATCTCCTACCTACCATTGCGATTCGTACATATGCAAATGGCAGACCTCACCCCCCCGGCGGCACTCACCGCATGAACATGGGTGGTGAGCCTGAGAAGCCGGCGCTCGAACAGTTTGGTATCGACCTGACGGCCAAGGCCAAGGAAGGAAAGCTAGACCCGGTCATCGGAAGAGACGCTGAGATTCAGAGGACCATTCAAATCCTCTCACGCCGGACTAAGAACAACCCAGTCGTGATTGGAAAGGCCGGCACGGGCAAGACGGCCATCCTAGAGGGCCTCGCACTGAGAATCGTGCGTGGCGACGTCCCAGAGAGCATCAAGAACAAGCGTGTTATTGCCCTGGACTTAGGCTCGCTCATCGCGGGTGCCAAGTTCCGGGGCGACTTTGAGGAAAGGCTGAAAAAGGTCTTGACCGAGGTCCAGCAGGCGGAAGGCGAAGTTATCCTCTTCATTGATGAGCTGCACACGCTGCTCGGCCTCGGCAAGGCTGAAGGGTCGATTGATGCGAGTAATCTGCTAAAGCCAGCACTTGCGCGTGGCGAGCTTCAATGCTGTGGTGCCACTACCATGGATGAGTACCGCTTGATTGAGAAGGACGTTGCCCTTGCACGGAGATTCCAACCGATCATTGTCAACGAACCCACAGTCCAGGACACCATCAGTATTCTTCGCGGCATCAAGGACAAGTACGAGGTTCACCACGGTGTACGCATCACTGATGGTGCCCTCGTGGCCGCTGCCACCTATTCCAACCGCTACATCACCGACCGATTCCTCCCGGACAAGGCCATCGACCTGATGGACGAAGCTGCGAGTCATCTTAAGCTCGAGCACGAATCGAAACCCGAAGACATAATGGCTCTCGACCAGAAGATCATGACCATCCAGATCGAACTCGAGAGCTTGCGCAAGGAGAAGGACGTGGCCAGTCAAGAGCGCCGCGAGAAGCTGCAAGCGGACTTGAAGCAGTACGAGAACGAGATGGCTCAGCTCACAAAGCGCTGGGAGGCAGAGCGTGCCGAGATCGACGCCGTCAAGAAGACCCAAGAGGACCTGGACAAGGCCAGGATCGAACTCGAACAGGCACAGAGAGTGGGCAACTTCGGACGCGCCTCCGAGCTGAGGTACAGTGTCATCCCTACCCTCGAGCAGAAGATTCCCAAGGACGGCGAGAAGACAGGGGGCACCCTCGTTCACGATGCCGTCACCGCCGACGACATCGCGGCAGTCGTGTCGAGGGTCACCGGCATTCCCGTCTCCAAGCTCACCTCCGGTCACATTGAGAAATTGGTACACATGGAAGATACCCTCCGCGAGGCGGTCCGTGGCCAAGACGAGGCCATCAAGGCCGTCTCCAACGCTGTGCGCCTCCAGCGTGCCGGCCTGAGCGGCGAGAATAGGCCGCTCGCGTCCTTCTTTTTCCTTGGACCGACTGGCGTCGGCAAGACGGAGCTCTGCAAGAAGCTCGCAGGCTTCCTCTTCTCGACTGAGTCAGCCGTCGTCCGCTTTGATATGAGCGAGTTCCAGGAGAAGCATACCATCTCCCGCCTCATCGGAGCGCCCTCCGGCTACGTCGGCTATGAAGACGCCGGCCAGCTCACCGAGGCCGTCCGTCGCAAACCCTACGCTGTCCTTCTGTTTGACGAGTTCGAGAAGGCGCACCGTGACATCTCGGCACTCCTCCTGCAAGTTCTCGACGAGGGCTATCTCACCGACGCGCAGGGCCACAAGGTGGACTTCCGCAACACTATCATCGTGCTGACGTCCAACCTTGGCGCCGATATCCTTGTCGGCGCGAACATGATGCACCCGTACAAGGAGACGGCAGAGGGTGAAATCGACCCTTCGGTCCGCAAGGCCGTTATGGACGTTGTCGCCGCCAACTACCCGCCTGAGTTCCTCAACCGGATTGACTCCTTCATCATCTTCAAGCGCCTCGCTCTCACCGCCCTTCGCGACATCGTCGACATCCGCCTGCGCGAGTTGCAGCAGCGCCTCGACGATAAGCGCATCGTCCTCAGCGTCAGTGGTGAGGTTCGCGACTGGCTCGCCGAGCGAGGCTACGACCCCAAGTTCGGCGCTAGGCCGCTCAACCGCCTCATTACCAACGAGATTGGCAACGGCCTTGCCGACAAGATCATCCGCGGCGAGCTGCGGTCCGGTGACACAGCGGTGGTCTCTATCAAGGAGGACAACTCAGGGCTCGATGTGGTGGCCCAGAACAAGACATCATAATAACCAATGTAATCATGATGTACGACTATTTTGTGATTGTTTTCCTTTCTTTTTCGGAGTAAGAGAGGGAGGGGCCTTGTGTGTACAGAGGAGATGAAAGGCAAGAGGAAGGATTTCCCCTCTCATAAAGCAAGTAAGCGTTCATAAAGAGTAGCGCAACAATAATCCCGGAGATTGCACTGTATACAGACTGTACCTGCTACATACCCATTATCCCATTGAATAGACTACCAATATTATAGCACTTACCGATCCTTGTACGCGCATACCCGCCCGCATTTTAGGTGAAGCCTGTTGTCTTCTATAGGCTTCTGCCATAATCCCTGTGACACAGAAGCGCCCGTAGCAGCAGGTATGCAAGACATCATTCCAGATAGGGGCCCCAACGGTGGAGTCGCGACATTTTCCCTTTTGCCTGGCCTCGACCAGATTGGAGGGGGGTGGGAGTGTGACCGAATGGAACGTCATCGTCGCAGGACTAGGAGGAGGCAACGAAAAGTCTTCTGGTTACACGCATCACACAACCTAGAGAGGTTAAACAAATGAAGACAAGTCTATAACGATTCTGTCCCAACTCAAGGCTAGAAACTACCTGAACCCCTCCATACCTGACAACAAAAGGCGAACGACTGGAGGCAAAGCAGGCAAACTGCCCCTTATAGGGGGACCAACCAATCGTAAAGAACATCGTCAAGTCCATGTCTCATCCCACCCCTACCGAGAATGGTGGACGACCGAAACCACCAAAAGAGCAGAAACACCAATTCATGGAGTTTGAAGGAAAGGCAAAGCCAGGGTTCATGAGTAGGCTTCCCCGCCAATTTTAGACGGGCAAACGTATAGAGTTGCTGCGAGAACTGTACAGATTTCCCAACCCAAGACGCCCCCTTTCTTCCAAAACGAAACTTGTCCTTATGAGACCAGAATGTGTGCTTGCTGCGTCAAGAGAATGCCAGTGGAGTGTGGCTCACGTGATGTCAGGACCACCATGGGGAGGAGGCGATGGATAGACGGAGGGAGGAAATGCGAGAAAATGAGTTATGGACTATTCGATTGCCTTGTGACCGGTAGCTGTGCGAATTACAACCGTACCAGAGACGACGTGAGAGAGTAGCAGAAGAGAGGGGAGTCCGTTCGGCTTCTCTTCGCGGCATTTACTGGTGTCCTGCCTTGCGGAGGGTGGTGGCGAGCCACTCGAGACCCTCGTAGAGACCATCACCGGAGGTGGCGCAGGTGGACTGGATGTACTGTCAAAGGGGTTAGCATGATGGCGCTCTGATTTCCGTTTGCTCAGGGGGGACTTACCCAGGCGCGTTGTCTCAGGGAGTGGAGGCCAAGCTTGTCTGTGATCTCGGCAGCGTTCATGGCGTTCTGTGGAAGAGCATGTTAGTTGCGTGCTTCATCAATGGAGCCATCATGCGCTCGCTGGGTTGGGAAAGTAACGCACGGGCAAATCCTGCTTGTTGGCGAAGACCAGGAGGATGGCGTCCCGCAGCTCGTCCTCGTTGAGCATGCGCTGGAGCTCCTCGCGGGCCTCGACGATACGGTCGCGATCGTTGCTGTCGACGACGAAGATGATACCCTGGGTGTTCTGGAAGTAATGTCTCCAGAGAGGACGAATCTTGTCCTGACCACCGACATCCCACACGGTGAACTGAATGTTCTTGTACTCGACGGTCTCGACGTTGAAGCCTGAAAGGTTGGGCCATGTTAGCACGCCATCCTTCTCCTCAGGGCCAACGTGCTAGCGATGGCGGGGTGCGCTGCGCCACTTCCGATGATGACACGAAGCAGAGGGTGAGGTGTCATGTTTGCGTACCAATGGTAGGAATCGTCGTAACGATTTCACCGAGCTTGAGCTTGTAGAGAATCGTGGTCTTTCCGGCGGCGTCGAGACCAACCATCAAAATTCTCATCTCCTTCTTTCCCCAAAGCTTGTCGAAAATCTTGGAAAACGCGAGACCCATGATTGCGGTTCGGACTGTAGTGAAGGTCTAAGTGTCGGATATGGGAAGTGGAAGAAGTAATCTATTCAAGGCGAAGAGTGTAAGCAAAAGCGCGACGGGTTCAATCAATTTATGGTGATGTCGAGAGGTAAAGGGTGCGGGCGGGATATAAAGCGATTTGGAGATGACCCCGAAAGGACAGATTTTGTGAGAGGCGGGTAGGATCGAGTCACTGACAGAAGATTGCCTAGGCACTGACCAGAAGGCGGAAAAGATGCGATGATGATCGGGTCAAAGTTGAAGCTGAAGACCAGGCTGCCGCAATTCGCAAATGGTAGGAGGCAGCGTGATAGAAGAAAGTGGATGTGGACAGGCGACGTGAAGGGAGGGATAGGGGATAGGGATATTGAATTGGGTTGGGCTGGGGGGGTGTATGGTGGGTTGGTTTCTCGGTCCTGTCTGTACTGTACTGTACCGTATCCTGAGGTGTCGTGTCCAGACCAGACCGACCAATGCAGGCACGAGAAAGAGCAACTTTGGCCGAGGGGGGCGAGGAAGGGGAATGGGACCTGAAAAGCAGACTGCGGAGATGACACGGAGGCTGGGAGAGCAGCGAGTCAAGACGAGACAGGAAATGAAGATAGTTACTCACGTTCTTCACGGGGTCCCTCTTGCGACGGAAAGTGACTGAAAGAGAGAGAGGGGGTGGTTTGGAGTGTCGTAGGCGTGATTGTCGGTGAAGAGGGGAGACAGTCAAGTGTCAAGAGGTTTAGGTGGAATAGAGGCGAGCAGAGGGGGGGTGGGCTTTGGTAAGATAAGTTCGGCTCGGCGAGGTTGGTGGTGATTTTGGCAGCCAGAAGGCCATGTTTTTCAAACTTTGTGTCCCCACTTCTTCCTGACCACTGCTACAAACGGACGCCACCCTCCTCTGGCCTGTCAAAGTACCTCCCGCCCGGAATGCTATCTGTGGTACCTCCCTCTGGCCTTAAACTGCCCACGCTGTAATGTTTTGCGTGCACCACCACCCGCCCACGCCACTTGGAGCTACCTGATCCGTGCCTGCTCTCCCTGTGCCCACCCTCCTATTCAGCACTGTTGACCACTGGAGACCCTTCTGAAGCACAAAGTCTCCACATCACGTGCAGGGGTAATCTGTCGATTATCTTATGTAGTATACCTACTCCAGCCGTCGGAAAAGCATCGGTCCTTTGCGCTGGGGTACACACGCTAGTCCCCTTAGGGATCAGCCTCAAGTCCAACCAGACTTCGCCAAAGTGTCCAGACTCAAGGAACAGGGATCACGTCTAGGAACCGATCTGGAGAACAGCCTGGACACAAATCAACGTCGCTCCTTTCCCCCCCCGGGCCCTGAACTTTGCCTGCCTCTTAAATCCAGAACAGCTCGACTTTGCTGTGCCCGCCTGATCAGCAGCCGCGTCTGACGTCTCTCGTCGAACCACTCCCGAAAAGAGCTCCTGCAAAGAAGCTCCCGCCATGTTCTTCCCTTCGGTTGCCAAGCTGCTGCTTGCAGCTGGCTTCGCCCACTCTGCCCTGGCCCACAACATTGCGCTACCCGCCCATGGCCGCGAGTGCTTCCATGAGACGTTGCACCGCGATGACAAGATGACCGTCACCTTCCAGGTCGGCGACCGCGAGTTTGGCAGCGCCGGCAACCTTGACATCGACTTCTGGGTGAGAAAATAAAGCATCGCCTGCCGAGGCGTGAAGCTGGCGCGCAATTGCATGACGTGAAGCTGACTAGCAACTCCCTTTGCAGATCACGAACCCTCAGGGTCAGTACGAGACCTTCGACAAGAGCGTTTCCAACGGTGACTTCTCCTTTGACGCCAAGCACGACGGAAAGTACACATACTGCTTCGGCAACGAGCACTGGGGCGCCCACAGCAAGGAGGTTTCCTTCAACGTCCACGGTATTGTTTACGTCAGCGAGACTGACGTGCCCGCCGATCCCCTCGAGACTGAAGGTAAGCAGAAATCGATAATTGGTGGTCAGGGACAGCCCCCGAGCAAGTAATTGGACTAACACTTGCATGCTCTCAGTCCGTCACCTCTCCGAACTCCTCGCTCAGGTCAAGGATGAGCAGTCCTATATCGTCATCCGCGAGCGCACCCACCGTAACACCGCCGAAAGCACCAACAGCAGAGTGAAGTGGTGGAACCTGTTCGTTATTGGTCTGGTCATCGGAGAGTCCGTTTTCCAGGTGTGGTGGCTTCGCAGATTTTTCGAGGTCAAGAGAGTGGTTTAAGAAAAGGCGGCGTCATTTTCCGTTTCTCAGATACCCGTGCTGAGGACGACAGCTCGTAGGCGCATAAAACATTGGAAGACCATGCGAGGGCAAGACACAGAGAAAGGGCGTAATTCCTTGGCCCTCTGGAGATAAGGTTGACATGTATAGTGTATCATAAATCACACATGAATGACACGCCCAATTATGAATCCGAGAAAAAAATAGGTCCAGCACGCTAGCGAGCCACCAGAACACCGTGGAGGTCGCAAGGTCTGCAAGCCCCTCGGGCATGCAAACTTAAGCTTGACCTTGGTTCTTGCATGGCAGGAACGGCAAAACCGCAGCAGCAGCAGGAGGCAGGCAAGGCAGATGGAGTGTGAGTCATGCCTCAGGCATCCAGTACCACAAGTACATAGATCACCCCACATCATGGGCCATAGCTAAGGAATATCCGTACATCGCCAGTATGGCCGCGCGACGGGGAAAGGGTCACTTCGTCGCATCGCCAGCGCACGCTCCCCAACACTAGGTAGATCAGCCAGCCGCCCCGGCTTGCCGGAGAATGGACTAAAACCAAAGGGGCTTCTAGCCCTAAACCATGTTCCAGGGCCAGAACCTGTCATGCCCATTGTCTCGTAAAAGTTGCTGACGGACGGACGCTAAGAGCCGCGCGCCACACGTCAGTCAATCAGTTAGGAGCCGCGAGGCCACGAGCTCACCGGCTGGCCTGCTGCCTGCTTTGCTCTCTGGCGATGGTGCCAGTGACTGAGCACACGATAGCGACTGGTACTGGTAGGCCGAGGACACATGTCAAGTACATACACACTTGGTGTACGTTACACATCACAAGGAGCCATCGTCGCCCAGAAGCCAGATATGCATGTTCGTACGTGGTGCAAGTTCTTTTTAAGCCATGCCCTATGGCCACTATGACTCCCTCTAACTTGACAGTCATTATGTGCATCATACATCATGTACAGGGCCAGTGCAGAGTGTCTTTCCTACAATGGCCACGAATTTAACTTGTGAGCGGCAACACCACACAGGTTATGCGTCATAGAATCCAATAAGCCAACAAGCTGATAACCCCGAGACGCCATGCCCTCCCGTCTGAACATCCTAAAAGAAGCCTCTGTAAGCAAGAAAAATAGACCAAGCAACAGTAACGCAAACGTGTCATGCTTCATAAACCTCTGAGGCCGCTTTAGGCATTCGGGTCAGATTCAGGAACGTTGTCCTTCGCCTCTTCGGGGATCTTCTCCACCGGAATCTCAACTCCCTTTACGGGATGGATCAGCATGGGCGGCAGGCACATCCGGCCCTCGCCGCCACGCATCTGGCCAACGGAAGAGCCGTCCTTACTCAGGTCTTCCGTCTTTTCGAACTCCTCGCCGCCGTCGTTGTTGACCTTGAGGCCTAGCCATCGGCGGTACAAGTTCGGGGCGAAACCCGAGTTGTAGAACCAGGTCAGACCACGGAGATTGTGCTCCCGCTGGCCGAAGACAGCAGTGCGGGAGCCGCCGCTGGCGCCGTTCTTGCCGCCATTGAGGACCTGAGCCAGGTACTCGGTAGGCCATTCTCGGTCGACGTACATGGGATGAGGTGCGAAAACAGCCTTGTATCCGTGCTGAAAAGCAACGGTTACGGGCCACATTTCGGGAAATGCGAAGTGCTTCTTAAAAGCAGTTTCCCGATGCATTGTCATGAGAAGACGACGAGACATACGAGATGCTGTAATGATGTGCGCTCTCCTAGGCGGCAGAGGCTCGTCTCGGTTGTTCTTGTTGTATCCCGTGATATCCTCTGACAGCAGCCAGGTAGTTCCCTCGGGATCGAAGATGGGGTTGAAGGCAATGTAGTCGGCCTCCTCGCCAACGCCCCAGGTGTACTTATCCTTCTCGTACGTGGTAGGAGGCTTGGGGTCGTTCTCGATTTCAAACCAGTCATCTTTGCTGGTGGGGCGCTCAGGTCCCCAGATGGTCTTCTCCCCTCTGGAGATCTTGGCGGGGTTCTTGTCCTCCTTGTTCTTGTTTGCGCCAGGAATGTTCTTCCAAACGTTGTCGGGGCCATCGGTACCCATCTCGGATTGGACGCGAGCCATCTGTCTGAAATCCTCCCATGAGCCATGAACGCTGGGTATGTAGAAGCGGGCGTTGCGTTCCCAAAGTCCCTTCCGCGGCTGCTCCTTGCCCCAGTTCTCAATCTTGGAGAACAGGTCGTAGTAGTGGCCGGTGTAGCGGATATCCATCTCCCAGGACCAATAGAAGTCATACTCAGGGTGTTCGTAGGCAAAGTATTGCATGGCCATGGTAAGGCCGCGGTACACTCCGTGGACAGGCAGGTCAGGGCCACGGGTGAAGAGGTCGAAGATGCCCTGGTACAGAGATAGCATCTGAGTCTCGGTCCAGAGCGTAACCAGGCCTCGGAGCTCCTCAGGAATGCGCTCTCTAATGCGGCGCTCATAAACCTCATGATCGGCCCAAACCGGGTATGCTGCATCGTTCTTGACCTGGACCAGTAGATGGACATCGTAGCGTCCACCCGAGGCTAACGAAAGCTCCGCAATGACTGAACGGACATTCATGATGTCCTCTTCGCGCCAGTCGTACTCGTCCCAAACGCGAATCACGACAGCGGTGCGACCAGTCTTTTCCTTTTCAGTCTTTTGTTCCTGGCCAGTGTTCTGGTCATCTTGGGCAGGTTTGGCGATTGGCTCCAGGTTCTCGAGGGGATCGCGCGTGGCAAGTGTCGCATTCTGGGTAGGCTCATCGACAAAGAAGCCACGACCAGAGGGGGTCTTGGGAGGCATCGGTTTAAACCTGTTGTTATTGGCCTGGTAACAGCGGCGCTGGGCATCGGCCCAGTCGACTTGGCGCCAGTCGACCTTGGGCGTCGTTTCCCACACGTCTTCGGAGCCTTCGTTTTCGCCATGCTCACCGATTCCCAGGCCTCCAGCAGGGACAGAGTATCCAAAACCGTAAGGCGCGTAACGTCCGAAACGTTCATAGCAAATATCTTCGGGCAGGCCTAGGAGCTCGTAAGAGCCTTCGGCGTGCTGGGGGAATCCTTGGGGCCGACCCTCAAGATACCGAATTGGCGGAACGCGAACCTTGTTGTCCTTGTCAATGAAGCACTCGTTCATCTTCTCCGGCTTGGTGACGAAAATAGAGCCCGGATGCTCCAAGATGTTCTTGCTCTTGGGGACAGCTCGTCTCACGGCATCGTCCTTCCCGTCTTCGCTCGTCGCAGTGGCCGTAGTGTTGATGTCGAGCAGGTCCAGAGAAAGCTCATCCTGGGAGCGAGGGTAGGAGGGAATGTACTTGGAAGGAGGGACGATAGACCTGACGCCACCGTAATATCTTTGGAGAAACCCGAAAGACTCCCACACCGGTGGAGGATCCGGTTTCTTTTCCACTTTACCCTCCATAATCATCTTGTTCTCGACGTGACTCGCGCGTACCAGAGACATGATCATGAGGACAATAAAGGCGACCAGTCCAAAACAGAGGTAACGAATGATGCGATTGGGAAGCCGGTAAAGATGGGTGCGCGGGCGGCGGGCAGTCGCGAGGGCCCGTTTGGGGAGCATCATTGCTGCGCTCGAGAGCGAGGCCGAGGTATGTCTTGAACTCCGCGCACTAGGCGAGGACGTAGTAGAGTAGTCTTCCGATTCATCGTCGGAGGAGTAGTAGTCGTCGTCGTTGGAGGGGCGCTCCTTTGCTCGTAGAGGACTCAGCTGCTCATACTTTGGTAATTTACCAGTGCGGTTCTCGCGAGACCGCAACGGGTTTGAGAAGATGGCCATGCTGATGATTGGGCTCGGGTCTGGGGGTTCTGCAGTCAGCTCGTGTAGGGAAGGGCGACGGCGAGAGGTTGTTGCTTACCACGGAAACCCCGTGAACGCCTCTGATTTCGTTGTGAAGCCCGAGGGACGAGCTGGCGTATGTTGCCTTGGCTGCGTTCTGGTCGAATGCAAGACCCAACAAATAGGCAATGTACAGCGAAAGACTGTTGGATATGTGTGGATGCTCTGGCCAGAACAGAGTATGAGATGGCGAGACGCGGCCAAGAAAAGATGGAGATGAAGATTGGAGGGTGGGCACGATGCTAGGACATGATATGGAAGTCAAGCGCAGCAAGGGAAACAATAAGACGGAGAGGAGGCTAGGTAGTTCGGGCCAACAGAGCGCAGCCCACCCTGAGTGATATGGATCTATCAGTTGGATATGAGGCGCCCCAGACGACGGCGGGACAACATACAATAAAGCGACCGGGTACGTCTACACTATTGTAATTAACCTTGCGTGCACACAATCGACGCGCACATACATAAACTAGGCAGTGTGGCGGTAGTAGTCCGAGAGGTGATTGGCATGCATCAATTATACGATTACGGGCACTGCACACGGTGTGGGTGGGCTGCATCGAGTGGCATCCCAATTGTTTTCTGGCTGGCAGGGAAAAAGAGGGTGTGGTGTGGAGCTCTCTCCTAGTCCTTTCCCCCCTATCCCACGCAACCGCCACTAGAAAGATTGGATCCAATTGGAGAATTGGTGGGGGTTTCCAGACGACAGCTGGCCAACTGGATGTTGCTCTGAGCAACGGTGACGGTGGGCGGTCTCTGCGGGCAGAACCTGCGAAGCCACTTCCCCCGTCTCTTGCAGCCGGAAAAGGTCACAACGCCGCACCGGACAGGGCCCAGCAGCGACGAGCAGCCAACTGGGGCTCGCTGGCCCAGGCTTCAAGGTGCGCGCCAATGCTTGCGGAACCTGAGAAGGGCAGGGCAGCGCAGGGATTATTGCCTTGGTCTCGACTTTCTCGATAGAAGCTTGACTGGGGTCTCCCTGGCAACCATTCGACAGCCTCCAGGACTGGTTGCCCGCTACGGCTCGGCTCCCTTGATTTGGAGGCGCGTTCCACTCGCCGTGCTCCTGCAATTCAGGACCGTTGAAAGTGCTTATTCTAGACACTGTTCACCTGCATGTCCTCCCTCCACCTTTGTTCACCTCGCTGTCTGTACCAGAGAAAGAGTGAGGGACGGAAAGAGCTCAATTAGAGCAGAAGGGGAGAGAGCGAGAGGGGTCAGGATAGGACACGACTGACTGACTGCTATGTAGGGAATAGACAGTGCCCCCCCCCCCCCCCCCATCGCGCAACCATGACTGAAGGGCGGCTGCAACTTCCATTGCCTTGCATTTGCAGGCACAACCGATGAATGGATCAGTCACGTTCCGCCACCACGGCACACGTCGAATCGTTACCTGTCTTGTTGCAACCCTCGTCCGGCCCAACGTTGAAGAAATGAGACTGGACGAAGCTGCAACATGTTCGGACGCGTGGATTGGTTTCGTCTCAACATCGCCCGTCTGGCTCTTTTCTCAAAGCATCGAGCTGGCACTGAGCTTCTGCTTCTGTACAGGCCTTGATGCCTAGGTACACCCATGCACCCCGCAACGTCTTCTCCTCTACACCACAATACCCTACCTACGTAGTAGGTAGACACCTAGAGTCTCCAACTGTGACGAGAAAGGCAAGCGTTAAGAATGAGTAGCTCCCAAAGGAACGGCTATGCTAACTTCCCTGCACCTACGAATTGCGACTCGCGACTAATCTCATTCAGACTCCAATGGTATTGTCTCAATGGCGGGGATACCGAACCGTCAAGTCATGTCAGTCTTGCAGACCCCAGCCAAACAGATTCAGAACACGCCGAGACTTTACCACGCAAATATCGATTCATTCACATACCCAGTTTTCATCTTGTCGGGCATGTGGCTGAGGTCTCTCTTTTGGCTCTCTGTTCGCATGCGTCGCCCTCCCAATGCAAACCCCCTATATTGATCCCTAATCAATGCCAAGTATCTCCTGACCTTACAGCCTGCCGTTGCTTGCTTCTCCTTGTTCCGCATTCTAGGGGAAATGGCACCGCACCGATAAGATTGGCAAGCCTTTGACGCGTCCTGTCTCACCTAAACACGGCCCGTGGCCAACAGCTGTAGTCTCGTCAGGCTCAGCGAATCTTGAGAATGCTGAGGTACGACGAGCCGCATTTCTCATGGGTCCATGCCGGTTGTACACTCTGCCAATCATCGCATGTTGGCGGTTTCGGCAGCAAGAAATGCAGAGAAACAGCCACGTAACCAACCCAAGTGGAAGAATCGTTTTTTTTTTTTTTGTTGCAAAAATGACTCGATATCGACGTCGTTCGCTGTCACATGGCGTCTGAGGTGATGCACAGCGAGCACTTGCCAACACGAGTCTTGAGTTCAGCAAAGTTTTCCGTGCGAGGCACAAAATTGATGTCCAACCGCTGTCGCCGAGGCCGCTCCTGACCCAAGACCTTACCCCGTCTACGAATAGTGTAGTGTGCCTAACGTACAGGTACATCATGGTGCCGTCAGCCAATGGACAGCCTTTCGGAAAGGGGAGTCGGCTGATCCGTTGCCGTCAAGCTGCTCAAGCGCGCCACTCTGCGGGGACAAGCACTCGCTGTTCTGGATGGCGCCGGCGGCTCTCAGCAGTCACTCTTTCCAATGGCACCGTCTCCTGACCTCTCACCCTCGCCGGAAGTCCCAAGGAGCGAGCTCCTCCGTCACCGGCGCCCTGGGTGACCGTCACCCGAACTGGCGGTGGGACTTGAGCGACCTCAACCCAACGTCATGCTTGGGACGGCCTCCCTTGTGTGCCATCCGTATTTCCTCAGATGCGGTGTGTTGTCTTCATGCAGCTGCTGTTGGCCAACGAACGCATCTTACCGACTGCTACAACATCCTGCCAGCATCCTCTCTGCTCCCGGGTCTTATGTTGATTCTGGAACTGACTCAGGAACGACGGACGACACGAGGTCCCAGGTGTGCGGCTGCCGACTTTCGCCTTCGCCTTGGGGGCGGGAACTTTGCCTATCTCTGCCGGTACCTCGCACGAGCCTAGTATCGAGAGTCGCTGACCAAAGGCTATCTATATGCGGTGTTGCGGTTCAACCCTCTCATCAAGCTAAAAACGAGCCACTCACGTTTGTCGCTTTTGTCACTTCATTAATTAACCGTCACCTTGACGCCCGGCTTCCCGACCCCGCATACTACGGTAGGTGTGACTTGCGACCCCCAGTGGCTCACGCGCCCTCTGTGACAAGTCACCTTGACCTCACACCCTTACTTGACATAGGTTCCTTTACTTAACTTACACCTCGACCTAACCCCCCCCCCCCCAAGACCAGACTTCTCTCACTTATAACCTGCTCCGCCGCTTTCCTCGCTCTCAAAGAAAACCGTGTGCTTGAAGTTATCTGAACCATCATATCGTGCCTTGGTGGCCGTGCATATTAGTGCTCATGCGTATCATCAGCTCTTGAAGAAGCCACAATGTCCGTCGCCCTCACCACGTCGACGTCAAGCCTCCTCCAGGAAGAGCCGGGCGGCGCTTCCCCCAACGCCTGCGTGGGATTAAACCTCAACCAGGCCGCCGTCAACTGTGTCCTCAAGCAGGAGCCCATCTCCGTCACTCTCAATGGCCCGGCCATCTTCGCCCTCTCCATGGCCCTGGCCCTCATCATCCACTTCCTCGAGCCCCGGGTCGCAGAGTGCCTCCTCGTCCTCCTGCCCATCCTCCTCCTCGTTCACAACGACTATCACAACTACCTCGGCCTCGGCCCAGGCGGTACCCCCTCCACCTTCCTGGGCTACGTCCGCATCGCCTGGTTCCGCCTCTGGGCCCTCCGGGACCCTTTCACGGCGCCCGACCCGGACCCGAACCGCCTCCCGAAGCGGGGAATCCTCCGCCAAGACGATGATCCGCACCACTGGCCTCTGCCCTACCGCCCCGGTCCGCGGCCCATGGTCGCCGGCATTGCGCCGCAGAGGCAGCTAGATCAGCACGGGACGGTGCCGCACTACCACGCCCTGCGACGGACGCTGGAGGGGCTCGCAGCAAGGAACCCGGCGCGGTTCGGCACAGCGCGCTCGTGTCTCGAGAAGCACGGGCTAGGGCTATTCGCGCGACATCCGGTGAACGTGACGTGCAACGGTGAGGTGTGCCATGTCCACGACTCGGACCACTCGCTTCACATGAACCTGCACCCGGAGGACATCCGTGAGGTCCTGGCCAAAGGGTGGGGACAGAGGCACCCCTTGGCGTGGAAGGGGAGTTTGGTGAGGATGCCTGTGCCGGAGGAGTTTGTCATGGTCTACGCCCCGCGAGGTACGTGGTTTATTTCACTCTTCTCCCTCCCCTTTCACCCGACATGGGGGATGAGACGTGTTCACGCTTAACCATACAGCACCTATACAAGCTTGGGGGAGAACCCCATGAGATGAGATCCCCTTGTCTTTGACCACCGCTGACACCACCTGCAGATGACCACGAACTGAGCATCGTATGCAGAATCATTGAAGCGGCAATCTGGTACGTCATTTCCGAAAAGACGGAGATTCGCGTCGAGAGGGCCACCTGAGCCCTCGAGTGCTCTAGTGACCGCTTTCGTCTAGACGAGCTTATAAGCACATAGAGATTCTCATCTTATCACACGAGGGGGACTACATTAGGTACCACAGCAAATTGTAAGGAGGTGGGAATAAAAAACTGGTTGGAGTTGTGGAGTTAGGGTAGAGTAGCAGTAGCCTATGATACAATGAAGAAAAACGGCCATCCGAAACGTTCAAGTGGTCGATCTAGGCCTGTGACTACTTCTGTGACCATGAGAAGCCGAAGGAAAGGCGTGGGACACCCTGGCATTTAGAGCTTCACATGCCATTCACCACCTCCTTACGTGGCCCATCTTTCGCAGTCTCTAGCTTTCTCATCCCCCTCCCCGTGTGGGATCGCTTGAATCTCTGCTTGGAAGGCCTTAGGATGGCATGGGTTTTACCCATGCCTCCTAGGAGCGAAAGGCGGATGACGGGGATACGAAAGACAACGTCGATAACGGCAACCTGGCGCGGATGTAAATGAACCGTTCCTCGCAAGGGCGATTCCGCGGTTATCGGCCCTCGCGGCCTTGGTTCTTTGGTCTTCGGTGATACAGCTCTACCAATACAGCTCTATCAATACAGCGTGCCTCTCGATACCCAGCACCAATTCTTCCTCGCGCTCACACCCATGCTCGTGATCATTCGCTGTCGCTCGCCTGCCCCTGCTTCGACTTCTTGAATCTCTCCCGCCCCGTCGCTATGGACGCCTCCACGACCCGTCCGTCAAAGCTGCGCCCGTTCATGAGCTGGATGCACGCCTGCGCGGACTGCGACTGAGAGAATTTAACGGACACCACGCCGTCCGGCTCCTCGTCGTACAGCACTACGTTGGTGACGTTGCCCAGCTTGGCGCACTCCTCGCGGATGTCCTCCTTGATCTCCAGCAGCGCTGCCGGGTCCTCCTCCAGCTCTGCCAGCGTAAACATGTGCTTGAGTATCACCGTCTTGTCCCATTTCGAGTTGGTCTCCGGTGGTATCGCCGCCGTGTCGTCATCGCTCCAGTCCGCGAGCTTCGCCGCCATCTTCTGTGTCTTGCGAATGATCTTCTGCCGGTCTTTATCATTCCGTTCCCTCTTCGGCTGGGCTGCCGCCCCCTCCCCGTTATCACCGCCGTTACCTCCTTTTCCACTGGCTGTACCCGCCCCGTCCTCATCATATTTGACCTTCTTGTAGCTCGAGTCCGCAGCCTGCACTCGCATCTTCGGTGTTTCGCCCGTGCCGGGCGCGAAGCGAAAATCCGTGTCGTCTAGGAGCATAATTGCCATCTCAACACTTTGCGGCTTGAAGAAGACGACGAGTGCGTCGCCCTTGAAGTTGCCCTTGTCGTCCGTGTACATCTTGATGCGTGGCCGGCCGCTATCAATCTCTTCCGCGACCACACCCGCCTTGCGCGAGAACAGCTCGTGTACCTCATCAACTGTCGCATCAGCCGGCAGCCCCGTAACGTAGACGGCCGTGTTCTGGCGCGGCTGCGGCGGTGCGCGCGCTGGCTTAGCCTTCTTCGCGGGGCGAGCCCTCCCGTTGCCATTGCCGTTGCTGTTGTTGTCGCCGCCTCCGGCTTCTGCTGAAGTGGGCGACTCTTTGCGTTTCCTAGGATTGGTCTGTTGTGGTTCGGCGTCCTTGATGTAGCCTGGGCCTGCGCCGGCTCTGGACAGGTCTGCTAGTTGCGCTGCGGTCTCATCTTCGTTGTCGAGGGGTCCCAAGGCTGTATCTACTGCCTCGACCCAGGTAGAGGTTGCCGGACTGAACTCGAGCTCGGTGCCGTCGTCGAGGACAGCCAGATACTTGTTGTCAAGCTTGGAGAAAGATATGCGCTCTTCGTTGCCAAAGTCCTCGATGGCGGTCGGTAAAGGGTCTTTCAATTGGTCTGCCATACTGGATGGGGATATGGTCGCCTGTGTGGTTCGGAAAACTGCAAGGTTGACAGACGAATGAGCTTGTGTTTGTAAGGATTCAGAGAACACAGCTTGAAGCCCGCACTGCGAAATCCGATTGCATTCGGTGACGTTTAGTGGATCACCCGCAGGTAGGTGCAGGGATAATACGTGTAGGCAGTGTGGGGTCCACTGCAGCACTTCCTGAGAGCCTTGAATGGTCATGCTATAATATCTGCCCGCGTTGCTCACGTTATCATCCGTGCTTGTCTGTTTTCTCGCCTCCCAAGACTTTGCAAAGTAGGGTATGCATCCGCACGCGCCGAACGGCCAATATGTGATGCATTCACAGTGTTGGGAAGGATGACTGTCATGGCTAGATTCACAGCTTCCAAACGGGATCAATACCAAACTGGGAACCAGCCCTCCCTGGAAGCTTGTTAGGACGTTGGGCTTAACATGGGTTCGTTATGTTTAGAAGGCATCTTGATTCTGGAATGCTTCAAATGTCTTGCCCAGTCTCCCGCTGTCGCCTGTTGCTTCAAAGCTCACGTTGAAAAAGACCCGTTGCAAGTGAGTAATGGTTATCATAGCCCAAGGCCAGTTACGGGAGCTCCATCATCTTTATCTCTATCATATCATTAATCGTCCTTGGCGTATGTGCCCTCCTCAACCCTGGTTTTGATTCTTCTCTCTGACTGTTGACTTAATGCTCTCAACGAAAGCCTCGACAGCCTCGCCGCCACCCAGGGGCATGGCACCACCCCTCATATAGCCGCCGTTGGGGACTTTGACGTTGAGTGCTCCCGCAATGGTAGGAAGACCACCGTCTCGAAGCGCCATGGTCAAACTTCCAAGTGCTTGATGGAACTGGGGGCTTCTGAGGACTCTCTCCAGTAAGCTCTTTTTCTCTGCCAGACTCAGGGTAGCCTTGGCCGCCGCGGCTGCCTCTGGAGTGGGCTCCGAATCGCCCAGGTCATCTGATTCCGTGGCAAGAACGAGGATCGCGGGTGGCAGGAAGCTCAAGAGGCTATCAATGTACTCCTCTGAAGCTGATCGCAACATTGGAATTGTGGTCTCGTTCGGGAGAAGGTGGCTGAGGTAAGGGTAAGGCTTGTCGGCGTGTTGTTGCTGTCCACCTTGCTGAGATCCGCCCAGGCCAGCGTTGCCTCGTAATGACTCCAAGAAATTCCGAACAGCAGCATCCGCATCCGTGTTAGGGCCACTGGTAGCGCTATCAAGCAGTTAGCACAGGAACACATCCACAGACGAGTCAAGCCACAGGCACCACGCTGAAAGGCAAACTCCGAACCCTCATTTCTTTTGAAAGGCTCTAAAAGTACAGATGGCGCCATATCGCGGGCCTCACGTCCTTCCCTCGCCAATGTCCATGTAGTTCGCAAGAGATAAATGATCCTGGACTTCGCCTAATAGAGACATGCATCAGGGAAAAACCTACGCTCGTGCTCCATCGCCTCCGCCCTCTCTGGCATTCTCTCCCTCTTCCCTAATGTCGCCGCCTGTAGCGCCAGGCCCAGCACCGCCACTGCCTCCTTGGGTCTGGTTCCTCCGGTCTCCGTGGCCCTCGGCATCTTCCATCGTCTCGTCGTCGTCGTCGTCGTCCCGTCTGTCGTCGGTGTTGCGAACTTGTGCGAGCTCCCGGCCGACGTTGACTTCCTCGCCCTGGAGAAGCGCATTGACGATCTCGCCAATCTTCTTATCCCGAGGGCTGAACCAGCTAGGATCCCCATTGCGCGACTGGGGTTTGGACTGGAGCCAGAACAAGTGTCTCTGAGAGGAGGATCCGAACTTGAGTACAAAAACACGGCCGTTGGTCTTCGCTGACGGTTGATCGTCGGGATTGTGGGCGACGAATTCACCGTCCATGGGCACCATCACAAGGTCGAGATCGGGGCTGTCCAAGGCGGCACTGCGCTCTCGCCAGCAGAAGTGAATCAAGTCTGTCTTGTGTTAAACATTACCCAGAATGTAAGAGCGTCGAATGTACGCACCATCTTCGGAGTAGAGGTAGATGTAGCCGGGGGTCGGCTGTGGCTTGATCTTGTAGGGCTTGCTAGAGGTCTACGGGCCAGATCAGCGGACTGGGGTCTGCAGCAAAGAGACTGGGTAACGAACGTCTGCATCACAGATGCCAGCCTTGAAGGTTATTATCGGCAGGATCGACGCCATGTTGCGTTGTCGAATTTTTGTGATGGAGGATACAGGTGTAGTAGTGAAGCTCGGGGCTGCCAACCGTTTGTACAGATGGTTTGGAGAAGAGTGGTTGTGGTTGGTGTCAGTCGAGCTCGATCGGTTTGGAGCTCTCAACTGCAATTGCGTAGGAGCTCCCTGCCTACTGGACCTAGCCTGCCTGAGGTGAGGTGGGCTGGCGGTGGCGGGTCCATCCCATCCACAGGGGGTTTCTCCGGCCCGTACTTAGTCCGAAGAGAGGGGTGAGGCGCTGGGCAACCAGATCCTGTGGGGTCCGTGCCGCCCAGGAGGTGGGCGAAGAGCACCGCAATCAAAGAGTCCAGGTCAAAAATTTCCCAAACCCCCCACCTCGACCTATTTCTACCTGAACCTCAACACATCCCTTCTTTCTCCTGCCTCTCTCCCAGATACCCCTTTTCTTCCTTCTACACATTCTCCAAACCGCAAAAATGGGCTTCGCCGACCTTCTCACTGATGCTGGTGCTGCCAGTAAGTTTCTGCAGCGTTGATTCTCCATTCTTTCTCGGCTGACAATCGAGTCAGTGCTGAACAGCTGGCTCACCACCCGCTCCTACATCGTCGGGTAAGTTGAAAATCCTCTATTCACCGCTTCGCGCTCGAGAGATGTCTTTCTCGCTACACTCTGGCTACATGATGAGGAAAATTGGTCCGTGTTTCGGAGGCAGCCTCAAGACCTGCTATTTGACGACAAAACCAGCACATCGTGCAACTCTGACCCCCGCCTTCCACCCCCTTTTTTGACTGAAAAGCAACCTTGGGCGAGACAATGTCGCTAACATTCGGCACAGTCACACCCCTTCCCAGGCCGACGTGGTCACCTTCAAGGCCCTCCAGTCTGCTCCCGACGCGGAGAAGTACCCCCACGCCGCCAGATGGTACAAGCACATCTCTACCTACGAGAGTGACTTCGCCACCCTCCCCGGCGATGCTTCCAAGTCTTACTCCGTCTACGGCCCTGAGGCCACCGAGCTCCCCGTGAACCCTGCTAAGGCCCCCGCCGCCGAGGAGGAAGACGATGACGTCGACCTGTTCGGCTCTGACGATGAGGAGGAGGACGCCGAAGCTGCCCGCATCCGCGAGGAACGTCTTGCCGAGTACAAGAAGAAGAAGGAGAACAAGCCCAAGGTTGCCGCCAAGTCGGTTGTCACCATGGATGTCAAGCCCTGGGGTAAGTTTCTTTTTCATGTCCAATATGCGAAGTGATGCTAATTTCGTTTCATAGATGACGAGACTCCCATGGCTGAGCTCGAGGCTGCTGTCCGCGCCATCGAGCATGACGGTCTGGTTTGGGGTGCCTCCAAGCTTGTCCCTGTCGGTTTCGGTATCAAGAAGCTCCAGATCAACCTTGTTGTTGAGGATGAGAAGATCAGCTTGTCTGACCTCGAGGAAGAGGTAAGCCTAGTTCGCGTCTCACTGCTTCTATGCAACCCCCTCCCCTTTTCTCAACTACTTTTCATAAATTCCAACTCTTCTTCAATTTCACGTGGTCCTGTCCTATTGCCATGAATCTAGATACTAACCACCTCCCTAGATTTCAGCCATTGAGGATTATGTGCAGTCGGTGGACATTGCTGCCATGCAGAAGCTGTAAGGTGCTTTATGATAGAATGGGAGGGATGATTTCACGAGGCATGAGTTGGAGATGGAGATATGATAATCCATAGAATCCTCACCCAAAACAAAAAAAAGTCGGGCTCAGGAAACGCGGAGTTTTCAGCACCAGCGGAGGCAAATGCTCCGCCTACGACAGAGTGCAGGCTTAAGGCTTTCATGAATACAAATGAGGTTATGAAGACCTTTGAAGAAGTCAAAACAATTTGCTCCATATGTGAAAGCCGTCTTTCCTAGCCAAGTGAGGGGTAAACTCCCGCTGTGCAGCCTTGATGGCCGGCGCAAAAATCTAATGTGACTAGTCCATGAGTGGGTTGCTCTAGTGGGGCAACGCTAAGGGAGGGGCAATTTTTGCTACTTCCACAGGGCTAGACCAATGCGACGCGCCACTTGACTGGTTTGCTGATTCCATGGCCCGTATCTGCATAACCGGCCAGCTTCAACGCGACTCCTGGATACGACACGCGCCAGTCGATGCATGGGGATTGGTTTACTTTCAACCGCTCGACGAAGCACGACACAGCAATTTTCTGACAAACATGTACGGCGACCTAGGTAACAAGCTGGTACGGCTAGACTCGAGGGCGGTTATCCGTTGTGTGTGATGCAGAGGATTAACGCGCTTTGCAGGTGCAACATGCCAAACGAACCCAAAACCTCGCGCATTTACCAGCCTATCAAGCGGAGATGGTACGTGCTGTTACGCGCGAAGTCAGAGACCTTGATAGAGACGTGACGGAGCTACTGGAGCCTTTCCAGGGTTCCTTCGACCCATCTGCAGACCAAGCAACCGCATGTACAGTGCTTGTCAATTACCTTTCGATGCGAAGAAACAAGCGTTGTCTTCTCGCCTACCATCGAACACGAAGTGACAAATTGGAGGAGCTTGCATGGAGAGGAATAGACGTTCTCGATTTGTCTGGACAGCAGATGCGAGGCAACGCAGGATCATCGACCGGAGGGCCTAATGGGAACGTCGATGGGCCCACGAGCAGTCTCAGTCCGCAGGAGGAGGAATACGTGAGGCAATACGGTGACCTTCTGGCAGCCTATAAAGGCCAATGGACGGATATCGACTTGACCGGCAGCTTGGAGCCACCACGAGACCTCTTTATCGACGTTAGGGTCTTGAAGGATGCTGGGGAGATACAAACCGAGTACGGGTGAGTTAAACCGTGTGAGCCTCAGACGGAGATGTATATCTGATTTCGGGGATCTAGCGCCATCAACTTGACGAAGAACAGCCAGTTCTACGTGAGGCAGGGAGACGTGGAGCGGCTCATAGCCCAGGGCTATCTTCAAAAGCTCAGCTGATGAGGGGAGCCAAACCATCAACAACTGGAGATGAGGGCACGAAGAAGAATGTGCCTTCATTTCTCTCGTTCTTGAGGTTCAGTAGAGTGTGGAGGGCGAGGATGTATTGCCGCCTGGGCCAGTCTGATGCGCAGGCGAGATTCCCAACAAACGTCGACATGCACAACAATCCACATGCCACGCGGTGCGCCATCGCTGTTTGAATATTCCAAGACAGTGCGTCAAAGACACTCGACATCTGACCATTGTGCCGGCGTCCTGCGGGTGTGTGTGGCACAAACGTGCAGTTTCAAGGGGTCGGGGAACGGGATTCACACAAGACTAAGCTGACCGCGGAGTCAAGTACCGGTACTACATCGGACTCGAGTGGGGGAATGGTCATAACAAGGGCATGTGGCCCGGGGCATGGTGAGGTCAAGATCTGCAGACCGGATGACTTCCGGGCGGCCGACTGAGGCAATAATGGCTAATTCGGCAACGCACAACGGCCCGCAAACGAGACTGATAGGGCTGATGTAATGGACAGAATCCGAGCAGCGTGGCAAAGGGTATTTCGAACGACGTGCTGGCCGAGACTCCAGCTGAGTTGTTCTTGTCACGTCGTGACGAGCGGAGAGTTGGAGAAAGATGACACGCAAAGGGCAGCAAACGCACACCTCATCGTTCTCAATGGTGCCATTGGTCGACAGCTCGGCTCGCATGGCTCAGACAAGTCGTGATTGTGCGGGGAATGAACATCGGATGTCGCGATATCGGCGGTGGATGAGCTGGAGACCGATAGCGACATTCGACGACTCGGACTGCATTGAAACCCCAGAGACACGCCCACAACTTGACGTGCCTCTTGATCGAGATTTCAGTAGCGCCGCCTCCCGGAAAGCTGCAGCTGGTCATCCATAAGTAGTTCAGTCGCACCCACCCACACACTCAGAGCACGGCACAGCACAAGCCAAGCAAGGCCCGGTGCGCTGCATTGCATCATGCGCTGCATAACGCTCGCCGTTGACCATTTTGACTAACCCAGATTACCTTCTTTATTACCACCTTAGCCCAAAGGGACTGGGGTGATGAAGCGGCAACAACAACTGACTTGCTAATTGTTGTTCCGTTCCGTTGCAGACATTTAGACCCATTGCAGATAATGTCGATCAGTCAATCGATACCAAACATTGCAATTGACAAGTTGTTTCCCCACGAAAGATAAACAAAGAAAAAGAAAAAAAAGAGAGAGAGAGAGAGAGAGAGAAATTTGGACCAGGGGGGACCTAGCCTCGAGCAGGGCACCAGTACTTCAGACGCGAGTTTGGTCTGGAACATGGTGTCTCTTTGAGACGTGATATATGAGAGGATGACAAAGAGTAGTGTTCCAACGTTAGCAGTCTTCGCATCCGATTTAAAGCGGCCCACAGTCCAACATTTAGAGCTTGGGTCGGTTGGCATGGTTGGCTTGGAAGAGGTGAAAATGGTGGCGGTGATGATGTAGAGGGTGGCCCTGGCTTCCGGGGAGCAACGGAGAACTGGAATCCTGGAATCCTGTATCCAAAGTGGGGTGAGGCGCCAGCTTGTTATGGGTGGACTGCTTGGCTGACAGACAGTGGACTGCCGTCCTCTGCCTGCAACGGCTGCAGGTAGGTGGCTCGCTGGAGGGGTTGTTATGGTACGTGCAGGGGTCGTTGCGGTGTTACGTACTTTGTACGGTGCGATTCAAGCACCTAGAGCAGCCTGGGCCGCACTGGGCTGCGCTGGGCTGCGGTAAGGCCGCTCCAAGAAACCACGAGGGATGGGCACTAGCTTGCCGTAAAGAGAGAAGTACCTGCCCAAGCACCCACGCTGATTGTATGTCGTACCTGTAGGAGGCACGCTAATGAGGGGCGACGAGCCACATGCAAAATGCAAATTTGACTTGGATCAAGGTTCGTCCTTCGTCTAATTCCGCCTGCGTGCGAATGTGCCATATTGACGACAACCTCGACCTCGAACTCTGTTCCTCCTCCTCCTCCTCCTCCTCCTCCTCTTTCTCCTCCTCCGCCACTACCACCACCTTGCTCCACCTCTTCCTCCGCTTGGCCAGTTCCATCCACACTGCAACCGTTTTTTTCTCCTAGCATTTGGTTTTCTCGCCTTTGGCTTTTCGCCCACTCGGTCAACTTACACGGGGTTAACCTTGCTCTCTCACTTGTAGATCCAGGCCTCGACTTTAATCCAAATACACTTTGCCGTCTCTATGCTTCTCATGTTTTCCAGGTAAAATTTACAACAACCAGCCGCACCACTGGCTCAGCCACCCGACAATTGGCAGTTCTAAAAGGTGCGACCTTAAACCGAGGTATCTACTTGCCGCTGCCAGCCGACATAACCGTCGGCTAGCAATGTCATCCCCAAACTTTGGCTTTTCTCCATGGCGGAGAAGAGCCGCATCGCTGAGCTCCCAAAGGACCGGTGATACCAGCAACCCCGAGAACCCGTTGCTCAGTCCAGGTAGAACCTCCCAAATGGCCGATTCACGGATACTGTCGTCATCAGTGAGCTCCAGTCATCGGGAGCCGATCCGTTCCTTCATCCACGGCAACGTGAGGGGCCATTTAGGCAAGCTTCCCGTACTTGGCACACGAGTCACACACCACTGACTTGTACGTAGCTCCCGTCGACAGTGCCCAGTACGCCCGCAGTGTGCGCGAAGACACAGCAGAGCTCGCCTCGTACCTCTTGTCCGACAAGAAAACGGGCCAGAGCCCGGGGTTTCTCTCCCGTCAACGATCGCAGTCCTCAACTCTCGCTCGCGAACCAGCAACTTCGGACAACGAGGAGGAAGGTGAGGAGATTACACATGTTACGAGCTCCAAGACCATTCCGGAGGCCTCCGAGCCATCCTCGCCGGATGAGGATGTTGAAGGGATTCCCGAGGACGGCCCATCCATCCTGACAACCCTACTCAAGAAGTCACCCCCTCAATCGCACCGCGACCCGTCATTTGAGCCCCAACTCGAAGCGTTGGAGCCATTGGAGCCATTGGAATCATCCGCCCCTGAACCGAAGCGAACGCCATCCACGGAAAGACCGCTACGAGAGGCACGGCGGTCGGCGACAAGAGTTGCCAATGGGTCCACTGAGCGCACACCGCTGATTTCCAGATTGTCATCTGACAGTTTTGAGAGCTACAATACGAACGGGACCACCGACGGAATTGACATGGAGGGACAGAAGCAGAGACCTAGGAAGAAGTGGCTACGAGGTTTGAAGGACCTGACTGTGAACGTGGAGGAGCACATGGCTCATGGCATTCAAGTCATGACGAGTCCCAAATTTTGGGACCATAGGGCGCTTTGGCACAATGCCGTGGTGGCCCCCGCATCTTGCTTGCCGGCTGTCATTGTTGGCTTGCTACTCAATGTTCTCGATGCCCTGTCTTACGGTGAGTCTCTTGCCAGCTGCGATCATTGATTCATCTGACCTGACTCGACTAGGCATGATTCTATTCCCCCTGGGCAAGCCCATCTTTGCCAATCTGGGCTCAGCGGGCATATCCATTTTCTACGTTAGCACCATTGTTTCCCAGTTGACTTTCTCGACTGGCAGTATTTTTAAAGGGGGTGTTGGCTCTGAACTGGCACGTTGATCTCTGTTCCGACCCTTGACTCTTTACTAACCCATTTATAGATCGAGGTCGTGCCGTTCTTCCATAATATGGCACAAACGATCACGGACCATATCGGTGAAGACCAGCCTGATGCTGTGATTGCAACAACGATTGTATCGTACGCGATTAGTTCCATGATGACCGGCACAGTCTTTTATCTCATGGGCAAGTTCAACTTTGGTTACATGGTTGGCTTCATCCCGAGGCACATATTGATTGGGTGCATCGGAGGTGTCGGCTGGTTCTTGGTTGCCACAGGATTTGAAGTATCCGCCAGGATGGACGGCAGCCTCGAATATGACATGGATACTCTCCATAAGCTGTTCCGAAGCGACACGGTACCCCTCTGGGTGACACCCCTTCTGCTCGCCATTGTGCTTTTCTACAGCCAGGCTCGAGGTGCATCCAAGTACTTCCTGCCACTGTACATCATCTCGATCCCAGTTGTCTTCTACTTTTTTGTATTCTCTTTGGATGCGCTCGATCCCGATTCTCTCCGAGATCATGGATGGATTTTTGAAGGACCACCGGCGGACGAACCGTGGTGGTACTTCTATACGTTGTACAGTACGCCGAAGCTATGCCGCTGGCACTGACTTGTGCTGACTTTTTGACTTCAGAATTTTACCTGGTCGAGTGGGACGCCGTACTGGAGTGCATTCCTGCAATGCTTGCCCTCACCTTCTTCGGTATTCTCCACGTCCCTATCAATGTTCCCGCCTTGGCTCTGCAGAGTGGCGAAGATAATGCCGACCTTGACCGTGAGCTCAAACTTCACGGCTACTCAAACTTTATCTCTGGCATGGCTGGCAGCATCCAGAACTACCTCGTGTATGCCAACACTGTGTTCTTCATGCGATCCGGAGGAGACAGCAGGCTCGCCGGATATATGCTAGCAGCTCTGACCTTTGGCGTTATGATCATCGGTCCAAAGATCATTGGCTTCATTCCCATTATGATGGTTGGCACCCTCATCTTCGATCTAGGCTTTGAGCTTCTTCTCGAAGCCGTATGGTTACCAAGGAAGAAGCTAAAAGTGGCCGAATATCTAACGGTATGCTACGGTGTTCTACGTATCCACGGAAACTAACTAACGTCTCTCTAGGTAATTGTAATCGTTCTGGTAATGGGTATCTACGACTTTGTTATCGGCATTGGCGTAGGCATCATTCTCGCGTTCGTATCGTTGATCATCCAGACATCGAGAGTGTCTGCTGTTCGAGCCAGCTACACAGGCGAAATTGTTGGCTCGACCGTACGCAGGAATCCTTCGCAACACCACTACCTACAGGAAGTTCGTCGCCAGATCCATATTGTGAAGCTGACTGGTTTTCTGTTTTTCGGCACAGTCGTGAGTGTCGAGGAGAAGATTCGTGCTCTGATCGACGACAGTGCCTTTACGGAGAGGCCCATCAAATACCTTATCCTCGATCTGTATCATGTCACGGGCCTCGACTACTCCGCTGGCGAAGCATTCAACACTATCAGCAGATTGCTGGACAGCAAGGGAGTTGTCCTCGTGTTGAGTGGGAAAGACGCAGAGAGCGAAGTTGGCCGTAATTTGCGGGCCATGGGGCTTGGTAACGACAACATTGAAGTTACCTTGCTTCCGGATCTCAACTCGGCTTTGGAGAGCTGTGAAAATGAACTGCTCAAGACGTTGTACGCTAGTCAGGAGGACCTTCGGAAGAGCTCTCGTCACGCACCGACAGCCAACCTCGACGTGCCCGCGAAGCCGGATCGGGCATCCTTCGACATGGTCATCAATTCACCAAGACGCAACCATCTTTATGAAGCCGCTAGAAACGCGCTGGCGAACACGGAGTCGTCAGGCGCAAAAAAATGGCAAAGCTTCAAAGAGCCGTTACGACTGATGCTCCAGATTTTCCAGGGCCTCAGCGACAAAAACGAGGACTTTTGGTTTAGAGCGGTTGGCTACTTTGTCCGGAAGGAATACACAGCCGGCACGGTGCTCTTCACAAGAGGCGAGCCTGCGAAGGGGTTCTACCTGGTCGAGAAGGGCATCCTCCGTGCCGACTACGACTTACCCCAAGGCTCGCTTACGGAAAGCATCGTAGCGGGCACCACCTGCGGCGAATTGCCCTTCTTCTCCGAGACAGACCGAACGGCGACGGTGACGGTTGACAGAGACTGCGTCGCGTGGCGTATGGACAAGGAGGGGTGGCAGAAGCTTCAGAAAGACCAGCCGGACGTCGCCCAGGAGCTTTTGAGGGTATCGCTGAAGCTCACTAGCGAGCGGATGACCTCCATCACTTCATATATCTTGACCATGGCTGGATAGCGCGTCTGATGGAGATTTACTAACCAAACGTTTTATCTATTTCTTAGTTACTGGAGTTGATAAGGATGCTGGGGGAAAAAAAGGAGGGGGGAGAGGGTTTATTTTATCATGTTGGCTGCTAGCCATTAGCGAAGTTTGCTCACATACATCCGTTGCTGGTAGCCTTCTTCTGGTACCTAAGCGCTAAGACGCCGCCTGTAGGTCTCTCTGCGTGAGCAAATAGACTTGTATCAATAACAGATACCGTTGGTATTACATCGTCTTCTGGACTTGGACAGACAGTCTATCCATTGTGAGTCAAGTGGATACATGTCTTGCCCGCATGTCTTGACAAGTTTGAGTACGGGAGCCAATAAAGCCGGCCCTTGCTAAGACTGCCAGCGACTTGTTAAAGAATCTTGGTGTCTCTGCCGCTGCTTGCCTGTCTTGGTGTCATGTGTCTTTCCATCCATACAGCGGCCGTCGCCCCGCATTCCATATACTTCGGCATGTTGACGGTCTGGTCAACTCATACGGATATGCCTATGCTTTCGGCAGGCGGAACTTGAGTACAAGATTGGTCGCCAAGAAAAGGGGTTTGAAAACGGCGCAATGCGTGCCTCGTCCTCGTAGCTGGGCAGTCTACCAGTGGCCAGTCACTCATTGGACAGTATAGTTGGCCGGTTCCTTCACGTCTGGTTATCTTCCATGTAAATTCTTCTCCTGCTTTGTGTGGTGCGAGTGTAATGGGATAAGTCTTATTTGAAGTACGCCACTCTCCCTTTGGAATACATGCGACCAGTAATGATTAGGAGCAGATTGAGCATCGAAATACACGAGAGGTTTGATTATGGTAAGGTGCGAGCACTGAAGCTTCTCGCGAGGCAACACGATAATAGGTGGTATTTTCTCTTGTTCCAAAATCTCGTGATGCTGCCTTTCCCACTCTTGCTTGCCTTGTTCCTTTTGCCAAGTTGACTAGTTACCACAAGACTCGACAGTCACTTCGTGTTGCTTGGCTACATGAACGATCTCCTCGGCCATTAAACAAATTGACCTTACACCGCCTCGGATGGTGGTTTTCCGAGTCCTTTCAGGGAATCTGTGCTAGGAATCATACGTCTGATTGAACCTCAAGGCGAACTGACGGAGTAGGGTAAGTCGTGTTAAATTTGCTGGTCCTGGCTTTGCACGATGCTCCTGGATTTCATGATCTTTCATTTATAAGCTTGCCTTCCGGTTTTTGACCTCGTATTCAACATGCTGAACCCTGTCTCAGAGCACATATTATTCAGGCTTGACTTTCACTGATCGCTCGGACACCGTAGAACTAAGTATTTTTTGAGCTCAGCCAGAGTATTATCAACCTGTTTATGCTCCAGTTTCATCGGAGCCCAGTTGCCGAATCAGTCAGGGAATTTGAGTGCCATGGCATGAGCTTGTGTCAGTTGCCCAAAGATTTTAGAATCGGCTGTCTGAGGTGCGTAGCATAGCTTAATGGCATGTTCGACTCTGAGAAGCATCGGGTTGTAAGATGCTCTATCGGCGCGATCCTCACCGGAGAGACCGAGCGAGATATTGGGCGCTCTGATATTATCTTCACGTCACACCCTCGACCTCCTCAACTCTACCGACCCTTCATCGATGTTGCTGGAGTGGACATGTCTCGGTCTAACAGTTTCAAGTGTGTACTACCTTCATCATACGGGACGTGTTCCCGGTATTTGCTCTTAGGAAGGGCGAGCGATATGCTAGTATGTTAAGAAGAAAGCAGAAGTTTGATCTACATCATCAAGCGTCCAGATACGTCGACTGCAGCAAAGGATGCAGTTCCTGCTAAGCCCGTAAAAAGCAAGCTCGTCATAAAGCTTGCCGATGTGGTTGCGCGGCCGTCAACATCTTCTGAAATGAGTATGACCATGAAGATTGGCCTGCCACCACCTTCGATTTGGTGGTGCCCGCGTCGCCACTGACGACCACGGCCAGCCATCTCGCTTCCGTCTGCGCATATGTATTCCTTCGCGGCGCGCGCCATAGCGGATATACGACGTACGTTAGACCTCTGCCCTCTGACGATTAGGGATATGCATGGTCCGACTAGCTGATGAAGCAAATACCACGGAGGTCGAAGACCAGATCAGAATGGACGGGTTCGAGAATGGCCCAGACGAGCGAAATACCGGCGGCCTCTGCCGGAACACCACGCGTCTTTGTCCTCCTACAATTTTTGTGGAACCCCAGCGGCGAGACTCGTCGGAAACATGGAGGAATCGTCCGCGCTTAACATCCGCACCCCGGGATGGCTCGCCGAGTGCAGCCTCGTCGAAATCTACTTTGATGTACATGCTTGGGCAGTTGGACGTCTTGTGGAACGATGTTCTGTGTGAATTATGGCCACCAGCTCCCGTGGGCTGCTGAGATGCTGCAGCCGGGAGTCTCACTGGCAGCCGAACTCTAACGGCGTCTTGACGTTTGCAGGGTGATATGTTCCGCTTGTGAGCCTCAGGGTCCCTTGGCTGGTAAACAACCAGGACCAGGAAGTGGCGAGAATTGGAACAAGAGAAGAACTGACACTGTATGTCGATACGTATAGTATACGCGACCTATTACCTGTGTTTCGCCGACGGCGAGGACTCTGGTGCTTGCGTCTGGAATCCAGGTGTCTGCTGTGAAGGAATCAAAGAGAAATACCATGGAAACGATACCTGCCAAGTCGGATGAGCAGGTTATGCAGGAACTGGGGAGAACCGATTTCGAAGCCAATCTGCTGATGGTGTGTCGATGCTCTCGGGCATGCCCCGCCCCTTTCCTGACATGGCACCGACGGAGTTATCGCAGAGACTAAGCGACTAAACTATCGAGGAGCACAGCCGAGTTACAACATGGGCAATGGTGAGAGACCTGATGAATCGTGTGGCGGAGCATGGACCGAGGGATTTGAGAAAACAAACGCAACTCATCTTGTTTGTGTGGGGTTGATGTGTGAACCGCCTGATATAGGGTCTTAGCAGCAAATGGCTTTCCAATATGTACATCAGGCCACGTTACTGCATTACGTAGTAGAGATGGGGCATTGATGCTCTGCCGAAGCATACGGTCTGTGGCATCATGATACCAAGCTGGTACTTTCGGTCTGCAGCTAGAACCCAGATCCACCATGTTGTGAGCACGACAACACCACGCAACACAGTACCAAGGGCCGAAAAAAAACCCCTGCTGGTTGTGTACAGTAAAGCACGATTTCACCAAAATGGATTCAAAACATTCAAAATATTGGCGATAAGTAAACTTTTCGTATGACCCCTTGCCGCAAAAGCCCTAGACATTGCATTATCCTTTCTGTCATTTCTAAGGATAGATCGTGGGAAGGGGGGCTGCAACCCTCCAGGACACCACCATGCACGGCGTTGTAGTGAACCAGGCAGCGCAAGGCTTCAGAGTTACATAGTACGCTGGAACGGATCAAGGCTGGGTTATGGGGTCGCGGGCGGGCTTTCGTGTTACACCCAGTAATCTCCGGGAAGCCGGAAAGCCCTTGTGGCGATAGGTGTAATAGCGATGTAGGTATCAACGGTTCCAAGAAGGGGTTCGTTCATCCGAGTCCGTTGGCGTCGACGAGTTGCTGGTATCCTTAGCATGTAAAATATTACCGGAAAAGTCGGGAAATGTACGCCTGGCGCATCGTCTAGGTGATTTGTGTTGGTATTGGTAGTGTCGTTATTATCATTATTGTTATTATTATTACTATCATTATCGTTTACAGGGGCACCGGCACTTGGACCGAGTCTCGCAAATTCACAATGAGCAACGCTGCAGCCCATCTACGTTCAGGAAAGGGAAGAAGAAAACCACCTCTGTTCCGATCCAACGAACGGGATTGGTCGTTTGTAGCTACGAGCCAAAGCCGATGACACTTGACCGGAGAGTTGGTGTCCGCTCACTCTCATGGACAACTCTCTGTCGCCAACCACAGCAATATCAACGCATGTACCTCCCTGCGCTGTTACCTGACCAACATTTATCAAAACGATGCATGAACAAAGACCGTTCTCACTTAGCATCGCTCCCAAATGAAAGTCAAGGCCTCCTTTTGACGCCATGTCATTCTCTCACGGCCTCGTACATCCAAAGTAGATCGCCCACGGGATCGCCATTGTTTCGGTTTGATGTTCATCCCAAACATGACTCCTCCAAACCTGCTCGACTGCTATCCAATCCCGATCCTTCGTCCCAAGTAGCCCTCAGCCGTAAGAGGAAAACAGTCGCTTATCTTGAAACCTTAAGATTCTTGACTACTATGTAGTAATCCAAATCAGAGAAACGAAACGGAATCCCACCTGTCCCAACACAAGCACGAAGCGTGGGAAAGAGAAACATTGAGTGCATGCGACGTCCAAGTCACTCACCTGCTGCCCTCGACGAGGCGTCGTTGCCTCTGCCCTCCTCATTTAGGACCTGTTGGCCAGGTATGTGGTTTGACATCCACAACGGAGACAATCGCCCGTCCAAAAGTATTGGATTTTGCCACCACCACGCCACCCACCCACCTGAATCGACATCCGGAAAGGCGCAGCCCTTTAAGACGAGAGCCCGGACCACGGCCGCCGCCGGACATCCACTGCTCACTCACCCCATACTCCTAACCCCCACTTGACGTTTTACCATCTTCGATACCTCCCGCCGGGTAAAAGGCCTCGTTAATCCTGAAAACACTCGCGTAACACGCACCAAAAGAGACATGAGTAGTCTGCGGTCAATACTGAGCGGCGGTCGCGTGAAAAAGTCAAGGCCAAAACCCAAAGTGACAGCGTCGGCGTCGCCACGGAAGAACAGCGGGACCAGCTCCTCCCGGACCGGAGGCAGCAGCGCCATCGCCATCAAAAAGAAGCCCGTACAGGCGGACGCTGGTTTCGACGACGACGACGACAACGGCGGCGGCGATGATTTCTTCCACGACAGGCTCGATGACGTCGGCCTGGTTGCGGCGTTGGCGACCGACATGTCGCTGCGTGATGTTGTACAGTCCATCAAGTACACCCGCAACCGCATGTTCGGACCCGTACCGACAGAGGCAGCTGGCATGAACTCCACGCGGATTGCCGAAGTGCTCAACTTCCGCAAAGCCGTGCCGGGCATCGTGACGGTATCGCACCTGCACGCGCTGCTGGCCTCCCCAACCGCTGTTGAGCGCGAGGTCGCAGAGTTGCAGCGATGCGGAGCCGTTCGCAAGATCTACGTACAGCGCCGAGGCGGGCTAGGCGAGGCCCTGATCGAGACGCCCGAGCTGGAGGCGATGATAGCGCAGTCCGCGGGGCTGGACGAGGAGGCCAAGACGGCGTTTACCAAGTTCCTCAGAGACAACCCCCTGGCCCAGACGATGCCGCGGTCCGCCTGCGGCCACAAGCAGGCCGATGCCCTGGTGCGCGCAGGGTTCTTGACGGCCAGCGTGCACCCCCAGCATGTAAACACACCGCTGATGAATCTGCATCTGCGCCCGGAGGATCGAGGCAGCTTGATGAGCATCGAGGCGGTGTCCCGCGCAGCCTCCGGCAGTTTCGAAGCCGTAGGCGGCCAGGGTGCAGTACATGCCGCCGGTGGTGGGGGCGGGGGAGGGGCGCTGCGGCGATCCCGTGCCGACGACGCCTCATCCTCGGGGGATGAGTTCACCATCGCTGTGCCGGGGAATGGGTCTTTTTTGAAGCTGGCCACCGCCGCTGTGGAACGTCTCACGCAGCTGTTGTCCAAATCGCAATATAGGGAGATGCCCGTGTCTATGCTCAGAGAGCGATGGGAGGGTGGGGTAGCCCGTGACGAGGCGCGTCTCGCAAGGAGGGCCCGAGGAGAGTTCGCCGGCGTGCTACCAGGTCGGACGAAAAGGTGGAGGGAGTTCTATGGCCTGGAGTTCCACTGGGTGTTGGAGGAGGCAATGGGTGCCGGCCACGTTGAAGTCTTTGAGACGCGGAGCGTTGGCAGGGGAGTTCGTTTGCTGTAATCGTAATCGTGAGACACCCGGGCCCGTGTTCTCTATCCACACAGCGGAGCAAGGACCAGGCTGGATGCCGTAAACACAAAACAAATCCCGCTCCTTCGATGAGGGCGGACGCCGAAGAACGCCGTCGATGAAACGCTCTTGCTGGACAACTTGTGGTGTCGCTTAGCCTCATCCGACACAAGAAACCAGGATGTCATGGCTTGTCCGTCCGAGTGTCGTCAATATCGTGAAGACCTATGGATTCATTGATGCATGTAGTCGCCCTTAACTCCCATAAGCGGTCTAGTGCAACTCACCCGATACATATGTAATATCACGGTACGTAAAAACCCAACACGCGGCACCTCTGCTCTGTGCCACATCTCTTCATGGATTCATAAAACGAACATTACAACGATTGAACCAACATGTGAATAATAACGGTGCTGATGATGAATCGAGCCGGTCTTCCCTTTCTCAGCTCATTCATCTATTAACCTACTTTGGTAACCTTACCCCCCCCTTCTGCCTAAAGAGAGTTAGCCGGCAACGGGCCTGCTCATGAAGTTTCTCCCGTATCCTGACTCCCTGCAAGTCGCCACCGCCTAGCATGGGAATGTCCCGAGGGGCTCGTCAAAGGCGGAAGGCGATGCGGCGCGAGTGTTGTCTAGGTACATCCCAGGTGCCGATGTTTGATCTCCCATGCTTCGCCTAGTCGCAGAGTTGCGCGCTGTTGGCGCAGCGTATGGCTGAGAAGGGCCGCTTTGTAATTGTGACATCGACATAAGGTTCTTGACTCGTGGGACGCATCTGTCGTCGAGCTGGTAACTTGGACGTCAATCTTCTCTCATCCGTTGTTTCGGTTGCTTCGCGTGGTGCTGTCAAAGGTCCGAAGGACTCGGACCTCAACATGCCTCTCCCCATGCTGTTGCGGCCCCCCCCTTCCGAATGGCAGTTCGCGACATAGCGGGTGACTGAGTCGGTGGAAGGAACGGGTAGACTTTGAGGTGATGACTTTGTTTCTCGACACATGCAAAGACTGTGTAGAAAGAAGCTTCATGGGACAGACCCGTCCTCCTGCAGCCGGTGTTCCAGAGTGCCTAAAAGTTGGCAGTTACACATGGCTCCTCGAGTGGCCGCTAACTTGTGGGGGTTGTGATGAAAGATGCAACACAAAGGGTGAAGATGCGCCACGCTGCAAGTTCCGAGTTGAAAGAGAACAGTTTGCTCATGTATCGTCATGAAGAGCAGGGTCCAAGAGTGCATCAGCCACCCGGTTTGCCAACAGATTCGCCTTTTCATTTGCCAGTCAAGACGCGAGGCGCTACAGTTGGACTGCATCCATTAGAAGACACACCAGACAAGGGAAGAAAAGCAACTTGGGGCGCAGTGCGGAGGGCGGGTACCTGCGTAGGGATAGGCGTACAGCCCCAATCGGACGCTGCCTCGGCCAACCGAGGGAAGTAAGCTTGATCGTGCCCCGTACTTTGGCGAAAGCAAGCTTGTGAGATACTGTCCAGCCGGGTCAAATGTTTGCTGTAGCTAGGCATGGTGAAGCACATACGCAACCGTCCTGCGACGTGGGCATGGCGATTCGGAGCCTCGCCAAATGCAACGTTATCGGACGATGACGAGCTTACAGAAGAACGGGAGAACCGGGGCACAGCTGATAGAGGTGCCTGTGAACACAGACATCCGTCCGATATCCCGGCTCGGCGATGCGGTCCGGGGTCGCGGAAGTTTGCGCATCTTTGCTTCTCACACCATCACCCAGTAGGCTAGTATTCTCCTAGACAACGGTATCGTGCGACTTCCCAGCTGACAATGATAGCCAGCCAGTCTTGACCATTGGGGAGAGGAGCCTCGATGGATTGGCGGAACAGGCCAAGACCGAGGAGATTGTTGGAGCAGGGAGTCGGCGAGCCATCGACGAATGAGAGCGAGCCGGGGAATGAGAGAGAGGACAGCACCTAGCGTGCTTGCCGTCACACAGAGAGAGGCTGGAGCCAGCTTCTGCAAAATGTGCATGATAGGTGAAAGCTGTACGGATACATACGTACTAGGGGTACTGTAACTGAGGCCTTGGTGCGGCGTGCCTGGACCAAGCGTGCGCGTGCACGCCACACATGGTAGCCCACTGGCTGGAAGAGGCAGTGATGTGATGGGGTCCGGAAATTACAGCATGGTCCGTCCATGCGGGGAGGGTGCTTACTGTCAATTTGTAAACTACATAACTACCTAGTAGACATGTTTTAATTGCGATCACGATTGGCCCAGCCAACACAAAGTTTCTTTGCCGCGAGAGCTCCGTCCAATTGTCGATCAAAGCATAGCCGTCGTGCACGAGCTCGGCGATGGGGGCTTTCTGCCTCGATTCGAGGGCCTGGTGGGTGGGTGCAGGGTATTGTGTAGTGCACCTACATGAAAGAAACACATCGTGTGATGGGCGGGGACCCCGAAGATGGTCGTGATGGAACAAACCATATCCGCACTTGGGTCGCTGGCTGGAGCCCGGTAAGAGATAAGACAAGCGGAAGCGCAGTGTCTCGTCGTGAGACGGATGCGTTGGGCTGAGCAACGCAAGTCGACTCGACATGTCCTGTAGCAGTCCCCCCTCGGTTGATGTGCTTATTGCTTATTGTTTAGTACTCGGCCAAGAGCACGCGCAGCACATGGGCACCCTTCATAAGGTGGGTGGGTGGTGAGTGCCAACGAAGAACATGCTTCCACAAAGTTTGCAGCGGATGCAAAGGCGGGTGGGAGGGGTAGCACCCGGCGGCCACCACTTCACCTAGGAAGTGCCGTAGTATTATGCAGTGGTGGGTGATGGGTGGCATTTTCGCGAATTTATTTCTCGTGGAATATAATAATCGTTTTTAGTAGTCTAGACTAAAGGGGGTGCTGGTAGGTATTCTGTGGTGGCGCTGCGTGTGCCATCCCGCTAGGCCGGAAAGGGTTAATACTCCCTTGTCCGTTCCTGGGTGGGAAGATGGGTCTTACAGGGAATAGGGGGTGCAGCAGGGGTTTAATCTCCAAGTCTGGGTAGCAATTTGACGATGACCAGGCTAGCAAGGGAAGCCCACCTGGGCTGAGGGTGATGATGAGCGGTGCCTTGGACGGTGTCTGTGGCTTCTGGCTAGTCATTCGATGATGGATCTTTGGGCGACGGGCCAGTGGGGGGACTGAGAGAGAGAGAGAGAGAGAGAAAGAGAGAGAGAGGCATTCGGCGTGTGATGCCGGATGTCTTAGCTTGGAATTGTCGGTGGTGTCCTCTGTCTAGCACTCTTTGCGTCGGATCGAGGTAGGTAGGTAGGTAATGACGACGACGACGTCCGTTGGTGTTAGGAGTAAATGGATGGATGAGGATAGCCGGCCCTGCCCTCCCTCCTCGTCTTTGTACTCTGGTATGATGGGTATCCGTACTACCTACCTAAGCAGTAGGGATTTAGCACTGGGGTCTGAGATGAGAAGATGCCAGGGTAGGTGGAATCCCCATCCCTCCTGTACGCGCGTGTGTTGACATTGCACTGCTTATGGACAGAGACAAAGAGCGTACATACTTTCGAAACCAGGTGATAGTACGGTACCGACACACAAACATGCCCAATTCTCGGACCCATCCCCCATCCCCCATCCCACATCCCACATCCCATATCCCGCATATCTCTCCTCTTGCACATAATCGCAATTTTTTTTTTCTCTTCTTCCTCTTCCTCTTCTTCTCCCCCCTTCTTTTCTCATTTGTCGACAAGGCCTCTCTTGCTCTGTTAACTTTCTTGGTACGGAGTACTCGGGAAGCAGTTCTGAGCTTAATTGATCCGGAAACGGACCTTTCCCTCTCGATCTTCGTATGCCCCGTATCTGTTGGACACAGATACCAAGCAAGGATCGTTCGTAGTCCATGGGCTTTCTGTAGTGGAGCACTCGCAAGCTCCCGTCCAGAAAAAGCAAAGAGACTAATGCTGGGTACGTACACTTGATCCACTTCCTTTCCACTACTGCAGCTCCCTCCTTCCCCTCCTGGCAGACAAGAAACCAATGGGGAGAAGAGAGAGAGGAAGGACCGAAGGAGGGAGCTCGAATCGCTCTGGGGAGGTATTAGGTAGTCACTCAGTCTACCTACCTACCTACCTACCTACCCACCTAGTCGTCGAGGGAAATCAACGTTTATGAATGCGCCTGAGACGGGACAGGAGGTATAATTGGACTGGCCTCGAACGTGCAGTTCATATTACTGCCAACATACCCGACGGGTCTGATAATTACCTACCTAGCCAGTCACTCGCTCACCCGCTCCTTTTTACGCAGCTAGCTACGCAACTCTCCAGGTCACGGCCTGTTTTGCCTTTTTGGATGCAACGGTCATTTCCCGCTTATCTGGCCGTCGACTGCTTTAATCTCACCCAACTGCATCTCTCATCACCACATTCTTTCGCCTTTTTCCATAGACCAACCGTTCCTGCCTCATCTCGCCTCTGGAGAGCGCACGCGCTTTCGCTTTCAAAACGCCTGTTCTTTCGCGCCTTCATCCGCTCCTTTCTCCTACCCTGTCAAGAACAGGCGCACCTACATACCTGCCCACCGCCCGAGATCCGGATCTGCCCCTTTCCAGAAAGCATCGCAATCCTCCGTCGTACCACACTTCGATTCCCTCTGTTACCGCGCTTCCGAATTTGACATCTCGCCGTATCCCGCGTCCTTCGTCCCATTACTGCAACCCTCTCGCTTCCGGTTCCTGGTTCGCAGAGCTCAGACGCCCACTGCCACAGCGAATCCGCGCTCGCGTGTCCCACGCACATTGCTGCCATCGAAACATTTCCACTCGACGACCAACCCCCTTCCAGTTCCACGCCCAGCTCTTTGACTTGCCCCGACCTGCCGCCCCAATCCAGTACCAGTCGCCATCCCAGTCCTGCGACTTGAGCTGCGCGAGACACCGGAGGCACCGTGCTCTGCATACAGACGGAAAAGTAAACCCACGCCATACGCCATACGCCTCAAGCCGCCCACTAGCGTAAGGAAGACAGCTTGACGGGGGGTGGGGAAAAGAAAAAAAAAAACCAACCCACCACCACCTTTGTTTTCCCTCCGCACTCGGTCCAGCAGAGCCCGGTTTAACGCCCCGAAGAACAGCCTACGACCTACGAGACATACGAGCCACCTCAATCGGACCCCCTCAAACCGCTTGACGCTAGGTATCCTTCTTCTACCCCGTTTCGATCCACCACCATACATACGACTATTCACACAACGCTGCTCAATACATCGCGGTAAGTCTTGTTGTGCCTCCCCTCCTTGCTTCAATCCGTTCCGGTCCTTGGGATCGCCTGCAACGTCGGTCCATCTGCAAGTCATGCTCAATTACCCGTGCTCACCGCTCTGGTTTTAATGGTTTACAGTGCACTGACAAGCGTGCTACCAGCAGAGCACCAAATTCCGATGAAAAGCTCCCACGCTACCCTGCACACCCTCAACGCATAATAACGTTTCACACGTCCCTATTCTCGGATTCGCCCAAAGTCTTCAGACATAAGCAGACATAAGCAAACTCGCAGGCCCGTCCACATCTGCTATCTTCGGACGAGTCCAACCTACACGAGAGGTCCCTTATCGACGTTTGTTATCGACGTTATCGACACTCCGACGAATCACCCCTTCCCAACCCTCCGAGTTCATGGACCGACCGGCTTCTTGACTGCACCCGACACTTTAGAAGGCATTCTGCCCCGGTTGGGATTTTGGCTTCTCGGAGATCACGGATCACGCTTCGCAATCGTTTTACCAAATGGCGACGACGCTCCCGCGGCCAGCAAGGCCGTCCAATGGCCCGCCGACTATGGCCCTGCCCGCTCTCCCCGTCGCCAAGACGAGAAAAAGCACGGGAGGCATACCTACGACCACCTCCAAATCCAGCCCGGCCACCCCGAACTCCAAGAGCGGCCTCAGGGCGCCTTCCAGCAGTTTTCTCCCTCCCACATCTCCTGCACCCACTTCAGCACTTCCGCAGCCACATGCGGCCTCTGCCATGAGCAATCCTTCAGCTCGGACATTGCGCAAGACAGTGAGCATCAACTCGTTCCCTCAGCCGCCCCGGGGCGACAACCGCATCAGCAGCCTACCCCCTAGTCCACTTGGTACTGACTCCTCACGGAACTCAACACGCAAATCGAAGGGCTCCATAGCATCCACGTACTCGCAGAGCAATGGCGCGCCGAGTCTGCTCAACAACAGCGCCGAGGGCAAGTCGATATCGAGCGCCAGCGTCCGCATGTCAGACGGTCTCATCAGTATCTCCTCGCCGCCGCAGAGCAGGAGCTCATCGGCACAGGATTCCTACTCGACTTCCGCGACGACGTATGATGACCCTGTCGACACCACTGATAAGAGGTCCTCCAAGCTAGACGGCAAAGGAAATGTTCTTGTTAGCGTGAGAGTGCGACCGGATGCGAGCGGAAACGAAAACACGAAGTCCGAGGGCGAATGGATGGTCGACGGGCGCAAGTCTCTCGTTGCGTACAGAGGAAAGGAAGGCGGTGACTATATCTATGGTAAGCGTCCTCTCCTGCATTTGAGGGCTCATGCTGACGTTGGCCGTTAGATAATGTTTTTACCACGCACGACGACAACAGCCGAGTCTACGACTGCATAGCAAAACGGTTAGTCCGTCGCGTAATGGAGGGTTACCACGGAACCGTTTTCGCCTACGGCATGACTGGTACTGGGAAGACGTTCTCGATGCAGGGAACGGCTTCTTCTCCAGGTGTCATCCCTCTCGCCATCACCGACATCTTTTCCTACATAAGGGAAACACCGTCTCGCGAATTCTTACTCCGTGTCAGCTACCTGGAAATATACAACGAGAAAATCCACGATTTACTGAGCATGTCAACCGGTACTGGGGCTGGTGGGCAGGAAGAAATCAAGTTGCGCGAAGACAGCAAGCGGGGTGTATACGCCAGCCCCTTGAAGGAAGAAATTGTGCAAAGCCCAACCCAGCTTCTGAGAGTAATTGCCCGAGGCGACCAAGCGCGCAGAACAGCAAGCACGCAATTCAATGCGAGGAGCTCTCGAAGCCACGCAGTGGTCCAAATCGTGGTAGAGAGCCGAGAGCGGATACCAGGAAGCACTAGCACTGGTGAAAGTAAACGATCAGGAATGTTGCCCGGCGGTGTGCGCGTGTCGACGCTGAGCTTGATCGATCTCGCTGGATCAGAGAAGGCGGCCGAGTCCAAGGAGCGACGGACAGAGGGCTCGCACATCAATAAGAGTTTGCTCACTTTGGGCACTGTCATCTCCAAACTCTCCGAGCACAAGGACAAGGACGGAAAGGCCGCCGACAAAGATGGGAAGCATCTGCCGTACCGAGACAGCAAGCTGACCAGGCTCTTACAAGGAGCTCTGTCGGGTGGTTCACTCGTGAGCATTTTGTGCACCATTCAGATTGGCGCGGCCGGTAGCGCTGCTTCTTCAAATTCTCACACGTCCGAAACGATCAACACTCTCAAGTTCGCGTCCAGAGCCAAGAACAACATTGTCAGCCACGCCAAAAGGTCGGAGGAGGCTCTCGGAGGTGGTGGAGATGGTGGCGCCAGAGTCCTCTTGGAGAGGTACCGCATGGAGATTCTGGAGCTGAGACAGCAACTCGACATGCAGGCCAAGGAAAAAAACTCGAATCATGCCGACCCAGAAAGAGAACGAGATGCTCTCGAGGAAAAAGCTCGCGAACTAGAGGCCGAGCACCGGCACGAGGAGCAGATGCTTGAAATGCAGCTAGCCCGAACAGCGCTCAAGGAACGGATCGATCACCTTAACCGTCTGATCTTGAGTTCCAAATCAATTGGCGTCAACGCCAGCGGATCCTACAGTGCTCTCGGTATACACTCTCGATCTCCAATGGCTTCGGTAAGATCGTCTTTGGCTACTTCGACTAGTGGTAGACCAATTCTCGAGAGAACCGCATCCATGACATCGGCCTCTTCAACCATTGGCCGTCGGTCAAGCGGTCGGTCCAGCGGAGGCCTCGGAGGCCTGCGCCGATCCAGTGCTGAGGGCGGCTTGGTGATGGGCGAGGACAGCGTCGGCGAATTCGGAGACGGCAGTGCTTCATTGGCGGCCCAGAACCGCGCGTTGCAGGCCGACTTGGCAGACAAGACGAGATACATCCAGACCCTAGAGAAGCGACTGATGCAGGCACGGAGAGCTAGCTCTTCGAGAACCTCCATCGGCTTCTCTGTTCCAAACAAGGCAATCATGGTTGGAGAAGACCACAGTGTGTCGACGCTGTTGAGGGAAAAGGATGCCGAGATTGCCGAACTGAAGGCACGATTGGACGACAAGGATCGCATGCTGGGTGCGTTGCGCTCTGCAGCTCGATCTCGAGACATGGCGGAGGGACATTTTGACGGCAGGACGTCTTCTCTGTACGAACATAGTCCCCCGCCAACGGTCAGCCCGCCGCCAGCACCATCAGCAGCCTCGGCCAAACCTCGCACCAAAAGTGCTGACGAGATGAGCAAGATTCTGGACGAGATGATCCAAGACCATGTCGATACTGGCCATCTGGTCAAGGGAGTCAGAGGAAGCATCCGTGTCGCCAACGACCGCAAGCTCGAGGCTCACCCGGAGCCACCGATGGGACTCGAGCCCCTCAAGAAGACATCGTTCGAAGAGGCCAACGGTGTGTCCATGGTGGGCGTGTAGAACGCTCGCTCTCCTGTGGGATATGTAAGCTCTGTTTGCTCAGTTTGACCGTGAAAGAGGGATAAGGTGACATGGGTAAATGGCGCCTCGCGTAGGCCAGGAAAGGCGTTTGGGAAGGGTCGACAATGACCGGGGTTTCTTTTTATTTTTTTTTTGGTTTTCTTCTTATACCCGACACTTCACTTTTATCTTGCCGTGGTTATCGGTTGAGAAGGCGGCGACTGTCGTCCCGCTCTGTCATGAACCGTATCCGTCGGCCTGTTTTACTAGCATACTGATACGTCAAGGAGGGAAGAACTGGCAGAGGCTTCAATTACGATCACAACGTGCGTCCCCGGTGCATCGAGGGGTCGGGTCACTGATGGCGGAAGAGAACTTCAGTGAATGGCAGGAAAAGCGACGAGGTCTGCCAGCGGCTTTTAATATCGGGCAGATCATTGCGATGGTTCATGTACATCAGGAAGCAGGCCTGGTCAGTCAGCTAATTACGGATGAGCAGCGACGAAATCCAAGAGACGATACTATGTATGATGCATCCTGATGCAGCTGCCCTTGATTATCACCGTGACCAGGATGCGTTGATTGCCTCTCTGACATACAACACCCCTCCGGCAAAATTAGGTGCTGGAAGGGCATATACATCACGGACGATTGTAAGTGTTGACCCGTTTTCAACCGAGGAACGGCGGCGACGCTTGTTTGCTGTTCTGACCTCTCGAATAGGCTGAAAGGGTACTTTTTGCTACTCTCCCTCACCTGTCCCGGCCAAACAAACCTCTGCCGTGCAACAGCGTACGGGTGGGTTGAATCTGCCGCCCCCCCCCCCCCCCCCCCCCCCCCCCCCCCCAGGTTGCGTAAAACGTTGCGTTTGAGGGGTATAGAAGCAGGTCGCCTTACGAGACGGCTTCTACCCGTGGCCCGTGACCGACACGGAGAGAAGGAAATGAGCTTTGAGAGGTTGGACGACAACAGCAGCCAGGGAGAGAGAGGCAGCCAAAGACGACGGGCCGGCATCAGGTCTCCCCCTCCACTTCTCCCCCCTTCGCTTTCCTTTCTCCCATCGTGGTTGCGGGAGAAAGGAGGATGTCGAAAATCAGGGGGGGGGGTTGGTTGCGAGCGACACCGGGTGATAATCTTGCGCTAGATGAAACCCAAAGCTGCCAGCCACAACAAGTGCCTAATTTTTAAGCACTTCCGAGACGGCGCGAGGTTGGCTAGGTACGGCGCGCGTATTACAATCGCAACCCCGGTAGTCAAAGCGGACGATCACTCTGGGACAGTGCCCCGGGCCGCGGCTCGATGAGGCGGATCGTGCAACGAGAGAGAAGAGGGAGGAGGGGGAGGCGAGCGAACAGCCAGTTCCTGCCTAGACTGTATGTACGGAATGGAGCTTATTTCTAGCGTTGTTTCGCCATTTGGGTTTGGGCAAGAGTTTTCAAGAGCGGGCGGGATTGGCGTTTGGGTCAACGGAATATTTGACTAGAGGCTTAGAGGGGGGGTTATTTACTTACCTACATTGACGAAGCGGTTTCTTGCAAGTGCCCAGCCTCATCATTTTTAGGGGGTTCGCGGTAGATGAACGGACGGGCGGGGGTGCACGGTTGATTGTACCTTAGGAAAGGGCACGGGCTTGCAATGAGGGCATCGAGGAAGACTTGGTGACATTGTACGCTCCTCATGAGGTTGGGATGTGCGCTTGGAGTATGAGAGCCACTTTCCGAGGGGGGTTCAATTACAAGAGGCCGATGATTTAGGGCCGCGCTGCGTTGCGCTGCTTGGAGGGCGGGTTGTGCCCTTGATTGTCGTGCTGTTTGCTGTTCAACTCGCAACCTTTGCAAGAGGCTACGATGGGACGTTTCTCGACTGATATCATCTTCCAATGGACGTGTCCGGGTCGAGTAGGGAAACGGGTCATGGTATCACGAAGCTTCTGTTGCACGTCGCAGCACGGAGCGCGCGGACTGACTGACCAGCTTGATTCACGAATAAGGAATGGGCCGCAACAACCAAATTTGGTTTGATTCCCTATGACGTACAAATGGGAGCGGATGGACTATCCTTTCGCCGTGGCCCCGGTTTGCTGATGGTGATCTGCAGAGAAGGGCAAAGAACGGTCAACCTAAGGCGTGGTGAACGACCCTTGCCAAGGTCAGGCCCTGCGTCGTTTTTGCCGTCCCATTTCTCCTGCCTCATATTACGGGGGACGGTCTGTGGCACTTGACGTATTGTTGCCAGCTGATCATCTTTGCTGCCTCCCCGATGTTCAACCTCGTTACGGAAACCTGGAATTGAGAACTTGCTCTCTCTCTCTCTCTCTCTCTCTCTCTTACTTTCTTCTGCGGCTACATGAGTCGTACAATATCAAGCGGTCCGTGTCTCACTTGCAAACGATGGGTTTTCGTTGGCTTCTGCCTTTGACCTATCCGCAAGTCTCGTTTGTACAGGGGTCTCTTTTTTTTTTTAAAAAAAAAAGATAGATTTATTATAAATTTATATATATCTTCTGCATCCGGTGCCACTTTTTCGGAGTTTCCGCGACGTATTGAGCGCGACTGGAAAGCTGGGGTATCCTGTACCTTGGCACCTTGGGCCGCTGCGTCGGCTCAAGGAAGCGGACATGGCGTGCGGAGGAAAACAGACGGGATGGATCAGTTATTTTCCTTTTGTAAACTGCCTCGTCACGCGCAGTAACCAGAGGGGAACATAAGGCTAAGCCAAAAGGGGGGAATCTAAAAAGTTTAGCAACTCGAAAACACAAAGCATTGTGCGATTGAGGGGGGTCCAGAGTCCACGTTCAGTCTTCTGGATACGGAATGTGCACTTAATCACGGTACCTTTCTCGCGTGTCCCTTGTTACTGCATCCGCCACAGGACGGGACGAAAACAAGAACACAGGCCGCCTTCTGTAGTTCATCCCTCTGTTCGCTCACTTCTCACAAGCTTTGGAGGTATGAGAGTACCTAACTGGAACGAGCAAGCCTGAATGATGAGTTGACACTGACATGACAGGTGAAGGGGCCGTCGTTCGTCCACTTGCCTTACCACCGACCGAGGACGAAGAGGATGTGATGACCATCTTCGGGGGGAGTTCGGGAAGGATGCGGTATCCCGTGGAGCCAATGAGAGATGAAATCCAGGGGGCAGGGGCTGGCGGCATATGGCGTACACTCTTAATGATTGGTCTGAGGAATCGGAGAAATGGGGAAGATTGCGGATCTCATCCGAGAGCCCCTGAAGTCAACGGGAGCTCGGCATCTGAGTGGCTGCTTCCTCATCTGCTTTTCCTGAGCCAACCCCCCTTCTACCCCCCGCCCTGAAAGGTTCTGAAACGTCCTAAATCGTGACTGGCGGCCACATGAGATGGGGTCAAGGACCGATCTACGGTACGCTACTGGCTGCTGGTGCTAACCCATTAGGCCCAAAATACCCTCACGCAACCAGGAAGGTACTACCGGTATGTAGGTGCTGGCACAGCAGGTAGCCCACATGGACGACCGGCTTGCTTCCCCTTCGGTAACCAGCTTGGGGATGCGTGAACTGAAGCCGGGTTCTCTTCCTTTATGTTCCTCTCCATCTCATTCACTCCTTAGGCTCTGCTGGCTCTGCATCCGGCCTGGCACCACGGCCGACGGTCAGGGTCTGGCAAGGTTGGGGGGATCTCGAGGCAAGCCACCATGGCGTCGCTACGTTCCGGATCGGAAACCCCCCCGGACGAATGCAACGCGGCCATCCCATCCAAGCCAACCGTCTCATTGGGAAGGGCTCTCTGACTTGGACTTGTCGCCCGTGGGTGCGGGATCTGCTTGGGTACGACGATCCCGTGCGATCTGCTTCTATTTTTTCTTCTTCTGGTGTTGGAACACTGGGCAACCGGAAAGTGAGAGAGACATAACGGAACAGCTGAAGATGAGGGGAATCCCTGGACTGTGTTCCTATTCGAGGGACGATCATGATACTGCGAGTGCCAGAGACCCCGTCGCCAACGTTGGACGATCGCAGTGGCGCCGTGCTGTCACGCGGCTGCTTAGGCTCGTCTTTTCGCCGACATCTGCTGCTCACTGACTGCCTGGGCACCTTTGCCCTATGTCACCAACGCGGGGGCCCGACACCCGAGCTTCCGCTAGACAAACAGCCGCCAAAGAAACAATAGATGGTTCGGGCATTGATAGCCAACGGTTGGCACTATATCACACAGACGGCGGCGCTATATTTACGCTTCACTTGACTCGACGACACCATTACCCGGAGCTCTGACACCTGTCCTCCTTCCGTCTCACGCGTTCCCCCATCCGCTTATCCTTTCATCCTCTTGGTGCTCAACTCCCTCCGCTCTCTCCTATAGGCCCTTGCCCCCCTTCCCCGTCTTCGTGGGCTGCTGGTGGTGTATTATCAAGTCGCCTTGGACGAACAACTCATCGTCCCGTCTTCTCTACTCTTTGCATCCGATTGAATTGCACAACAGTGTCACATACGTACACCCGCCTTCCATCTCACTGTTATTCGGGCCGGTATCGAAAACAGTTTGGCAAGTCCGGAAAGACTGAGGGACCAAGAGAGACGAGGGCTCCGGTTGCAAGCACTATACAACCGCATAACGCTTGCGCATACACCTGTTTCGGCAGGCCGGTCCCCCCCCCCTAGTCTCTGGTCTCTTGCCAACTTGCAAAGGGTCTCCCGACATCACGGATCGCCCCATACATACGCAATAGTTTACGAAGTAGGCGCTGGCGAACGAACGGAACGCCCGTCATCTGCTTCGCAACAGCTCCCCTCCCAACCGAACCCTGGTCTTTGATGATCGCTGCCAAGACCCACTGCCGGTCATTTACTTCACGCAATTGATCGCACCTTTCATTCTTTTTCGGTCGGTCCGTTGGGGGTTCCTCTCCATTGCGTTTTCTGACAGATTTCGGACTGGGGCCATTGCCTGCTTGCCTCGAAGCTGCCTCGGCCCCCAAAAGAAGAAGCTGGGCCGCTTCGACATTGAACTGCTGACGACCACACGACACTACTTCTCCCCCGCCGTCCCCGGTCTCTCTTCACTTTTACCCTTCTTCTTTCTTCACATCTGACCCGACCGTGCCACCGGCCTCGGTCACGTCTTGTACGCAGACGCTGCATTATTCGTCATCCACCAAGTCAACCACCGCATTGCTGTTTGTATACCTCAACTCATCTTGTGCGACCGTTGCTGGAACCATAACTATCATGAATGCTTCCTAGAAGGAAGAAGACCTCTCTCGTCCATGATCAAACTTGGCTCGACGCCCACCGACACTCCTTTACTAAGAAACATTCACCTGTCGAGATACCATCCTCACAGCTTCCGCTTCCCACATAAAACCTGACCTTTTGAAAGATACCCATTGGGAACGACGCTACCTCGATAGTGGACACGGCCCAGAAAACGACTAAACGAAACTTCGCTTCTTCGGAATACCACCTATTTATTTTTATCATCAACGTTGCTTATAATGCGAGCCAAAATGCCGGCCCCACTGGATCTCAGCAAATCCAAGCTGTCGATATCCAACCCGCGGATGAACCTGCGGCGGTCTGCCTCCCACCACAACTCCAGTTACGAGAAAAACCCCCTGTCCGCTACTTCGTCGCGCTTCAGCTTCAACCACCTCCTCTTTTCCTCGCCGCCACCATCACCGAGTCTACCGGCCCTCATTCCCCCACCCCGGAAATCTCCCATCCACCCACGACCTAGCCGTGTGCTTCGGCTCGCATTCTGGTTTGCATTTGCAGCTTTGCTGTTCTACTTTGTAACATTTCCTTTCCGAAGCAGCTTCGGCGTGCCGAACTTGAACTTGCCGCACCTCAGCACACATGAAGATTTTGAGATGGTCGGGCAGGATGACCTGCCCGACTTCCCGACCCCCATCGTCATTGCCGACCACAGCGGGAAACACAAGTGGACTGTTTCAATCCCCCCGAGCTACGACTTTCCATTGTCGTTGAAGGAGTATGGAGACATGTGCATCAAGTGCCGAGAGGTTGCCGCTCGTGTGAGAGACATGCGCCATCGGACCCACATTCTCGATCAGGACCCCTTGAATCCCGAGGCCATGGCTGATCCGTACTTCGTCGATGCGGAGGAAGCTCAGAAGCTTGGTTTTCTCCCAGACGTTGCCAACAGCAGATGGCCCAGCAAAGGACGGGGCAGAGACGGAGATTTGGTCGGAGAGAACAAGGACTCTCTGGTGGAGAAGCCTGTCTGCCAGAGTTCAATGACCATGGTTCTGGAGACGGCAGATGCTGGGATCGGACACACCATTATGCAGCTTTGGACGTTCTATGGCCTTGCACAGAGACAAGGCAGAGCCTTCTTCATCGACGACTCTCGCTGGGCGTACGGCAAGTACACCGATATTTTCCAAGCGCCTCCCGCTCCGAACTGTCGCCCTCCGCCCCGCCACCACATGGTCCCTTGCCCTCCTCGAGCTCGCCATCTCGTGGTCACCTCAGAGACAGTGAAAGAACTTTGGGCTGGTTCTCTGAGCAAACCCTACATTGACTTCCGAGCCCAGGATGGGGAAGCAGTGCGAGAACTTTTCAACCTGGCACACGAGGGCTACCGAGCCCTGTTCGATCTCAACAAGGACGACACTCAGTATGTTCTCAACAGGGTTAAGGAAATCAAAGCAAAGGCACACACCAAAGATTCGAACCCTCGCGACAGCCTTATTGTTGGGGTCCACGTTCGCCATGGCGACTGCCACCCGCTGGAATACCAATACCGCGGGGCCTACATCCCTATGGAGATCATTGCTAACCGCGCCCATGAGATCATTGAGGCCAAACACAATGAGTCCGGAAGAGATAGCGTCGGCAACGCACTCGCCGAGAAGAAATCGTTCGTTGTTCTGGCGTCCGACGACCCCACAGTCTACGATTCCGATGACTTCAAGAACTCCATGCGTGCTCAGGAGCAAATTCGTCTTGCATCCAAGCAGGAGACCCATAAGGCCACCCCGGACAGACATGTCATGCATCGTTTCGAAGATGAGTCCTTCGGCTGGGAGGGCGGCTTCTTCGCCGCTATGTTTTGGAACCTTGGTTTGTCGTCCATGAGCGCTTCTAATGCCGCGACAGCTAAGAACAAACAACTGGCTCCTTCGGCCGAGACTCTTCGTCTTCGAGGCTACATCGGCCGGGCGTACATGATGGACCTAGCGGTCCTTGCCGGTACAAGCGATGCAATCGTCTGTACCGTTAGCGCCATGGGCTGTCGTCTGCTTGCAGTCATGATGGGATGGGAGTCCGCCATGGAATCGGGAAACTGGGTCAACGTCGACGGCCCATACGGGTGGACCGGATTGTCCATCTAAATACGGGCAAAACCCATGTCTTAACCCGTCAGGAAAGGGAAGGCATGTATGGCTCTCAGCGTCCGAGCCGCGAGGAAAAGAAAAAGGCAAAATTCGCATCACACTGCATGGTTATCGGCGTACGGCGTTCGAAGCGAAAGGCACATAGCACGCGTTTCTTTATTATTTATTTTTTGATACAGTTCTGGTTTATTTGTTGTCCCCGAAAAAGAGATACCTCTATATTCGCCTCATAGCACAAAAGCAGCGCATTCTTTGAGACTAGCCTAGAGGTACAATCCTCCAGTCGTTACTGCATCAACTAATCATACTTGAAATATACCAACAATACCAGGAAGCTAGCTGGCTTTGAAGAAAAGACGCTAACTAGCTAAATCAAATACAAAAAAGACACAGTTTTCAAACCATATCTGAACTTATGTATCCCTATGATGCACGTGTCGGTGACTGTAGCATATTGTGCCTTTCCTTTGAAGCTACTTTCGCAGATCAACACTAACACAGGTAATTAACCCCTTTTTGAAGGTATAAGAAGCACATGTCCTAGTCTATCATATTAGCCAGACCCCTTGTGCTGTTCAAGACCTACCAATGGGTTGACTTGGGGCAGCCACCTGTATGGAACGAGAACGCGGAGGCAGCATTCAACAAGGCTGCCATGAGTTTGTTTTCCCCCAGCACGCAAGAGTGCGGTACGTCTGCGGCGTCTCTATGCTAGATTCCGTCCACCACAAGCATCATCGAGCATCAAGGTCACAGCCTGATCTCCTTTGCGGGTTCTCTCAAGCTGGAATACCTGGCCTTGTTTGGAGCACATGAGGTGACCTGGTGGCTTTAGGGTCATGGAGCAAAGGCTGGAAGACGGGTGCTGAAGCGAAGGTGTCTTGCACTCTGAAGATAGCGAGGATACGAGCATCTCATTGAGAGAATCCCCCCACCACACCATAGAAACCTCGCCACTTGCCTAGCCACCTCCAGAGCACTTGTCAGTGGGAGCCAGACCTTGCCATGTTGACCAGCTTCGAGATTTCCGGCCAGCATCGCCAACAATCTCTCCGCCTTGGTAACTTAGTTTCAAGTAGCATCATCGAAGTCAATCCCGGCAAGAGCGCCGGGTGACAATTTTGTTGGCCAGGTTCACGAGAATCATCACCTCGCAATCCGGACGCTCTGACCAACTCGACGCAAAAGGCATTATGCAGCCGCATGCTATCTTCAGCAGGCTTCATTTCGTTGGCTGTGAGACTGCATTGCGAATCTCGGCATGGATCTCAAGAGAGTTGCAATCTTTCCAGCCCCTCGTCGGCGACAGCTTGGCAGCGTGCCTTTGCGATGCACGCTTGCACAGTTCAGAGTCCTGGGATCCGTCCAGTCCTCAGAAGGACAATGCCCCGAATGCTGGGAAAGGGGTAAAGCACATCGACTGGGGCAGCGGGCACTTGGCGCTCAACGATGGACTTGTCGTATTCGACTTTTGGGCCTCTCACCGACGCCAAGTGCATGGTTAGCACTTTCGATGAGAAGAAACTGGATCAGAGCGCCTGCAGTCTAGAAGCCAAGGGTGCGGTTGACGCAATCTTCCAGCGATGTCGTACACCCACCCCATCAAGGATGCTACATCGGCTGTAAAGAAACCAGCCCTTGATATCGTCAGAAAGACCCTTCAAGACCTGTTCGGGTCCGACAGAACACTAGCAGGCTGGGTTTGTCGGTGCGCAAAAGGGGCATATATGTCTCCCGTCCTGGCAACTCTTGATAGAGTAGTCGGAAAGATTTTGTTTCTTAATATCTTGTGGCTTAGGCTAATGTGGCTCAGACCCGGGACCCGTAGCTGAGCGGAGGGTAGAAGCCAGCCCCGGCATGTTTTTATTCGGGATGATGGGAGCTTGCTCGAGAGGGAGCCTACGGCTATCCATACCAAACCCGCCATTTCAGAATGCTTGTAGAGCTGAAGGCATTTACAGGGGTGTTTCATATATGTGGAAGCCTTTCGGACCGTGTGATGGTGGTGGTGAAGTCGGGGGCCGGGAGCTTGGGGCGGCGGCATGGTCCGTCTCTTATTCTTATTCGGGTTGCTAGTTTGCCAATCAAGCACCTGTGAGTAGCCAGACCGACTTCATGGCTCCTAGGTACGTGCCTCGCTTGGGGAGGCTCGTGGTATACGTAGGCTTCCTTTAAGAAGGTGGAATGGTTAGAGCGACTCGCGAGAACGAATGAACAAAGGGAAGTGGACCGAGCTCTCGGAGGCAGGTGAATATGGCAATTCGAAACGGCTTCATCGCGTTGAAATGTGGTTTACAGCATTTGGGGAATTGGCACATGCATCGAATCATCCCATCGTCCACTGCTTGATTAGGCAAGGAGGGTCCCAGATACGAATACGAACAGCCCGCCATTGGCTGAGCATCTCGTGCCACCGATTGGTCCTCCCCTGATTCCCATTTACTGGGCCTGGGCCATGCCACTTGAGGACGTGGATCGAAAGGGGGGGAAAAACAAGGTTTGCAGAAATATTGACTGCCCAAATGGCGATTATAGGTGGCCAAACAGCTAGCTGACCGCCTGGAAGCTTTCCCATGCATGCTAGGCTAGTGCACAGAAGTTGCAACGCTGCAGCTCTGGTCACGCAAAATTGTGGGACCTCACAAAACGCGACAGATATCTACTCCGTAATCTCTAATGGATAATTTAAAACCACGGCCAGAACCCCCCCTTCTCGATGCCTTTTCGTTCTCCTCGTGCCACTGATATTCGAGTGTTGCGTTCGTTCACAACAATTGGCGACATCGGTAGACGCGACGACGCTAGAAAACACCAACAGAAGCACTCTCTCGTGCTTCTTTCCTGCCCAGCATGGGCCTCCTACAAGATGTCGCCGGACCATTGTCCCAGCAGTTCCAGACACTAGGAACTGGTTTGCAAATCGTCGCCATTGCCACCGCTGTCATTTTCCTATCTGTCGTCCTCAATGTCGCCTCCCAAATCCTCTTCAAGAAGTCCAATGAACCCCCCATGGTCTTCCACTGGTTCCCCTTCATTGGCAGCACCGTTATCTACGGCATGGACCCCCCAGCCTTCTTCAAAGCCAACCGTGAGAAGGTACGCGCGCCCAACAACAATGTTAATTAACTATTGCGGCTTCTCGTGCTCGAGCTGACAATCATTCACTCCGAAAGTATGGCGATATCTTTACTTTCGTCCTTCTCGGCAAGAAAACCACAGTCGCCCTCGGCACCCAGGGCAACGACTTCATCCTCAACGGCAGGCTCAAGGATGTCAATGCCGAGGAAATCTACACCGTCTTGACCACTCCCGTCTTCGGCCGCGACGTCGTCTACGACTGCCCCAATTCCAAGCTCATGGAGCAGAAGAAGGTATGTGGGCGACCGGATCTCTCTCCCCACGTATCTCCCTACTGACAGCTTGCGTGCCCTTCAAGTTCATGAAGATCGCCCTCACCACCGAAGCCTTCCGCTCCTACACCACTATCGTAGCCGACGAGGTCACCAACTACTTCAAGCGCAGCCCCGACTTCAAAGGCAAGTCTGGCGTCGTCAACATCCCCACCAAGATGGCCGAGATCACCATTTTCACCGCCTCCCATGCCCTCCAAGGCGCTGAGATCCGCAACAAGTTCGACGAGTCCCTCGCATCCCTGTACCATGACCTCGACATGGGTTTTACCTCCATCAACTTCGTGCTTCACTGGGCTCCTCTCCCCTGGAACAGGAAGCGCGATCATGCTCACGACACCATTGCCCAAATCTACATGGACACCATCAAGGAACGCCGCGAGCAGGGCCGCACCAACGGACTCGACATCATGTCCCACCTGATGAACTCCACCTACAAGAACGGCATCAAGGTCCCTGATCACGAGATTGCCAACATGATGATTGCTCTTCTCATGGCCGGCCAGCACTCCTCTTCGTCCACCAGCTCCTGGATCATGCTTCGCCTTGCCCAGAACCCTCACATTATGGAGGAGCTCTACGAGGAGCAAGTTCGCGTTCTCGGCGCCGACCTGCCGCCCCTGGCCTATGACGACCTTGCTAAGCTGCCCCTCAACCAGGCCATCATCAAGGAGACCCTCCGCCTCCACGCCCCTATTCACTCAATCATGCGCGCTGTGAAGTCTCCCATGCCCGTTCCCGGCACCAAGTACGTGGTTCCCACGACCCACACTCTCCTCGCCGCCCCTGGTGTCTCCGGCTCCGACCCTGCCTACTTCCCCGAGCCCGACCAGTGGAACCCTCACCGCTGGGACGCCGACTCACCCCTCGCCCCCAGACTCGGAGCCACCGACGCTGCCGAGGAGGAGAAGATCGATTACGGCTACGGTTTGGTTAGCAAGGGTGCCTTCTCGCCGTACCTGCCCTTTGGCGCGGGTCGTCACCGCTGCATCGGCGAGCACTTTGCCAACATGCAGCTCCAGACCATCACTGCCATGATCGTCAGAAACTTCAAGGTCCGCAACGTCGACGGTAGCAACAGCATCAACGGCACCGACTACGCCTCTCTCTTCTCGCGTCCTATGGAGCCCGCCAACATTTACTGGGAGAAGCGTAACCCATAAATTGGTGAATGGTGTAGGGGTTTTTACGTAATTTTGGGGTTGTGATTCGTGCATTGCAAGCCATCATGACTACGTAAGACATGGCAAAGAGAGAGTAAGGGAGTAAAAGATATGGACACGAGAGCGCTGCGGCGCAATGGTGGCAGAGTAAACCGTCACCACTGAATAATATTAATACAAAAGACCATTATGACATGACGAGAACATTATAAAGTTACTGGTTCCGTGCCAGTGACCCTCCCCTCCACATATGGCAGGCCTGAAAGTAAATGACATGATTTTCGGTGAGTCGGTGTTGATGAGAGAGGGCGGAGTCCGGTCCAGCCACGGTGATCAAGACACTGGTCTGCGCTGCCGAACGAGTTCGGTCGGTCGGCGGTGTTTTGTTTCAAGGTCAGTGCGGCGAATATGGGAGGGCGTCTCAGACACCCATCCCCTGTCCGGTTTCTGCTCCCATCCCTCTCCTCCCCTCATCCCAACCTGAGCTTGAGCTGAAGCTGGAGCTCATTCACAGAGACTTTCGCCCACGCGAATTTCCTTACGAACAGTCGCGTACCGACGTGGGGTTTAGAGTTTGCCCACTGACGTTGCACAGCCTACTACGCCTACCTGACTGTTTTTCGATAAATCCATCCTCATTATATAAAGAGCGCAAGCGACTTGCAATTGCGACGGCATTGGGATTGGAGCCTTGCGACGACGCACTCATTAGTTTGACCAACCCAGGATCTACGGACCTGAAGAGGCAATCAAGAAACCACCGCCGATATGAACACGGAAGACGAAAACCTGGGACCCCTGGTCCGCCTATGGGGCCTCCGGACGGAGCAGCTACCGGCCCCGAGCGCAACGTCGGCAGACTTGGCACCGTTCCTGATCGCCGTGCTGCAGGAGGCGGTCCCCTTCATTGACGCCGTTGCGCCCAAGGACGGCACGGCACGGCCCAACGAGTGGAAGGCTAAGGGCAGCAAGACCTTCCCCGAGTCGACGGCGCCCGTCGAGCTGTACGAGCGCATCGTCCCCGCCGCAGAACTCGCGAAGGAGGCGGCGCGGAATCAGCTGCCAAACGGCGATTCCGCCTCGGCTGAGACGTGGGCGTGCCGGAGGAGCATCCACAAGGATAAACCGGTCAAGGGAACGGCAGCGTGGGAGGAGTTCGTCAAGTGTTTCAAGGACGACCATGTCGAGGCCGAGAAAGCGTTCACACCCAACGTCATGCAGGCAAGGGAAGCGCTGGCGTGGGACTGCAATGGCGTCGTGGTCAACGAGGGGGGGCTCTCGTGGGGGGATTTCAAGCTCAGCGTGTCAGAGATCAAGCATAAGCTCGTGATGCCGCTCAAGAACCGCGTGTTCCCCGAGCTCATCGTCTCGGCCAAGGCGAAGGGTGCTGACGAGTTCGTGGTCGTGTCGATCCCCGTGCTGGACCTTGCTGGGTCGGACCATGGGCAGCTGGTCAAGGACAAGAGCGTTGTTGTCGGCGCGTACGTGAGCGTCGAGAGAGTGCGGAGGCTGCCGACGGGGGCGATTGAGTGGATCATGGCGACGGCCTCGGATGCCAAGGGAGTGCTGCCTGCGTGGATCCAGGCCAAGGCGGTGCTTGGGGTCGTCGCAAAGGACGTTGCGTTGTTCCTCGGCTGGATTGCCGAGGAGCGTGAGAAGGGGACGAGCGTGGGCAAGTGGACAGCCGTCAAGGGCGACAGCGAGGCTCGCCCCGGCAGCACCAACCGCAAGCCGTCGATGACATTGGAGGACGCGGAGTCTTCAAACATGCAGGGAAGGACTTCGAGGCAGGGCATATCTTCCAGGAACGGAACGGAGCCGGCGTTGGGAGGAACGAATGGGACGAACGGGCAGGTTCATGTTTGATGTTTGATGTTCTATCTGTACGTGCGATACCAATCTAGTTTGTAGTGCCACAAGGTAATGAATGTTGACTAGCAACTTGTTCGGGGCCTAATCAAGGTGAATACCAGCGATTCCAGCACAGGCCTAAAAGCAGTTGAAACACACGTTGACTTCTCCTAAGACTTGCCAACCCCGGGCTTCTTCCTATCACCGACATCCTTCCTCAGGAAGGCCCCCCCCCCCCCCCTTACGCCTACCGTACCTTCCTTCATGCCATGTAGATCTAAGGTTGACTTCTGTCACCTGCCCCTCTATTACGACACCACAGAGCTCGGCTGCATTCTCCTCTCAACAACCAGATCAGCATTGCTGCTCCCAAGATCTCCACTCTCTCGCCTGGCTCCCTATTTCTCTTGTCGTTTCTCATCGTGTTGACAGTGGAGATCAATCTCTGATCCGGGATATTCGAGTGAGGCTTCCCACTGTTCCCACTGCGGTGTGTCCAACCAGCGTGATGAAAACTCGCTCAGTCGCTGCTGCTACTTCCGAGTGTAGCACAACTCCTTCAGACGTAGTTGTATGTAAAACATATATTCTCCACGAGTCAATACAAGCATAGGCTGTTTGAAGCTAACACGCATGGCAGATGACCCGCGTCACTTCAAATGGGTTCAGTGCTGCCAACAGCACCATCCCAGCGACCCAGCTGGCTTTCAATACTAGCCATGTCGTCATACTGGAAGAGCTTCTGACTATGCGACGGACGCTAGAGGGCATATCTCGTCGTCAAGAAGCCAATGACGAGACCGTCAAAGCCAGTGAGATGAGAATGCAGGAACTGCAGCCCATGCCTAAACGACTTGACGACATTGGCTCCGAACTGAACAACCAATACTCCTTAGCCGAGGACAGGATTCGCAGACAAGAGGCGGATCTCAGGATTCTGGCCGACAAATTGATTCGGAGTGATGAGGAAAGATTAGACCTGGCACGCAAGGTAGAGCAGCTTTCTACCAAGATCTCTCTTCAAGCAACGCAAGCAGACTCTCAGGATCTTTCCCCGAGTATGTGACCCTATTTGAAGTGAAAGATGATACTGATCGAGGGCAGCTCGGGTTGCGACCAAGCGGAAAGAGGAATTTGTACCGTTGGCATCCGAATCTGACAAGCACCCGATGCCCCACGCAGTGGTTTCCGACGGACCAAGCACTGCGGTCAACCCTCTACCGACGAGAGCACATAAAAAGTTGAAGGTTGAATCTCTCAAGGTTTCCAAACGCAAAATCTCGGGTTTCCGGAAATATGTACAGGCTTCCAAAAGTAGCTATCGAAAGGCACCGCCTAAGAACAGTAGCGACATGAAGAGATTCATTAATCGCTTCATTGAGGGGATCGAGGACAAGATGATTTCTGAAAGGTTGCAAAAACGCCTCCTGAAGCGCTTCCAATCGGTAATTCGAGAGTCGAAGTCCAAGAGAGGACCGCGAAGTATTGTAATCGAAGGGAACTTGCATTGGGATGAGATTTGCCCGCTTCTGGACCTTGCCAGCTTTTCAGAGGACGAGGACGAGGAGGAGAACTGACGCGGCATTTCTTGAAACTGAGCCATGAAATGTGCTTTTGGAGCTTCTCGGAAAGGAATGATTATTTGCAGAGCCACATCCAAAAGCCGAGATACTAGACACGACATGATTTCTACCACAGATCGCTCGGTGTACATCTATAGCCATGAAGCCCAATTAAGCACCTTGGCACTTTAACCAAGGTTTTGATTGGAAGCACGTCAACACTTTGTGGGTGTCCATCTTTGCGGGAGAAAAAAAAAGCAACTGCAAATAACCGATAGACTTTCAGACAGCTTACTGGTGTGGTCAAGGAGGAGGGAAGCATGCTCAAATGGTTCCATTGTCGCTGATCATAACAGGAAGACACGCCTATTGAACTAGAAGTGCTCCCCTAAAACTACCCCGAACCGTCTCTTATATGTCTCGGAATGTATTAACTGTTGTGTCTGCTCAAGCCATGCCTCTTGTTAGGCAGCCGGCTGTTCAACGACTTTGATCCTCCAGAGTGCAAGAAGCGCTGGTTAATAGTGGACATGCTAGTCGGACATTCCCTGAAAGGGGCCTTTTGAAGGGTCCTTTCAGAAGCAGAGTCCCACATTATTGCCAGTCAAACTGGAGGTACCCGACGAACAACTAGACGTCTCCATAAAGAATTTACAGAACAGTCTACTATAGAAATCCGGCAGCTGGCATGACTCTGTATGTCCGGGCAAATGAGTAAATCCAAGCGCAACTGGGTATGTGTAACCATAAAGACAACAAAAACGCCATGGTCATGTGACGGAAACCACCCAAAGTGATTCAACAGAAGACTAATTGTTCCTGTGGTGCTTACGAGGTGGCGGTAGTCTCTGCGTTGGTCTTGACGCTGTAAGGAGCCAGGAAGTCAGGATTGTTGGCGATTTCCTCCTTGACCTAAGGGAAAGGAATTAGCTTCCGCTAGCAAGAAGGGTTGCTAAGGGAACTTACAATATCAAGACCACCGACCAGCTCGCCATCAACCCAGAGCTGAGGGTAAGTAGGCCACTCTGCGTACTCTTTCAGGCCCTGACGCACCTCGTCATCCGCCAGGATGTTGAAGAAGCCGTACTTGACGGAATGCTCTCTCAGGAGGGCGACAAGCTGCCTCGAGAAACCGCACTGGGGCGAGCTCGGGGTGCCCTTCATGAAAAGCATAACCGGCGCGGCCTTGACAAGGTCCGCCAGACGCTTGAAAAGCTCCTCCTTAGCCTTGGCCGGGTCAACAGCCTCCTCCGCCGGCGCGGCGGCGCTAGGGCCGTTCTCGACGCCCTGGTTTCCGTTCGCCGTGCCGGTGGCGGGCTTCTTGGCGTGTGTCTCGATCGCGTTGCGCACCTTGATGGCGCTGCTGCCGCTGACGGTCTCGAGGACCTGGCCGCTGCGCAGGAGTACGAGGAATGGGACGGCAGTGACGTTGTAGGTCTCACTGATCTCGCTAAGCTCTTCGGCGTTTATGGAAACCCACGATGTCTGCGGGGGGCTGGTGACGGGGTACTCGGAGGCAAGGGTCGCGAGGACAGTCGCCATCTGGGCGCATGGGGCGGCCCATGGTGCGTGGAATGAGATGATATGGAGGGTGGAGGGCGGTGTGGAAGTGATGTGCTTCTCGAAGTCGGCCACACTGGTAATCTCCGTGATCGTCGACATTTTAATTTCGTGGATCGCGAGCTTTTTCGACAGGTCGGAACGTTGAAGACGATACGTCGACGGCAAGGGGGAGGTTGCGATCAATGGGGAAAGAGAAGCTGCTAGTGAGAGTCGCGGACAGGATTCGAGGCTTGTGGAATAAACGACAGATGAGGGCCGGGTTCGGTCGGATGTTGGATCATGAAATGACAAAGCCAACAATGGCTGATAAACCGTGGGTCTTCGATACGTAGAGGGGTACTTTGGAGGGGCAATTTGAGGGTGAGTTTTTCGGGTTGTGGCTGCGATTGTAACGGATACACCGATCTCCGTAGCAGGAGATGGCCTAGTTGAACAGAGGTATGCTTGTAAGCGAAAAGACTAGTAGTTGCGTCATCTGGCGCAAGATTTATGGTGGTTGATTACATATTATGGGACCCTCGGGCCCCACCTAAGGCGTGAAAGGGCCCGAAGCAGAGAGCGAAAGCGGCAAGCATGCTTGTAACACAGTGCGTTACTGTACACGCGGTTTGGCTGTACTCGTACCGCAGGTACCAGCTGGCCCACGCTTTCCTGCCCCGCCGCGACACTTGGCCCGACACTGAACAACGCTGAGCTGCGTAACCGACCGCCAGTGTATTGGATGCTGGCGGGACCGTGCTTCACCTCCAAGTTCCAGTTCCACCTGTGCTGCGCCTCTCCAGCTTTCGGCTGTCCACGACTGTTGTTCTGCAATAGAGGCGGCTGGTTTGCTACGTCAGCTTCTTTGCCCGCCAGACACAGGCGACTGCCCGACGGAGATCCTTACGACCCGACATCTTCTTTTACCTTACTCTCCCCTTGCTCAATCTTCCCCTTACTTTTCGACGACCCAACGAACCCCGACGACTGCTAGTTAAGCTCATTGCCTAAACTTGCAATGGCGTCACTCAACCTGTCCATCAACGGACCATCAATCAAGAGCAGCTACCAGGGCGTCATCAACGGCCCGCCTCCAAAGTCGAGCTCGCCGACATACGCTCAATGGGCACTGTTCTCTGTTCAAGCTCCTTTGGCCAATGCTTTCCAAGATAGTGGCTCCAAGGAGAGTGTGCTCAAGGTCCAGAGCACTGGTGGTAGGTTCCCCCGCTCTCCACTCGAGCTCCCGACGCCCGACATTGCTCGGCGAGACATGCGCTGACAGGTGTCCCTCCCCGCGCAGATGGCGAGCTTTCGGATCTGATCGAAGACTTCAATGAGGGCCGCATCCAATTCGCCTTCGTCAAAGTCAAGGACCCCAACTCTGGCCTTCCCAAGAACGCCCTGATTGCCTGGTGCGGAGGCGGTGTCCCAGAGAGAACCAAGGGCTACTTTACCACCCACACCGCGGCCGTCTCCAAGATTCTCCATGGCTACCACGTACAGATTACGGCCCGCTCAGAAAGCGACCTCGAACCCGAGAGCGTGATGCGCAAGATTGCCGATGCCTCCGGTGCCAAGTACTCAGCAGGCAGCTCCACGACTTCCGCTGCCCCACCCCCGGTGGCCTCCAAGCCCGTCTTCACTCCCACCACGTCCTCAGTCGGAAATGTCAACCCTATCGTGGCCGCGCGAAACCGCAAGACCGCCAACCCTGATGACGATGGGTGGGGAGAAGACGCCCCGCCGGTGACTCGGTCACAGCTGGAGAAGGTCGAATCGGCGTACAAACCCACCAAGGTCAACATGGCAGAGCTTACGAAGCAACGGCAGGAGCCTTCCAGCTCCAATGGGGGCAGCTCGCAAGACCGCCCCGGTGTTGTAAAAGGTGCTTATCAGCCCGTCGGAAAGGTGGACATTGCTGCGATCCGTGCCGCGGCGAAAAACCAAAATGACGACCGGCCGACGCCTGTTAAGGGCTCATACGAGCCTGTTGGCAAGGTCGACATCGCCGCCATTCGCGCCAGGGCGCAGAAGCCATCAGAGCCCGTGGAACAGGAGCCTGCCGATGATGAGCGGCCCAAGTCGTTGGCCGAACGGAGCGCCGCTTTCAACCAATCTCAGTCGGAGCGCCTGACATCGCTGCCCAAGCCGAAGGTGGCCAACAAGTTCGGTGGCGCAGCCGCATTCACTGGCACCAAGGCGCCGACGCCTGGCGGTCTTGGCTTCGGTGCGCCTTCCGTGCCGGCTCCCCCGCCTGTTGGCGCTGCCAGCCGTACCTTCGCCGACCAAGGCGGAAAGACGCCAGCTCAGCTTTGGGCCGAAAAGAAGGGAAAGCAAGGAGGATCCGTCTCCAACACCACCTCACCCCCCGTTACGTCTCCCATCGGCGTGCAGAAGAGCGGCGAGTGGAAGAGTGGTTACGCTGGCAAGTCGTGGGGTCCCGTTAAGACTGCTGAATACGGCCGTGGCAGTCTCAGCCAGGAAAACACCGGCGAAGACCCCCAGGAGAGAAGCGCTGGGGTGCCTGCCTCGCCCAGTGGCGGCGTTGGTGCTCTGCGGGACCGCTTCAAAGACGCTCCACCCATTTCTGGCGGAGCTCCCTCTATCCCCCGCGAACAGCACCGGGAAGAGGAGGATGAGCCGTCTCCTCCTCCGCCACCTAGCGGTTCCCGCCCTCCCCCTGCGGGTGGATTTGCTCTTCCCGGTCTACCGTCCAGGCCGGCGGCTGCTCAGGAAGAGGAAGAGGAGGAAGAGCCTCAGTCCCCCATCAGGGTTGCGCAGCCCGTCGCTCGTGGACACGAGGTCGATATGGAGCCCCCTATGGAGAGAGAGCCTCCTCGGCCCATCCCTACTCAAGAGATCGAGCGAGAGCTGCCAAGAGAAGAGGAACTCTCGGATGAGAGGATCGATGTTGGCCGCGGCGCCGCCGCAGCTGTTGCAGAGCATGAGTTTGGTCAGGAGCAAGTAGCAGCGAGCCAGGCGTCAAGCGGTGGCAAGCGGGCCTTGATCCAGTACGACTATGAGAAGGCCGAGGATAACGAACTTGAACTCCGTGAGGGCGAGTATGTTACCAACATCGAGATGGTTGACGATGACTGGTGGATGGGCACCAACTCTCGTGGCGAGAGCGGCTTGTTCCCTAGCAACTACGTGGAACTTGTCGACGACGAGCCTGAACCGGTGCCGGTAGCACGGAGCGCTCCTCCTCCTGCACCGGCCCAAGCGGAGCCGGCTCCGGCAGCTGCCGGGGGCGGTCGGACAGCTACTGCCCAGTTCGACTACGAGGCAGCCGAGGACAACGGTAATACAGCTCCACCCCACCCCCCACCCTGTACATGCCGTGGTGCTAACCAGCTGCTCAGAGCTCTCGTTCCCCGAGAACGCAACGATCACGGACCTCGAGTTCCCTGATGAGGACTGGTGGTTCGGCTCCTACGGTGGAAAGCAGGGTCTCTTCCCTGCCAACTACGTCCAGTTGGACAACTAAATTCAAGTTGGTGAAATGCGATTCAAGAAAAAGTCTTTGTGATGGCCAGCGATGCAATGACCCCTGTGCCCCTGCAAGCATTCGCGTTGTTAGGTTCGGAAGGGTCCAATGCCTTCGATAGGAATTCAAAATTATTGAAGCTTTACCACTGTCTTGGTGCTGCATCCAAAGAAGTGTGAAACATGCTTATCATAGGGATCGGAAAGGTTATCCTCGCGTCCAACCCGTTGACCCGGACCCAGGCTAAATGACCGCAACGATGCATTCGAGACTAAGATGCCGGTGTAATAGTCGGGTTGAAAACCTCCAGTCACAATGACCTCAATAGCTGACTAAGGGTATACAAATCGCACGTTCGATTTCTCAGATGAGTAGGACTACTGGGTAAAGTCATCACCGCGAAGCGAAATGCGCCCGGCAAGCACAATCAACCCCATGTAGGAAACAATAGACCGCACACCGCAAACGCCAGTGGGGAAAGTAAATCAGCGTGGCCGCTGAACCCATCGTGAACCCTCCCCCTCGCCCGTCCATCCATCAATACTGTCTCCTTCTCTCCCACTCGTCCATCCATCCCAACTCTTCCTTCGTCTCGGGTTCACCACGCCAAGGAGCCGGGAGATGCAGGCCGCAAGAGAAACAAGCTAGGGCGGGCAAAGCCGCCGCTTTCCTCCTTGCCACTCATCGTTGTTGCTCTTGGGAAGGGAGCTCAAAGGGCTTTCTTCCCCGCATGGCAGTTTCAAATCCCATGATTCTCGGACCCCTCCGCCACTCAAAGAAAGAAAAGAGAAAAGAAAAAGAAAAAGAAAAAAAAAACCATTACAGGCGGCTTCGGTCTTGACAGTAAGGAAATCGGGGAGACTGCTGATGCTCTCGACGTTGTCCCCCACTCGACAAGCGTGGCAATTTAGCAAATGTCGAAACAGCACTCGCAACTTTGGGGATGTCAGCAATCCTGGAAGAGTTTAGTAGAGGGGCGTGGGAGCTCACCATTCCGCGCAGCACTCGCACGTCTCGTCAATCACGCAGCAACAGCACAACGCGGCGAGGCAGGCCGTCAGGCAGTTTCCGCCACCCTGCTTCCTCTGCTGGGGCGCCTGCATGGGAGGTTGCTGCTGGTACTGCATCTGGGGCTGGCCGCCCTGGGGGTAGTAGCCGCCGCCCTGCTGCGGGTAGCCTCCTTGAGGGGGACCGTAGGACTGGTGAGCGTGTTAGCGGTCGGTGTTCGTGTCGTACGACCGGTCGCCTTGAAGCAAAGAGAGGGAAAAGACGGGTGATTGCATCGCGAAAACGCTGTTATGAGGGCAACGGGAGTGACTGGCTTACAGGTTGAGGGTGTTGAGGGTATCCACCGCCTTGGTTGTAGTAGTCTTGGCTAGACATGTTTGTTTTGTTTATTGACGTTTGGTTTCGAAAAAAAGCAATACGAACAAACGATAGATCTATTTAGAGAAAACGACTGCTTTCGAACAACGCCCGAGATAACCCGAGGTGTAATGTGAAGAAGGCAGATATATATATGAGGTTGGTGTGTGTGTGTGTGTGTGTGTTGAGTGTGTTGCGTGTGTATGAAACGAAAAGAAATCTTGAGACCTTTGGGTGGGTAGAAAGGCGGGATAAAAGGGCGCCCTCCACTCTCCGGATCCATGTTGCAGCAAGCAATCGACAGGCTTGGCAAAGCTGCTGGCAGCCCGGGCGGAGGTACTCTGGTACCCTTACCCAGCGCCAACCACCGGTACCTTACCACGTACCTAGTCTGGGCACTCTGCGAACCTCCGCTGCCGATTCGGGGAGAGCGAGGGCACTGCGGGGGCCAGATGCAACCAGTAGCTTTCTCTTACGAGGGCCTAGTAAGGACCACTGCGTAAGACACTGCGCCATCGATGAGTCTGCAACTTGACAGAGTGATTGATGGAAAGACCCGCGAACCCCATCCCGAACGAGCTACGGGGTCCTCCGTGCTTGGCTCGGGGAGCTGCAACAGCAGCTCGGGACTACTGGTAGGTTAGGTAGGTACCTAGTGTAGGATCGGTAAGGGACTTTGGGTGGAGTCTAGAAAGCTTGCTGACAGTTCCTTGCAGGCCTGAATTACAGCTGCATGCCTTAGCGACTCAGCGATCGCCGCCGCCGCCGCCGCCGCAGCAGCAGCAGCAGGTAACAGCGCCAGCCACGATTGGGGGGGACCCGTGATCCAATTGGAGTGTATCGTGGTTCAAGTGGCGATGGTGATGCCGCGTCTGCATCCGCCCGTTTGGCTCGCTTTCTTTTTAGCCTTTTCTTCTTCTTCTTCTTCTTCTTGTTCTTCGTCATCGTCATCATCTCCTTTCTAACGAGTGTTGAAGACCAGCGCACTAGAGGGAAAGGGGCGTGCGAGGACCCTCTGGCGATGGCCCGTCCGCCGTCTGCGTTACGTCTCACGGCTGGGCGTGAAATGTGCTCAGCCATCAGCGCCTATGCCATAACGATGATGAGGGCGAGCTGTCCTCACTCTTCGTTTGTCGCGTAGACCTTGATGAGCCAGGTTGCCTGCTGTGCCCACGTGTAGCGCGTTCTCAAGATACACAAGACGAAGACGAGAGGGGAGTCATGCGCCGCTCACCAAGCGGCCGCGTCTACGAGAAACAGTTTCCATCACCTCTGCGCCACGACATGGCCTCTTTTCAAATGTGCCTGTAGAGGTTGGCGCCAGAGGATCAAATCACGCATCGAGGAAAAGCGCTGAGACAGGCGAAGGAAGCGATGAAAAACGTCATCTGTCACAGTTTGAAGACTCGGTACATCGAAATAGATCCGCTAGGGAGATTCCCGCACACATACCGCTATCCACCGTAGCCTTGGGCATATGAACTCGGCACTACCTACCTAGGTAAGGGGCCGCTGCTGCTGCGCGTTTCCACGTCATTCTCCCACCACCCACCCGCCAGCAGGAACAACCCGTTCACCGACGATTACGAAATACACTAGTGTACACTACTTAGTTAGCTAAGCCTTGCTAGCCCCCCTGTACTGAGTAGCAGTAGTGTACAAGGGCTCAGCCACGGATCCAGAAAACGTGCCAAATACCCTGTACGTAGGGCAATCCGCGATGCACTCGCACTTTTCGAAGCCAGTCAATCTAGCAAGAACCAGCCATTCGAGTTGCCGGATGGAAACAATTGCGTTCCCGGACCGACCTACCAAGCAATGACCTGCGGCAACCGATGCCGGGCCAGACACACCACTAGGGCTGAAGGTTGAGCAGGAATGAATTAAGAAAACACGGGGGTCTAAGCATTGCCAAGCTTTGCGGCGGCGGCTGTCTCGACGGGATGGGCTCAAACTCTCTCCCTCCCCTACCCCACCTGCCGTCCCGGTCACATCGGCTTCCATGTCATCACCTACACCATCCTCCTCCGCCATCATCAGTCATGTTTCCCTGGTTTCTCTCACCTGTTAGTGTAGGGGCTAGGTGGTGAGGCCCCTGCCAGCACACCACATTCGTACTCCAGTGACCTCCCTCCCCCTCCCCAAACGGCCAGCTGACCTGGCCCATTTCCAACTGCGTTGACGCCACATGAGACGACGTAATCCAAGCGTGCAGGGCCCTCTGCTTCCCAAGCTCTCTGTAGGCCTGCGACTGGAAGCCAAACGCCGCCGTCCCATCGCCGCTGTTTTATATTAGAGAAAGAAAACCAATCCAAGTTAACCTCAGTCCACGCCCATGCCCACACGAGTCTGTCTAGGTCGTGCCGTTCCCGAGGCCGAACCGGGCACGCCCCTTTGTTCCCTCCCAATACAGTTTATCTCGTTCTCGGTTACCTGTTATACCGGTGGGACAGGGGCCTCAAAAATAAAATAAAAACCCGCGCGCCTCCTGACCCTTTACAGAGTACTCAGTAATGGAAGGAAAATGACTAGGCAAGAAAACCGGAACGGAAACGAGGGAAAACGGAACTCCCCCTCACCCGCTCGCGCGGATCTCTCGGGTTCCGCCGTGGCGACATGTGTAGAGAGACAAGGGGAAAACGTCGAGGTGGAATTTCCCCGACCTCGTGGGAGGTGAATTGTTTGATCGTCAAGCTAAGCCTTTTGAACGAACATTTCCTTCCCTCCTCAGGTGTTGGGACGGAACAAGTGGAGCACCTCCCAAGGTAAGCAAGTAGCACATCGACATGCCAGCAGGCCATTCATCCACCCATGGCCTGTTACACGTTGTTTCGCACTCCATCTTGACGAGGACAGAGTGACATGAGATGGGTCGCGGTCGCAGGTGCTGGGGTGGGTGTGTGTAGATATGTGTGTGGTGTTGCACACACGCGGGAGAGCGTCGTGCCAAGAAGGATAGCCGCCGACTGTATATGCGGCTGGCAGACGCGCTGCTTGTCGTCTGCTTGTTTATCTAGGCCAAGATATTTCGGCATGTAAACATTAGACATATGCATACAGATGCGAACAAGACGCTTTCAAACATGCCCTACTCGTTTGGTGTATTTTGCTCTCGGGTCGTTTCACCCCTTCGTCTCTATATAGTACTTTGTAGATGGCGCACTCGCAAATGCTCAACACACACACACACACGAACACACACACACACACACGCGCGCGCGCGCGCGCACGCTCACACTCACAGACACATACACACATACACGTGTAGACTTATTATACACCATTCAACCATTTGTCCTTCATGCCCTCATGCTTGTCCATGCGCCACTGCTTCATCGCTCATACCTCGGCAATGGCTCTGACCCCACAGCGTGGTGACTGGATTGTCTCGCGCCTGCCTCTGTGCCGTAGCTGTACTGATGCCCGTAGTCGTTCTCGTCCGTCAATACCGGCGCCGATGGCTCGGCGGCGGCTGCTGGCGGCGCTGATGCACTGGGTCCGGCGTCGTAGTCGTCTGGGAACTCTGGCGGCGCACTAGCTTCATTTAGCAACCGTTGCCGCTCAAGTTCTTGCTTGTCTTCCGTTCGAGCTTCACGAGCCGTCGAAATATCGTCGAGCGTCGGCGCCGAAGGTTGATCCTCTATTCCGTTCATTCCATGATGGGGTCGCGGTTCGGAGGACTCGTCTTCGGCGTCGTAGATGTTCGGCTCCGGTGCCGATGCGAAAGACGGGCCTGCTTCTGACCCTTGGGGTGGCCGGCTCGGTAAGAGTCTCTCCTCTTGCCTTCGTGCCCGCTCTTTCTCCGTCAAGTTACCCTCGTCCGAGACTTGTGGGGGGGCACGTAAGCTGGCGCTTGCATATCATCTGGCGGGCTAGTAGGCTGCATCGTGATTGTAGGTTGCCGACTGAGAGATACTGGCATTTGAGGGGTTGGTTGCGGCCAGTAGCTCTCGCCGTCGTCCCTGTGAATGTCACCAGCACGCCAGGGATTGGAAACCTCCCCATTGAAAGAGACCTCACGCGCTTGGAACGTGCGCAACGTGTTACTCCGGGCACGTAGCCGCGTGCTGTCTGTCGTGCCCAGGACAACCTCAAAAACGACCGATATCACTCCCTTTTCACGTCGTAACCGATCCGTATCTATCACGTTGCCCCCCAGGAAGTGAGCACCGCGTTGTTGCCATCAGTTGCACCGGAACCCGGCGCGAACTGTGCTACTCTCGGCTGACCGCCCCCTTGCAGCTGATTGGCAAGCCTGCCGCCCAGATCAACAAGAACCTCCACTTGGTATTTGAAGCTCACCATGTCGCCGGGCACGCCTTTGATGGTTGGGAATACGTCCTCGGGCACTTTGAGCGATGCCGTCACTGTTGTCTCCATCGTTGCTGGGTCGATAATCAGAGGGGCAACAGACTGGGATAAATCCTTTCGGAAAACACTGAGCGACGATGTAGATGTCAATGAAAGACCACCCAGGCCTGTCCGCGATCGCGGGTAGTAATCTTCTTTCGCAAGCTTGCGGGTCTCGTCCTTCGACATGATGTCGGCAAACATGGAGGCGGGCGGTGCTGTGTCGACCCTGCCTTGTCGGTACATGGTTACAATAACACCATGCATACTCTTGATCCGCTTGATGTGTTGGACCGAAACCTTCACTGATACCGTGTCACCTGGCAAGGCACCACCCTTGAGCATCTCGATAGTGGCCGTAATCGTCTTCTCATCGACGGCTTGCATTTTGGAATTTGACAGCGAACTGCTGGCGATTTGAGGCTCTGCTCGTGCCAAGCTGATGCCTGTGCTCGAGCTAACGGTACTGTCGCCACTGACTTCACTCTGCATGTCTGTATGCGTTGGGCTCCGTGGATGATCTTGCAGATCGTGGGAACGATCTTCAGCGGGCGCTGGGGATTCGACTGCACGCTCAGCATCATGGTGTTCTGCGTCGGAACTATTGTCATTCACGTCCGGTGCGAGGGAAGCCTTGTCAGGCCCGGCTGCTCTTTTGCGTCTCGATTTCTTAGATATCGGTTCGAGATAGATAGTCCGGGGGCGAGGAGGCGCGAGGGGTCCGATATCTATTTTCTCCACCAACTGAATTTTTCGATCGCAAGACGATGTGGGAGATATCGAGGTCGGGCGCGTCAGAGTCGCTGTTATCATGTAGGAAATCGTGCCTCGTTCAAACTGAGAGTGGTGGCGCGTCAGTACTGCGTTTCATCTTGCCAGCGGAGGGGTCTGGTCATACATCAATACTGCTGGGCAGGCCCTTCCCAGGGAAGACTAAGTCGAAGTTGAATTCGTACTTCCCAGGCTCCAGCCTCCCCTCACCGCTGAGTACCTGCTCATCCTGGAAGAGAGAAGCGTAGCCGTTGCCATGATACTGTGCCGACGACCGACCGGACAGGGCGGGCTTCGCGATCGGGGGCTCACTGACAGCCGGCCCCTTGTGCACGCGAACATAACCATGCAGGGCGACGGTAAGGTGAGTGATGCGGATGGGCTTGACCACAGTCAGGACTACCGCGCCATGGACGTGGTCGCCGGCCGAGTACTGGCGGTGCGGGTCGTTGGGGCGGACGTGGAAGTCGGCGAGGTTACGCGAACGCGATCGGCTGGACAGGGCGAAACGAGAGAAAAACGAACGAGCGGGCGAGGTTGTTTCTTCGACGGAGCCGTTGGATTGCGAGTATGCGCCCATGTATGCAACGACTTGCGGGCCGGGCCTTTGGCTATGTCGTAGATTGGTCGGAGTCGGTGATAGTCGTCGGTGGTGGTGGCGACGATGACGGTCGTGATTGACAGCAACGTAAGCAGCGGTGGAGGACGTCAAGGACGTGAAGGGGATGGCCGAGCGACTAACGATGGAAGGAGGCGGGAGGAGGTAGGGAGGAGGCGCAGCAGAGGCGACGACCACGGCGACGACGGCACCCTCGACGTTGGCATGCAACGAGGGGATTCGCAGAGCGACTCAGGGTGTCTTGGTCGTCTTGGCGGTGGTGGTAGAAACGGCTGCTCGGGCAGCTGGGCACCGGCTCCACGAGGTCTCGGTGTGTCGGGATGGTCAAGGGACCTGAGCGTGCTGTGCTTTCAATAGGGCCGAGCAAGAGGAGAATTGATTTGGCGATGGAATGCCAGGCTGGGATCCGAGAGATGCTGGAAGCGGATTTCTTGGTTGCATATGCCAAGAGCGAAGAGAGAGCCTTGCCAAGAAAGCTTCGCTTTTTCTGGAAATCTCGAGGGTTCACAGTCTCAGATTGCCCGTGTTGCCGGGGGAATTTAGGAGCAGAACAGCCTAAGGCATGAGAAGTTGGGGCGATGGGAGGGGTCGGGGCCACGTTGTATGTAAACCATTAATTACTGTGCACGTTGGCTGTGCCGGATGTATATTTGTATTACGCGGCTGCGGACTTTGGTTTCCCAAACGAAACTGGACTAATTGACTAACTGACTAACGGGGCGTCGTCTTGAGAGGGAGTAGTGTACTTTGAAAGGCACGAGAGGGACGAGGGCGGGGAGAAGGGGGAGGGGGTTTATTCCAAGCAAGTGGACGGGCGGACGGACGGCCTCGGGGTCGAAGAATAGAGCCCGTGTCAGTGACAACGCTGAGTCTGGATGACAGTGGAGGAGCGGCTCCATTGCCTGAGTTCATTGATCCCACCACCAGCATCGAGCAGAGGCCCGCCCCAGTCAAAGCATGCGGAAGGACGGCAAGGAACGATGTGGGGACATTCATTCTAAGGGAACCTGGCTAGATTGGGCCACCTATGCGACTGGGGATTGTGAATTGTGTGGACTGGATCTCCATCTCTGGAGAGCAGCAACCAGGACCCACGAGGAAAGCGGACGGGGACAAAGAAAGAAAGAAAGAGTCAGGACGTTTTGCGGCCATTGGACAAAGTAGGTACATGCGCAGATACTGAATTTTATTGTACATGGGTAGGTAGTACAGAAGGAAACGGGGGTTGCCGAGTTACAGCAGAGCATCACCCGATTCATCGTCCCCCTGTGCCTGCCCGTCCTGACTTGGATTTTAAGAGAGAGTCACTGAGGCTACTTGCCTGACTAAGGCTTGAGAGTCGAGACTCGGGAACCCAGGTAAACCTCTGCTGCAGCCCAACAAGCAAGTTAAGACCGCGCGGCCTGTCCTCTTCTGTCAGGTACACAACACATGTAAACCCCCCTCCTGTCGTGCTTGCCGCCCGTGACGCCCGCGACGCCCGCAACGCCCGTGACGCCCGTGACGCATGCTGGTCCGTTGAAGTCCTTGGGTTCTACTATGTAAGCTTGCCCGGCGGTCCTTCTTGAGAATCTTATGAGAACCCGTCTCAGGATGCTGTGGTTTCTCCACATCGATTTTGCAGAGATGCGTGGATTGGTCTGCTCAATTGTATGGAAACCACCCATCCTACCATCCATCTCGCAGCTGCCAGGGGCTGAACGCCACTTACATGGGGATGCCGGCAACCGATGGTGACCATCTAAACCGCTTCTCTACTCGCAAAGGAACAGATCGCGGTGCAATCACCCTTCCAGTCCATCCGGTGCAATTCACGGTTTGGACATGGTGCGCTCCAAGCACCCTCCAGTTCTGTCTGTTGCTTAAGATCGGGGAACGGTAGCACAACATGAGACCTAGTACAGATGCGTTCTTTGCTGCTCTTTGTTTTCCTACCTATAGATCCCGTGTCTCCGTTACCAAAGTCCAAAGGCATCACAGCTGAATGGCCCTTGCATCTACTTCTGGCTTTGCCTATTGGATTTACGCTTGTAATGAAAACTTGTACTATACTTATTACTATTTACGAGACAATAGAAAAGTGTGAAACTGATTACACCTAACCTCGACTCATGAGACAGAACTGGTTCAAGCCACATACTTCTTAAACACACACCCACTTCATTGAATGAACACGCCAGCCAAAGCCACAAATCGAGATGACGCCGTGCCACAAATAAGTGATAACTCATCTGACTTATCCTGTTTACACCGTTGGTAGTGGTAGCGAATCTTACCCAGGTATCGAGTGCAGCATGGAGCTTTTCTTGGCTTGTGGAGGGAAACACCTTATCCTCCAATCAGGAACAGCGATGCCAGCGTAGCGGATAGAGATACACTCCCCCCCACCAAGGTAGTAGTAACCTCATCCCCGTTTCGCCTCGTCACTTCACATCCGGGCGTGCGCTAGATCTCTACAGCACGGGTCATATTCAGCTACTTCAACAAGCCTTGTTTCGTTTTGACCGTCTGGTATCATGCTATTAATGTCTCGTCCCAAATGTCTCTTACACTACCACCACCCCCCGGTACCCTTTGTCCGGGCATCTCCCATGTTGGCCATTCTCCGTCACTTGATTTTTAGCACCTCCAACAGGTCATCATTCCGCCTTCGCTTCAATATCCACACAATTCTTCGATATACAATGCTTGGCTAGCTGGCTGTGATGGACAGCTCGCCACAGATCCTCCTCAAACCCCACGTGTCATGCTTTTTCCTGAACTCCAATGCCATGCAAAATGCACCCCAAGAACTCCTGCTGCATCCCATAAATCAATCCAGTGCATCGCCGCTGAGGATGCTCGACAAGATACCTGCACCTACGCCCTCAGCAATGTTCTCCATTTCCTTTTCACCGACGCAACTGGCCACTCGCTTGTCTTCTCCTGTGGGCAGCGCCGACTTTCGTCCTCTCTTGCTTGGTGTTTGTGTCGCCACAAGGCTACCTGTCTTCCCATCGACGGGACTGATTAGACCCAATGTCTCCAAACTTCCGATGACCTCTCGGAACTCTGAGCTTGACAGCGGGTGCAAAACCGAGTCCCGCGTGCAAAGAACAGAATACGTATCATACAGAGTTTTGACTGTAGGTGCCAGCGTCTGCGATTTGGTGGGTGTGGTCAAACCACTGGCCATCTTTGCCGCTCGGTTGCGCTTCTCGAGGGCAACCAACGAGCAAAGTGCCGCCTTTTGCTGGAGGTTGAGGGCTTTCAGTCGCTGGTTGGTTCCGTTGCTGAACGCTGCTTGAGTGACTTGATTCAGGTGTTTGAGGAGCACTCGTGGGGCGCTCTCGACCGTTAAAGCCTTGAGAGACGTCGCCGCGACGTGAGAGACGCTCCTAGAGGACCAACTGGAGCCAGCCATGTTGACATTCTCGCCAAGAGGTTTGCGGGACGGTGTCATCTGTAGAACCTTCTCCCTTGCCTCATTTTCGTGTTGGCGCCTGGTCTCTGACTCGACAACGTCCAGCGCGCGTCGACAGATCTCGAAGGCTTTCCGCAAGTCTCCTGTTTGACTCGACACCTTCCGGGAGCAGAGTTCAATGGCTGCGGGGTGGAAAAAGGGGAGTGTTTTCTCCTTGCTGTCAGTCGGCAACAAAGTCATCAAGCGCGTGGTGATGATGCTTTTGATCTGAGCAGCCGAGTACGGGTGAAATGGAAGAAGCTCTGGCTTGAGGTTCTTGGATTTAAGTCGTGGCAGAAAACGGTCTGTGAGATCGAGTGCGTTGGCAATGCCGACCAAGACCAGTCGCGACGGCTGCTGCAAAGACCACTCGAATAGCCGGTACAAGCTCTCCAACCCCATGGTTAAGATGTGGTCGATCTCGTCAAGGACAAGCAGGTAGACAGGCGAGTCCTTCTTCGCCGTCGCAAAAACCTTCTGCAGCTCTTTCATGGCCAGAGTTTCCGAGAGGTCACTGTCGTACCCCATGAGTTCCAGTAAGGTGTTATAAAGGTCCTTGGATGACTTGACACTCATACAGTTGACATATGCTTGTCGTACATTTGTGGACTGTGTCAACTCTCCTGTGATCTCCTTGATCATCGCACTCTTTCCTGTTCCAGGCGGACCGCTGACATAGAGGCATCCGCTCGGGGTCGAAGAATAGCACCGCTGGACGAATTGGGCTACTTGCTCTCGTTCCCTTTCGCGTCCCACAAGTTGGCCTGGGTCGGCACCCCGGGCAAAGAGTTGTCGAGCAGAGTGGTAAATGGTTTGAAGAGAGCCAGGCGTCAAAGGAGACTGAGGCGTCAACCTCTGGAAGAGCCTTCCAGCAGACTTGACCGCCTGCCGGGGCGTAGAGGGAGAGTTGGCGAAGGCGTCTCGATGTCGTGGGGTTTGGGGCGTGATCGGAATCGTCTTTGGGAAAGTCTGGGAACGAGAACGCTTGATGCTCTTCGCGGCCGGTTCGACGTAGGCCTTGTCGTCACTCTGGCAGTCGAGCTCGGGAGTGGCTGCCCCCTCGGGATCTGCGTTCTCATCATTGTGCAGTGCAGCTCGAGTTTGCCGTCTGGTGCGCTTAGCGGGAAGCTGGGTCTCGCCTGTGCAAGCTGTGAGAACAAGTACTTCGGAAGCAGCAGGGTAGACGTGATTGAACTTACCCTGATCCTGGACAGACCTCGTCCGTTTGCCAAGTGAAGGACGAGACATTACTACTGATGATGAGGTATAGGAAGTAGACAGCCGTGGTTGACAATGATGGGGAAGTGACTGAGAAGACTGCTGTCAATATAGAAGGAGACATGCAGCGGATGAGGTAGGAAGATTCGGGTGTGGGAGCTTGCGATTCCATGTGGAACTGCAGACTCTTAATTAAAGTGGTAGGCGCGCGCCAGTACGATGGCCGGGGAACGACGCGATACCAGGGTCGCGCAGCGCGCTTTCTCGCGATTTCAATTAAACACGGTTCCACGCTCTAACGTGGATGATGGTCCGTGCTCTCGCGGGACCGTGCACTTTGTCAGACAGTCATGTAATGCAGCTTACCTAAGAGGGTAAGAGCACACAACTCAGCTCACAGTGTTGCCCCCTATCATCCTTAGCCACACTGTGATCCACGAACAGAGTGGCAATCAACGAGACACTAGCGGAGGTGCCCGGTGATTTCCATCATGAAAGCCGGACCAAGCCGCCTCTCTTGATATTGCAACACCTCTTGTTTTCCTGGCCTCGCCTGAACGTTCTGACCTTCCTCGCAATGTAATTCACCGTCTCGCTGCTTCAGTCTCTCTGTCCACCGTATGGCTATGGGCTTGGCCAGGCTTATCATCTCACCTAATCCGGAGCATTTGTTAGATACTGAAGTCGCGGGGCAACTAGCGACTTCGTCCCTATCCAACCTTGCGACTCCCTTGGCTCGATTTTAGCCAACATTACTAGTCACCTTGCCGTTGTTGTTTCTAAGCTGGACCCGTCCATAGCATCATTCCCTGCCAACATGGTTGATACGGCGAAGCGATGTTACAACTCCCGGGTGGAGGAATTCAGGGAAAGAGAGTATCCCATGCTCAAAAGTGATGTCGTCTCCCTGCAATCCCACCATGTTTTGACGTGCTAACCCATGAAACTAGATTCGGTCTATCTTGACCATTCTGGATCAACGTTATGTTCAAAGTCTCTCATCGACAGGTTCTCTGCGGAAATGATGTCGAATCTCTTGGGCAATCCGCACTCAGCTTCGCCGTCCTCTCAGTTCACGGCATCCCGGATAGAGGACATCCGCCTGAAACTTCTCAACTTCTTCAACGCTGATCCCGACGGGTTCGACTTGGTCTTTGTATCGAATGCCACTGCCGGGATCAAACTTGTGTCGGAGGCTTTTCGTGCTCTACCCGGGGGGTTCTCATTTGCGTATCACCAAGCCTGCCACACGAGCATCATAGGAGTTCGTGAAGAGGCACGCGTGAGCGCGTGTGTTACAAACGACAACGTGCAGAGCTGGATTTCCGGAGAACTCCCCTCTAGCTTGGGTGACCCAGGCCCGCATACGCTGTTTGCATACACAGCCCAGTCTCACATGGATGGCCGACGCTATTCCCTGTTGTGGCCATTTCTATTACGGCAATCGACTACTGGTTCACAGACGCGGGTGTTCACACTGCTGGACGCGGCTTCACTTGTCGCGACAACGCCTCTGGATCTCAGTAATTCGGAAACGGCTCCCGATTTCACGGTTCTCAGCTTCTATAAAATATTCGGCTTCCCAGATCTAGGTGCTTTGATCGTGAGGAAACAGGCCGAGCCAATATTCAATCACAGACACTATTTCGGCGGTGGCACTGTGGACATGGTAATCTGTGGACAGGAGAAGTGGCATTCACCTAAATCGACATTCCTGCATGAGCGTTTGGAGGATGGCACTTTACCATTCCACAACATTCTCGCACTCGATGCAGCGTTAGATGTTCATGCGGAACTTTTTGGGAGCATGGCTTGCGTGGCATCGCATACCAGTTTTCTAACAGCTCGCCTGTATGATGGACTGGCCGACCTCAAGCATGGCAACGGGAAGTCGGTCTGCACCATCTACTCTCAGCCAAGTAACGAAATCTCCGATTCCGAAGAAAGCGGGCCTATCTTATCATTCAACGTGCGCACTCCCGCCGGCGCTTGGGTCAGCTTACACGAGTTTGAGAAACTCGCAACGTTGAAGAACTTGCACATTCGGACTGGCGGGGTATGCAGCCCAGGAGGTATTGCCTCAGCACTTGGCTTGGGCCCTTGGGAGATGAGAAACAATTTCTCATCTGGTTTCCGCTGCGGGACGGACCAAGACATCATTGCCGGGAAGCCTACTGGCGTAATCAGAGCAAGTCTAGGCGCAATGAGTACACTTTCAGATGTTGTCTTTCTGGTCAACTTCGTGAAGGAATTCTATCGAGAAGAAGTCGTAACGACCAGCGTTCATCACGTTGCAATGTCTGCTTCATCTGCGGAACTTCAAGTACAGCGCATCAGTGTGTACCCCATCAAAAGCTGCGGCGGCTACTGTGTACCTTCTGGGACGGCTTGGGAAGTCAAGCCTGAAGGGTTGGCCTGGGACAGGGAATGGTGCCTGGTGCACCAGGGATCGGGGCAAGCGCTCAGCCAGAAACGGTACCCGAAAATGGCTCTGGTCACACCTATCCTCGATTTTCAGAGCGGCCTTTTGCGCGTCACCTACCGCGGTAACAAAGCATCGCATTTACCTGACGAAATTTCGGTACCTCTTTCCGCGGATCCGCGTCAATTCGAGACACCAAGCTCGCTTCCAACGAGATCGTCTCGCGTATGTGGGGACGCCGTCACGACATATGTTTACGGCTCTTCTTCGGTCAACGATTTCTTCAGCGCAATTCTCGGCGTGCCTTGTGTATTAGCCCGATTCCCAGCAGGCGGGCAAGGGCTCGGCATGCGTCACTCGAAAGCCAAGGTGCAAAAGCATCAGCAAGTCAAGGTAGCAGCGCCGAACACATGTCCAGGAGCTTTCCCGGAATTGCCATCTCCTCCAGACTCAGATTCGGAGCAACCAGCAGGGAAAATACTGCTTTCCAACGAAAGCCCAATCCTGATGATCAACTCGGCAAGTCTGCATGCCCTTAACCGCGAAGTGGAGGCGAACGGTGGTAGGCCTGTCCCACCAGAGTCGTTTCGTGCCAACTTAGTAATCGGATCGGCTCGGGATTCCGAACAACCAGCATGGACCGAGGACAGTTGGGAGAGTCTTACCATAGGGGAAGAGGAGTTCAAAATGATGGGAGCCTGTCGCAGATGTCAAATGGTTTGCGTCGACCAAGAGACTGGTGAAAGGCACCAGGAGCCATTTGTGACGTTGGCCAAGGTACGGAGGTTTGACGGCAAGGTTTACTTCGGTACGCATATGGGACACGAGCCTAAGGCCAAAGCCGTGACGGAGGGGGAGCAATTTCCAACTATACGAGTTGGTGATGCAATCAGTATTAATGCTAGGGCTTTGTCATCAGATTGACATGGAGAGTGATATTAGAACAATGTTGAAGGAATCCATATTTTCATAACAGCAGAATCTAGGAAAATGTTGCTCACGTAGATCGCTGACAACAATGACTGCAATCATCGCGATGTCGAAGTCCTCTTTGTCAGGGTAGCCGATACCAAAAGTGGCACTCTTCGATCGGGTTAGGAAGGCTCTTTCCAACCCTGTTGTTTCTTAGTGATAATTCTTTTTGGAGGCCAGAATGGTCCTGACGATACAGAAAAAGAAAAATGGGCAGCGTGGATGTGCGTTTCACGGTTATGGAATAAGGAAACCTCGGCTTTGGGAAGTCGATATGTTGCGGCATCTACGGTACGTACTAGGTACAGTGTATCCGCAGCCGTCGAGCCGGCCTGGCACTGTCAAAGTCACTGTCACTCTGCCCAAGCACCTTTTCGGCACGTGTCGTATCCTCTCCTGCTCACGTAACTGCCTCTGCCGTTTCTCTCCCTTCCGACCTTGTAATCCCCAACATCAACCAAGCCTTGTCTGCTATCTTCGTCAAGCCTATCGCGTTCCCATCTCGCCTTCCACCGTGTCCACCGAAAGCTGTGGAAAGCACTGTGAACTAACCTTACTAGCAAGAGCTGGGTTCCATTCGACCTTTAAAGACCCATCCCCCGCACATCTTCTCTCGTCTTCTAACTACATATCGCCCCCATCCCCTCTGTTCATTGACTCTCGAACAACGCTGCACCCTTCGCACTATGCCTCCGTGAAGATTCCCTGGCGGTCATTCCGTCAGCCTTCTTCCATTCTCCTTCTCGAGCCCAGCGCGTATTTACTCTCCACTGGCCGACTTCTTTGAAGCATCACCTGCGGAGGTACTCCTTACGCGATACGCAAGATCATATAATCTCCCTGCCCTAGCAGGACACTTGGAGACACGGTTTTGACCTGGTTTGACATTTGACCTGTTTTGGCGGCACCACAATCTCGACGGCAACCTCAACAGTATGTATTGCATCTTTCTAACAATATCTATATCAGCACTCGACTGACGTTGATGACAGCCGGAGCCCCGCATTTACCTCGGCTACCTTGACATAATTTGTCTCTGATACGATTTCTACTTTGCCAGTCGACACGTGTGGTCAGACATGCTGAGCATTACGCATACCGTGGCACTTACACCCAACACCTACCTGCTCTGAATGACCGCAACACGAATAGACCGTTGGTCCATCTGCTTGGTTATCTTGCCAACTCGTCCTGGGTAGGACGTTAAAAGGCCCACAGGTTGCATCGAGGCAACGAACGAGCGACTTACGAGACCTTTGGAGTATACACGGTCCGCATTACGGTTATGATTCTCGTCACGGCGTTGCACTTGGTATGTTTTCCGTTTCTATAACCGACGGCATACGGCTGACGAATTACAGTAGCGACCTATAGACTTGTGACGTTTCCAAGGCTGAGCAACCAAGACATACGAGTCACGACTGCATCCTCATTACCTTAGCGATTAGACTTCTGCATTCACCACCTAATCCCTGATGAACTGCGACGATAATGACATGGCCGCCTGGGACTTCGTCGTTGGGTCTTTTCTTTCTGCTAACTGGCGCGAATAGTAAGTCATTGGTCATGTAACCTTGCTTCTGGCATACGCCGTTGACCGATGCATCAGGATACGGAAACCGGGAAGGACGGCGCCTTGTTTGTGATTTGTCCTGGGCAGGACGTTAAAAGGCCTCGGTTCTCGCACGTTGAGGACCGAACGGGCGGGCTTGCAGCTCGGGATGGGTACGAGTCCCTGAGCCATTGGGCATGAACGACGATGTTTCGTCCCCAGCAACCCCAACACGCCATTTGGCGTTGAGTAGTCCAGATATGCTCGGATCATGAGCGTTGGACGGAAGGGCGGCTTCGGCGCCCTACATTGGCCATTCTGGCTCCGGATATCCGACACCTCACGATGTACATTTTCGTGTTTTGCTGTTCGGACCGGCTCCATGTGCATTCTTATGCCGTTGAGAAAACGAATTCTCGAGAACAACTGACGTTTCTCGAACGAACTTCTAGACGACGACTTCACGGTAATCGTCTCACTGTGTTTCATGAGATCGACCACGCCGGTCGTTTCTCACCCTGGGTTTAACTCTCAGCGGACGATCTGTCCACTGTTTGAGTGACATTCTCGTGGATGGCCTATGGCTTCCCGAGCATTACTGTGTTCAAGTGCATGTTTCGACATGCCCGACTGTGTTCATCTTGCTCTTCCAACCAACTCGGTTGGACAGCTGCGCGCTGTTGAGCAGATCCCGTCGTTCCAACAGGTGGCTGACTGTCGAAAATGATCGAGTAACACAACCGCTGTCGGCATCACGACAGACGGGGGTAGCAGCTGTTGCGTCAGAGCCGTGCAGATGTGCTACCCAGTGCCAACCAGGCGGGGTCCTTTCTGAAGGAGATAAGCGCGATAGTAAGGGCGGCATGCCAGAGATCGTTCTATCATAACCATCAACGATCTCTTCGCGGCAGAAGCTACTTTGCTCCGGAGCCAGCGTCTCGGACTCGGCCGAGGAGGACCTACCCCACCATCTACGCCACCACCCTTTGGGTGCCGATACGTGGGGGCAACGCTTGCGAATGGGAACCCGGAGGGTTCAAGGGCTTGGGCTGGTCGCGTCTCCCAGATACAGTCACATAGGTGTCTGTTGAAAAAAGCTCACTGCTCGATCACAGTTTCGGGGTTGATAACGGCGGTCACTGTGTCAAATGGGGGGCAACAGGTGGGGTGTTCGGTTCCAGAGAGGGATGACTCTTGAGTCTCTTCTACTTTCAGCTTCCTGGATCATCGAAACACAAGCCTGGCAGTGGCTCCCATCATTCCTGGTTTTGGGAATCCGAACCAGATCAAATGTGATAGTGGGGAACAGCAGGTGGGGGATTACTGTGAAGAGAGGGATGGCTTTTGATTCCCTTCAGATAAATTTGCCTTGACAGTCGTAATCCAAGCCTGACATTTGTTCCCAACATTGAATACTATTGGGTGTCATTTATGCAATGTGACACCTTGTTCCCGTCTCAGTATCGGCATAGCCTATGCTATGTTCGCTCCCCTTCGCCGACTGGTTAGTCGTTGTTCTCCGAGGCGATGCGAGGGAAGCAAATTAAACCTCAGTGTCCACAATGCTTCCCTTGCAGCCCTTGGATGATGTTAGAACAGCACATTGGCGCCCAAAGAATTTTTGGCCAGCTAGACACGGAGTATCTCAGGTTGACTGATCTTGATCGTTGCTCACGCACGCACCTAAAACTAGATATCATGTGGCGTATGATGCCAATGCAATACTGCTTCGACAGCAAACCGAATCAGCTGATGTTAGGATGGTAAAAGTCGCTTCAAGCCTGCAACAACAAAACAAAGCGACTTCCATCTTACAGATTTGATAACATACTCCTTTCAATGCTCCAGCCAGGGAACATCACCATGTCGCGGGTTTTCTTGAGACGACGACGTCAACATACATGGCATGATCCGAGTCAAGCAGAGCAAATCGAAGTCGACATGATTGCAAATCTCTCTCTCTCTCTTTCTCTCTCTCTCTCTCTCTCTCTCTCTCTCTCTCTCTCTCTCTCTCTCTCTCTCTCTCTCTCTCTCTCTCTCTCTCTCTCTCTCTCTCTCTCTCTCTATCTCTCTGTACCTCAACAAGAAGCAAGGAAAGAAAGAAATGTCCCATGACGAAAAACGCAATGAATGTAGTGCTCATTGAAAATAAAATGGGAGAAGCAAGAACGAACGATATATACTGATCAAACTCTATTTTTGTCGGTTAAATTATAATCAGCGAAATGAGACCTTTGGAGTCATTACCATATCACCAAACAAGACGTAGAATAGCATGGGTATTGCTTCAAAATTGAACAGAGTATGGTTGGGAAACAAGAAAGAAACGTTATTCATGTTGGCGAAATGCTATGCTACAATACAATCTCAGGGCCAACGCCACAATACACACCCCTCCCCCAAGTCTTATGATAATGGTCCATAACACCGTTCAACCCCACAAATCTTACATGTTGATGATATCTATGATTGTAGTTTATTTATTTCGGGGGGCTGATTGGGCCACGGGTCCAGCTAAGTTTCGTCAGCAACATCCGAGTGGAAGTCTGGAGGTATCAAACATACTTATGCCACATCTGGCCCAAGAATCCGGGTGGGGGCTTTGAGTCAGTCATAGACTGTCTGCGGGCGGCAGTGCCTTCGTGACGTTTCTGGTCCATGAGGCCTTGGAAGAGGGTGCCGGAACTCTAGAGTATATGTCGCGGTTAGCTAGCCTTTCAGTGAGGGATTGGTGAGCTCTGGATAATCTTACGCGTCTGCGGCTGGTAGGAGAAATGGGAGCGTTAGAGGTCTTTCCGCTGTCCATTGTGATGATTTTGCAGTACGAAGGGCACTGGATTTGGTTGTGTGTTCCTGATGATAATTTGTGCTTGGCCAATTGAGTATGTGTCGTTAGCTTCTAGTTGCGAGAAGTCTGCAGCAATGATGGATGCAATGGGAGGAAGGCGAGGGTATATATGCAATTCAGCTCTCTCAGCCAAATTCGACCTTCCAAGCCAGAGGCGTACCCCCTCCAAGAATGACTTCACCAATGAAACTGCCGCCCACCCCTCTGACACAAGGGATGCGGGAAAGCTTGTCGATGCATCGGCCAGAACGATGACGGTGTTTACTCGTCCGCCTACATCGCCAGCGGCGTAGTAGCGCGAGCTTACCAGGTCAGTACGTACATCGAATGATTGGGGGCTTGATGGCTTGATGATTAGTCAAGTCGCATTGGGTTGCTCGGATGTCGAAGTGCACGATGTAGCACAGCGAACGCCGCGCCCCCTCATCCTCCATTCCTTATCCGTTATGGCCTGTTTCTCTCTCTGCTGCTCAGGTACAGCTGGAAGAGCCAGTAGACATGGGGCTGCCAACTGCTCCTTGCTCGTGTTACCCCGCGCGAGTGTGGTCTGATCCTACTGTCTGGCCGAGATGGGCGGCGGGAACGACAGCTTAGCCAGTCAGATGCCGTCGATCCTGGGCGAGTGGCATGGTTCTTTAGTCCATCATTATTGAGTTTGTCCGTATGAGAAGAAAGGGGCCAAGGAAGATCCCAACCGGGACGGGATGGCAAACACAGTAAGGGGGCACGACGTGATTGCTACCGGTACTAAGTGCATGAAACACTTACGCGCGAAAGTCTGCCACGAATCATGAGCCCAACACATGAGGAACTGCCTCAATCGACACAGGAACTCTCGATGCACCCCTTTTGACGTTGGAAATGAACTGGTCTGACGAAACAAATGTGGTGAGCAAATAAGCAAACAAATAGATGGGACGGCCGAAGGAAGAGATGGAAAGGGTCGTGGGAGTGGATGTCGTGTGTTGGGCTACCGGTACGCAAGCGCGTATGTACCGATCATCCGTCATGAACTCACATTCCTCCCCGCAGGGGAAAGATCGTCGGGTGGGAGGGATATAGTGTAGGGAAGCGCCGCCGAGCGGGAGCTCTGCCGGCCGCGCCGCAGCGTCCGTCATCATCACACCCAGTCACCACCAGCCAGCCGGCCCAGCGTCTAGACCTAATGCAGCCTGCATCAGGGTCCCCTGTCTCGATAGGACCCTCCTTTCGAGGATCGAAGGGGGTTGCAACAGCACTTGGATCAAACAAGCTCTTGCATCTGCATGGTAAACTAGTATCGGCAGGAAACCTCCTTCATGCTCTCTCTGAAAGGGCCGTTCAAATAGGACTCAGGAGATCCAAGACATATTCTTGAGATCGCCCCGTCCAAACCGATGATGTTCGGTGGACCTCCAAATCTGCTCTTGAAACTCCATTATAACTCCGAAATATGACAGATACATGCCACAGAGGCGCGGTTGTGGGCCCGAGATCACCATCCAACGAGAAAGTGAAGTGACCCTGAACTGCGCCTTCTTAGGAGCCGGAACGCTATCGAGCTGCTGTATCTAGGTAGTGTACATGCACGACCTAGGCTAGCAGCAAGCCCTGACCAGGGGCCAGCCGTCCCCTTGGGGGGGTGGCTGGCGTCGCGATTTCGCTCATTAGTGGTAGCCAGAAATACGGTAGCTAAAGCTGAGAAAGGCTGCGGGTATCGACTTGCGTGATCGATCGTGGTGGGGAAGCCCGATAACGATGTCGCTATATGAGAGGCGGGCCCAGGAATCGGGCCCACTGGGATGGCTTGGCCTTAATATGCATTTATCGCATATATCCACAAATGCACCAGATTCATGCTTTGAACGAGGCGTATTCATCCAATGCAACGACCAGTGACGTTCATCTGATTCTGTGTCGACTGCGTCACTCCTTTCGTTCACCTTTGCCAGGCCGTGGGAAAAGCAACATTGAAACAACACAGACAGACTCTGGAATAGGTAAGAAAGAAACGTTGGAATATTAAGACATTGTTGTCCGAATCAGGCTCAACAGAACTCCCTCTTATAGTTCTCTTTTTTCATAAACATTTCCATTGTCACCAGCTCATGACGCCATCACCGCAATAACTGTAATGATCGACATATTTTATTGTGAGTTCTGGGGGGGCAAATAGAAGAGAAATTAATAAGCCGCTAAAAGGGCAATTAAAGATAATTCCAGATACAGGCAGGGCATCTTGCAAGCCAGTATGACGAGCAACTACCCGCAACAAAGTTAAAGGTCCCCATTAGTATTATGGTTCCACCGTTTGAACCCACAATTTCAGTTGTTCTCAAAAAGTCTTCGCAAGTTAGTCATCTACACTATAAAGCCATATGATGTATGGAGGGGGGTTGGGTGTTAAAGAGCGAGGCGACAAGCCAGGTTCTGAAGTCGATCCGGCCTATCGTCGAGATGCTGGAACTCGGTATGAGTCGTACAGTTCCGTAGCTGCAGAGTAGCCTGCCCGAAAGAGTGGAAGCGGTTATGGTTATCGACTTATTTAAACGGTGGGGAGGCTGCTCAAGACATTGTCCATGTCATTGTTGCCAAAGAGACTGCTCAAGAAATTGGGGAGTCCGTCCAACAAGCCACCGGTGGCGCCGGTAAGTAATTGAGCGATATTGTTGAGAATACCGGAGACAGCATCAAGGAGGGGCTGCAGGTTCAATGGAACATCAGCGCCGGAGACGCCGTTAGGGGCTGATTGATAATATTAGTGATCGGTCGAAACGGATGGCCACAGCTGAAACTTACAGGTGAGATTGGGGAGTGACTTGAGGGCAGTGAGGACTTGTTGGATCACATCGAAGATGGTCGCCACCTGCTTGAGCTGATCTGTGCTGAGATCCGGGGAAAGGTTTTGGCCGAGGCCGATGGCAGCCAGGACTTGAGTCACGATATTGTTGATTAGAGTACGGAGCTGGTCGATGGTGATGGAACCATTGGCGATGGAAGCAACAGGATTGTTGGAGAGAGCATCAGTGTTAGGCAGGCTGAGGCCGCCACCCATACCCGCATCTTAAGCGACTTGTTAGATTGGCTGACTCCAGTGCAGTATGCCAAGTCGGGGTAGCTTACTAGCATTCTGGGCATTGAGGAGTATGTTCTTCATCGCCATGGTAAGGCTCGTGGGGTCGCCTGTAGGAGCGGTTTGGCTGGGGAGGGGGGTCGAGGTGGGGATGCTCAGGGAGGCAGAGACACGGATGGGGTTGGTAAGGATTGACAACACGCGAGGCTCGATATCGCGCTCCTGGACCTCGGTGACCTTAACGTTGGCGATGGCAACTGGGCTGGCGACGGCAGCGCCGAAGAGGGTGGTGAGCATGAGAGTGGCCTTCATCTTGATGATTTGAGGTTCCAAAGATGAAAGGTAAATGTCTTTGAAAAAGAGAAGAGTGTGTCCCGAAGACTTGAGAACTAAGAATTGAAGAGGCTGGTTATCCTGTGGTGAAGGTGTGGTGTACTGATGAGAGGATAGATATTCCCATCAAGAGGGCCGGAGACGAGGTATTTTATAATCGATCTGGTCGTCAATGACCTGATATTTTCTCACTCGGCTAGCTTCTCATTTCGTTCGTCGTTGTTATCATCGAGTCCAAATTCCGTCCTCGTCACTCACGTTGCCTGCCCACCTTGGCGCTAAAGCAACAATGAATTCCCCAACGTGGGGTTCACATTGATGCCCTGCTGACCGTGTCCAGCTTGTGAGGCTATAGATGAATTCCCTGCAAAAATCCTTAACAGCTCGCTTCAAAAATCAACATCGCGAGTCAACCGCTGGGCCCATATGTGGGCACCAAAAGTCAAGCATGATGACCAAGGTGGTCTAGGGAGGGCGAAAGTCTCAGCCCGAGCGCCTTCCACAGCTCTCGATACCAAACGCGGCCGATCGACGACCCGTTATCCTTCCACAGCGTTGCCTCTTCTGGCTATCAAAACTGAGACATTCGTCGTCTTCCGGCAGGGGATCGTGGCATCTTTCCCCTTGCTTTCTCATTTGCGCCTCTCATCTGCGAACGGCCGTCAGAAGCTTCCCGAGTATCACAATTTACGTTCAACTACCTACTGCATACTCTCCATACAGAAGGTCGCAAATCTTCATGTCCACTCATACCTACTGCCGGGACAGCACGGACGAAGGGCTGCTGATGTTTGCGGGGATGACGGATTGCGGTCAGAGCTAGTGCACTCTGAGCCAGCCGTTACCCCTACTGCCGATCACCGGTTTGAAGTGTATACCACACGTCTCTCGGGTTATGTGATGCCGCGGCAATGCCTAGCAATATCCGGCAGCGTCGATAAGGCTGTTCCAAGATCGTCAGGAGATGATCAATGGCCCTTATATTTTCCGGAAGCCATTCTGGCGTGAAGGCTTCAAGCCTCTTACCGCGTTGCTTGTGTCCGACTCTCCTTCCCCTTTGCTACTGCATTCTCTGTTTGCGTCTTTCGTCAAGGGTCGCTTCAAAGGCAGTTATGACGAGGCGGCATACCCGTCAATAAGTTAGATAGATAGGGAAATAAATAAGGTCAATTTTGGTTTCTCTCGGCCCCTTAAGCATTTGCCCCCCACCTTATCCGATCCGATCAGCGCGGCAATGCGGGTAGGTGTGTGTCCATTCTGTCTGAGCCGCCGAGACATAAGGTTCTACATGCCGGAGAAAAATGTGCCTATCAACGATCTTGCTAGAGAATATAGATCGACCCAGTGACCAAGCGTATCACGTTTCGGGGGGCTGCCCTATGACGTTCCTGAGAACGCAACCTTGGCAGAGGCTAGGCGATCAATCAGGGGCCGGCGTCGGTACATCCCAGTTTTCGACCAGGTCGACCTCTTCCATGTTCAGAAGACCATCTGTGCTTGCGCGATATGTCGCCATCAGGATGAGAGTCATTAAGGACATCATGGCCGGAACGGGATCGCCCATGGCTTTTTGAGCTGAACGCCCTTGGTAGCGCAAAAGCAATGTGGAGTTTTCTCTCAGAATATCACATATAGGCACGTCTTTATTGACACCAGGCCTGAGCCAAACTCGATATTAATTAGTTAGAGGTTGGCTTGATGGAAGTGGCGGGGATCTCGGGACTGGATCAGCCCTTTCCCGCATCGGTCAGCTGGAAGCCACATCCGAAGCTAGGTAAGATGGAAGGCGTTGGGAGGCTTCTGGCAGCTGGGTTGTCTGCTCGATGCTGTCGTTTCGGATGGACAACCATTTACGAGAGGACCAAGGACTGTATCAAACGTCATCCCAGAACATCACGTACAAAGAGAAGTTGCTCATTTGCAATGAGGTCAGGGGTTGAATGTCATCAGTAGGCGAAGACGTCGATTTCTTTACGCCGGTGAGCTGCAAACACTCAACAACATCGTCAGGGGCGTATGGCTTTGTTGTTTCCCACGTCATTGCCGATACCATTTCGCTCCTGCCACTGTGAGGCCATGTAAGTGAAGACATACCGAGTAAAAAATACGCCAATACTCTACGGCCAGACGCCAGCCCCTACTTCACAAATAGGTACCTGAACTTGTTTTCTTTCCTCTCATGTGAGAGAGAACCCTCATCATGCTCGGCGAGGGCGGTACTCGATGAAAACCATCCGGTTGATCGCCCGCTCGCTTTTCTTTTGCATCCTTCGTTTCGGCCGAAGTCCGTATCCGCCCCTCTAAAGCTGCGAGAGCCTCCTGCCGCATTTTCCAGCAGGAGGTTGCTTGCTGTTGAGGGCTAGACTCCTTTTCGGACCGCCAGGTCTGGGGGTTGCCACCGGCTTCGGAACTCGAACGGCTTATGCGGCTACGGTAAACCCTGCCTCGGATGCCTTTGACGGGGTTTGTGGGAAGACCCTGACCGGTAGCAGAGACAGCATTCTTTTGCTTGCCATACTCGGAGATCCTGCGTCTCCGAGGGCTTCTCCCTTCCTCGTGGCGTCGCTGCATCCGGTCATGTCGGACTCGGCTCCGTCCCGCACTTCTCAGTAGCTCCTCCAGCTGTGAGTCTGCCTGTCCCCGTCGCTGCCCCAGTTCAGAGATTTCCTGCTGCTGGAGCTCGGGGTGCCGACCATCCTCACAGATATCGCGCGCTATCTCACGAGACACCGCCTCTCGTGCGGAAGCTGGTCCAGTCCCTCCAAGTTGTGCTGCTCCCGGACTTCTGTGGTTCCCAACGACCTCCGCCTCGGCTCCAGGATGCGGGTCTGGAACCACCGATACATTTGGTGGATGATGGCGCTTGACCAGGCGAAGTCCAGAAACCAATCCGCCGTTGCTCGTGGATGAAAATAGCCCATTCTCTTTCCTTCCTCCGAAAACCTGGTTTTTGAAGTGATAGCGCGCATCGTTGGCCAGAGGGCGGATAGGATTGTCATCTGGATCTGGTCGGATGAGAACCTCAAAGCCGATAGACGTCGCAAAGGGTCTTACAGAGCTGTCGGATGCTCTTTTCGTGTCCCTCTCGCCGATGTCGAACTCAAACTCGGCATTCTCTTCAGTCGTCACAAGACTAAACCCAAGTCTGGCAATCTCGACGAGGGATAGGAGGCTTTCCATTTCCTCGTTGAGAGGTCTTGTGTCATCGGTTGTCTCACCCTCTACCTGGCAGCCTTCTAGGTGAACATCCCTGCCACTGTTCAGTCCCCGATTGACGGCATGGCAAATGGCTTCGAGATGAATTCCCCCGCCTGCTGCGGTACGCGGGGTTTGAGGGCCTGATTCAGCAGCTCCTGTCTGTTGACTGAATACGCACAATCCGGATGGCATCGGAGCTGCCTTGGGCAAGAACCACAGATCGGTATGGCCACGCCTTGGGAAGTATCCAAAGAAGCAGTGTGTTGATGCCGATATCCCTTCTCGCAAAGAATGCCGGATCCTCATATTGCCATCGATGTTCCGGTACAAGACATATCTGGCGGTTTCCTTGATATACGCGTCTGTGTATGCTTCTGCTCGTTGCCACCAAACCGGTACATGGACCATATCACTCCGTTGCGCAGAACCTCTAGAAGCCTTTTCCCACAATCTTCCCCAGTCATCTTCCCAAATGATGAGATTTTCGTGACGATCTTCGATAGCCCATTTCGCACCATTGGGCTGGTCGTTTGGGATTCCAAAACGCCGACGGTTCTGCGTTTTTTGATGCGGCGGGTGAGCTCGGACTTTGTCGTATGCAACCGGGTCTAAAACACGAGAATCATGTGTGTCGGGCGGCGAGGGCGGTTCGCGTACTGTCCCAAGGGACCCAGAACGACGGTGGTTTTGTGTACCCATGTCTCCAGAAACAGAATGCTTTGAAATTACTCGACCTGGTTTGATTATCCTTGGGTATTGTTGGTCATCATGGTTCATATGTAATGCACCTCAGTAGTCCGGTCTTTTAGGTTCATCGGAAAAGCTGGAGGTCTCGTGATGGTAGTACGTCATCTCTCTTATGCTTCACTGAGTGGTGTTAGGTGGTTGAAAAACCTGGGACACGATGTAGGTGAGGATCTTTTTATTTTTATCTTTATTTTTTTCTAAAGTCGATGTATGCTTAGATATATGCGCATTGGTGCAGAGGACAAGAGGCCTCTATATTGTTCGAGCTGAATTGAGAAATAGGAGGCGATGGAATATCGAAGAAACGCAACCTTGCGTCTCGCCAGTGCTAAAAGCTACCAGTCCCACAGGCGCGTTCCTGGTCAGGCATCAGTTGAGAAACAAGGACATTGGGGGCTGATAGGAGAACTGATATGGTTGAGCTCTGGGCATTATTGTTCGAGATGTACTGAAGTGACAGAGTCAAAGTTCAAAGTTTCAAAATGCCTCGAGCGTCATAGTTTCGATTGAAACAGAATTGTCAAAGAAACCAACACACTGTTGTGATCTGTATTCTGGATGAAAGATGAATGTTAGGAAGGTGAAAGAGTTTTAGATATAGTAATACAGGTGTCAAAGGAGGTTCCACAACAAGATGGTCAAAAGCGTCTCAAATGCTCCTCTCCTCATTGTGTACAAGGAGTAGTCAAAGCCCATCTGGTTCTTTCCGGACGTCAAAAGACAAATGTTCCTGCTGTCGAACAGGCCGTAGATCTTCCGTCAGGTTCAGTTTCTGATGGTGTTTTGCTGTCGTGTGTACTAGGGCTACCTGGTTGGCAAGGGACTCATACGCCAAGTACTGCCAGATGTTAATGAATTAATGAAGTGGCCATGGATATTTCACCTGTTGGAAAGATATTTCTCTTCGTCCTGCCAGATATAAAAACACAAAAAGACTTGTGAAATACAACAACAACAACAGCCATGTACAATGGTATTAATGAAGAACAATCATGTCCACCACCTTCCACCTTTGTTCGTTTTCTTTCGTCGCAAGTGAGGTCAGGATTGTCATAGAGTCATATAGATCCACGCTTGAGCGGGTCAAAATGTAGGCCTTCTGACTGACATTAGACACACTTACCTCTCTACTTCACGTCATAAATACACACAACTCGTCTAACTAAAGCAGTAGGTTATTATTGGGAACCGCCTAACGTCACCATCGCATTTTTCAGCAACCGTCGCCACGACTGCAGCCATGTGTTTCACCCACGTGAAATACTCCTGCAACCACAACGGAAAGTGCGTCCTCAAATGCCGCAAGCTCTGGTCCGCAAGGACTAGCTGGTGCTGCTACCCTGCCTTCCTGTTCACCTTCGGCTGGCCCAATGAAGAGCCCTGCGGCGATTTCGTGGAGAGGAAAGCATTCTTCTCCCCTAAGATCTGCCCAGAGTGTACCGAAGCAGAGCAATCCGCTCCACAGACCAGGGGCATCGTGCCGAGGAAGTACCGTCACAAGCTCACGCCCGAAGCGTTGAACGCCTCGCGACAGCGAATGAAGGAGGAGAGGGAGAAGGAAGATGCCGTCAAAGAGCGGTGGTACACACGGGAGGAAAACTTCCAGAAGCGGGAGCAGAAGGGGCGGCTGAACCAGGACGTCACTGGGAGTACCGCCGAAACCGACAAAGCACTGCCCGATATGCCGTCGTTCATCCATGTCCCGCTCGGTGATCGCTGGGGTGACCCGAGCTACCACTACCCACCACACATCGCCGATGCGTATGACGCCGCTCCCCTTACCCCACCGAGAGACCGTGGCCGTTTGGGGTCGTACGTGCAGCAGGAGCAACCTCCGCAGCAACCGGACCGGATGGTGAAGAACATTGACGTTGTCTTGAAGGACCGGGATCAGCAATCTGAGCAAAGACACCATGATAGGCACTGCGCGGATCGTCACCGGCACGGGGGGGAGCACTTTGCGAGCCCAGTCGACGGCTTCCGGCATGCGCAATATCTCACGGCCCTGTCGGACAATGTGGATCAAAACCGGTACGCAGCACATCATGTGACAATTCCGAATCCTGACCCCTACCATCATTTCGAAGAAGAGCCAGTGTATGGCGGCCGGGTAGGACAAACCCTAAAAACCCAGCAGCAGAGACCACAGCAGTCGCTCCACGGTCAGGGTGGGTATACCGAGCCCAGAAGTCTGACCAATACCAGACTCGCGCCGAAGCTGCCCATCCAGGAGAGACAGGGGCACAGGAGGCCACAGATCCTGGCCCACGAACGTTCGCGGCCTGGAGAGCCCCGTCGCCGAGACACCGAGCCTACGCCTCCAGTGAGAACACCAAGGTCCGGCCTACTCAAGGGATTCTTCCACGCGTTTGGGAGCAATTCGCATCGGAGCGAAGACGCTCGCTGTGATAGATACGAGAGCCGGAAAGTTGCCGTGGACGCCCACTCAGACGTCAGCTCTTTTGTGTGCCACGATTCCCGTGACGTGGAGAGGGGGAGGATAATGTAACTATGTTCAACCCGTGCCTAGCAAGACGGAGATGGACGGCAGCAAGAGAGATTTGGTGAGTGAATGCTCCATGTTCGTTGAACTATGTACCTGTGTCGTGCATTTCACTTCTTTGCGATTGACCTAGACGAATAAAGCCTCCTTTCCTGTTCCCAAAAAATAAAAAATAAAAATAAAAAATAGCTTATGGCCTGAAGCAGACCAAGCGTATGGGGTCTGATGGCAACTCTCTGTGTGACAAGCACAGCATCTGGCCAAGGTAACAGATCCAATGACTGACAATCTGCATACGCGTAAGCTGCAAATTGGTATCCGATGAAAGTACTCCGCCTGTGAATGGATGGCGCCTGCCCGAATATGCTTTCATGCCGTGGGACCTCGATCTCGACCGATGTCTCTTCTCCGTTTGGCCGCTGTGTCCCCTGACGATCTCTATACCCCTTATATCGTTTATCTCTCTCTGGCGATGGGGTGAGACAGGCAAGCGGACAGTTGGCGCGGGGCGAGCGCGCAACACTAATTCCGAATGGTTTGCATTGTGCAGTACCGAGTAAGCCTTTATCGATGGTTGGTTTGCGCATGATTTATTGGGCCTTGCCGTTCTTGGCTGCCCCGTTCGCCTTTGAAGCCCTGAACTTGGCGATTTCCTTCTCGACGGCCTTGTCCACGCGGCCCTTGAGCTCCTGTCGGTAGCCGAGCTTGAATAGGAACTCGAGCCAGACGAAGAGAGGGGCGAGGAAGACGGCTTGGATCAGGTTGTCCAGAAGAGCCGGCGCACGTCCCTCGAAGGCGCCATGCCCGACGAACTGGAAGATCCAGCAGGCGATATGAACGCCGATGGCAGCCTGATTCGTCAAGGCGGGGTTCTGGAGCCTAAAGGAATTGCCAGCAGCGGTGGCAGCCAAGCAGATGATGGCCAGCAGAGTGCCGGCTACGGGCTCGAGGAGAACGTACAGACCACCCCAAGTCAGAGCAGCCAAGGTTCCCAGGTTAAGTTCCAGGTTGGGGACAGTGAGCCAACTGGGGAGCGGGATGAGAGGTCCTGTGTTGGTAGCCTGGGCAGGTCTGGATGAGCTCAAGACGATCAAGGAGGGCGCTCTCTCTCATTGGCTGCTTACTAGACAAAATCCCGAAAAGAGAATCATGGGCACACATGCCATGTGAATGCGAATGTTGACAGTGTTATGGTGATAAGCCCCATACTGTGAGGTGATTAACAGGTGCTATGAGAAGATATTTGAGGATGCCGAATCGTTCTCATTCACTTACAAAGGTCAAACGCTTTTCCAAGTCGAGGGACATGATGGCGGTGGAAAAAACGGTGATTGGTGTTGGGATCTGATCTGAGCCAAGGCGAAGCGGGTGACTTTGAGAACCGAGGTTTGATGGATGCAGGACACACGCACCAGAACGAGGCTGCAGGGTAGCTCAGCCGCAGGCGGATCGACAGGAGAGTTGTTGGGGAGGAAGCGGACAAGCAGGGCGGTTCGAGAGTGCTGGGTGCCTTTGACAGCAGTGCGTCAATCTCTCACAAGGAATCAGATGGTAAGATTGACTGCTGGCGGTAGGGAGAGGTTAGAGAGCTGGTGATGTTGGACCGTGTGGAGGATGATGGAAAATGAAGGAAGGCCGTCGTGTTCCGGACAGGGTTGCAATGGTGTTCATAAACTACGTGGTGTCCCACCACAGCACGTCGCCCGTACCTTTGAAGTGGAAGCGCCCGTGGGGCCGCTGAGGAGCGCGTTTTTGCGCTTCGGTTCGGGGGACCCGTAGGGGAGTCCGTAGGGGAGTCCACTGGGTGTGTGCCAGCAAGTGACAAACCATAGCAGCGGACAGGGGGCGGCTCGTGACTGGAGATTTTGGGCGGCCGAGTCCACTAAAAACCACTAAAGGTGCATGCACCCAACGTACGACGCCCCTTTACCCAATCTGATGTCGTGGGTTTGTCTTGCGAGCGTATTGTTTTGGGGGAAACGCGAAAATCTCGGCCACGAAGAAAAGACTAGAAAACGATCCGTAGTACGGATACCGCACACATACTTACCTAGGTAGGTAGGTACCTAGAATAAGACGAGGAAGCTATGCCACAAGAGGCATGCGTGAAAAACTAGGATTGCGATTTTCCGCCGTTGCAAATGGCACCACCCGTCGCATTCCTTTGATACCCGATAGGCGCACACTAGGCAGTTGAGATGCTCAGCGAACCATCTCCGCCTACTTGTCGTAGTTTAGTCCACGAATCGGCATTGCTACTCATTTCTGTCCTTCAGGTACAAACAAGGCTCAGACTTTGTCTTTCCTGAACATCGCTCTTACCCCGGTCTTCCGGAGCCACAGGCCACGAGCCACATTGAGATTCCGCGCTAGTGTCAGGGTTTAGCAGGGCGTCCAGTGAGTGGTGTGGCACATGTGCTATCCGTAGGTACTCTGCTGCTTTGCTTGTAGTGTGGCTTGACATTTCATTCATGGGCGAATTCCACTTTTTTCTGCCTGGGGAATGTGGCTGTTCCGCAAGGCAAAAATAATTCAGGAGCCACTTCTTCGCCGCAACAAGGCCATCTCAGCCTCGCCGGCTTCATCTTGCACAACCTCTCCGTTCTACCCGTCGAGTCACCACGCCGGCGGCGCATTTCCGATAGCGCATTATAGAGGCACTACCAGACATCCGATCGAGTCCTCGCGCTTCTCTTTTCTTCCGTCTTTCTGTATTTTTCTCCACTGGGGTTCGACGTGCTGCGCGACTTCTCACAGCTTCTCATTTGCTTACGAACCCCCAAAGCACCGTACAGCGGTCTAGCTTCGGAAGCAGCGCCACGATTGCGTTCACCCGTCGAATCAAGCGCGTCACCCGGACCTTGAACTCGACCTCATTTCACTTCGCTACCAGCTCTAGAACTAGTTGCATATTAATACAGACGTATTGCTGCTACGCGCCGTCAAGAATTCGCAGGAGCTGGATCTGGGCAGCCGCATTCACAACCACCGGCCACTCTTCTTCGGACACGCTGCGCTACGAAAACCGCCAACATGTTTTTCCTCTACAACATGGAGCGCAGGGTTACCTTGCACCCATCCTACTTTGGTCGGAACATGCATGAGTTGGTGACGAGCAAGCTGTTGAAGGACGTGGAGGGCACCTGCGCAGGAAGCTACTATATTATTTCCATTATGGATACCTTCGATATCTCGGAGGGTCGCATTCTCCCTGGCAGTGGTCTGGCCGAGTTCACCGTCGGCTACCGAGCCGTCGTGTGGCGGCCCTTCAAGGGCGAGACGGTAATTGCTACAAATCTGCCTGGCTTTGTCGGGGAAGCGGTTTCTGACATGAACCCAGGTTGATGCTGTGGTCTACTCAGTCAACCACCAGGGCTTTTTCGCCCAGGCGGGACCTCTGCGGTTATTCGTGTCGGCACATGTAGGTTCTCGCTTCCGCGCTGGCCAGGCAGTTCTATTTCGCCGTTTACTAACCTGTGACCCCCCCACCAGTTGATTCCCTCCGAGATCAAGTGGGATCCCAACGCGACTCCGCCGCAGTTCACCAATAACGAGGATACCATCATCGAGCCGGGGACACATGTCCGCGTCAAGGTGATCGGTACACGTACAGAAGTCGGCGAGATGTGGGCGATTGGGAGCATTAAAGAAGACTATCTTGGGTATGTCACACTCTGCACAGCCATGGCCAGGTTTCACTTACGAATGTTTCCTTGCGAAGCTGTCTTCAGGATTAAGTATCCCCTATCAAGGGGGGGAAAGGGAGCCCGGAGAGACCGCGCCCCGTGTAGCTTGCGAGAGCTTCGGTTAACGCACAGGGGTTATGTTCCCCCATCAGAGCAGTGCCTCAGCCCTCCAGGAGATTCCGACTTTCGAGGTTTGGCACCATGCGCATCAAACAACGAGTGTTGCTACCGCGCAGAACACGCTTTTGAACAAGACCCAGACGAAATATCAAGAGGATCGTTTTTGGGCCAGATACGAACATTCCGTTACGCTGACAAGTCTGCATCCGAGGAGCAGAAGATAGAGAAAAGTTTGGAGAAGAAGAGGGCACCCGCGTGCCCAGGCGATCGGCGCGTTTTCCGTGATTTACAAGCGTCATATCCGGGTTGCGCATTGGCAGTTGTACAATACCTGAGGCCACAGCTTTCTCAAGTTCGTCAAAATAAAATAAGCAAAACGCAAGGCCATGACTACACACCATGCCACCGCGTTTGTCTCCCAGAGACTGGGAGTCGTTGGAGGCCCCCCCCCCCCCCCCCCCCCCCCCTTTTTTTTTTTTTATAAAGGCTGTTCGCGTACATCTAAATGAGAAGCAATGCGTGCGTGCTTTGATGAAATGCTCCTAGAATGCTCGTCGACTTGTGACTACGACCGCGACCTGGGAGTGAAGTTGAGGGTCGAGATACTTTGTCTTGCCCCGCCCTACGCTTTACCCGTGGACTTTTGTTTTCTGGTTTCTTTTCAAGTTTCGGTTCCCGATTACAAAAAATCGACGTTTAATCTGTTGCCGCTTGGATGTATCGTTGATTATGGTTTGTGGTTTTCGGTTTATGGAGTGTGGAGGGACCGGGTTTCCCAACGGGACACCCCCCCCAAACCGGCCCGTGAACCCGCCTGACCATCTCTCGGCCCGCTGCGGTTAAGAGGATCCGGCCGCAGTTGGCCTGTCAATTCCACCCCTCTCTGACTGCTTGCAAGGGGTTTCAGCCGGCCTTCTCCCCGAGCGCTATTGGATATCGGCCACCCCCGCACCAGCGCTTCCGACATGACATAAGGCGCGGTTGACAGAGAGTGTCAGTTCACCACGGCCCCGATTGCGGGTGGTATCATCATCGTACGTCAGTAAACACCGAAGACGAGGACTCACGTTACACAAAACTGCATCCATCTATACAAAGCGTATGTCCTCTTGACATTTTCAACTTGCCCGAGCCGCTAAGCAAAAAAATATATAAAAGATAAATTGTCGGCGATGCAGGCGGCCAATAGGCTCCGGACGGCTTTTACCAAGGGTACCGGCCCCAGCTTCGGGCTATGGCAGATGATCCCCGGCGCCAATGTTTCCCGTGTCCTTGCCCGGAGCCCGGGGGTGGACTGGGTCCTGGTGGACTGCGAGCATGGGAACATTGACGGTATAGATCTCGAGGCTTCCATCTCTGATTGAAAAGCGAGACGTGATCTGACTTGAGGCTCCAGACGGCGCCATGCACGATGCCGTGCCCGCCATTGCCGCGGCTGGTGTCTCCCCGATCGTAAGGCTGCCCGACATGCAGGGCTGGATGGTCAAGCGTAAGGAACCTCGTCCACAGACGGCTCGTATCACAGGACTTGGCTGACTATGTTTTCAGGGGCTTTAGATTGCGGCGCTCACGGGGTAGGGTCAACATGCTGAATTGGAGGCCGCGAAAAGACTTCACTGACGCATCGAAAACAATAAAAGATACTCGTCCCGCTACTCCGAACCGCTCAGGAGGCCAAGGATTTAGTCCAAGCCGCCAAGTTTCCACCGTGGGGACGTCGGGGTTTCGGTTCGCCGCTGGCCATGGAGCGCTTCAGCCCGGCGCCGAGCATGACCGAGTACCTGCAACAGGCCAACGACAGCCTGCTGACGATGGTGCAGATCGAGACCAAGGAAGCGCTAGAGTCCGTCGAGGAAATTGCGGCGGTCGAGGGCATCGATGTCCTCTTCATCGGGCCCTTTGATCTTGGTTAGTAGAAGCTCCGAGGCCACCTAGGCATCTGAACCCCTCTAACAAGCTTGACACAGGTAACAACATCGGCCACCCCGTGATCAACGGTATCATCAAGAAGGAGCTGAGCGACGCCATCGATCGCGTCCTCGAAGCCACGCACAAGGCAGGCAAGAAGGTGGGCATCTTCTGCACCAGCGGCGAGCAGTCCAAGGTCTTTGCGGACAAGGGTTTCGACATGATTAGTGTTGCGACGGATTACACGGCGTTGCAGTTTACGTTGTCGGAGTCACTGAGCGTTGCAAGGGGAGGGGCGAAGCCAGCCAAGGGTGGTTCGTACTGAAGTGAGGTTGAGAGGAATAAAGGGGCAGCGAATGTGAACGGGGAGTAGGTAAGCTATGCTGCTTGCTTGGGATGCTTGGCTGACCCGCCGACAAGACCTTTTTCAGCCAATGAATGGTGCGGCCGCGCTGGGTGAAGAAGAAGAAATCACAACATCTCTAGCAGTTCAATTCTTGCCCTCAACCTGGTCCATCTTAGCCTCGATCTGGTCTGGGTCGAAGCGGTGCATGAGCTTGATGGCCTTGCCCACGAGTTTGGGGTCCTCCTCAGAAGCTTCGGCTTTGCTAATGTGAATCTGTGATAAATTAGAACGTGGCCGGATTTCAAGGCTGAATATTGATGCTCCAGGCGGTAGGCTTCAGGTACATCGGGCGGGCACTTGTTGCCAGCGTTATGGAATCCACAAGCGGGCAGGATCGATGAAGGGAACCCAACTTACCACTGGTACATCGAAATCATACAGGTCCTTCCAGCTCTTCGCTTCTGGTGCGGTGATGTTGACCTCAGTAAAGGCAAATGGCCTCCGATCCCAGACATTTGAGAGGGCCGATTTGGCGCGCAAGCACAAGCCGCACTCATCGCGGGTGAAGAGAGTGATTCGGCATGGCTGTGCCTTCTGAAAGAGTTGCCGTGTCGGCGCAAACATTTTGTCTGGATGACTTTTCCCGACCCTGAAGACCGCAGTGAAGTCAAAAGTTCGCAATTAGCTCGACGGCAAACGCCAATCCTACACACGCACACACACAGAAGGCTGTCCAATACGTGCGGTGTCGAAATGAGTAGACGACGCAAGGCGCAGGCAGAGAGATAATAGGCTCGATGGCTGCTCGTTTGAAACAGCCTCGTTCTCGTTCAGCTGGGTAAACTAGAAATAGTCACAAGTGTCAAAAAGGGAGGTCGGGAGCGGCCAGGGACCAGCGCCGTACAGGGGTCGAACGTCTGTGGGCAGATTTGGTGAAGGCAAAGAGTGAGATGACGGGTCTGCCACTTGCTTGCCTCTTGCCGACAGCGATGGTGTTTCAGAAGAGTCCGATTGATTAATGGGTTAATCATTCCGAGTCTGCCTTAGCAGAGCAACAAGGTTACAATCGTCCAGAGTTGAGTTGTGCCGATGAAATGGGCTAAAGGGAAACGTGTGGCTTAGAAATGCTGCATGTTTCTCGACTGAACTTCTTCTTCCCACCCCGGCCTGATTACAAGGACAGGGCCGGATAGTGACTACCTACTCGGCGACCTCCCCGGTGTGGAGGGAGTTAGGTAGCTATGGTTCAGGAAGGCGGTGAACTCACCGAAGCAGCTGCACCCCACCTCCCATTGAACAGCTGTGGGCGAATCAGGAACGGTGTCATCGTGCATCGGTAAACTGTTTGAGCCAGATAGGTACTATGTATTGAGGACCCTGGGAAATTCTGGAATCCTGGAGAACATAGTAAACCCGACCATCCACCCCTCACTCTTGCTTCCTGCTGCCGGGGGGGCCCTTTCGACAACTTACAAACTTGCTGACCCGCCGCCGCCGCCGCCTTATCTTATTCACTATCCGACTTTCAAACGTCAACTGCCGTCAATTGAGAATTTTACCTTTGTCTCACTTTCCTCCTCTTCAACAGCTTTTCAGGGAAGCTGCACACTGTAAACCCGTCCAACGCGAAAGCGACTGCGAGGCAACGAAAGATCCATCCAAACCCCGGCCAGCCCAACATGGCAGAAAAGTGCGTCCACCAGGGCTGCGGCAAGCTCTACACCGATGCCGACGAGCCATGCGTCTACCACCCCGGCCCTCCGGTCTTCCATGAAGGCCAAAAAGGTACTCACCCAGTCGATTACAACCCAACCAATTCATTTGTCCACCACCATGCCAGCTCTACACATGCACTTCGTCATATTCGATCGAGGGCGCAGTCTCTTCTCCCGTGCGGTTGCGATAGGGATCACCCTCCTTCGCCCGACCGTTTACTTTTCTATCCCTTGCCCATGATCCGTTCAACCACTTCCCGATCGATTTGACACGGATTCGCACGAGACACCGCAGCTAACCTCATCCGTTGCTACCAAACAGGTTGGAAATGCTGCAAGCCCCGCGTTCTTACCTTTGAGGAGTTCATGACTATTCCCCCCTGCACAACCGGCAAGCACTCCACAACCGACCTGCCGCCAAAGATTGAGCAGAAGCCCCAAGCGGACCCCGCCGCGGCACCCTCCCTACTCGACAAGCTCGCCACCTCGGCCGACGAACCAGGACGCAAGCCCCTCTCTCAAGCCGCCCAGGCCGCGCCCTCCCCTCCGCCGCCAGCTCCCGAGTCCGAGTCCGATGACGCCTCCCTCGAGATCACCGATGGCACCACCTGCCGTCGCAAGGCCTGCCAAGCCACCTTCCACAAGGGCGCATCCCGCGACGGCGAGTCCTGCGTCCACCACCCCGGCGTCCCCATTTTCCACGAGGGCTCCAAGGGTTACAGCTGCTGCAAGCGCCGCGTGCTCGAGTTCGACCAGTTCATGAAGATCGAGGGCTGCAAGACCAAGAACCGTCACCTCTTCATCGGCAGCGGCAAGAAGAAGGCTGCGGCGGCCGGTGGTGAGGAGAAGCTTGACACCGTCCGCACCGACTTTTACCAGACGCCCTCTACCGTCATCGCCTCCTTCTTCCTCAAGAAGATTGTCAAGGACTCGGCCAAGATCGACTTCAAGCCGCAGTCCATCGCACTCGACCTGCCTACGTCGGACTCGCCGCCCAAGCGCTACACCGCCGAGGTGCCCTTGTTCGCGCCCATCGACGCGGAGAAGTCCACTTTCAAGGTCCTCGGCACTAAGCTCGAGGTAAACCTTGCCAAGGCCGGCAGTGAGTCGTGGCCAGTCCTGCGGAGTGACGACCGTCTCACTGGGGAGATATTACAAATCGGCAAGGCGGGACGTCTACAGTAGAACTTGAGTACTGCGAAATGATACTGTTGCGCTTCGCGCTGAGAGAATCATTATCCAGATTTTTTTCGGATTTAGAGGAGTCAAGGACGAGAAACGGGGCAAAACAAAAAGGCAAAGAAGAAGCACAAACGTCTAGCTAGAAGAGACGAAAGGGATGTGGAAGAGCAGAGCAAGAGCACGAGACACGGGGAACTCCCCGGCGCGTTACGAAGAGACAGGCGAGAAGCATGCAAGATACGCCTAGATAAAGCATTCAAGACACGAGACGTCTCCATGTCGCAACCCAAGGAGGTGGTGCTGCTCTGTAATTCAAAGCAAAAAACGTCAAACAAGACAACCATCCACGTCAAACTCAAGACATGTCCCTGACCCCCACCCCCCCCTTTCGAAATGAGGCTTAGGATGGCATCCCCCCTCTCTCTATTTATCTCTTGGTATTTGGGCTGTGTAAGACGTACTCAGACATGGTTATCTGCCGCCACCGCATGTGACGGCAGCTTGGGAACAAGTTGTGCGTTTTCATCATTTGACTTGCCGGGTAGATCTTCTCTACAAGCCGCCTCTCAAGGGAAGAGACACAAGAAACATCAGTAGTACCTAGCACGGAAAAGCAAGGAAACAGCCAGACACACAGACGCAATCCAGAACGTGTTCAGCCGGAACAGACCGAAAAAAGCATGGCGGTGGACTAGCCCAGTTCAAATCCAAACCCCTCCCCCCTTTTCCCCGAACACTGCCGTTCATTCATCCATCCACCCACGCACAGGTGGCAATCGGAAACACGGCTCTCCAGACCTATCTCGGTACATGAAGGAAAACCCAAAGCGACAAGATGCCTAGAAAAGACAAAAAGAGAAATTGTTGAGATGACGAGGTTGTGGATGGCTGGGCTGCAGCTCACGTCCCTTCCCCCTTTTCGCACCCAGAAATCCCTCCGCCGTCCGAGACCTCCCCGCTTGGCATTCGAACCATCGGCATTTGCGTGTCTTGCCGTCGTGAGCGGCCGGTCTCTTGGTGACGAATACATTTTCCGGACTGCATGCTTAGCGATCTTACTTGAGCAACTCAATGTCCCGAGCAGAAGTGTCGGCGCAGCAAAGTATCATAGTTGAACCGCAAGGGCTTATCTAACTTTCAATCTGCCTAAGCCTAGTAGTAGTTTCCCTGGTGCCCCTTAGTTCCTACTCTAGTCTCTTGGACATAAACCGCCAAGCCTTGCCCAATGCTCGAGAGCACATGCACCACCTGGGCACCTGCCAAAAAATCAAATAAAAAAATCAAATAAACGGTTACAGTCTTCGGCAACTGATGGGTTACTGCTCAAGTCGCGATTGACTTTCCACGGAATACCAATGTTGGGCACAAGCTCTGATGAGATGTATGAACGAAAGCGAAACACAAAGACAGTATGCGATTTTCTTTCTTTCGTTGGCTTAAAAAAAGCCTACTAAAAAAGAAAAAAAAAAAAAAAAAACCTCTTCTAAGTTTGTTGCGGCCTAATGCTCCCCGAAAGGCTGTTGAGATGGAATTGAAAAGCGGAAGAAAATTCAACCCCCTACCCCCATGGTTAACGCCGACCCGTGGCAGCAATCTCGCCAGGGATGGTCGACCGCACGGATATTGAGGAGCGCAGAAAGGGGGACACACAAGCGGATTGCGTGCGCCTCCCCTCCGTCCAGCGTCGAGTCAAACACTCCTCCCTCAGCTGCGAAACCCAAAACGCCAAGCCTGCATTGCGAATTTGGAAATCAATCAAACACCGAGAATGAAGAGTGAATGCAAATGATAGCATGTGAGCCATAAATGGCAAAAACAAAGGAGGGCGGAAATTGTAAAACATGGTGTAGAAAGAAAAGGACCCCATGACGATACAGACATCGTCATCCCGCTCAGGCCGGCGCCCGCTCAACGTCTTGGCCGCCGGCCCCAGCACGGGGAATTGCTGCTCCGCTTTGCTGGCTTGCCACGACCTTGGCCGCCTTAGTTGTCCGGATTGATGAGGACGGCGTAGCTCGGCGCAGCGGCGCAGCGCGGCGCCCGCCCGGTTGTCAGGTGACCAGGGTAGAAGCGGCTTGGCTCCCATGAGCGGGAGGATCAGTGCTAATGTGTCTGGCGGGCTGGTCTTGGGGTCTAGCCAGGCAGGGGTCTTTTCCCGATCTGGCAGTGATCTGCCAAGACGGAAGCGCCCAAGAGGAAACAGACAGAAACCCAAGGGGGAAGAGGACATAGGCTGATGGGGACCAAGGCTTGCGCGCCATGGCTGTCAAACTGGATGGAGAACGGGTGACAGAAAACGGAAGTCTTGTTGTCGTAATGCTCCAGGTATGCGTGGATGGAGGGCAGTCTAGAGTATGGCATGGCGTCCCGAGTGCAGGGACACTGCTCGTTCGTGCCTGGTTGGTATGACGTGGGTATAGCCGCTGGAGTGGATGATCTGGCCGCTGGCCGGCATCTAATAAACTTTGACTTTTGACTTCGCCGCATCAATGCAAGGGTGGATCCCTACCCGCCGCGAAGAGCGACGGAACTGGCGCACCCCTCGCCCTCAGCCAGCGTTCTTGGTTGCTGGGTTAGGAGATGGCGCCCGCTCATCCTGGCCGTTGTAGATCAGCTGGAAGCCATCGCGGCGGCAGATGACAATGGGTTTGTCATTTCCGCAGTGCCCGATGATTTCGCTCGAGTCTGGAAGGTTGTATGGGACCGCGTCTTTGAAGTGGATAATTGGGCCGCCTTCCATCGTAAGCCCGATAATCTCAGCCCCCCGAACGGGCTCGTCCTCGTCAGAGGACTCGGCTTGAATTGTGTTTCTGATATCTCATGTTAGCGTGAATAGCTCATCTTGGCGGGAACATATCGGGCAGCAATCAATCTCCCGGGGTGATTCGTGCACGTACACTTGGCTCATTGGCAGTGTTCCACTATCGCTGTTCTTCCTCTTCCTCTCCATCTTCGCCTTCCTCACTCTTCGTGTCATGCACAAGTGGATGTAGTGGAACAAACCCGCAAAGACTAGGACGGGCGTGCCGAGAGCAAGAGCCCAGGGACTAGAGAAGTCGTCAGTGAAAAAGAAAAAGGAAAAAAAAAGGGAGACATTGAGGTATGACAGGAAGGGTAGGTACTAACGGGTTTTTTTGCTGTCTAAGTTGATGGACGAGAGCCAGAATGATTCCGCACACCGCCATGAGCGATCCGACCTGAACCATGGTGAAGGTTGACCAATATAGCGACATGAGGTCCTCGCCATCACAGAATTGCAGTGCCATCAACATGAAAACTTCCATGATGACTGTGGCTAGCGACACACACACACACAATAGGTTGAACCATATGCAACGTTTGATGGCCCTTTTCCGTTTTGAGTCGGTCTCGGCGAGCTCGCTCACAGCATCTAACGTCCTACAACGCCTTCGTCAGTATGGTTGTTCTACGAGGGGGCAATCTACGGGGTGAAAATTTCAGGCGGGAACATACCGAGTGTAATTCCATGCTGCCAGGAATAGGAGGCAGAGATTGAAAACAAAAAAAATCCAGTATAGCAGTTCGAAATGCCATCTGTCCAGGTGGGATGCGAATCTGGCGTAGTATGCACACCGCACAGGGTCGACAGGTGTGAAATCAACATCGTTTGTGACCTTTTCTGAGCCTTGTACTTCTGAGGCCATTCTGAATCTTGACTGGTGTTGTAAATGGGTTCAAGTATACTCCGGTGTCTTCTTTTTGGTTCGGATGATAAAGCGCTGGTAATGGTGATATTCGATCAGTGGTATGGCAAGAGGCTCTGCTTCTTTATAGATAAAGAGTCCTTTTGTAAAGCTACCGATCTGCAGGGTTGCTCAAGTCGGTAAGGACTCGCCCAGGCTTGCGTGTGCGAGCAGGGAGGCGTTTTCACTCAGGTTCTGATGGTTGGCAGGGGTCATCATCCTCCTCTAGCTTCTGAAGACACCCCGGTGTGTTGGTGTAAGGCTTGGAAGGGTAAGAGGGGGGGTGGAGGGTGGAGGTGTAGGTCAAGCTCCCAAGGCTTGTCGGATAGATTGTGTTGGCTCAACTCGAGATAGAGCAGAACAGGTGAGGAATTGCGGGAAACTACTGCACCATTGCAACCCATCTAAGGCAAAGGCAGGCCAGGCCGCTCCACTCGGTCTTCGCCCAATGGGTGGATCCATGTTCATACTCATCTTGTCACCAGTAATGCGCAGGTGCCGAGTCGTGCGCAGGTAGGCCAGAAATAGTGCTTGAAACACCATGACAGCGAGCAGCGCTGTTGACTTGGCTAGCGGTAATCCGCATGTGGACGACGATGCTGTCTGGGCGGTGTCTGGGCAGTCTCTTGGCAAGATGCGCGGGCTAAGACTTGAATAGATTGCCGATCTGTAGGCGGACCCTCTGTTACGGCTCATGTGGAATTGATTGGCCGGACGCCGCATTATTCTCCGGACTAGGGGGGGCTTAGCAACGACGTTCAGTCTTGTAAGTTGGAACCCAGTTCCCCAGATGCCAGTCTGGTCCATAGTCTTCCCTGAGCTCGATGACGAGCTTCCCTGGTCCACGCTCTCCTGCTTCGTCCATCCAATGGCATCCCGTGGACGACGGGGTAAACTCACCCCGCACGTCTTGTCAATGAACCCTCAACTCGGCATGTGTTCCTCAGCTCATCCCCTCCATCAGCTCAACTCTGTCGAGCATCATTCCCTTCAGACCAAGATACTCTTTGAGAGAATCCCATTCGATGCCGCCCTCCTCGCCATGTCGCCATTTCTCTTTGTAACCCCACGCGCAAGCGATGTCGTCCATCCCCGCGCGCTCTTCCTCCCGGAGCCAGCGTTGATGCAACGGGATGCCGGGCGCCCAAGTGACGCGTCGCATGTGATCGTTGACAGTGGTTTTCGCAACCATGCCAATTGTTGCCGTGAACCCCAGGTAGGCGAGAATGGCTGCGAAGGCGAACTTGGTGGCGGTCACAGGCTCTATTGTGTTCTGGAATGCCGAGAGATTGGAGGCAAGAGCGTAGACCCCAAAGGGGGCCGCGCTCACGGCCAAGGCGGGCAGAAGCGCTTTCCGCAGCAGCTTTTGGCGATAGAATGCTTGTGTTGCGTAGCAGGCCTCCACGATGCCAATGGCAGCGTCCAGATTCTTGGCGTCGATGGCGGCCCTCAGAGCTGTTTCGGCTACGGCTGCCTCAATGGCCTTTTCTGCTCGGTTTGGGTTCTGCTGGACATAGGTGATTGAACCCGCTACCGCCTTTGGTTGGGGCTTTGACGCATACAGGTCGAAAACATGGGGAAGTGTCTCGGGCCTGCCAAGCCTAGCTTGGATGTTTACGTATAAGTCCAAGACCTGGGTATCAATGGGTACGGTGGGGTGGGCGATAATTTCGTATGCTGACTCGGAGATTGTGTCCACTGTATCCTTGACAGAAGTTGACGGGATTGACAGACTACTAGATTTGGCCGCGGTCGAGTTCGAGTCCAGGGAAAGCAGGTTGGAGGCGGTCGATGCAGTCAGGGCGGAGGCCGAACGGATCTCCGACTTGGATAGGTAGGGTTGAATCGCGTTCCCGGCGCCTTGGCACGTTTTCAAGGCTGCATTGACAAGTTGTGGAGTGGGAATGCCGTCCGTAGATAGAAACCGCCTCTTACTCTGGAGAACCACGGCCGCTAGCTTGCTCGGGTCAGGGAGCTCCTTGGACGGCGCGCCAGTTATTACGGGCTTCTCGTGACCGTCCTTGTGCAAAGCTGAAGCCGAGACTGTGCTCGCCAAGCGGTTTCCCTCCACCATCCGACTCAAAGCGGCATTCTCGAGAAGCCTGGCAGATCGAGGAGAAACGATCGATGATATGTTTGGCTTGGCGGTATGTTGCAGTCGAGTCTGTTGACGGCCGCGTGATGATATGGACATACACAGTCGACAGATAGGCTTGGATTGGCGAGCCAGCGGCCCAATGATGGCGGTCCGCATCATCTCGGCAGTAGTGGTGATGGTGGTCGAGGGGCTTGGAGGCCAGGTATTCGAAGATAGAGGACACGTCGTCGGCGAGTAAGGATTGGACGATCTGAACAGCAGACAGAGAGCGGGCGAGCGCAATCCTTGGTTGGTTGATGCGTCTCTCTGGGCTCCAGTAGTAGGGTAAGCGGCGAAGTAGTCGGAGCGGCAGATCGTTTCGTAGAAATGTAGCCAAGAGATTCGGGCAAAGGGGGTTGTTGGACAGGTGAGGTACAAGCCGAATTGAACTAGCAACCTGGACAGAACGTGCCGTCTTGGTCTTAGAGGTATAAGCAGCAGAGGCTGACCTCCGACCTGGGTGGTGTTAGGTAGGCGACGATATGAAGCTAGAAAAAATGGCGCGACAGAAGGAGTGAAGCCCTGGACGCGACTGAGGCTCTGGGGAAGCTAGGAGCTCCTGCAAAATTTCCACCTGAGCCCTGGGACCGGCGATCATTCGCGCGCAAGGAGGCTCTCCAAGCTTGGGAACAGTGCCGCGCCAATGAGGCAGACGCCTGATGACCTGAGCGGGGCCATACAGGCACAAAGTACACGAGGGTACAGCATCTGATCAATACTTCCTGTAAGGGTCACTGAAGAAACGTGCCTGGTAACAGCCACGGCCTTTCACTGAGGCTAAACGTCTGCCAATGCGCGCTGAACACGCTGCCATCTCACTCTCACCATCTGCATGATCTGCATGTTTCTCAACACCATTTCCTCCAAGACTTTGGAACCTCAGATCAGTCTATAGTGCCGCATTAGACAGAACCAAACAACCTTGGTGTCTCTCTATTTCTTGGCCTCGTTCCGGGTTATTATCTTTGCTGCACTGTTTGCTTGTCTCCCGACGAGGTACCTAGGTAGTAGGTAATAGGTTCCGTCCCTACCTAGGTAGGTAGGTAGGTAGGTAGGTTCCACGTCTTGGGCTTGCGTATCCCCGAGCCACAGGTACACCGAAGAACCTTTGAGGCTGATGGGTGGTGGTGGGAGGGGGGTACCTTCTGCTCTGGTACGGCTGTCGGCTAGATGGACGTACCTCGGAACAGGCAGAGACGCCCCAGCCCACTCCTAATGTAACGGTTGCACCGCCCGCGCCTAACGTCGAGATACTACCCGAAGATGACGAAACACCACGCGGCTTGGAAGTGACCCCAAAGTACCGTCATCTCGTCGCCCCTGAGAACGCACCGATCGACACTTCGAGAGTCTCATATTTCCCTACTCTATCTGAACCACATCTCTTGCCCGCCTGAGGGACCATTCATCTCGATACCTCAAGCCTGGCTTGCATTAACCTCCATCTGACTCCGATCGACCGACCGACCGACCGACCGACCGACCGACCGACCGACCGACCGACGACGACGTATCCATCGTCAACCACGTCTCCGTCCGCGATAGACGACTGTCCATCATCTATACCACAACACCGATAGGGACGTCATACCGAGGGGATAGGGATTAACTTCATCATGCCCCCTCCACCGCCACCACCACCTCCAATGCCTATGATGGGTGGCCCTCCACCACCACCTCCGCCGCCAGGAGGTCCCCCAGGAGCCGGTGCTTTGCCTGCAAGACCACCCGCAGGAGCGAACAGAGTAAGAAATTACTGTTCGAAAGGCGCTCTGCCAATGTCTCCCCTCCCCTTGACTCTGGACTAACGCGACGTGCAGGGTGCTCTCCTCTCGGATATCACCAAAGGCAAGGCTCTCAAAAAAGCCGTTACGAACGACAGGTCTGCCCCGATAGTTGGAAAGCCGTCCGGCGGCTCGGGAGGTCCGCCCATAGGAGGTGCACCACCGGTTCCAGGCGTAGGAGGTCTACCTAAATCTCCCAGCGGCCTAGCGCCTCCAGTACCGGGCAATCGTGCTAGAAGCAACAGTGACGAGAGCGGACGGGAAAGCACACCCGCTCCATCGGTGGATGCAGCACCACAACTGGCCGGTCTATTTGCCGGCGGCATGCCAAAGCTGCGCAAGACCCGTGGAGCAGTCGACACCGGAGCTTCTGCGGACTCATCGTACCTTTCGGATCCCGAGAGTAATGTACGATCATCCTCCGCACCAAGGCCACCGACTTTCGGAGCGCCAAAGCCTCCGGGAGGTGCGGCGCCGGCCCCGCCAGGAAGGCCGAGCCTGCCTCCTCCCAATGCTGCTCCAGCACTACCCCCATCGATCGCCAACCTGCGCAAGACAACGGGCGATGTACCCAGGCCCAACTCGTCAGCATCCATGAAAGGACCCCCGCCTCCCATCGGCAAGAAGCCTCCACCACTGCCTGCATCCCGGAAACCGTCTACTGCGCTCTCCAGTCATCCTCCTCCATTACCGGGTGTATCAGCTCCTGGAGCTCCTCCTCCCCCCCCCCATCAGCTGCTCCAGCACCTCCCCCGTCTGCGCCCCCATCGGCACCCCCTTCTGTACCCCCCTCGGCGCCGCCACCCCCCCCTGCCGCTGCTGCACCTCGAGCTCCCGTACCGTCACCACCCTCACGCTCCCCGGCCCCTCCACCACCCCCATCAGCTTCGAACGGGCCTTCGCCGTTGGCGATGCAGGCTGCTCTACGGGCGGCTGGGCAAGCATCCCCCAGTGCAGCTCCTCCGCCCCCACCTTCAAACGCACCATTACCCCCTGCTGCCGCACATCCCCCGCCAACGGCTCCCCCTTCACGAGCTCGCGCTGGTTCTGGACTTCGCTCCTCTATGCTGGATCCAAGCGCATTCACTCTGGCCCCTAACGGTGCAAAGAGTCCTAGCCCTACCCGCTCCAACACAACAGCTGGTCTACATGCTGGTGGTGGTGGTGGCCAACGTTATATTGTTCAAGATCCGCGGTGGAAGTTCCAAGACGAGGCGATGCTGCCAAAACCGAGGGACTTTGTTGGCGGTCCTCGACGATACAGAGCTGGCAGGGGCAGCAGTGTTCCCCTTGATCTGAGCGCTCTGTAACGAGCGGATCCGAAGGACGAATCTGCTCTCCACAGCTTCATCGGTACCAGGGGCTCTATCAAGGTCAACATATAAAGTTACGACAATACAAATGGTTCAAATGATCAACTCTCAGACGAGTTGGAGTGGTCACACGTTCCTTGTTGCGGCATTCAATGTCACCGTATACTAGCTCAACGAGTCCCAGAATTTCGACAACGCACTCCCCTCGGTGATTCTATTGATAGAGTGAACTGTGTCATAGGAAGAAGAGCAAGAATGCCATAACGGAGATTTGGACTCCAGGATGCATGGCGTGACAGGGATTTGTGAAGCCCTGGTGACGCATTTGCATGTTGGTGGTTCTGAGGGCGTTGTCGTAACGGACTTTCTTCTTGGCAGCAAGGTCGAGCCTTGGCGAAACAATTGATCGAGATGCAATCTAGATCTGCCGGCATGTTTACGAGCTTTGAGTTTTCTCTTCTGAAAGCCATGGATCTTGTGGGTATCATTACGCAACTGGCAGTCTGTTTCTGTCCCTGCTGGGGGCGATGATAGGGAGGGACAGGAGACATTTCTCTGCTAGGGTAGTTAGGGGGGGTCATGAAGGAGGATCGTCGCATCAATGTTTGTAGAGAAGGTGGGAAATCAGAAACACCACCCAGATGGGTTTCCCCTTGTCGGTCAGTCGTTAGGTGAGTCGTAGAATCTAGACATACAAAAAAGGGAGAGGGGCAAAGAAGAGGAGAATGGTTTCCAAAAATACACTGGACGTCTGTGGTCGTGCTTCTGAACCCGACAGAAGAGGACAAGTCGTGCGAACCTCGTCGAAAAGAGGCCTGCTGTGTCACGCAGAAAGGGCCGGATGAGCCGAACGAGGGAGGGCCGCGTAAAGCCGAAGGCGCCGGCCATCGGGTCCGGTCTGCAGGGCGTAGGGGTGTGTGGGGGCGTAACCCAAACCCTCGACTTGTATGGGCTGTTTGGACATGGTTGTCAGGCCGATACGAGAGCAGACTCGTTCTGAAAGAGCTGCTCCCCGGACGGATCTCCCAACCCAAACTGTTCTTCGTATGCGCACACAGCCTGACACAGGAACGGAATAGCAGCCTGCATGCAGTGAATCATTAAACCGAGCCTTCATTTAATTGAAATACGCTAAGAAAACTCCGAGCCGGGCAGAATTATCCCCAAGTCAAGACTCGAGATGTGTCCGCCAGCTATATTGCTAAGCAACGTGGACGCAAAGCCCAGAAAAGAAAAAGGAGTGGAGCGCCCGCAGGAACTCAGACCAAGAGGGGGGAGGGGAGGGAATAGACAAGGCGAGGCCTGTAGACATTCCCCGAAGCCCAGAATGACTGCCCGTATACCCCCACCCCCATTGCTCTCTTCACTGCCTTCTCTCCGCTTTCGCATTCGACCCCTTTAGATGTCCAGGGCCGATGGACTTCGAAACCCTCGCGCAGATACGGAAAAGACAAGAAAACAAAAGCCTTCCACGCCATGCCGGGCCAGTCCATGGCTGTTCCCACCCGCACTCGCACCCTCAGATCCGGAGATCATTGCAGATGGCAGGTGACGAGAGATGACAAGGAACGTGAAAGAAGAACGCAAACACCCCTGCCCTCCGCCCCATGAACCCTCCTTTTCATTTGCCAGGCATATTCCGCGTCTCTTCCCAAACATGAGGGAAATAATAGGTATCCATGAGTATAAAAAGAAAATGAAGAAAAAGTCTATATCCGTCATGGCCCGTGTTCAAACCCCGTTCGTGACCGGAAAAAAGTTGACCATTAGCAAAGGTTACCGTGCAGGCAGGTGATTTATCCGGAAGGCCTCGCAAGGTCCGATATCCCGGCTCCGTTCGTACGTAAATAGCATCCGACGCTCCATGATTCAGACAACGTGCTCAACGGTTGAAGCTGATTCAGAATCTCTCAGGCGACGACGCTTCGGCCAACCCCCGCCCCCCACCTCAGGCGGCGAAGACCGCCGCCGGAGGACCGAATAACTTCCCGCCCGCATGACGAAGAATCTGCCATAGTTGAGGCGTTGACGCCTACTCCCGCCGAGAGGGCCTCTTGCCGTCCTACCTCGCGGCCGATCACATAGCCTGCACCAAATCCTACCACAGACACCAGCACTACAACACCGGCGCTCACCACCCAGGTCAGCAACGTCGGACTGATGAGAGTGTCGTCGCCCGCCGAGACCTTCTTCTTCTTGGCCGCTCTCGACGAGCGTGTTTGTGAGGAAGTACGCTTGTGCCTGTCGACACCCGCGCTCTTGGGCGACGGAGGAGCCGAAGACGTTGTCTTCCCTGGCCGTGTGGCAGGTGATTGTGCAGACGGGGCACCTTGGGGTTGGGTAGGCCTCTCAGCCATGAGCTCAGATTCGGGCATCAGCCGCAACTCAACAGGTTGAGAACTAGGTCCGACTCCGGCGTGCGCGGGTGTAGCGCATTGTCGCTCAGTATCCTTATACTTGGGCAGGCCACGGGCGGCGGCAGCACAGGACAGCAGGGTAGTGAGAGAAGCGCGCAGCGCCGCGTCATTGTCAGCTTGATAAGCAGGAGACATGAAGTTCGGCGGGCTGCGATGGACCCTGGTCTGGGACCGCTGTGAGAGAGCAGGCCGTACGCCGCTGTGCGGGTGTTGGTGGATCGCCGAGCTGGCCGAATGGCTTCTATTCAAACCCGATGGCGGGTGTGAAAAAGCATTTGGCTGAGGCCGGAAGACAGGATCGTCAGGAACACGTCCCAGGGCTGTGGCAATCTCGTCGCTGTCGTCAGAGTCCTCCGATTCTTCTTGTGGCGGCTGTTGTTGGTGGAATGGAGCACGCACGGAAGGCCGGATGTTCTCGGTCGAGCTCGTCAGGCATCGGTCCTCCTCGCTTTCGCTCTCTTCATATTCCTCCTGGCTGCTCGTGCCGGCGTGTATGGCCGTCTGGTCGACGTGAAAGGACCGTGGCACGGGTTGGCTCTGGTGGTGTAAGCGACGTCGGCGGGCGGCCATGGGGCCGCCAACGCGGAGACCTGTCGTGACGATCTCGTCGCCGATGGATGAGAGAGACGACGAAGACGGCTGCGACGAAATCTCGACCCATGATTCTAAACGGTTTTGTGTCAGCATTTCGTTCGCCTTGTCCTTTCGGTAACTGACCATCGTTCCGCCTACGTGGGCCTACGGCGGGCTGTGCTCCGTTCCCCGACATCCTGCCGTTCTGGAAGTTCTGTCCTGCGCGCTCGTCGCGCTGCTGTCCGTCCATCCTAGTATGCTATTTTTATACGCCGTGGGAGAGATTCAAAATGAAATGGCCGAGAGACGGGGGGAAGAGAAAAGACCGAATGGTTCGTTCGTGGTAATCGTTAGAGACGTTATTGAGGTTAGGTGGGTAGACGTGTGGGGGGCTGTCCTCCGTCCGAAACCCCGCGTTTGGGAGATAAGATACGCCCACAGTGGGATCAGCCTAGTACGGGGTCCGAGGTTGTCTGTTCGCGCCCGATGCCGACGATAGTTCGAACAAAGCACTGGTGTACATACGATGCAGCAAGGCAAGACAAAAAGTAGTTGATAAGGAGGAAAAGGGGTGCAGCAGACCGCTTCGAACTATGGCTGGCTCACCAGGCACGCAGGGTCAGCGAGATGGTGTTTAGGCCCCGTCGCTGGCTGACTGGCTGGGTCTTTCAAAGGTGCATACAGCAAAGGAGGGGGAAGGGGCTTACGATAATGACGGCGCCCAGATGATGTACCCCTGCAGCGGTCATTCGCCGGCGAGGTACCTGCTACCTCCCGCAGGCGCGTGTCGGGCACCGTACCGTGTCAGGTGCTAAGACCACCAACCACCACTATCAGATACAGCCTGCACAGCTGCAAGCGGCGCGATAAGCACAGTACAATGCTGTCTTGCATGAGGATTATGCTCGACATGGATGACGCTATCGTTACGATCAGGGGGATAGAGAGAGAGAAGCGTCGTGGCCGTCCATCAACTGCCCCCGCTCTGCCCCAGAACATCCCACTTACACACCGGGGGTCAGGTGGGGTATACTGAAGGTAAAGTACGGTTATTTGGCCGTGGTCAGCGCGAGCTGCGCACCAATTCACAAGTCTCTAGCTTTAACCCCGACACCGGCTCTCTGCTCCGGCCACGCATTCCACGTCAGCGCAGTGTGGACACTGCGAAGAGAGCGCCGTCCGGCTCTGTTAGTGGTCCGCGACGTGCTTCCCCCGACAAGGACGATCCCAAGACACGTCTTGATCGTCATCTTATAACCATCCAACAAGTCATGCCCGATTTTCGGTGGCGGGCCCTCGTCGCTCCCCTTTTCGCTTCACTGTTCCCCCACGGTTTCTGTCCAGTTCGCGCCTTGCCTCGAGCTCCTTGATGGTGAAATGGTACGGCTGAACAGGTTTCTACTAATACCGTACCAGCCAGCCCCCGTCTTACTGACAAACGGGTATTCCCTCAGATGACTTTGCTTGGCTGAGCAGACGCGGGATGACCAACGGACGGGGTGTTCTGGATCGCATAGGTTTACCCGTCATCACGGGGCTGAGTGTGTACCCCGTGCCGCCCAATGACGCACCTCTCGACGGGCACCTGAGCACGAGGCTGCCGTCGAAACAGGAGCGGAGTCCCCTGTTGAAAGACAAGACACGACACCACAATGCGCCCGGCAGCCACGGGACGATCCAGACAAGTCAAGGAACAGTTCGGCATTCACAATCACGCATCGTGGAACAGGGACACGCATCTCATCGAGGAAAACATCAAAACTTTTGTATTACAATAGGAGCTGGTTCCTAAACGCCGAGTCCACATGGCAAGTGTATATGCCTTTTTTTGAAATGACATTCACGGGGGAGAAGGTATACTTACTCCGTTTTTCCCTGCGTCGCATTGCAGTGGTATCGTTCCAAGTTCAAGAGTAACCGTAACCCAAGGGAAGAAAACGCCTGACCAGCCACATCAAAGGTCGAAGTCGTTGCGAGCAAACCCCCCAGAGCCCACAGAAGCCGTCGTCATCTAGAACTTTGAGTCCCCTCTGACGCGCCTGCAAAGATGCGAGGCACCGAGATTCGTCCCCAGATTCATGATAATAAGCCATCTGCCCACTATGAAGATGTTGCAATGCAACATGTGCCCTCTTGGTTAACCCACAATAGCGTACAGATCCCGCATCGTTCCTCTGCTTCATCTCTCAATGTGTAGAGTAGAAGTGATAGGAGACTGCCACAAGCCCACGGTCCCAAATGGAAAGCCCTCAGGTCCATCTTGTCTCCGAAGAGACTGCTCTCAAAGCCCACAATCCCCGCAGGGAAGAAACTTGTCTCGAACCGACAGCCCACAGTAGCCCACAGGATTGCCCGCGTAGTGCCCTCTGATTCACCATCTTATCAGGATTGCGTAGCCGTTTAGAATTTGACCTTCTGACCCTTGAAGTCGCCGAGGCCGCCACGGTTTGTGGAAGAGAATCCACCGCGGCCGCCACGGCCACCGCCGCCGCGTCCACGGCCACCGAAACCACCGCGGCCACCGCCACGGCCACCGCCGCGGCCACCACCGAAGCCACCACCCTCACGCTGGGGCTTCTGGCCGGCGAAGTCCAGGCGGACAGCGCGGCCACTGCGGCCCTCACCAACGTACTGGCCGTTGAGTTGGGTGAAAGCAGTCTTGGCATCATCAATGGAGTTGAAGGAAACATATCCGAAGCCCTTGAGGTTACCCGTCTCGCTGAAGTATGTTAGTAATCTACGTGCAAGCATGCAAGGTAGAGGGAGTACTCACGGGTCAGTGGGCAGGCGAACGCTGGTGACCTCAGCGGCCGTGCTGAAGAAAGCGCTGACGGTGTCCTGATCAATGTCGAAGGGGAGGTTGCCAACGAAGAGAGTGTCGCTCTCGGGGGAGACAGTATCGCCGTGTCTCTGAGCGCGGTCGGAGGCACGAGCCTGGTGGTTGCCGTCACCAGCAGGCTTCTGGCCAGAGAAGTCGATGTTCATAGCACGGCCAGCAAGTTCACGGCCCTGGGAGCCCTCGAGGGCAGCAGCAGCAGCCTCGGGAGTGGCAAAGTCGACATAGCCGAAGCCACGGCTGCGGCCGGTAGCCTTGTCGGTAACGACGCGGGCACCAGTTAGGTCGGAAAACTCCTGGAAAGCCTCATACAGAGAGTTGTCATCAACAGCCCAGGCAAGAGAGCCCACGAAAAGGGTGGAGCTCTTGTCAGAGACATCGGTGCGAGCCTTCTTGCCGGGAATGACAGGGTCGTCAAGGGCCTTGCGCTTCTTAGAGGGCTCCTCAGTCTTGGCCTCGGTTTCAGATGCTTCCTTAGAGTCGGAGGAGTCTTCCTCTTCATCAGAATCGGAGTCAGAGTCAGAGTCAGAGTCGGAGTCAGAGTCGGAGGTCTGGCGGTGCAATATTAGTGGATGTTGGGATAGAGATTTGTGTCGGTGTTACTTACAGCCGCGGCCTTCTTCTCGGTCTTCTCATCCTCAGAAGAGTCGGAGTCGTCAGAGTCTTCCTCGGAATCGTCGCTGTCAGAGGTCTCAGCCTTCTTAGCAGTGCCGTTGGTCTTGGCCTTGGGGGCCTCCTCCTCAGAGTCTGAAGAGTCGTCAGAGTCATCAGAGTCTGAAGATTCGGCTTTCTTGGCGGCCTTAGGGGTAGCCTTCTTGACAGGCTTCTCATCCTCAGAGTCGGAAGAGTCGCTGGAAGCCTCGGCCTCGGACTCGGACGACTCAGAGTCCTCCTCTTCGCTGCTGTCGGAAGAGTCGGACTCAGGCTCGACGACCTTCTTGGTCTTCTTGGAAGACTTCTCCTTGGCGGCAGCTGCCTTGGCGACGGCCTTTGACTTGGCTTTGGGGCTCTCAGCGGCCTTGGTGACGCCGGCGTTCTTCACCTTGGTGATAGGGTCAGCGGCCTTGCTGCCCTTGGTGGTAGACTTGGTCTTGCCCATTGTGAAGGTGTGAAGAAATTGTGAATTGAGGGGTATAGGGGAGGAAGGGAAAGGGATTGGGAAGCTGGAAAAAAGCGAGAGAAGGACTTTTTTTCCAGAGCGAGGTTGCGCGAGGAAAAACTTCTCTGTAGCCTCGAGGCGGGAGCTTGAGTTTTAAGGCAAGGGTCCAGTGGCTGGGGCGAAGGGTCTTGCGACAGAGATTTTTTTTTTGCGATTTGCCAACTTTTCAGCGGGGCGGTCCCTCGACCGGTACGGGCGGTGAGCGAGGGGCTGCATGGAAGCGGGCTAGCAGGATACGTACCGAAAAGCCGCACCTGAGTCGCTCTGGGGGGAGGGAGCATGAGGGCCTGAAGCCTGCGAATTAAGGCTTCCAGAATCTGGCTGACCTGTGGTCGCCGCCAGGTTCCTCCAATCCCGACAGCCACTCCAAACCCGGGCCCTTGAGACCGACATCAAGAACCACAAGCTCGACCTCACGCCGCATAACCTCCGATTCTGGTGCCCCCGTTTTGTCCGTTTCTAACACACGCACCTTAAGGAGAACCCCCCCCTTTTTCCAACTCGAACACAACCGTCACGATGCCGACCCCCGAGTCTGAGATGTTCCTGGCGCAGAAGCCAAAGGTGGCCCCGACCTTCGACGGCGTCGACTACGACGACACCAAGGCATTCAAGCAGGCACAGGATGCCATCATCCGCGAGCAATGGGTCGGGGCCATGATGTTGCGTCTTGTTGGCGAGGAGCTGGGCAAGTGCTACAAGAAGGAGGGCGTCAACCACCTGGAGAAGTGCGGCCATCTGAGAGGTTAGTTGCACTCTTGCGACGACGGGCCGGAGACCCAATTACTGCCAGTCAGCAGAGATGGGCCTTCCCCTGAACACCGGTTGCTGACGAGAAGAAACAGAAAAGTACTTGGAACTGCTGAAGGAGAAGAAGGTCAAGGGCACATTGTTCGAGCAGCAGAACTACATCAGCAAGCAATAGACGGAACCATATTCTGTATGCGATGATGGGGCGGGAGAGCTTGGGTACGAACCAGGAGATGGTGCTCTGAAAGAGACTTTTTTCTACATCAGAAGGGGAACGCAGAGCCGAGGCCATGACGGACGGTATCACGTCAATTGGCCAGCGCGTGGTGGGCGATCTCACTCACGATATGTACAAATGAATCAAACAAGGCTTCCGGGGTTATGCATCTATGCATTGTCTTTTTGTGAAATAATTAGCTTTTCTGTGTACAAATTGATGTAAAATGATCAATCAACCCAATTGATCTTGTCTAATTGCCGCAGCGCTGAAGTTCGTTACACGGGACACGACCTGAGGTTGAAGCTCTATGGAGGTCCAGCGCCTACAGCCTTCCATGCCAAGTGCGCAACAGGCGCGTCCCGCCCGCCCCAGAATTTTTCTACTGCACCCCAAGCTCAAGCTCATGCATCTTACAACACTACCATAGCCAACGTGACCTTCTTGACGACAGCATACCCGTCGCACCATCCTGGCGTCCCCGTTCAACACCACAAAGAAAAACAATGATTTGCAGAACATGCCTGCGGCGGGCCTCGGCTCTGCCTCGACTCCCAGCCCCAAGGGCTGCCGCCGCCGTCCTCGCCATCAGACCCTTCTCCCTCTCCGCGTCCTCAAGAAAGGCAGCGGCGGCGGCAGCGGCCGACAGCGGGACTCAGACGAAAGCGGCAGACGCCCCTCCGAACCTTTCAAACCTCAAGAACGACGTACCCCCGCCGCCCAAGTCCATCTCCTCGTGCCCCCCCGGCACCGTTCTCAACGGCCTGAACTACTTCAAGGCCCGGACGGACCCGGTCGCCCTTCGCGACGAGGAGTACCCTGAATGGCTGTGGACAGTCCTAGAGTCCAAGAAGGAGGCCGTCGAGACCGCCGATGATCTCGCCGCCGAAATGTTCTGTATGTCAAGCACCGCCCCGCCGCAGGCGAGCAACCCTCGACCATCACCACCCTCCCCTCCCTTTTACCCCCCTGGGGGAAAATCTCGGACGACAGTCATGCTAACTATCATGCAAACGTACAGCCAAGTCCAAGAAGCAGCGCAAGGCCGCCGCCAAGCGTCAAAAGGCCCTCGAGGCCAAGCTCGTCGCCGAAGGCGACATCGAGGCTCTCGCGCCCAAGGTCCCGCTGCCGCAGCAGTCCATCAACCTGCCCGGTGAGAAGGGCGGCGACGTTGAGCACAACCTGTACGCGGCGACCAAGAGAGACGAGCTGCGCAAGGCAATGCGCAAGGAGCGCAAGGCCAAGATCAAGGAGTCCAACTACCTCAAGTCCATGTAAGGAGGCCGAACGTAGTATCGCGCAGTGGGTGCTGCGGCGGTTCGTGCTGCCACCGCCGGCCGTCGCAGCGTGCCTGGAACGGAGTTGTGTGTATAATAGGGAGTCAAGAGAAAAAGGTGGCTCTTGTACAATATCTACCGTCGGCGCCGCCGGCTTGTCGTATCATCACCGAAAACATCACACCTAGAAAAATAACAAGAGACGGTTTTGGCAAACGCCTTGGCTTCAGTTATTAAAGCTTGTATGCTTGAACTTGATAAATGTACACAACCGTGAAAAATGTGCATGGTGTGGCCTTTGGCGGACGTCCAAATCCCAGCTGAGCGTTTCGGTACTGCTTGCTCTTTCAGGGTCCCGCATCATACATACGCCCGCTGTTAATCTTCATCCTCCTCCTGTTCTCCGATAGACGCCTGCTTGAGTGATAGCTCTGCTCTTAGATCCTTCAGGCGAGCCTCGACACGGTTCCTCAGAATTTTGTTGGTCTGGCTCGACTTCTCTTGTTCCTTCTTCGCGATCTCGTTCTTCAGCTGCGTAATGTCCTCTCGCACTGCCTTGACCTCGTCCAGCCGCTCCTTGTCGTCGTCATCGTCGTCGTCATCGTCGTCGTCTTCGTCCTCCTCGCTCGCGACTGACCCCTCGCCGTCACCACTATCCTGAGCATTGTGTGCGGGTGTACCCGTGTTCATGGTCATGGGTGTAGCAGCCTCAAGTTGTGTTGCTGGCGTGCCAACTTCTGTCGTAGCCTGGTTCATCGCCTCTTCCTCGAAAGCAGCCATAAGCTCGGCCTCCAGATCATCATCGTGCTCATCGAGTTCGCCATCGTTGTAGCCATCAGCCGGGAAATAGCCGCTGTCGTCCGCCTCACCGTCAGCGTCTTGCTCGTCATCGGAATATTCATCACCAGACTGCATCTTTCGGTCGTCGACAAGTTCGTATTTGGAGGACAATGCGGCCGCGTCGGCCTGCAGGAGCTTCTTAACCTCGTTTTCCTTCAGCTCGATCTCCGAGCGACTGATAATCTTGGCGAATCTTTGGTTCGTAGCGTCGTGCATGGGTGGCGTTAGACCGTGGGGCCACTTGAAGCCATGCTGGATTATTGCGGGCAACGGCGCCTTCTTTGCTTCCTCTTCGCTCCTTACTTGCTGGAAAACCAGGAGCATGTGGCAAATGTCGGCAGACTTCATCAAGGTCTTTCGGTCCCAAGACTTCATGCCCTCGGTGATCGTGGGCAATTCCACCATGACCGCGGCGTAGGGCTGCCCCTTCACCACCACCATGGCGCGCCGGCTCTCCTCTTCGAAGAACTTCATCAGGATGTCTGCGCCGCCGTCCTTCCTAGGGACACCGACCTTCCCTTCCTCAATACATTTCCTGACGTATTCGCAGTGTTCACCGGGCATCATGCGCAAGATGAACTGCTCCTCGATCGTAGGATCCTTCTCTTGGTCGCTAGCCTCGGAGTCGTAACCATCGCCAGGCGGGTGTACAGGCGGTTTGCCTTTTGACTTGACGACAATATGGCCGGTTCTAGGCGTCGACACAGTTGGAGTTTTCAAGAGCTTAATCTTCTTCGACGGCTGGCCTCCACCTCCATCATCATCGTCGTCGTCCTGTTCCCGCTTCTTGGACTCGATGAGCTTGCTTGTAGGCTTGGGCTGTCGTCCAGCTTTCGTCTTGGAGGGGGTAGGCGCCGCGGGCCCAGCTGGTGTCGGCGGTTGTGATGACTTCAGCTTAATCTTCATGGATGAGGACGGAGTCGACGCCGATGGCGTCGCGCCGTTCTGTTCGCTAAACGAGGGTTGTCGCGAGCCTACGCTGAGCTTCAGTTTCGGCCGCGGCGGCGGAGCGCTGATTTCCGGCATGTTCGGAATCGTTTGTCAGTGTTTTTCGTTATCCGTTAGCGGATTATCTGGCTAGGTAATGACGGTTTGGGCGCTTTGCTCTTCAACGAGTGTCAGAAGGGTCTCGAAACCAAAGCGGCAGGCGCGCCTCGGTCGTCGCGGTGAGTTATGTGGAGCGCATACGGATATCTTGAGTGGCGACAACTGGTGGGAAAGAGGTCCTTCGTCTGAGCAGAGTATCGAGGCTTATTGTCGGGGGTTCAAGGCAAAAATAGACACACGAGGATTCACAGGTAAAAGGCGGCATGTATAGGAAGCTATTGGAGGCAAAAACCAGGCTGCAAAGTGAGGTACTGGCTCATGGTGCTTGGACAGGAACCTCTCACCCTACTTCCTAGGTGCCTAGGAAGGTAAGAGGTACTTTTTTCTAGTGGGCCCAACAGCCTTGCAGGTCGCGTGTTGTAAAGTTTAGCCTGACAAACGCCTATCTATGTCGCGCCCATCTCCACCACGGGTACATTGCACAGACGCTATTCCTTTACCAACACCAACTGGCAACAAAGCTCAGTGGTAGACCGGAGAGCAACCCCAACTGTAGGATACCTACCTACTCATCCTGTTGACTGGCTGCTGCCCTCTTTGTCTGACCTTGACTGGCTGCTGCCCTCTTTGTCTGACCTTGGTGGGTCCCTGGACGTTATGACTTCTTTTTTACCAAACACCTTCTATCAGCCAAACATCAGTATATGCTACTGAGCTTACAGGGATCGAGAGGCCAATCCAAGTGCATTCAAACACATTTTACAAGTCATCTGGACGCTGATGGTCTGACGTAGATGTTGTACAGCTAGAGCTTCAAGTTGGAACTTTTCCAACTAGCAGCACACACCAGCGGAATAAGTCCTAGGCAGCACATATGTAAGACCGAGGTTTCCGAGAAGCATGATTTGATAGTTACACCGTTGAACATCGACACCCGAAAATTGAACTTGTAGTTCCTGCGGGGCCAAGAGAAATTAGATACATGCCTGGAATGAAGACTTGCGACGTTCCATTCGGAGTAGAAATCGTTATCTGGGCTTCGCGGTCATCACTTTCTCCCTACGCTAACACACATTATGGACAAAGAGAAACGAACCGCACCCCCTAACAACCACGGTGCTTCTCCAACCCCACTCATACATTCATTCCTGAAACCCTATCTACACTACGGTAACTGCGACGGCTGCTACCACGGCACTTAGAAGAGCCGCAATGTAGCTGCTCTGGGTCGTTCTGCATCCCGCAGAGTTAGGGTTGAATACAGTTGGGGCGGTCGTCACCGCGAAGAGCCCGCCAGTGGGCGCCACAGCGTTAGCTGCCGTGGCAAGCACCATCGACGTCATCAAAGTGGACGGCAGGGTAATTACGGGACCAGGAGGACGAACGGAAGTAGTTGCATCTCCGGATCCAAGCTGCGGTTGAGCTGTTGGCTGGCTAGCCGACGTTGATCCACTGGACACAGAGCCACCGGAGCGGCTACTGCTGCCATTTTCATTGTTAGCGCCACTGCCTGAACCAGCCCCAGGACCGTTTCCACCAGGTGTGGGTGTCGGCGTGGGTTCAACAGACTTGATCGGGTTCAGGGGCGTGAGGTCAGTAGGCGAAGCTCCATTCGAAGGCGTGCTGTCGCTTGACCCAGCTGCTGGGGCGGGAACAGACGACTCAGGCTGAGGGGGGGCGACGGAAACTCCGGTTGGAGCAACCTCGGGAGTCCCCGCGGTAGGTGTGACACTGCTGAGAGGGCTTTCAGACGACGGTGTAGCAACAGGAACAGGAGCAACAGCCGCCGGCTCAGTAACTGAGACGGCTGGCGGAATAGCGGGAGTGCTGGTATCCACTTGCGGAAGAGTCGGGGTGCTGGTGTTCAGCTGAGGAGGAGCAGCGATCGGAGCGCTGGTGTTGAGCTGAGGAGCAGCGATCGGAGCGCTGGTGTTCAGCTGAGGAGGAGCAGCGATCGGAGCGCTGGTATTGAGCTGAGGAGCAGCGATCGGAGCGCTGGTGTTCAGCTGAGGAGGAGCAGCGATCGGAGCGCTGGTGTTCAGCTGAGGAGGAGCAGCGATCGGAGCGCTGGTGTTCAGCTGAGGAGGAGCAGCGATCGGAGTGCTGGTATTCAGCTGAGGCGGAGCAGCGATCGGAGTGCTGGTATTCAGCTGAGGCGGAGCAGCGATCGGAGTGCTGGTATTCAGCTGAGGCGGAGCAGCGATTGGAGTGCTGGTATTCAACTGAGGAGGAGCAGAGATCGGAACACTGGTGTTAAGCTGAGGAGCAGCGATCGGAGCGCTGGTGTTCAGCTGAGGAGGAGCAGCGATCGGAGTGCTGGTGTTCAGCTGAGGCGGGGCAGCGATCGGAGTGCTAGTGCTGAGTTGGGGAAGAGTAACAACCGGGAGGGTCTGGGTAGGAGCCGACGATGCTGGTGGAACAGCGCTGGTGCTGTTTACCGGGGGCGGGGCGGCAGTCTTGACAGGCTTAGTAGAGACAGTAGTGAAAATCGGGGTTGGCGCTGGCTGTCACAAGTCAACACAATGTTATCATTGATTTATAGTTGGATAACTCACTTCAACACCTGGGACTGCCGTTTGGTTGTTGGCAACTGGGAGACTGGTGACGGACCCGGCCGTAGTTGAAGACTCGGAGATCTTAGAGGTGGGTTGGGGGGCTTCAGGGACCGAGGTTGTCCCGGTAGCGTCGGGAAGAGAAATCGAGGAACTGGTCTTTTCAGCTGTGTCTGACGAAGTTGTCGTCTTCTGGTCCTTGGGAGCAGAGACTTTGGCGGGAGGGGTCTGGACAGGCGCTGAAGGAGTCGGGGTAGCTTCGGAAGAAGTAGACACTGAGGAAGTAGTCTTAACGGGCGCAGACGCAGTAGTGTCAGACTTCTCCGGGTTGGCCTTCTCCGGGTCAGCCTTCTCGGGGTCGGCCTTCTCGGGGTCGGCCTTCTCGGGTTCGGCCTTCTCCGGGTTGGCCTTCTCCGGGTTGGCCTTCTCGGGGTCAGCCTTGTCAGGGTTGGCCTTGTCAGGATTGGGCTTCTTGGGAGCGGACGCCTCGGAAGTGGACTGAGTCGGGGCTCCCTCGGTAGACGTAGCCTGGACAGAAGTCGATGCGGTAGGGGTAACCTCTGCAGCAACAAAGTTGGCGGGGATGGCGTTGGCTGGCAGAGTCCCAGAGTACACGACCTTTGGCGTCTGAACACCGGGCTGCTGAGTAAGCTGGGTGATCTGGAATGGCTCGGATATGACGACGGCCTTGGCGGAATCGGTGATCATGATGGCGAAGCTCTCGAAGGCTGCGATAGAGGCGCTTGGGCTCCAGTTCAGGCGGCCGACGTTGTCGATTTGCACTGCAGGGTTTGTCAGTTTCGAGGTTGCATGTCCTTGCAGAGAGGCGGGCCTTACCTCCAATCTTCTCAGCGACGACGGACAGGTCTGTCTTGCCGCTGGGGATGAGGTTGATGTTGATGGGCGCCTTGAGACCCGTTGTTTGCCATTCGACCTCGAACTGCTGGTTGGGCATCAACACGTCCCCTCCCCTAGGCTTCGAGATTTGTGCATCGCAAAGGGCAGCGCCCAGCAACAGCGCCAGTGACTTTGCGAATCGCATTGCGTCTTTGAATTAGTTGTTGAAAATAAGAGGATGCCGAGCCTGTTGTCCACCAAGATCGAGTGCCTAGTATCGAATCGAACAATATACGAAAAGAGCGAAAAAGGATGGCAACTGGGGCTCGCGAGTATCGAGTTCGAATGAGTGGAACGAATGGACCGGCTTGAAAAGAAGCTGACCTGCAGACCGTGTAGAAGAGAAGACAAGAAAATGAAGGTATTCCGAAAAAGAACGGCAGGAAACAGAATCGAAGGTGAACTGCGAAAAAACAACAACAACGACAACAATAACGGAACAAGAAGAGAAGCGAAGAGAAACAGAGGATCCGATGAGGCAGACCGGACGAGCAATTAGGGGTGACTGCATCCAGAGCATTCCCCATTCGGACTGACGCCGTTCTGACAATGGGTCATACTCCGTACTCCCAGGGGTACGCGGTTTTCCGTGAGAGGTTTCCCCAGAGCGCCAACCCAAAGCCAGGAGTAAAGGCTAGGCAGGGGGGCCGGGGGCGTCTCATCGGTCCACGCACGCTATTACGGGATGGGGTCGACAGCAGCGGATTGCAGCTTGAAGTGGGCCAGGCCAAGGCATCGCCCCGATGCACAAGAAGCATCTCACTTGACGGCTTTAGGCATCCAGGGCCGGCATGATCGCTGGGATGCAAACCACCTTGGTGAGGGGCGGCGATGGAGGTTGAAGTGAAGGATTTCGCAATAGAGGCAGTGTTGGGTCTCGTAACCACCGGAAGAGCTTCTTTCGTCGATTGCCATTGCTCGGCTAGGCGTCGCATTGTGCAGGAAGCTCATTCCGGTACTATAATATGATATCGACAATTTCTCCGCCCTCCTTGCCCCTAGCTCCTGGGAGCCCCATGTTTGGGTTGGATTTAAGCATGAGATCCGGTAAGGAAAAAACGCCCATAACCTCGAACGGATCGACGGGACCGCCGGTGTCAGTGTCAGACAATTAATTTTCGTCCAATCTCGTTGCGATGGGTCCCTGGAGGATCCATCTTGTCGAACAGTCGAATTGTCGAGAAGTTGGACATTGGACGTTGGGATGATAGGGGAGCTAGCGCTGTGGGAAAGCTGCGGCTGAGACACTGTTCCTGGGGTCGATCAAACCTAAAAATCTTGTCGGGTCCTAAGCGAGGGCACGGGACCACGTTAAGACTTACCATGCGGAACGCTGCGAAACCACTAACATATTTCACCATACCAGGGTCCTTGTGTCACCCATGTTTGACACCGTCACCCTCTAGACTCAAACAGCGTTCGTCGGGCGGCGTATGCAAGGTGCCATCCGTAAATGCGACCGTTTCACTTTATTCCTCCCAACGTACGAATACAATCGGTTCCGCTGAGCTGCAATCATAAGGCTGATTGGCCTGTCGTAACCGGCCGAAGTCCGACTGGGCCGATGGAGATTGCAATGCATCTGGGCGGCCGAGTCTCATGCATCCTGTGCCCAGAACTGTATAGGTAATATGACGACACACTGCCGGTCCAGCAAGGAGTTCGTCTGTCAATATGGAGCAGGCGCCCATAGTCATCGACAATCATTGAACACGAATAAACTTTGGCGGGCGACATTGGTGCTGTAGAAAAGACCAAGAAGGCCTGGTCCCATTCCATTCAACCAACCGCGTAATACCGTACAACCCTTTGCACCTGTCAACGTAAAAGCCATGACACTAGAACCAACGGTGAGCTTCGACCACGTTCAAGCCAGCCAGCCACCGTTCCACCTAAATATACAGTCCGTTTCTGTCCAAGGCACGTGTGCCAACCTTGTCTAGAACATGATCCGAAGTACCCTTGTCCTCTTTAGGCACCACCCTCGGACTGATTTCCTGGCGTGTTGGTAGACACGCCGTGGAAAGCATCGCCAAAGGCAGAGTCTTCCATCTCCATGTTCATGTCAAGGCCGTCTGCCATGGATGCTCCATAACTAGCCATCGCGTCACCGGCAGAGTCGAGGTCGCCCAGAGAACTAAATCCACCAGGCGTCTGAGTCTCCGCTGGCGTTCCGGCGGCCGATGGAATTTTGGCAGCTGCCTTGGGCTCATCACCCTCAGTCGCGCCTGTGCTGGTGGCAGCACCGGCACCGGGTTCAGGCGATGTTCCCCCTTTAGGCACAACCACCCACTCCCCGCTGCCGGTCCCATGGTCGGGCGCGGTGGCAGGCGTATTCTTGGTAGCGTCCGTGTTGCCCATTGTGACATCCTCTCCAGCGCCAGCAGAAGCGCCCGCAGAAGCCTGAGTCTCGGTCTCCTCAGGAATGGTTGGGGGAACTGGTGCAGGCGAAGGAGCGTTCGCGTTGGCTGGGGTTCCGGCCGTGGAGTTGAGAGCAGACATGTGAGTTTGCGGCGTGGGAAAGTTGTTCAGCGGAGTGGAGTTGGCAGAGAACCCGGTATGCATCTCATCCAGGAGTCCTGCCGCAGTGCCACCCATGTCGATATCCGAGTCACCCACCATCACCCCACTATGAGTAGAGCCAGCCTGGGATGGTCGTCGCGATCCCAAAGCACCTGCATCAGCGCCGGCCGCTGGCGGGAGAGAGCTTGCCGGCGGCGGGACGGGCGAGGGCTCCTTGACGGGCTCCGGAGCAGGCTCCTGGAACCCACCGTCTTGTATCCGGTGGACATTGTGAAGGACTTCGATTTGTCGGCCGAGATTGCCTTCGACCTGGGCCACAATCTCATCTACCTTCTTGTTGTGCTTTTGTGACCATGGGCCAGAGTTATCCTCCGAGTCTGTGTAGTGACCCTCAATGCGCCACGGCTCTGGGCCATGCTCCTGAACAGAGTTCTTGATATCCTTCTCGGCATCCACGAACACCGAGCTCGCCTTCAGGCTAGCCAAGTTTTTCGCATGCTCCGCCTTCATCTTCTCCATCTCGGCCTTTGTCGCGTCAAGATGCTCCCGGACCCTCTTTCTAAACTCGTCGGCCAGCCCAGGTTCTAGCCGCCCAATGTACGGCTTCTGAGGTGGTTCAGTGAGCGCATCCGCACCCTGTGCAGGGAAGATGCCGTCAGTCAGAGACGCCAGTTCTCCCTTGAGCCCAAGACCAAGATCAGGAGGTACAATCTGACTAAGACCGTAAGGGGAAGACACAATCTCCTCCATCCACTCATGATTTTGCTGGTATCGCGCAAAAGAAATGTCTCTTGGGGTCAAGTGATCAAAGAGATCTTTCTCTAGCTCCTCATCATCATGCAGAGCCTCAGCATGAGCGAGAGCTTGTTGATGCTGCTGGGCTTGAGCCTGCGCCTGCGCTTGTTGGCGACCTCGGCGACCCTGGGGACCAGTCGGAGGATAGGCCATCTGCTGCGGAATACGCCGCGACTGCGCCGGCGGGTTATACATCTGTGGTCGTCCACCGTTACGGGGGAACTGGATTTGGGGCCAGCTGGCGCGATCCGAAAGCATGAAATCCTTGCGGGCAATCTGACCGCACTTCTGAAGGTGATTACGAGTCGCCATAATATGCTGTGTTTCTTGAGAGACGGGAATCAGATTGACCGGAACGCGATCAGGAGGATCCGAAGGACCGTAATGCACGATCCAGAGACTGATGTCTGGCTGTGGCGCATTCATCACACCAGTCTGCGAAGGCACAAGGCGGAATCTACGACGCGCATGCATGGCAACCTGCTCTCCAGGAATGAATCCTGATTTGACGTAATGAATCTCGAGAGACTGCAGCCATGGTCAGTTTACTGCAACGACAAGACAACGAGATACGTACAAGTCCATTCCCAACATCCTGTCTATGGTATTGCTCTGGGCCCCAGATCATTCCATCACTTGCGAAATTTGTTCCGAGTCTCTTGAGGGGTTGCCATGTGAGGTAAACTTGGCCGTCGCGGGGTCGATCAAGGTAGGTCCAGAAGAATGGAGCCTTGTCTTTCGCGACTTGAGGTGCGGCCATCAGCCATTTCGTGACTTGGTTCAAATCGACGCGTGCCTGATCGGCATAGTGGTTGGCAGATATAAGATGGGCGTGGTTCAGCTACAGAATCATGAGCGACTATTGCATTTGCGGCAGGCCAACGGTGCAGCTACTGACCAGCTCCTGATCAATTCCATCACTCGGGTCCTGCGCCATGGTGGATCGCGGTCAAGGGCGCAGGGTGTGATATTGTTGGGTGGATGGTGCTGACGCGTATTGCTCTGGCAGCGGAGAGCAATCAAGTGTTGCCGCAAAGTGCGTTCGTGGTAAGAAAACTGGTAATCGTGGAATAGACTCGGCGTGCGATGCCGCGACTAATTCGAAGGCTGCGTTGATGGATGAGTTAACTCAGTAGGTAGATTCGCGATCCCCAAATTTGTCGCGACAAGGCTATGGTGCCCGAGAAGACGCTGATTTATGCCACAGCCAATCAAAGCAGCTCAGAGAACAGGGCCGTGCGCACACGCTCCCCTACCACTAAGGTGCCTTCCGGTAGCTAGCTACCTATACCTGGATGGGTACTCAGTGATGATGCTGAGTCATCCATAGTCTCCCGTGCGTTAGTTCTCGTTGTCTGAATTCCTCTTCCTCTGCCTACCTACCCACCTTACCTAGGTAGGTGGTGACCTGAGCGGTGCGCTGAGGATACCAGCAAGAACAGAAATCATGCCAACCTAGACGTTATGGAAAGGTTATGGCAAGCACATATATAGTTCTCAATTCTGTCTCATCCTGTCCCGACACCGAAACAAGTGGCGCGATTCGACATAGGGTTAGCTGACACCAGGGGCAAACATCAACATTTGGTATTCATAACTTTAGTGCAAAAGTCACATCTGCAGGTAATGAATGCTGTGTTTATCTTTTTTTTTTCCTTTGGAAATTACGTGGAATCGTTTGGTTTCATTCCCTTGGCACCATTATACCAGATATCATAGCGTGCCCTTTCCTAAATCTACTCGTAACCCATCCAGAAATCTTTTATGCGTTGTAGTTAGAAGCAGAAACGTTGCCTCCGCGGCCAGTCCAGTTTACGTGGACACTGGAATTTCCCTGCTTGTATTTGGACACCGCATCCTCCTGGAATTGGAATGTGTGAGCACCGAAGTAGTCACGCTGAGCCTGAAGGAGGTTGGCGGGCAGGTTCTTGGTGCGGTAGCCGTCGAACCAGGAGAGGGCAGTGGAAAAGGCCGGAGTTGGGATGCCAAGAAGAGCGGCCTTGGAGACGACGTCTCTCCAACCAGGCTGAGCAGTGTGGATGGCCTTGTTGAAGAAGTCGTCGAAGAGGAGGTTCTCGAGGTCAGGGTTGTTGCGGTAGGCGTTGGTGATGTCCTTGAGGAAGACGGAGCGGATGATGCAACCACCGCGCCACATGAGGGCGATGGAGGGCTTGTTCAGCTTCCAACCATACTCCTTAGCGGCCTACAGTACATGATTGTTAGTATACTTGGTTTGACAGAGAATACGAGAGTAGCCACATACCTCCTGCATGAGCATGAAACCCTGGGCGTAGGAGACGATTTTGGAGGCGTAAAGAGCCTGCTCGAGGTCGTCGATGAACTGCTCCTTGTTGCCCTCGAACTTGTTGTTGCGACCAACGTAGGAAAGGAGGGTAGAAGCCTTGGTGCGCTCCTCCTTGATGGCGGACAGACAGCGAGAGAGGACAGCCTCGGCAATGAGGGTGACGGGCATGCCAAGGTCAAGAGCGTTGACCGCAGTCCACTTGCCGGTACCCTTCTGGCCAGCCTTGTCGAGAATCTTCTCGACAAGGGCGACGCCGTCGTCGTCGTTGAAGTACATGATGTCACGGGTAATCTCAATCAGGAAAGAGTCCAAGACACCCTTGTTCCACTTGGCGAAGACATCACCGATCTCCTTGCTGGAGAGGCCGAGACCACGCTTCATGATGTCGTAGGCCTACAGCGAATTAGCAGCAGTTGGGAAGGCCGGACCCTGGTGACACATACCTCGCAGATGAGCTGCATGTCACCGTACTCGATACCGTTGTGGACCATCTTGACGTAGTGGCCAGCACCCTCATCACCAACCCAGTCGCAGCAGGGTTCGTCATCGCTCTTGGCACTGATGGACTGGAAGAGGTCCTTGAGGTAAGGCCAAGCCTCTTCGTTGCCGCCGGGCATCAAAGAGGGGCCATAGCGGGCACCCTCCTCGCCACCGGAGACACCGGAGCCGACGAAGCGGATTCCCTTGGAGGCGCAGTACTTGGTGCGGCGGTTGGAGTCAGGGAAGTGAGAGTTACCACCATCAATGATGATGTCGCCCTGCTCGAGAAGGGGGATGAGGGTCTCAATGTAGTCATCGACGGCCTTGCCGGCCTGGACGAGCAGCATGACACGGCGGGGGCTCTTGAGCTTGGAAACAAACTCCTCAATGGAGTGAGCACCGACAATGGACTTGCCCTTGGCCTCGTTGGCGAGGAACTTGTCGACCTTCGAGACAGTACGGTTGAAGGCAGCGATGGTGAAACCGTGCTATATGTATCGTCAGCAACGTGCGGGTGGCTTGACAGGGTCTATGAAAGGTTGACAGACGTCGGCAGCGTTCAGGATAATGCTACGTCGATGGTTAGAGTACAGCTCTTATTGCACTGGGTGGATAAGGGACTTACTTCTGACCCATGACGGCCAGGCCGATGAGGCCCATATCAGCGCTGTGGTAAATCGTCAGCTTCAATGCTCAGAAGCAGCAGGTAGTAGTATTCAGTTGCGAAAAAAAAACGGAACGGGACCTCGGAGCAGGCACAACGCCAGCCACAATGTTGGCCAGACGAGCGCTGCATTGCATGAGTACATTACTGTGTCCAGGTCAAACAGGAGGAGCAAGTAGCTGGAGGCCAACGTCCACTGCCACCTCCCGTGAGCCCGCACTAGGGCCGGAACATCATGACGGACACCGACTTGCGCGATTTGGCAGTCATCGTAGTCAACGCCGTGAGCATTGGAGGCCGATAGCGGGGTGGTGGGGTAATTGGCTTTGGGGCGAAGAGAGGGGTTGAAAGCTGACGAAAACTACTTACACAGGTCCAGACATGATGAAAGATGTGTCGGTGGTGTTACGTGGGGGGGGGTTGTTTTTGATGGAGGAGAGGTTCAAACGCGCGTTTCTGTGATGGCTGCGGGAGCGTCGAGTTATTTATCTGTAGGGAATGTGTCAAGAAGGAGACCAGAAGCTGGAGCTTTCGTCAACCCGGACGAAGTTTGTAGCGGGAGGGTCGACGGAGGGGTAGGATGGGAGGGGGTTTGCGTTAGTGGCAGGGGCCACCCTGACAAGCGCCAAATGTGCACACACACCTCCCAGTCAACCAGTCTATTGCTTCCTACCAAGCTGCACCAAGCTGCCCGGTGCTTCGCCAGTCGGCAACTGGCCTCAACTTATTTTTTTTTTCCGCCTCTGGGCGTGCGAATTGGAAGCAGGGACAAAGACCGGGCAGAAAGCGGAGACTAGATGGTGTCTATGATGGTCGACAGGGCTGCTTTGACGGCAACACTGGCTTGCAATGATTGGCTTGGTTGGCGGGACAGAACCATAGCTTACTCATGGATCATAGTTCCAGCATTTCCGTACGGATGCCCGTGTATGAGAAGAAGGGGGACATACACATCACCACCCCGACATTGAGCTCCATCAAGGCCCTCACCCCCACTTTCAATTGGACGGTCTGTCATGGAGGGGCAGACTATGACGATGGCCTCCTGCTACCTCATGTTTCCCGCGCTGTCCAGCTTCTTCTCGAGGTTTGTTTTGGCCGCTCTAGCAGGACCTCTCCTTTCTCTCGGTGCAAGGCAGAAGCAAGTCCAGTCATTGCAGAATATTGACTCAAGCACGGTACAGCATCGAGCACCTCCGTGTGCTTACATTAGCGACTCTCGAGGTAGGTGCCACGGTTAACGCATTGTGCAATAGCCCGGCACGCGTGGCGGATGGCGACCCGGCAACGACCATCATGCCTGCTCCACGCCGGCGGTGTTTTAGTCAAGCAGCGCGCCAGCCTGACGCAGCCCGTCGTCCAAAAAGCCGCTTCTGGATCCGTCCAGTTGTGGTTCGATTCGGCGATAGGCACCCCTTCCTATTGGTGGCCGCGTGTTATCTCACACTCTGGTTGTTCCAGGGAGATTTGCGACTACGGTATTCAAACTCGATGCGTCAGACCCTGACGTTTCGCAACTTGCCGTGGAGGAACACGATGCGCTCGGTCGAACAGGGCGCGGGGGTTCTAGCTAGTTGGCAATGCTAATCTGCGCGCTGCCTGCCTGGCGGCACATGTTATCTATCTTCCTCCTAACGGACCTCCGGTATTCACTCGCTCGCGGCTCGCCTCGCTTTGCTCGCTTCTAATCTATCGTGGCAGCAGGGGGCCGAAGGGAATAGGGTGTCTGTCTGATGGTGTCCGTTTAATTACTCAAATATCCCCGAGAGCCGCCATGCGCAACCCAACATCAAGCCAAGAATCGCATTGTGGGCCATTCCGTCTTTTCAGCTCTTCGGCATGAACCCCCCTCCCTGTCACCCTGGACAATGTCCATCAGCAGAGCTTTAAAGCAACTCCGGATGCCCAGACAGATATCTCGCTGTCGCGGTTCGTCCAAGAGCACGTCCCGGCATTTCGTCCGGACGCGAAAACCCCACGGACAAAGATGCAGCTTATTACCACCAGTTCACCTAAGCAGTGGAATAGGTCAGCGAGAGATAATGCAAGCGCCTCGCGGTTGCTTTCCCTAGACGGCTGATAGCAGGCCTTTTCCGCCATGCGCGACAAGCAAAATATGCGCTTCAATGGGTGTGCAGAAGCAGTCGGACCCAGCCAGACCCAAGCTGGCCGGAAGAAACCCCTCTTGGGCGAGTATGCTGGTCAAATCGATTATGTTCGTTGAGACCCACACCCTCAGCAAAAGGGACAGAAAATATCGCACCTCTGTCTCTAAAGCACCTAATGTACCGAAGTACTTTGAGGTGTGAACGGAGACCGAGAGCAGCGGTAGATCCGCCCTGGACTGCTGGTTGCTCACAAAGCGACAAACCTGGCTCTGACATGGGAAACGAGGGGCAACCTCAATCTTAGTGGGGGTTGGTCGCACGACCCGGAGTTGTCGGTTAGGAAACCCGCTAGACCTCCACTGTGAATCCACGCGCATTGTTGATTGGCATGGACCGACCGTGAGAAAACACAGCGTTGATGGTCATGATGTCAGCCAACAACTCAGCGGTGTAACAAACAAATAACCGTATCAACGGTCACCCGCCATGTCAGTCTGACTGATAAAGAGTACCCAGTTGATGCAGAAACGGAACGCAATGGAAAAAGTTCCGGTGGTGACAACCCAGATTGGCAGAGCAAAACAGCCGGGCCGATGCCAAATGGCTCAAGACGGAAAGTCCGTCCTTGTTTTCCGGCTTTGTATTCCGCCTTTGACTGGACTGCACGGAGGACCTCGGGATTCGACGGGCTTACTTAAGCAATGTCGCTTGGTACCGGCCCACACGGGAGAAGCTGCCAAGGTTCTTGCCAACGGAGCCACTCTTCGCACGTGACTATATCGGAGTTAGCCACTAGCCACATCGGCTCTACTCCGTCGCCGAGGCTGGAGGCTCCATCGTCACATTTTCTCCGGTTCCATCAAGAAACATACCCATCTCTGCATTTGCGCCAGCTCCGACCGATAGCACGTGCGGCATCGGCAATAGCAACCAGCAAAGGAGATCTTGACTTCTTTGAGCGGGAACCCCCAGGCTCAGAGGTACGTTGCCACAAAGAACGCTTCCAAGCAAGCCCACGCGACTTGCATCAAGGAAAAATCATCTTTGAAATCCGCAGTTCATTCATCATGGCATACCCGCCCCCTCCAGGTATCTCAAGCGGGCCTTCCGCTGGCAACCCGTCCTCTCACCCTTCCCTACCCGCACGGCCGCCCTCGTCCAAGACCTCCGGAGTCTTCAAGCCCGCCTTCAAACCCGCTTTCGGCGCGGCAGCCTCCCCGGCGGCAGCACCCACCTATTCGAGCGCATCAAGCTACACGCCGGCGCCCGCCCCCAACTATGGCACCTCCTACCAGTCCTACCCGCCACACTCCTCGCCTGCGGTAGGAAGCGCCGGGCCCTATCAGGCACCGCCATCCTCATATAACCAATACCCACGAGCCGGCACCGGTGCCGGTGCCGGTGCCAGCTACGGTCAGGCCACGAGCTACAATGCACCGCCTTCCACATACGGCGCCGCGCCGCAGATCCGTAACCCTTTCCCGATCCCCGGCAGCGCCACCGACTACGACCCCGACATGGCGATGCAGATAGCCCAATGGCAGAGCGCATACAGCTCCCGGGATGCGACGAGCAGAGACGCCGTCGGCGGTCCCGGCGGCCGCGGCATCCCGGCGACGGGCGGCTCTGCGGCCGCCCCCTCCGTCGTGCCCGACCCCGCAGCAGTCGCCGCGGCAGCGGCAGCGGCGAACCAGCCCCCGGAGCGCAAGAAGACCGTCGTCCGAGAGGGTGGCGGCAAGAAGTGGACGGATGACACCCTCACCGAGTGGGACCCGAGCCACCTGCGCCTTTTCGTCGGCAACCTCGCGGGCGAGGTGACGGACGAGTCTCTTCTGAAGGCCTTTGCGCGGTGGAAATCCGTGCAAAAGGCGCGCGTCATCCGCGACAAGCGCACCGCCAAGTCAAAGGGCTACGGCTTCGTCTCCTTCAGCGACGCCGACGACTTCTTCCAGGCCGCCAAGGAGATGAACGGCAAATACATTCAGAGCCACCCCGTCACCGTCCGCAAGGCAAACACGGAGATTAAGATCACCAATGCCAAGGAGAAGGACCATCACAACAACCGCAAGAACAAGAACAAGAAGCACTCCGGCAACGGCGGCGGCGGCAGCAAGCATGCCGGCGAGGGTACCGGATACGAGCCCCACCTCGGCCCCGTGCACAGCCATGGCGTCACCAAGCCGGGGCAGAAGACCAAGAACGGTCTCAAGTTGCTCGGGTGAACGTTCGTCTTCCGCCGGTACGGTGTATTTCTGTCTGTTCGAGTCGGCTTGGCGGGGGCGGGGGGCGTTTTGGAGTTGGAGGTTCATCATACCCATTCTAATCATCGACGCGTATCTCAAAAATAGAACCATCTTCTCAAACTCGATTCTAAGTGTCGTGATGTTCGCATCCGTGATTTGACCAAGCGTGCGAAGCCCCTTAGCCGGAGTGGCATAGTAAGCTGGTAAGCATGATGTATGAATATCATATGCTACTTTCCCATGCCTGCGCCAGCTTTCATTATGGCAGTCCACATTGGTCGAATAAGTTGCACTCTGTGCGTTGCTTCTGAAATTTGCGCACAGCTAACATATCCGAGGCTTCTACACCAACTTACCCAGGTCCAGCAGAATCTCGTCGGGGACAGTGGCCGTGAGCAAGGCCTTCGCACGTTACCTAGGTAAGCGAGCCGAAGTACCAATCTCTTTTTCGCTGAACTCCAAGCCCATCGTAAGCTACCTCTTTTGCGGGACCATGCATGTACCATCACGGGAGCTGTGGTAACTTTTTTGTTGGAACCATGTGTATATGCCATTTGTGGTCGATCATGCTTGATATTCTCTTGTGTATCTAACCTCTCCGGGGTATTACAACAAGATGATGTCTCAGAACCCAGCGGCCTGGGTCTCGACTTTGTTCTACTCTACCGCCAATGGTATATCCACCTCGTTATGCAACTCTTTCCTTTCGAACCTAAGAACTTTGGGGTTTCATCCATAAAGAACCCGCGAGTATATAGCCATTTTGCCAATTTCTCTCAGAAACCTCCATTCTCCTTCCCAGATAAAGCCCATGAACTCCTTGCCTGCCTCATCTGCCAACCGACAAGATGTGTTTTGCCCTTTTTGAAAAATGAAAAATGTAAAATGTGTTTGCCGGATCCCTTGAACTGAATTTACAACAAAAGAGATGAACACGTACGGGGGAGGGTGTACGCCTAGTTGTCGCGGTGAGCCTGGGCCGTTCGTGATTCTTGCGCCGTGTGTTGCGGGTTGGGCAAAATATCGCCGTCTGCAGTGACGAGGTTGTCCTCATAATCGGTGCTGTTCCGCAGAAGGCCCGTTTCTTCGCCACCGTCGTCGTTGTCGCTTCCGCTCGAAGATGAGCCGGAGGCAACCTCCATATGGCCACGCTGGACCTCCTTCTGAGCATTCTCACGCATCTGAGTGATCTTGATATAGTTGTACGCAACGATGGCGCCCATGGTGGTGATGAGACCGACAAAGTTGATGGGCGTCAGGCGGTCGTTGAAAACGAGAGCGGCGGCGGAGATGGTGACAACCTCCTTGAAGATACCGGCAATAGAGAGGGTGACAACCGAGGTGCGCTGCAGCAGAGCGAACTCGGAGGCGGTCATGAGGAAGGCGATGCAGCCGGGGAAGAGCAGGAACAGGGGGGTCGTGACAACACCCCACTCGGCCACGAGGACCTTCAGGCCTTCGATGAGAGCCGGGAAGCCCTCGACGGGAATGGCGATGACGATCAATGTCAAAAACATGACTGGTGCCAGGAAGAAAATACTGGAAAAGGGGTTGGAGGTCGCTGGATTGCGGAGCAGGAGGATCTGGGTCAGACCCCAGCGGAAACCGGAGAAAAAGGCGGCAGAGATGACGAGGATGAAGCCGCTGACCTTGAATTCGACTTCCCCCGAGACCATGAGAACGACACCAAGAGTCATTGTGGCAATGATGGCCACAAGACGCCAGGTAGGCTGTTCGAGCCGGAATAAAAAGGCGAAGATCAAAACGAACGCTAGAGAAGATGATTTGCACATGGCTGGCCCAGTCGTTAGTATTGTAGGAAAGCTCAGGCGACGCAATCTACTTACTGTAAAAGGTGAGGGTAATAAACTTGAGTGATGTGTTTCCCAACCCGATATCGAGACCCGTCGCGGCACCGCAGGGCCCAATGCGCGTCAGGTAGAACATTTTGGTCATCAACGGCCGGTCCGGCTCGGATTCATGCCGCGAGCGGCCCAGGTCCGAGTTTCGCAGACCATTTGACGGGCGTAATGAGGGTACTAAGAATAAGACCAAAGATGAGAGGGCGAACTGCACCAGCATGTGGCACGCAGTCGTAAACAGGGGGAAAGCAAAATTGAGGCGGTTTTGGTCAAACATCCATTTGTTGTACTACGAAATGGAGCGTCAGCTTGCGTTTTCTGCTGACAGGAGTAACAACAGAAGAACAAAAACTTACCAATGAAATGCTGAGTGAAAAGAAGTACCACAGCAAGATCAGGACCACATTGATGACAGACCTCCTAATAACGTTTTGGTCGGCCTCCTTCTTCTCTTCGGCCGAGATCTGTCCGCGAACGATTCTCTGGTCTAGTCGTGTGTTGTTGCTTCTCTTATTCTTCTTCCTGCGCTTGTCCTTCTTCGTCAGGCCTATCTCCTCGTCGTCGTGGAGATCCTCGTCGGAGAAGCTGTCGTTTTCGGCGTCTTTGGAGGCCGATGGTGTCGCGCCGAAGTCCTCCTCCGATATCTTTGGTTCTTCGGACAGGTTCCCCTGACTCCTCGACGGGGCCTTCTGGTGGTTGCTGGAGCCGGCGTTTTGCATGAGAGAACTGCGGCGCCGGCGGTGACCGACCCCTTTCAACGGCTCCATCTCGAATTCTTGTTCGGCAACGGCGCCGCGTGCGCGGATAGGGTTCTCGTTATTAGTGTTGGTCAAGGTAAGGGCAGAGCCCAAGTCCGAATATGTGTGAGTAAGATCAGTGGCAGCGGCGTCTTGTGACCGGGGGTCATCCGGGTTCGCGGATATTGGCGATGTGGTCGCGTGCCCAGGGGAGGACGCGGTGGGCGGTGGGAGGAGCAAAGGTGACGGGTTCAGGAGGCTTCGGTTGGTAGCAGCAGTAGCGTGATCGTGGGAGATAGGCGGGAGGGCGTCTTCGTGGTCAATGGGATCGGGGGAGGATGCTGTGGCACTGGCAATAGCAGAGGCAGAGGCGGATCGACTAGGGTCAGGAGACAGCACATGCACAAGTGAGGATGAGGTCGAGTCTGACGGGGAGGAGGATCGGGGCATGATTTAATCTGGGATTCCACAACGGGGGTTCGCAAGTGGTAAGGCAAGGTCGGGTCGGGTCTGGTCCCGGTCCAAGTCCAGGTAAACTAGGTCCAGATTACCGCAAGGTACGGGTACTGCTCGCTGGCTCTCGCTGCCTGCGCATCTGATTGTTGTGTCCACTCTGGACTGGGTAATTGCTTGTGCTTGTGCTTGTGCCTGTGCCTGTCGGTGGAAAGAGAGAGGGGGTCGGGACGAGAGAATGGGCGCCGCTCATTTGCTGGCGGTAGCTAGGTTGGCGGTGGTGCTTTGGCGTTGTCAAGGTCAAGTGTCACGCCCACACGCTGATCTTAGTATGGAGGGTGGGAAGAGAGGAGAGAGGGTAGTGAGTGCTAGGGGTATAGATACGTACCTACGCACGCAAGGCACTGGGTGGTATGGTAGGCAGGTAGGTAGATAGGTACCTATGATCTCGGTGGCTTCGTCTCCCCCTGTCTGCGAGGTGGACACCTTGGGGTCAGTATAGTGGGTTGTATGATCGATGTATTCCTTAGCTATGGCCCATGATGTAGGGTGATCTATGTATCCGTACTTGTGGTACCTGATGCCTGAGGCATGTCTCACAGTTGCCGGCCCCTTTTTTCGGAAAAAGCGTCCTCGCTTCGGAAAAAGCTATCATTCCTCAAATCAAACTCCAATCATCTATCTGATTACTCAAAACTTGTAACCAGCTTCCGCCAGCTGTTGGCCATACTTCTTAAGGCGGATGGACTCGATCGCGATGAAGCCAGTCGCATCAGCGGGATCGAAAGTAGTGAGGGGGTCCATAGAGGCATCCTCCTCGGAGTACAACTTCTCCGGGGACCTGCGGCCAAGAACGTAGGCTTGACCCTTGTGCAGCTGAAGGCGGACTTCACCGTTAACCCATTCTTGGGCGAAGTCGAGACTTGGCTGCAGGAATTCTCTCTCGGGACTGTAGTAAAGACCATTGTAGAGCAGCTGAGACCGTTGCTTGCTCAACGTATCGCGGGCAGCCCTCGGGCGGCCATCGAGAGTAAGGCCTTCGATCGCGATGTGAGCCACACGAAGGATCGTCATGGCGGGAGAGTCGTAGCAACCCCTAGACTTCAAGCCGATCAAGCGGTTCTCAACGATATCAATGCGGCCAATGCCATGCTCCTTTCCGAGCGCGTTAAGGAGCTTGAAAACTTCGACGGAATCGGTCACTGTCTGCTGGGTCTCAAGAGTCACAACCTTGACAGGAATACCCTTTTCGAAGTGGATTGTGATGTGGGCGGGGGTGTCAGGAGCCTTGAGCGGGGAGACAGTCATAGTCCACATGTCCTCAGGGGGGGTTGACGTCGGGGTCCTCAAGCATGCCAGCCTCGTACGAGCAGTGCGCGAGATTTGCATCTATCGAGTACGGCTTGGCCTTGGTGGAAGAGACGGGAATGTTCTTCTGGGCTGCGTATTCAAGCAGATCGTTCCGGCCTTGAAAGCGCGAGGTGAACTCAGGCAGACGCCAGGGGCTGATGCACTTGATGCTGGGGTTGATGGTGTAGAATGCGAGCTCGAATCTGACCTGATCGTTTCCCTTGCCGGTGCAACCGTGAGACACAAACTAGCAACCCTCCCGAGCGGCAGCCCTCATCATGCCGCGTGCGATGACAGGGCGAGCCAAGCTGGTACCCAGCAAGTAGGTATCCTTGTATTGTGCGTTGACCTTGACGGCCTTGAAGCAAAGGTCCTCAACCATTTCGCGCTCGAGATCGTCGATGATCATCTTCTTGGCGCCTATCTGGAGAGCTTTCTTCTCGACGGCAGCCCAGTCCTCCTCCTGGCCAACATTGGCGATGTGTGCGACGACCTCATATCCCTGGTCAAGCAGCCAGGCGAGAATGGTCGAGGTGTCAAGACTACCTGAGTAAGCGAGGCACACGGTACCCTTGGACATGTTGGCTAGTTGTTGCAATTGGTTGATTGACGCCGAGATCATGGCTGCCGCGGCCTCCGGTGTCGTCGGTGCAGACATGTTGTCTTGCTGATATGAATCTTGCTGGTGCCGTGATAATCTTGTAGATGGTGAACGACGTGCTTCCTCCGTCGATAGTGAGCGGTGTCCCTATTTGGCGTCTGGTGACGTGACTGATTTAGTTAGGGTATTGCCTGTGCTGTGTGCTCTGCGATAGGATGAGAGGAGGGGAGTATATTGGGTTAATATAGGTCGCTTGTCAAGGTCCAAGGGGCCTATACGTAGGTTGTCGTCCAATGTAGTCAGTCGCAGTGTAGGCAACTTGTGGAGGTCTAACGTAGACAACCTGGATGTCACACTCTCAAGGTCTAACAGGATAGCTTTAGGCTTGCTCGGTGGGTTTAGTGGTTGTAGAGTTGTGCTATAGGTAGTTGTTTGGTGACGCTACCTATAGAGAAAGTTCTTAATAGACCTAGTTTAATTCTATTTCACTAGAAATAATACGTTAAAGTACATTAGATTATCTACCTATAGGATATAATTTGATAACTTAGTTACAAGTGTAACATTGTTACTCTTAATATGTAATAATTAATTTACTTCTATACAGTGTAACAGTTACTCTACCTATACTTATAGGTCAGTTACTAACATAAGAAATATTAATATGTAGTCTGTGACTTAGATAAAAGGTCAAGGGAAGTAAGTTAAGATTAGGGTCCTAGTTGAATAATCCTTGGATATGTGATGGGTTGACGTTAGAGGTTATCAGATTTAGTGGGGTGATTCGGATAATGGTGGGGTTAGCGTGGGGCAGGGCTTGCATGTGGTTGGTCACCACTCGTCAGTATCAGAAACTGATTTGGCGTAGTGCAGCCAGCGACATTGCTAACTGTAATAGACAGGGATTTTCTTTTCTTCAGTAGCTGATCCAGCTTAAACTAAAAGTTTTCTATCCGGTCGTCACTGGTCGGAAACCAGTTGTGCTACCAACTGTGAGGCGGTACACCTTGGGGTCAGTATAGTGGGTTGTATGATCGATGTATTCCTTAGCTATGGCCCATGATGTAGGGTGATCTATGTGCTTGTAGTACTGGATGCCTCAGGCATGTCTCATACCGTCCGTCACTCCCTATTTCTTCATTCCTCCTCTCTTGACTCGGTGTATTGGGACGAAGTCACGATGGTGTTACGGTGTGGTTGCCCGCCTACAGATAGGTACCTACCTAGCATCACATAGGTAGGTAGTAGTTCAGCAACAGTCAGTCTCCTTGTCCACAACATTATTATTGCTTTATGTTAGGCGAGCGCTACAGAAGCTTTCACTACCTAATTATACCGCCAATTGCCGCTGACCTGCTTGCCAGGTCAATCTCGCCCCAAATGTCAAGTGTACATTGTCTCTGCTTTTCCCTCCTAAGATGAAATGTGGATATCATCTTGGCATGTCTCATGGTGGAGACGGCTCGTGGGCAGCCGCCACAAAAGTACATTTACATTGCGGCGGTCAGGGTCGTCATCAGGGATGGCCTTCCATAGGTATTGCTCCCTGTGGCATGCCAGCTCACAATCAGGATGCATCATGGGTCCACAGAGACAAACCCAATGCGACGGAGGGGGATGGAGGGAAGGAGGCGAATCAGATGAAAACCCAGCACGAACGAAACCAGGCGGTAAACGGCAGGACAGGCATCGCGGGAGTTCCGGCCTTTCAGTCCCCATCAACGTACCCAGTATTGTCAGGCACCCGGGTGACAAAGTGGATGGCCGGTTGCCATGTGGTAATGGTAAGGAAAAGCGGCTATTTTTTTTTTTTTTTTTTGTCACCCAGATGGTAGGGTGGTAGGTAGCAGCATCATGGGCCATTGTTACTGGAAGTCTGAGGGAAGGAAATATCGGGTCTGCCCCCAAGTCGCCAGGTTGACAAGCCCCATCAGATCTGGCGTGGCGTGTGGCGACCTTGTTACCTACCTAGGTGCCTAGTTAAAGGTAGGTAGGTAGTAGTCAGCAAACCACAGAGTACCTTGCACACCTGCTCGCACGGACAAAGCATAGCGGCAATAAGAGGAGGCCTCTAATATAGTGTAGTGCACCCCTTAGCCGGACTCGAATGGCGTCTTGAGTCATCTCGGGATACGAATACACATTGTGTTTGTTTGGTTTTATGCTTTCACGCGGGCCGTCACTAGTGTCCCTATCCCTCTCTTACAGGCCAGAAGTTGTTAGTTGCAATATGTCAGACCAGGTAGCTGGCTTCTGCATTTGGTACCCAGACAGACCTCCTTTCGAGGCTCCCACCGCCTACATACGTACAATAGAGTAAGCTTCCGTGAAACAGAGCAGATGCATAACTCAAAATCGGGTCAGATCACGGCACAAACATGAGCCTCATCTAAAGAAACAGTGGCCCTAGTTTCACATATGTTCGTCTAGCCATGTAAGCTTGATCCAGCCGTCGTCTGTCACACCCGGAGTCGCAGGTTTTCTCCTCCACTTGGAAGCCTATTCGGGCGAACTTTACCGCAACATCATCCCGTCCACCAACCCCCGTCCCCGTTTGCTTCTCGCACTGACTCCAGAGCACGGCATCGTGTGCATGACGGGCTCTCGGCTACGTTTCTGGCCTTGTGGCTCAGTCTCACGGCTATCAACAGGCAACCGAGAAAAGCCCAACCGGGATGGGGTGCTCAGTACAACTCCCAACCAGACTTCACCGTCCGTGTCTCCCGACCGGGTTCTCGGGCGGAGCCGCGACCCGCTGCCGAGCAAATACCCCGCCTGCCCAGCAAACCACTTTGCAGACCGCAAATAACACATCACAAACACCTTTTTCTCTTGGTCATCACCGCTTGGATCAAGGTTACCAACATCTGTGCCACTATGGCTCGTGATGCTGGAACCCACTTGGACCAATACAAGCCATCTGCAGTCCAATGAACCAGGCTGCAACGGGACCTTTGTGATAAGTAGAGTGAGCCACGTGATTCTCAGCAAGGGGCTTTTTTTTTAACCTCAGATACGGATGTCCCCTTGATAAGTCAGCTTGGGAGCAGAGGCTGAGGGCCTAGAAACAACTTTTCATTGACAGGTGCGACATTGACCACCCGCCACACCTGCCTCCCCACGGTGAAAGTGAACAACAAAGGAAAAAGGAGGGAAAAAAAGGGGGGGGCGGGTCGCTCGGTCCCTGGGTGTCGGAACCCGTTGAATGTCTTGTGCCGCTCAGCCGGCGCCAGGGTTGGGAATCAGTAACTTTAAGTAAGTATTTTGTAATGAAATACTTAGAAATACTTACTCAAAGGTAAAGAAACAAGTATTTTAAGTTACTTATTCCCAGCCCTGGCCGGCGCCAACCCAACCTGTTCCTTTTGAATTAACACATAACAAATGTGACCGACTTCCGCCCTTACGAGAGTCAGTCTAGGCTAGGTACCTACCTATCTCAGTGAACAGCTCCAAGCGAGACACCAGCCTCATGCCTACCCAGCCTCCCATCGGCCGCCTTAATCATCGCGCCATTGCATTTTTTCCTCTCAATTGTCATTCGCAGACTCCTCGATGTCTCGAACAACGGGTGAGGGGGAATGATCGGACAAGAAAATTACGTCGAGCCCCGAAAGGGAGAGGCGCCCAGGCTTCCCCATGATGTCAGACGCCGTCATTCGTTACGCTCGCCCACGTATCAGTACTCTGTCGATCGGATGTTGCGTCTGCGCAGTGAATTCTTTCGCAAACACAGGCCAGCAAACATTCCATTGGAAAGAGATCTTCGGCGGACGAAGAGCTCTCGTTCCAATTCAATTATGCTTAGGCTCCGACAAGGTAGCTCTTCGCATGCCTGTACCTGGCCCAGCTCGGGTTTGGGTGCAGATCTAGAAACTCGCTGGGGATAGCTCCAACCCGGCATCAGCCGCAGCTCGAAGCGCCCACCTCTTTCAGAGCGTCATCGGCTTCTTCTTCGACATCACCAATGGGTCGAATTACTTTTGTTTCCGAGTGCTTTTCAAATTTAGAAACCCCCAACCAAGCCTAGTCCAACGGCAATGTAGCTAGTGCTCAGGGGAGGAATGGATTACTCACCGTCGGTAAGAGGACCCCCCCCCGCGTCTTATTGGACGGTGTCATTGGGAGACAATCGTGACGAAACCGTCCATCGACATTGGTCTAACGGTGTCTCTTCCTCTCGCCGCCACACCCAGCCGCACATCGTGGCTTCCTGTCATCCCGCAATCGCCGGGGTTTACCCCTCTGCCTTGCTTAGACCCAAAACTTGACCTCAACCCCCCAGCTTCCACAGCTTTCGATCTCACTAAAGCCTACCCGTGTCAAGTATTCCCTAGATAAGAGCCTACGGCTGTGAGCTCGTTCGCGGAACCCATCTCACGGAGAGCATCTGTTTATGAAAAAGTGACGATTCTTGTCTTTTGTCTTAAACTCACAAGCCTTGTTCCATTGTTCCAACAGCCGACGTCATGGCCCAGCAATGTTCGACGAGGCATGCTACCGGCAGCCACTTCGGCTACCTACCCATCGAGGACTACGGCATGATTGGCAACATGCACACCTGCGCCCTCGTTGGAATGAACGGCTCTATTGATTTTATGTGCTGGTACGAAACATCTCTTTGCTGCGCTGTGTCAGGTAGACGCTCTCGGCCGAGTGGCCATTCCTGTGAATCTTTCCACTCACATTACGCCCATTGCTTTTGTCGCTCGCATTGGGAATGATGAGCTTGGATGTTTTTACGTCGTCTTTGGAAGGTCGGGATGAGCATGAGTGTCAATTGGACTTTCTCCGGGCCATCCGGTTACACCGAACTTGATGCTAGGCCAATGTCGACGAAGCTCAACATCTAACTCAACTGTCTAGGCCGGACTTTGACTCGCCGAGTGTATTCTGCCGGCTTCTCGATAAGGACAAGGGGGGCTTTTTCAGCATCTGCCCTCATCCGTCCAAGCAGTGTACCACTAAGTGAGCACGGGAAGCGTCGTTTGCCGAGACTTATCTGAATAACACTTAAAGGCAACAGTATCTCCCATCGTCCAACATCTTGCAGACCAGATACATTCACGATGACGGCGTCGTTGACCTTGTGGACTTTTTCCCTCGGCCCAAGACCGCTACAGTCTTGTCGACGAGTGCCCGCCAGACCGCGTTCCGCGAGGCTATCAAGATTCAGGAGGAGCTCAAGAAATGGCTTGTCCGACGAGTCGAGTGTATCCGTGGTCACCTAGAGATGGGTAAGTCGAGCTCTTGCTTTAACAAGGGCTCAAATATACATTAACGTGCCGTAGAAATTGAGATATTCCCAGCTTTCCAATATGCTACTGAGACTCATGTTACCACCATTGTCGAGCCAACTCACACCACAGGTAGCCCGAGCAAGGCTGTTACCTTCCACAGCGAGCATTACAAGATGCAGCTGGATGTCACCGTTGACGCGGAATCGGACTCCGCGCCTACTGTCACTTTTCGAAAGGAGAAACGCGAGGGGATGCTGGGCGAGGGTGTGGTTGCCCGCATCGAGATCGAGGAAGGCCAGGCCGTTTCGTTTGTCTTGCGCAAAGATATCCCCAATCACGTTACCGAGAACATCACAACCGCCGTACTTGATAGCCAGCAGCATGACACGGCAACCTACTGGTATAATTGGATCTCCAAGAGCAAGTACAAGGGCCGATCGCGCGAGGTCGTCAACCGAAGCCTGATGCTATTGAAAATGATGACGTACGAGCCAACTGGTGCTATCATCGCCGCTCCTACATTTTCAATTCCGGAAGATATTGGCGGTACACGGTAAGCTCTCATATCCGGCTCTCTGTGTTGCCGAACATAGCTCACACAGTCATCAGAAACTGGGACTATCGTTTCTCCTGGGTTCGTGACTCGAGCTTTACTATTTACATCCTCCTTCGATTGGGCTTCACTGCCGAGGCGGATGCTTATATGAACTTCATCAGCGAGCGCTTCATCAAGTCCCGCCGCCCCAACGGTGAGCTGCCCATCATGTTCACCATTCGCGGCGAGACCGATATCCCTGAGGTCGAGCTCGATCACCTCGAGGGGTACAGAGGCAGCAAACCAGTGAGGATTGGCAACGGCGCCGCATCCCACCAGCAGTTTGACATTTACGGCGAGCTAATGGACGGCATATACCTGTACAACAAGTACGGCAAGCCGATCAGTTGGGACCAGTGGTGTTCTGTGAGAGTGATGCTGGGTAATGTTTCGCGAGCCCCCTATCTCGGTCCGTCAGAGAAGCTGATTCGAGCGCCCAGATTTTGTCCTTACACTCACAGATAGTGAGTCTCCAAACTCGAACAGAATGACCGTTCCTTACTAACATCGTTGATAGAGCCTGATATGTCGATCTGGGAGGTCCGCAACAAACCGCAGAACTTCACCTACTCCAAGATCATGCTCTGGGTCGCCTTCGACCGCGGCCTCCGCCTCGCAGACAAGCGCAACTTTCCCTGCCCCAACCGTAGCAAGTGGCTCGCGGCCCGTGACGGCCTCATGGAGGAGATCATGGACAAGGGTGTGTGCTGGCTCTCGATCTCCCTCTCCCAGCCTAAGACGCCCTGAGCTCAGATCCCTGATGAGAAAACTCAACACCCGCAGCTGCCTGTTTAGTACCCGAACCGTGAGCTGACTGGGTGAAAGGATATAACAAGGACATGAAGTGCTTCGTCCAGAGCTACGAGAACAACACCAAGATCGACTCCTCGATCCTTATCGCCCCGCTCGTCTTCTTCATCGCCCCCAATGACCCTCGTTTTCTCAACACCATGGACCGTATCCTCCTGCCCCCCGAGAAGGGCGGTCTCACCAGCACCGGCCTGGTGTACCGGTACAATACTGAGCTCTCAGAAGATGGTGCGTCTTTTCCCTCTCCCTTCCCAACATCACAGACGCGTCAGCACACTCGCCTCCCTTTACCGCGATAGCTAACGCCACAATCCATCTCCCAGGCGTCGGCGGGAGAGAGGGCGCCTTTAGTATGTGCACGTTCTGGCTCGTCGAAGCCATGACGCGCGCCTCCGCCTACGAGCCAAAGTACCTCGTGCGCGCCGTCAATCTCTTCGAGAACATGCTCGGCTTCTCTAACCACCTGTCCATGTTCTCCGAGGAGATTGCCCGCAGCGGCGAGCAGCTCGGCAACACGCCCCAGGCCTTCAGCCACCTCGCCCTCATCAGCGCCGCGTTCAACCTCGATCGCGTCACCGAGGTCAAGCGATGAATCGGAAAGTAGCGGTGGGAGGAGTGTTTCGTAGCAGGGGCACACACACCGCGACACACAGGCGGTGGCCTCCTCCATGACGGATAAAACGAGAATGTTTGAATGTGACGTGATTAGCATAGTCTAGTTCGCTATGCAATAAAGCCCGGCGAGCAAACCCATGCCTGCTCAGACCACGAGCAAAGACGAATAGAAGCATCATGCACTCTGAAGACCTTCCCCGTTGAGCCCACTCAATCCGGCCCCCCGAGACCGAACGCTCGCCCTCTTTTTGAAAAGTAAAAGTGCTTGGTTTTTTTTTTCATGTCCCCCCTTCTCCCAAAACGCCGCGCTATGCCTTGAAAACACCGACACCCTTCTTCGTCGCCCTCGAGCGGCCACCAACCACGACCCGACGAACAGGGTCCTTGACCCCGCCGCTGTTGCTGCCGCCGCGCCTCCCGGTCCGCAGCCTCGTCCCCTACGACAAGTCCATGCCGTCCCGGTCGTCGCCCAGCCTGTCGCCCACGGAGCTCAGCCCGGAGCTCGGCGGCCTCGACTCCTCCTTAATCCGAGGCGACGCCGCCGACAGCGCGTTGCCCGGCAGGGGCCCCTGCATTTTAGTCCGCCACGTGTGAATGCTCGGCAGATCTCCGCCCTCGACCTGGACCTCGCCGACGTCGTTACCCTTGCCGATGATCGTGCCGTGGTACTTGGAGTCCTCGCCCGTCTTGCTGTGCTTCTTTTTCAGGACTGCCAACGGCCAAACACGTTAGTCCTTCTTTCTCATCTCTCCCGTCGCATCTCTATCCGGGCGCATTCGTCGAGTGTGCAACTCCTCTGCTAACATGGGTAGAAAGGGTGAAACGAACCGTTCAAGTAATCGCCCAGCTCCAGCTCTCCGTCGCCCACCGCGGCTTCCCGGATGGTCTTGTTCCGCGGCCCGGAGAACCACTTGATGAACTCGTCCACGCCCCTCGTGTCCTCGACCCTCTCCCTCTCCCGCGCGACATCGGCCAGCGCCGTCGTCATCGCAAGGTCCCCCTCGGCGTCGGGCCCTTCTCCTGCTGCTTCTCCTGCTCCCGCTCCTGCGGGCCCCTCGGCGCCCCCTCGACAGAGTCTAGGATCTCGCCCAAGATCGTGCCCCTGCCCTCAGCGAGCACGTCGTCCGGCGGCACGGCGCCCAGCTCCTGCAGCGCCATACGCACGTCGACAATGCCGGGCACCTCGCCGTCGGGGTTGTTGTCCGCAGCGTGGCGCGCCGTCGCCTGGCACAGCGCGTACATGTACCGCGCCGCGAGCTCCGTCACGGCATCGAGCACCACAGGCCGCGCGGCGTGATAGCCCGTCGCGCGCAGGATCTGCAGAACCGCGGGGCGCAGGAGGGCGTGGAAGAGGAGCGGCGGGGGCGTCATCGTGTGTATATGTATATGTGTGTATAGCTTGTATGGGTGTTTTCTTCTTCCTCTTATTTTCGTTTGATTGTCTCGTCTATATCGCCGAGAGCGGTATCCGCTTCGTGTGGCGTGTAAAGGAGTCTAATCCGCGTAGATTCGAAGGGAAAACTGAGCGGCTCGAGAGGGAAATCGCTGGTGCTGTGGCTGGGCTCGTGGATGCGACTCCGTCTGTCACCTTCGGATCTGATGTTGGTTCACAGAGCTTCGCATTGTGCTACGACGCGTCTTTCTCGGATCGCAAGGCTCGTTGGATATATTATAGAATCGTGGCGCGCCTTTTGCGGAGCTGTTCGTCGCAAGAAAATGAAAAATCATTCGTCGTAGGATGAGTTCAAGCAGGTGCAAGCCCGCGAAATTTCAGCCTTGTCAAGATGGGAGCTCGGACCAGGGGGAGAACTGAACAGAAGGATGAGGTGAGAGCTCTCTAGCTGGTGTGGAAGAACCGCCGGGGAGAGCTGTTCGGACAGTGTAGACACTGTATCACCATCCACTACTGAAACCCGTCACTGCTGTGCCTACCGCAGTGCCTCTGGCACTATTTCCCAATTTATTATTACTTTCATCGAGTAAGACGAAATACTCAAATTTATAGGATCATGCTGTTTAACTTTTATACCCGCACTCCAGAACGAGGCAGGTCTCTTGATTAATGCAGCTTATGTCTTTAAACCCTTAGCCGTTGATAGAAAATGAGAATATCCAGAAAGCCACCTCCTTATAGAGCAATGCTATTGTACTTGCAAGCGGTCAATAGTCTACGTCTACTAGTCTTGCTTTTACCGGACGACCAATTCTGCAGACTTGCCAATGCCTGTGTACTTGTTGATCCAATTCAGAACCTCTCTGTGCCAGAGAAGTGAGTTCTCGGGCTTTAACACCCACTGCAAATATGTCAGCATTCCGTACAGACGTCTCATGATGCTCAGCACTTACGTGGTTCTCGTCCGGGAACATTAACATCTTACTGGGCACGCCGCGGGCCTGCAGCACGTTGAACATGGCCAGACCCTCAGAGATGGGTAATCTGTAGTCTAGCTCATTGTGGATGACCAGTTGAGGCGTCGACCACTGATCCAAGTGATGGGCAGGGTCCCATTTCTCGTAGCCCTCACGGTTCTCCCAAAGGAGACCGCCAAAGTCATGGAGAGGGAAGAACAGCTCTTCAGTCGACCATTGGTTGAGTGTGGAGAACACGCCGTCGTGGCATACCAAGGCCTTGAACTTTCTTCCGAGTTCGTGTCCCTGGATCCAGTCTACTTAGGGTTAACATTATGAACGGCAAATTGAACAATATATTGGCATTGACTCACTGATCATGTAGCCGCCGTAAGAAGCGCCCAGAGCAACAGCGTTACCCGAGTCAATGTAAGGAATGTTCTTCTCAATATGGTCGAAGCATTTGACCAAGTCGACGTACGGGCGGCCACCCCACTCGTTCTGTATGTTGTCGGTGTGCTGCTGACCGTAACCAGTGCTTCCAGTCGGGTTGGGCATGACCGCAATGTAGCCCTGCTCTGCGAAGATGGCCGGGTTCCACCGTGTGCTCCAGCTGTCCGTCCACGCGGCCTGCGGTCCTCCGTGGATGAGGAAAGCAAGGGGGTACTTCTTGTTCTTGTCAAAGTTCGAAGGCTTCAACACCAGGGCGTGCACGTCGTATCCTTCTGCTCCCTTGAACCAGAACTCGTCGCACTGCGACTGGGACAGGCCGAAAGACTTGCCGTGCTTCGAGCTCGACGATATAAGGTCGGTTTCTTTGCTGACCGGATTGAGAACCGAGTAGGCCGAGTTTTCGACTCTTGATGATGTGCTGATAAGGAGCTTCTCACCTTCGTCTCCGAGTAGCTTGGCCTCAATGACAGATCCCTCCCCGTAGATTGCTGCTGGCAAGTCTTTCGCCTCGTGCGGTGCCGAAGGAAGCTTCCAGAGTTTCACACGACCGTGTTCTTCGGCGGATACGTACAGCTCCGAATCGTCCTTGCTCCAAGTGATCCATTCAGGCCGCGCATCCCACCCACCAACACCGTCGTCCGTCTGGTAGAACTCTTGCACGCTTGCAAGATCGAAGACGTTTGGGATGAGCATCAGCCTCGGCTTGTCTGTCTCGTATTGATCGCTCTTCATCCGGGTGAAAGCAACCTTCTTTCCATCTCGCGAGAAGACAGGCGACGCCGAGTACCCACGCAGCTTGCTCGTCTTGACAACCTGCGGCACTGGCGGCTCCTTCTCCGTGAAAGATTTCAAAGGAACAAAGTAGAGGTCCGTCTTTGTATAGATCGCCGGGGAGATTTCGGGGTCCCGCGCAACAAACACGATGCCATTCTTGCCAATATCAAAGTCGCCTGCACCGCCAAAAGGCGGGACCGGAGATTGTAGCTTCGTGCCCTTGAGAGCGTTGACCAAGCCCGGTTCTGCCAGCTTGTACGTCTCGTCTTCCTTTTTGAGAAGACCATACCAGATGGCATTGTGATTTTCGGAAACCCAAGAGTCCCAATGCCTGACAAACAAGCTCGAGTAGATCTTCCCGGTCGTGTGCTGCTTCTTCTCGGCTGCGGGGTTATACATGGCGCCGGCAGGGGTCGTCAGGACACAGACGGCGATGGCGACTTTATCGTCCGACAGTGGTTTGGCTTTGAGACTAGAGAGGCTACCTTCGAAATGGCCAATTCGGGTCACCCTATCTCCCACTCGTCAATAAGGGGCTAGAACTGCAGTTCAGAGAGAAAGGCTTACACGGATGGCCTCGTAACGTCTCCCAACAATAGGCTGGTGGCTCCCTTGTCGCCACTCCTCAACATCATAATCTCCTGGTCTGAAATCCATGTTGCATCGCTATAAGACGCTTCTTCATAGAGGAGAGTAGAGTGACCGCTCTCAACATCGAGAACACGGATTTGAGACGTTTTGCTGTGGGAGTCGAACGAGTAGGCCGAAACCTGGTTCTAGTCAATGCGAGCCCACAAGTTTCGTTGAAAATCACCCATATGGAGACAGAAAGCCAGAGACCAGATCAAGCCCAACGCAGACGGACAACTCACGGTATACAACACCTTGGTGCCGGCGGGGTTGGGGATGCCAGGGGACCTGCGCGGGGCAGAGAGTAGGACCTCAGGGGTGAACTTGGAAGCTTGAACCGTCATCATGAGGAGCCGGATCAAGTATGCGATACTCGACTGGATCAAGTATGCGATACTCGAAACTGGATTATTCAGCTATGGATTGGGAGAACCTGAGAGTAAGAGACAGTCGGGCGGGAATGCTGTTGTAGATGTATGTCGGTCAACAGCAACCCCCCGCCCCGCCCAAAGCTGCGACACGGGATCGTCCATCCATCTGGCTTGCAGCTCGGTTGAAGAGCCCCGCACTAGCTACGAATAGGTTTAGCGACGGCTGTGCGAGGCGACGTCCGGGGACAACAAGGTTCTCACTTCATGCCTAAGCGTTGGACAGGCTCAGGCCCCCTCACTGTATTTCATCCCCGCAGGTACCGACACCAATGGGTGAAGCATGCCTATTGGTGGTAAGGGAATTAGATACCCGGCGCCAAGCACCTTGGGAAGAAGCTTCTTCAACAGCAACAGAGGGGAGCGAATGCTGCATCATGCAAGGGGCTTGCCGAATCGAGATGGATGTGACGAGCGCCTTTCGCATTACTCGCACGAATGAATATCCATGGAATTGTTTAGTCTGAAGGAGCTTGGAAGGAGTTATGGCGGGGATCAATCCTGGGGCCTATCCTACCACGAGTTCTTCATAGTCGTTACTCAAGTCGCTCTCATTGTACTTTTGTTCAGCATCTTGCCGAGTCACCTCGGAGGAATTCTCTTGTCTCTTACAGCTCTGATTGGCTGAGAGAAAAGAACTCCTACAGCGCGGCCAGCTTTGGGTGGCCCATCTCCAAGCGCGCCAGAGACCGGTCAACCGACGCCTGCTCTCTCACCGTTATGGTATGATAGGCCAGAAAACGCAAAAGTTCGTCTCCGCTAGGTATTTTAAGGACGTTCCGCTGCAGAAGTGCCCGCAACGTCGGCCACATGCCCATTTCTGGCCATCTCGCGTTGTATACCTTCTTCATTGAGGTTTGACATTGGTTCCAAAAAGATAAGCCAAGAAGGGAGACCGTGTTGCCGGCTCATCGAATTGGGAAGGAGAACTTTGTCTAATTCTCCAGTGGGTATCATTATTTTCCGGAACTCCTCAACTCCTCCAGCCTTCGCCGTCGTGTTATGTTTTCTTTTCTTTTCTGTTTTTCTTCTTCTTTTTTTTTTGCTACGCCATCGGTTGCTGGTTTGTAGCCCCCTCCATAACCATGTGACATTCTCCGAGTCATGGGAAGGGGGGGAAAATTCCTCTTGTGACCATAGAATGCCACTCCTAGAAGTTGACAGGAATCCTAGACTTCATCGTGGTAAACATAATTCAAGATCGCCGTGGTTGGATCTCGAAGATATCTAGTGTATGATCTCCCCGAAGTGGTCGTAAAATCGTTAATGAAAAAAATGCCTTGGTAGGCTGCCGACACGAACCCGTAAATTTTGACTAATGATGTGCGCGGGCCAATTCACTTGCGCCCGGCTCCAAAGTTGATGCGTTTCTTGTTCGGGGCCTGGGAGTCGTGGTCGCTGTCGTCCTCGTTCTGCTTCTTGTTCTTCTTTCCTGACTTGGAAGCTGTCGCTGACGTTGGCGTGGCGTGGTTGGAGCCGGAGCCGTCCTTGAAGGAAGTAGACAAGGGAGTGGGCGCGTGGGATGCGGGAGTCGAGCCGGGCGTCGTGGCTTCCTGCGAGGAAGGTCAGCTTGAGCAAGTCACAAGAGGAAAGGACGAAGCAACGCACACTGCCAGGACGATACGAGATGGACGATCGCGAGAAGACGCGGTTCTGTTCTGTGGCGCCAGCCTTGCGGCGGTGGGCGGCTGCGCCCGTGCCCTTGATGTAGTTGTCGAACCCGGCGATGATGTTCCCGTTCGGAGTGCTCTCGAGGTATGCAGTCTCCTTCTGTTCAATGTCGGCCTCGATGTTGGCAAGCTTCTTGGCGATGACAGCTCTCTTATCCAGCATTTGCCTCAAACGAGCCTGCTCCTCTCTGTACATCTGCATCGTCGGCGCCGGCTGCGACGCTGTGGTGGCGGCGGTAGGCTGGTTTTCGCCCATGTTACCGGAAGGAAGCTATGCGTATAGTGCGTGGGGTTGGCAAATGCGGATTCAGTGATGAACTCGATGGGTGCGGTCGAGTCGAGAAATTGTTGCGATAGCAAAGGTTGAATGGCTTGTCGTGTCGGAGCTCCTAGCGGCTCAGGAACCAATACCTTGGTAGAGTAGGCAGGTGGGCGCAGACGACCGTTGGCCAAGGGCCACGCTCATTGGCGGATTGGGATTGAATGGACCCGATGGTGCTTAGTCAGATTAGCGTGCACCGTTGCGTGGTTGCGGACCCGCGGAAGGGGCTTGGAATAAGGCTCAGGTTGGGGGGGGGGGTTCATAGAACTCGAGTCTTTTGCTCGACATCTCACTTAGCACTATGTTTCCAGTAAGCAAGCCAACCCCCTTGCTGCTTGGTTTCCTTTTCTGTCCGTTTTCTCGTTCTATTTATCCGTACATTTGTCCTTCTGGATGCGGACGGCAACTCCGTTGGGTCTTTGTCATGCTCCCTAAATTAACATTGTTCCTTTGTGGCCCCATTCATTTTAAGGTCGTGTAGCTACGTGCATCGACTCCCGGCCCCCAGTATAGAGGCTGGGGGTGCCGAGGCGCATGAATCAAGACGGATTATGATCTCTACGGCCGTCTATCTGCAACGGCCAAGCCACTCATCATTGGTTCCCAGGATTGCCCCTGACTCTGGAGTAAAGACAAGATGGCAGGACGATCACGCCCAAAATGAGATACGAAAATGCGGCACAATGTTTACGACTGCGTTTGCGTGTTGTCGTCGAGGACGGCAACGTGCTCTCGCGCCTATGCGGGCTTACAATAATGAGAGGGCCAAACGCCCCGTTGAGCCATGTATTTTCGTAGCCAACCAGCCTCTGTCAAGCACTCAGCCTCCCTTCCGGCACCGACGGCACAAGCTCAAAAGGCCCCTCTCCGCGAGCCCGGGGTTAACATCGAGGCCCCATACCGCCAGCCGCAGCCCATAGCCAATCACTGGTATGCATCTGCATTTTTTTGACAGACGGACAGAGAGGCTTGGCCCCTGTTTCGTTTCACCACGGCCACCTCGCAGAGGCCTCACTGATGATCTGTGGCCAATGATGCACCCGTCGCTTCTGGCCCCCCTTCTCATATCCTTTCCAAATAGGTCTCAGTTTTACGATGGCAACATTTCTACCAGAAAACTTTACCCTGCTCGACCGTTCGGCAGAGCAGGGGCGGTCCATGTGGGTAGTAAAGGCTGCAAATCACCCGGCGGATCGCCACACGGTCAAAGGGGCAGGCATCAAGGCGCTGGCTCCTGCGTCCGACTAAAGAACCTACACGCGCATGACCAGGCCTTCCTACCCTACCATCTCGCCATAGTGAGCCGTCAAAGGATGCTGTGCTCCAGGGGGGCGGTATTCCGCAGTTCTCTCGTCATCCTCTGATCCAGAAAAAGGCTCCTCCTCCTCTTCCTCCACCACCTCCTCCTCCACCTCCTCCTCCTTGCCTACTCCCTTGTCAGTTCGCCTTTGTCTGACTGTGTCACTCACTTGAAGTCACCCACGATCGTTTGCACCCCACCAGCTACACCCGACTTGGCTTTTGTTCCCCACCTTGTTTGCGTCTCTTATACAAAAGCCATTCGTTTCGTTTCCTATCACGGCTCACGATCAGTAACGTCACCCAAGCATATCCTCGTCTTCCACAACACAGCACCTGTAATCCTCTTACGGACACACCGCATCAATCGTCCGATAGAATCATACCAAGTCAAAACAAAATGCTCCTCCACGGCTTCCTTCCCATTTCCCTCCTCGCCAGCCTGGCTCTCGCCTCGCCAATCATCACTGCTCGCGAGAACAACGCGACGGCCATCATTGCCGCCGTCGCACCCAAGTCGGTGTCATGCAACGGCGCAACGGACTTCCCCGACGAGTGCGCCACCGCGGACCGCGCAGCCAAGTACCTTCCGGCAGCGCTCCAAAAGTACGGCATCTACCGCCCTGGCGAGATTGCCGGCGTCCTCAGTCTCATGGCCTTCGAGACTGGTGATTTCCGGTACAACCGCAACCACTTCCCCGCCCCTGGCCGTCCCGGCCAGGGCACGCGCAACCTCCAGATGCCCAAGTACAACCTGATGTACGCCCTCTCCATCCCCGAGCTCAAGGACAAGGCCGCCGAGATCGCCGCCGGTACTACAGACGGTGCGAGCCTGTCCGACGACCAGAAGAATGCCGTTCTCGACCTCGTCCTCCCCGACGACTACTCCTGGGGCTCGGGACCCTGGTTCTTGGCGACTCAGTGCGACCAGGATGTCCGTGACGGGCTCGCTGCCGGCACTGTCAAGGGTTTTACGCTCTACATGGAGTGCATCGGCACCTCGGGCACCGAGGACCGCGTTGAATACTGGTCGAGGGCCAAGGCCGCTTTCAACATGCCATAGGTACGAGGCTGGCCTTCGTGTCCCATCTTCTTCCTTTTCTTGTAGATATCATTAGGTAGCATGCTCGGGGTAGGGTACATCGAATTCAAAACAATAATTTGTATTTCATCACGGGGGGGACGGCAAATGCCCAGTGCGTCAATGCTACAAGTGTAGCTTCCATATATAAGTGATTTCTATGTACTGGAATAGGGCGGGGCGATCAGGAGATTGATTCCGGGCGGATCTGAGGTATGGAGGTGTACAGGGAGAGGCTTTCGTCCCAATCGAGGGAAAACCTATATAAGGGAGCCGGATCGCATAGATAGGAGATCAACGAACTTTTTCCTTTTCTAGACCTACCTTTTGGCCGGATTGGACCATGAACCTTTCTTCCGTGAGCTGATCGGACGTAATAACACAAGACGATCGGGAGACCGTGTGACCCTCGATCGGTAGACTCGATGCTCCGATCGAGGCAGGTTCTTGACTGATCGAGGAAGCATCTTGTGTTGCCTTGTAGGTTGTTGGTGTTTCTCTTTAGATCACTGCACCGCAGAGGTCCCTTCTACCCTACACGTTTCCAGTACAATTTATAATGACAAAGATAAGATGTATGCACGGCCCAGATAAGGCTTTATGATGCCTCTTGAGCCTGGAAATCGCGAGATACTTACCCTGTAAACCAAGAAAAAGAGAACCCCCCCCTCCTGGAGCTTTCACCCAGTCGCCTTCCCACAATACTACTACTACATTGCTTGCTGAAGCAAAGACGAAAGATTGAAACAAACACGCGCGATGAATACACACTACTTAGGAGATCGTGATGAACCTCAGGGTCTGCGAAGGTGAAGTATGAAGTAATTACTAAGAAACCCACTAAGTGAGCGGGTCGAACTAATGACTAATGACTAATGATACAGTGTCAGTGTGTTAGGGAGCCGCATCTGCGGACAGTGCTAGTGAATACGCCACCCGAAGCTATCCCAAGCTTCACGGCGGAGATTAAGCTGTTGAATGTAAGTAAAGGCAGATGGATCAATGGTGTAATTGCTGTTTGTTGTTGATGTCGTTGCTCGTTATTGCTGTTGCTGGTTGTATGTTGGGTGAGTGAGTTATTGATTCGTCGATTACTGGTTTGCTGTTCTCCAGTTATCGAGACATCACGGCTGGGGTAATAGGCAAGGTGATGAAGTGATGTTATTGTAAAGTCCTATAGAATCTAAGTTATAACCGGTAGACTCAAAGGCGAGGCGGGTTGTGGAATATTGGGCAGCAGCGCTCGTCGTGGGAGAAGGCTTGCGACGAGCGGAGGGGGGAGAGGGAGGAGGAGGCTTGCCTATGCCACCAGCGCAGATGCCCGTCCCCATAACCCTCTCCGCGGGGACAAACACGAGCGGCTCCCCGCTCTCGCTCCGAGCCGTGAGCACGCCGTCACCGTCCGTCACGTAGAGACGGCATTTGACGACCTCGAGGACCAACTTGCATGGCCGGAACCCCGTGTGCGCCGTGCCGAGCGACACGCTGAAGGTGTTGTTGCTCCCGACGTTGGAGTAGACGCTCACGATTTGGCTGTCATCGAAACCCTTGCGCATTGCGATGGTGTGTTGCTGGGTATCAAACGGCTGAGCTTTGTAGGAGAGGTAGCCGCCGTCAAGCGCCGCCATCGTAGAGCGCAGCGCCACAAACTTAGACACCCACCGGTACAGCTCCGACTGCGTGTCGTAGCCCGTCAACCACAGGGCTTCACGATTCAACGGCGTGCCGCCGGCGCCTGCGAGACCCTGCTCCAGGCCCTGGTAGATGATGGGGATGCCGTCCATGAGCAGGGTGAAGGTCAGCGCATTCTTGAGCAGGACGCGGTCACTGGTATGGTGCAGGAAGCGAGGCTGGTCGTGATTCTCGAGAAAGTTGCCGTAGAGAGTCAAGTCGCGGGCGGACAGAGCCATCTTCTTAATGCCGTCGGAAAGATTCCATATGCTTCCCATTGTCGACCCGAAGGCCTGGATAATCCAAAAGTAGGCGGGGTAGTTCAAGAGGCCACTCATGACGTCCTGATACGGGATGACGTACACTGGGTCACCATGTAAGACCTCACCCATGGCAAACACCCCGGCCGAGGCCTCAAATTCCGGCCAGAAGGACATCTCGACGTGTTTGGCGCTGTCGAGGCGGATACCGTCAAACTTGAACTCGCGCACCACACGCTTAATCCACACATTGAAGACCTGCCGCACACGCGGGTCCTCAGTACGTAGGTCTGGGAGGGAGACAGCATCACTACCTTGCCAGCACTTCTCGACCGTCTCCTGGATGTCATAGTTGATGGCGCAAGGGGGCAGGTGGTAATCTGAAGCGTTGGAGAAGGGGCGGAAGGTGGAGAAGTCGACCGTATCGCTGCGCCCGTGCCAGGCCATGTGGTTCGTGACGACGTCGGCCATGAGGTACATACCGCGGGCATGCACGGCGTCGGCAAGGGCGATGAGGTCCTCGGGGGTACCGAAGTGGTTGTTGAGCGACCAGATATCCTGAGCCCAGTAGCCGTGGTACGAATCGCTAATTCCCTGTTAGTCGTGGTTCTCGGCTTCTTCGACAGTCTACCCAACGGGCGTCCCATGAGCCTCTCGCAATCCTCGCAACTCTTACGCCTCTCCCGTATTTGGGATGAGATGCATCCCTCCCCCGCACACACATACCCTTTCTCGACTCAACGCGGGCAACTCACAGCAGCTGAGAAAAGAAAGAGAAAAGGAAACAGCTTACCCGTCATCGGATTTACACTCTATATTTTTGACAATGGGTGAGATCCAGATAGCCGTCGCACCGAGACCTTGGATATAGTCGAGCCGCTGGGTGATGCCCCTCCACGTGCCGCCGCAGTATGCCTGGTCCGCCATGTTGCACTGCGCTGTCGTTGACCCATCCGAGCGCGCGAACCGGTCTGTCATGACCTGGTAGATAGTCTGGGACCGCCACTCTTCCGGGCTCAGGGCCGAGACAGACACACCCTGGTAGAGGGCGGTGGCCGCCAGGAGAGACGACCAGCCCGTCAAAACCTTCATCGTTTCTCGGAACGTCTTGACAGTCGTTGCCTTGTCTTAGAGAGTTACCGAAGAGAATAAAAATGGAGTGACTGAAGAACCAAACGAAACAAAAAAAAAAAGGGAAAACAACAAACAACCAAACAAACACTAGCAAAGAGCGTGTATGAAAACAAGCCGAATTCGTGATGAAATCGTAAAAACTTCGTAAGTCAGGGGGCACCGTTATATACTGCTGTTCGTCGTCGCCTTGGCGCCGTCTGCTATAACGGGTTTAGACGCGAACCAGAATACAAGCGCAAACGTAAAAAGGAACTCTGATATAGAGTTGTGAGGGGTCCAGTTGATATTTTCCCAATTAAGCCGTCGGTCCTGTCACTCTCAGGCGCTCCGTCTCAGATTCCCGCTCTGCCTCTTGTCTGTCCTAGCAGGGAGACCTCCGAAGCAGCTGTAGAGCGAGGCAGTCTACCTGGAGGCGTGATTTTGATGCGTTCGGGTGTTTGTCCGAGTCGAAGGGGTCAAGGCCGTCAGAGTGGTAATCAGCCAGCGAAGCTTAAAAAAGTAGGTGAGGTGAGGTAGAATTGGGGTCCCCCGAGAGGATGCAGTCGATTGGGTTTTGACGAAGACCAGGTTGCCGTTTGATCAAGTCCCCGCAAGGAACTAGTTAGTATAGATGCCGGGGAAGCGCGACGCAGGTCGAGGTTTAATATTACATACGGTAGGTGAGGCGAGGTTCAAGGATTCTCCTTCCTAAGCAAGTCTGCTCTTTTCCCATGACTTGTCCACAGGGCAAGTCCTGTGGACAAGTCCCGCGGACCCCCACTTCATGGTCTCCTCGGTTTTCTCCTTCCCTTTGCTTTTTTCTTCCGTGTGGATGGGGCCGCCGCGTCCTGTCAGAGGGCGTTGTATCAACTGGAGTACCATCGGCCCTATCAGCGGGGTGGTGGTCCCATCTAGAGTTCCTCACCGCCCTGTTCCCGAAGATGTGTGCGTAGAGTTTTATTCAAGCAATTGCCGAGACATGGGATGGGAGCTCGGGTTTCTGCCAAGTCCAAGGCAGTGGGCAACAGCGCAATCCCATGCTAATCGTCTCTTTGAGTTCAACCAAAAGGTCTAACATGAAGTTGTACAAACCCAGGAGAGTTGAGAGGTACAAGACACACACACACACACACACGCATGAATACAACAACGTCTGCCTGCGTCTTGCATGTGTGCTCCTACTGACCTTCTCGGAACCGCAGGGACCGCATTGTGGCTTAGCAAAGCCGAGTGATAGGAACACGAGGTCAGTTCCTTTTCTTCTTGCCCCCCCTTTCGCCCCCACTACATACCGAAGCGACGTTCCCCCGCATTCTTTCTTCAAAGCGACAGTTTTCACTCTTTGTGTTCTGCAGGGCGGCATCTTCACTAAGCGCACCCCCCCTTGCAGTGACTTTCTGACCACGAGCCCGAAGGTACGGACCGAATGCTACTGCATACAGCCGACATGGGCGCCGAATGCCACTTCGGGCGGACAGTTGTGCCCCTCACCCAGTTTGGCAAGTCTTTCGTCTTATCAAGCTGTGTCATTCTGCGGCCGAACAAACTAATGTGGCCGCTGTTCATCCAATGTGACTGGAACTGCGGAGACTCCGCAACAGTCATCACCTTCGGGCCGGTTGACATCGTAACCTAATGCCAGTTCAGATCGCATCGTCACATATCATGCCGCAACGGCCAGGGGCAGGTCGCACGTGCAAGAGAGGAGTAGGGTATTATTTCGGAATCATTTCCAACATGACCTCAAGGTTTTGTCACTCGTCTATCCTACCGAACCCGTAGCTAGCGTGGAGGGGAGTATATTCCTCAGCTTCGACTGTTCATCCGGCTGAATCATCTGATCGCCCAGCCCTCCCCAGTTCTATCATTGAAGTCATCATCGCATTATCTACTCCCTGCCTCGAACGCCCATTTTTCCGCATCCTGAATCGGTCAACTAGCCAGCCATGTTGTTGTTGGCGCCACCAAAGAGCATCCCCGAGACATCTGTTTCCGGCGACGACTGACCCGGATAGATCTGCTGGAACCCAGCGTCGGGGGCCCAGTTGGCGTTCTGGGTGTACGTTTCGAATACGTTCTAGGAGCAGTATCAGCGAGCGAGCCTGCCATGTCATAGACCTGCCATGTCATTGGCGGAACTCGGAACCTACCCAGTCGAAGTTGGCGGGGAAATCTGCGCCGGCCTCAAGGTTCGTAAACATTGAGAACGGGGACCCCGCATTATTCAAACCAAAATCGCCTTGGAAGTTGGGTGTCATGTCTGCCCCTCCCATGGGTATTGACACGCCGAAATTCATGCTGCCGTCCAAGTTGTTCGGCGCCTGCAAGCTGCTCTCGATTGCAGCTGCCGTGTTGGGCGTCATTCCTCCGGAGAGCATGTCCAATGTCATAGCGGCATTGTGCTCCTTCTCCATCTTAGGGCTGCTGTCGAAAGTCGAGAACGATTCGCCCTTGAACGTCGCCTCCATGACGTTCGGGCTCTTGATCTTCAATAGCATGATCTCCAGAATCTTTGCCGCCTTGTAGGCCTCCATCGACCCGTCGGCGAGACCTGCCCAGATTTCCTTGGTAAGCTCGAGGCTCCTGATCATCTCCATCCTTTGCTCTGGCGTCCAGAACATAGCCGTGTCGGGCGATCTATGATCGTTGCTTGTCTCGGCAACTCGATCGAAGTGGAGGTCGAGAGCGACCAGCATGGCCGAGAGAAGAAATTCCTTAGTCGCTACCGAGTTTACAAACCACCTTAGAGACCTAAGTCTGCCATTTGGCTGTGATTCCCGATCCAAAGTGATCAAATGCCGCAACGTCTCCAAAGCAGCCTCGACAGCAGTCCTGCGTGAGTAGGCATAGCGCGGGTTTTGTCTAGCCCGTGGAACATATTTCTTGTGCAGCAAGCAGACGATCTTGTTATACAGGACGTTGATGTTGAACCTCGCGATGATCAGAGTGACAGGGTCGTGTGAGCCCTCCAAGGGAGCCACTTTGAGATGCGGCGGGAGCTCATCGTTGATTTCTCGAAGGCGAGCATCAAACCGCAGAATTTCGTCATACGGTATTTGTCTGCCCACCCGGTTCGTTGCCTGTAATATGTCGCCCATCTCGGTGGACAGCCTTACTTTTGCGATCATATACGCTATCGGAGTAGGCTCCGTATTCGGTCGCGAAGGAGGCAAGATTTTTGTGTCCGGTCCAAACTCCTCGTCGAAGATATTGGTCGGCAACTGAGTATCGCAATCGTGGCCGTAAATCATCGACGGCAGGCCGACTTGATGTGAAAAGAACACATCGGCCATCCTTACCAATGCCCACGTTCGCCGTCTCATTTCCTGTCAAAGAGTATTAGACGATGCTCGGGAACCGTGTTGCTCTGGTGGACTTACAGCTTGGAAAGGCGTTATCGTAGGGAACCACTTTGCATCGCGGTGGTAGCCCATCCGGAAAGCAACTCTGATGAGCAGAGAGACGATCAACCAGATACTCAAGTCTGCATCCCATCTTGATGAGTATTCCCCAAAAACGTAGAGCATCATGGTCTCTACTGTATACTCAACTGGCTTGGTATAATCAGCCGTGACCAAGCACTGGACGGTCCGCAGCCGGTACTCGGAAGCCAAATCGAGCGATCTCCCCTTCCACTCAGGCGGTTCATCCCCGGCTTTATGATAGCTCAGCATGGCGAGGCACAAGATCGAGTACAGAAGCCCCAGCCACATGACTGGGGTTTTTGAGGGGTCTTGCCAGTGGGCACGAAGTTGTTGCTGGAACGTCGGCGCGTGAATGATGCTCACCGCATTGTCCATCGAGTTAAAGTATCTCGAGCAGAGGGTCAGGATGGCCGACTTGGACGGCAGCTCTGCTCGCAGCTCAACCTCGCTGGCGGGCGTGGCACCTAGGAGAAATGTAGGTCCATCTCTAGCGCTGGCCGGCTTTGACATCATGACCTTCTCATAACTCTTCTCCAGCTCTTTTTTGTGGTTGTTGAAGTAATTCTTCACCTCCGATATATCCTGCAATATCATATACCAATGCTCTTGACCGACATACATAGACTTCCCCTTTTCTGTGTCGACTTTCAGAACGCCCAGAGAAGTTGCTAATTCGCCATCTGGGTCACTGTCGTCGTCCTCATCGTCGCGCATTTGTGCTTCGTAGTCGGGGTCTACCTTTGCCGATGAAGGTGTGCTGTCGGTATGCGATTTCCCGGTCGACGTGCCTGTTGCGGCGGCGGCGGCGGCGGCAGTAGCAACGGAGGGGTCAATATTGGCACCTCCGTGCATTAGAGACAAAACTAGGCCTTCTAGGCGATCAATACGGTTCTGCATATCATCAGGGCTCGAAGCGCCTTGACTTTGAGTCTTTTTACGAGCGGAAGGAGTCGCGTAAGAACATGATGACGCGTCGCCGCCCTCACGTTTCACACAGTTACTGCATGGGTGACCCCTATCACACTTCCTAGAAGACGGTCAGTACCTTATGGGAGAGTTGCAATTTGCAAAAGTCTTACAATCTGTAAGGAACGTTAGCAAGTTGAAGCGTGGGGGCAGAAATCGCTTCTATGCTTACTTCCTAGTTCGACAAGGGTAACAGCTGAGAGGGACTCTGTTCCTCTTTCTCACGACGCGGAACTGCTCTTCAGGAGAGCGACCCGATCCTGAAGAGGGTGTAGTTGACGGCGGTGTGGGAGTCATGACGACAATAGAATCCAAGGAATCAAGATGCGTGTTGGCCGCAGCTGTGACGAGTTTCACGGGTTGAAGGTGTGTCCAGCGGAGCACACGTGAAAGTACTTCCGCTGCCTTGAAAGATGGGATCGGCCCTGTGGCAGGTGGTCCTTATAAGACGAGCCCCCGATACAAGGCTCGATAATCCTATCCTGTCTACGTCCGATTTGACTGACCACGCCTCGGATACGAGCTACTTCTCGCCCTTCGCTGCTCAGGATGTGGTGAATGAAGGATAGCTTTGCGTCTCAATAAGCTACAGATGTGGCCGCAGTATTGCGACAGAAGTGGGAGCCTAAGTTCGGCACAGCTTGGAACCGAGCACGGCAATGGTGAATCAAGTTGGTCGGCCGGCGTACCACGATGGTTGGAGAATGGAGGTCGGGCCAGGTTCTGCGATACGCCAGGGCGGAGGTGAAGGGACGGTTGGCTCCGGGGAACCAAACAAGAGTGTGGGCGCAACAGAAGGCAGCGTCGGTGTCCTCCCGCACGATGCTTGTGGCAGGTGCGGGATGGCAGTATCGCAACCCGCGCGCGGAGCAGAAGATGGCGAGAGCAGAAGACAACAGTCTCGTAAGGTCGGGATCACTTTGACGGCGGCAGTGTCAGCTTTCGGTGGTACGGATGATTGGAGGATTGCGTTGGTCGGCGACGAGAAGGGACCAAACGCATGGGGTGGAAAGTCACCACTCACCACTGAGAAAGGTGCTTTGGCTCGGCGGGGTGTGGAAGTAGATCCAGCGCGCGAAACAAATGGACGGGACGATGACACAGTCGCGGATTGACAATATTCCCCTCGAGATATCGCCGTGAGAGGCCTGCAGCGGATCAAGTTGCGCGCGACTTGCAAAAGTGGCGGACGATGGCAAAGAGGAGGGAGGAGGAAAGGTGAAGTCGTGAGCTTACTCGGAACATTCAATAAAATCATGGAAAGAAAGAGCGAACCCCTCTTAGCGACGATCGGTCATAGGTAGGTAGGTACCTAGGCAAGGGGGGTTGTATGGGGTGACCCGCCACTAGTGATCCTTCTCTTTTCGTGGTCCTCTAACAGTTCTGAGAAGCATCCCCGTAGGACTTGTCGATGGTAGGTAATTGCTGGTACAGGGGCTTACATACGTTAGGCTGGTGCCTGCTGACAGCTTGGGGGTGCAATACGCGGGACACCTGGACTTGGACTAGGTAATTGATAAACTTGCATAACATAACGCCCCTCCCCCTCGCGGTTGAGGCTTCCCAGGAACTGCCTTGCAAATGCCTCTATCCGTGTGGATTGCAGTAGGAGCCTAAGGGAGGCTCTAGAAACTATGTTCCTCAATTAGCAGTTTCTTGGCTAGGATGTAACCTTGAACAACTGATAAATAGACCACTTCTAGAATTGTGACGGGGTTAACGGATATAAGGGCCCTCGCGTCATCAGCCACCTTTCTATACATTTATATATTTATATATCGTATGTGGCGCTGGGCCACCACGATAGGCATTATCATCAGCACCTATTGCACATGCAAAGATGAAGATACCCATCTTGCGCACATGGTACGTCTGAGCCAATAACCGAATGTGCAGCAATTGCCAGAGCCAAGCCGGCGCATAGGAAAATGGCGAGGCTATTCATTAGGCGATGGCGCGGTTCGCCGAGACTGGTCTCATTCTCGTCCGCTTGTGCATCTGGTGATGCTTTACTTGTAGATACATTGCTTCACAGATTGGTGGATAGAGGACATCCATCCAACTGATGACGCAAGTGGGGTGGCTAAGAGTGAGCCTGCCCACCAAAGACAGGTATTTACCCAGGTGACTAGGTAGGTAGATATCTTAGTACTGTATCCGTACGGATACTATTGCTGTCTTACCTACATAGGTAGTCCAGAAAGGCTCGCCCCACTCGATGTATACCGTCCGGGCTGCCAGTATGAATCTATCTGTCCAAGGTAGAGAGTTACCTATTCGACGTCAAACCGACCATCAATGCCGAAGCAATGCGTGCCATACCTCAACCTGACGCTCAGCGTCCAACCATCGTACGCGGTAGCCTGAACAGAGACGACCAGCTCCTCTGCCGGTCTGGTCGGTACTCACTAGCGTCGTAGGGCCAACCCCGTTGGCCCGCGTTGAACAGGGGTGTGCGGGTTGCCATTACCGTCTCATGCGTGGGTTCTCAATCTCACCGGATGACTCACGCCTCTTCCCACGACACGTCGACCAGGAAAAAGGCCGGCTTCGAACCAGACCCATCTGCAGTTGCTTGCCAAAGCAAGTGCAGCGGCTTATCATCATCCCGTCATTATGTCGGCAGCCTGCCAGAAATCTCTCGAGGATCACCGCCCTTGTGTCGGCCACCGTCGGCGCCTCTCCTCTCCCCTGCCCCGCGCTGAGTGGGTGCTTCTCCCAATCTCTCTTTGTACCCCTACCAGTGAACGGCGTTGTCGGGGAGAGGCCGACTGATGGCATGTGGTTAATAAATCTGTTTAACTTCTGCCCTGCAAGGCTCGTAAAATTCGAGCCTACAACGAGGCTAGACCAACTAGCAACCAGTGAGCGCTCATGAGCCCCCCCCCCAAAAAGAACCCATCCAGTCAGCAGTAAGCTTGAAAGGTGTTCGGCTCCTGCCGAAGCGATCCACCGAATTGTCGGGGCTTGGCTTGGCTTGATCCTATAGTCACGGGATGACGCCAATCGTAGTCAGTCAATCCATCGCTTCCCCTGAGCAAGAGCCCGGTATATCGTCAGTTCCAAAATAGAGCATCTCGTCTGATGATAAAAAGGGATCGTGATTCCAATGTGTGTCACCGATTCGCTTGGACTGTGGGGTTTACTTACAGGGCTGCACATCAAAAGTGCCTCTAACGTATGGCGTACAAGCAGGACGTTGACTGAGCAAGAATACCTAACTCATGATGAGTATTTTCTAAAATGTCCGGTTGCTTCAAGGTAAGCCTTGGGACACCACCGGTATTACAAGGTCTTGGTAAGAATATGATTCGAATATCTAATTAAACCGGAACCGCTCAGACTGGTCGAATGCTTCTCGACGAAGTCCATCAACCTCGTCGACGAGGCACGAGCACATCCAAGGCAAGAGCAGATGATACGGCAAACCAGTATCGGTGCATTCGAAGCTTCCGGCAACTCTTTACCACACCGACTTGCGGTGACTCAGTCTGTCGCACGAGGACTCAAGTGACGATGCTGTAAAGCTGGTCGATCCACCTTCTTAGGGCAAGTTCATTGTTACACTTACATCGCAGTGAGTGATGTTAGTACTGTAACGATTGGCGTAATCAACCATGCGACTCCGCAGTAAACAGTAAACGCGGCAATTAGGGAAATCCAAAGTAACGTATTCTTTCCCTAAAGCCAGAGCTCTATCATCTCCTATCTCGCTCGCTCAATGAATACGCGTGGGCATGGCTGATGATCCTTAGACAAGCTCACCAAGCATCTGTTAAATAAAGAGCCTCCAAAACATCCAACGCCTCTGATGCCGCAAGACAAAAAAAAAAAAAAACCCCCAAGCCAAGAAGCAGAGAGGGGGGGGGGAGACGAACAAGAGAAAAACCAATTCCCATTATGCAAGATTGTTCTTGATGTTAGCATACTGGCTGTTGGGATAGCTCAACAGGTTCTGCGCTGGGTCCAGCGTGCCCATCCTGCTCGCCAGCACACCCACGAGGCTCCCCTCGCCCGTGCGGTCCCCGGACGCTTCCCAGAACACGGCGCCTCCGAGCCCCTTGCTGAGGAGATAGTCCGCCTTCACGTTTGCGCTCTGGACGTTGTCGTACGTCACCAGCTCACGCGAACTCGCGTCGTAGCTGTACAGCGCGCCCGCTGTCTGGTCAAACACCTCGACGGCGCCGGCGCGTGGGAGGACCTTGTAGTTCCACACGCCCTGCTCGACGGACCCCTGACCTATCCCCTGATACGGCTTGCCGATGCCGTCCGTGTTGAGGAATGAGCGGCCGTAGAGCGGCAGGCCCAGGACGATCTTGCTGGGGCGGATGCCTTGGCCGAGGTAGTACGCTAGCGCGGCCTGGGTGCTGTACTTGGTGGCCGTCGGGTTGGAAGGGTCATTGAAGAGGTTGGCCTGGTGGCCCGTCGTCGTGTCCCAGGACCCGGCGTAGTCGTAGGCCATGAGGTGCCACGCATCGACGTAAGGGTCCATGCCGCGGAGGTCCATGTTCTGGTAGTGCGTCGGGCCGGCCGGGCACGCGACGGTCAGGGCGAAGTGGTAGCCGGGGGCGTACTGCGCAGCGTGCTTGTCGAGCTCCTCGCGGCAGGTCTTGAGGAGGGCGACGAAGTCGGCTGCCTCCTGGGCGTTGGCGGGGTATTCCCAGTCGATGTCGAGCCTGCGTCGCTGGTTAGCTTCTGGACCCCCGAGAACCTCGGTGTCTTGGCGAGAGGGGAGACTTACCCGTCAAACCCCCAGTCGTCCATAAGCTTGATGGCCGAGGTCGCGAAGCGCTGGCGGCCGGCCTCGGTCGCGGCAACGGGGACGAATTTGTACGACCAGCTCCAGCCGCCGATGGAGAGGACGAGTTTGAGCTTGCGGTTCTGCTTCTTGAGGGCGTACAACTGCTTGACGCAACCGTAGGCGTTTCCGGCCTGGTTCGAGTCGCCCGGGTACTGCCGCCCAGTGTCTGACCAGCTGTCGGACGAGATTCTACGGTTTGTTAGTTCCGGGCGTTGGCCAGTCTGTCTGGCACGATTGACTTACACCTCTCCGTCCGCGGCGATGTCGGCAAAAGAGTAGAGCAGATGCGTCACCTTATCGGCGGGAATATCCGCTGGTTGATAGTTGGCTCCGTAGACGCCCCTGGCTCTGTTAACCAAAGCCCTTGTTAGTCCTTGGACAGCTCAGCTTACCAATTTGTAAAGTACAGCACATTTCTGTACCCCGATGAAGGTGGTCCCGGGTTGGTCGCAGGCGGAGACACGACACCAGAGCTCAATGTCTGGGCCGGGGACACGCTGGACGGACCGGGGGACACGCTGGACGGACCGGGGGACACGCTGGACGGACCCGGGGACACGCTGGACGGACCGGGGGACATGCTGGACGGACCGGGGGACACGCTGGACGGACCGGGGGACACGCTGGACGGACCCGGGGACACGCTGGACGGACCGGGGGACATGCTGGACGGACCGGGGGACACGCTGGACGGACCCGGGGGCACAACGGAGGAAACCACGGGCGGTGAGCCGGTAGGCGGCGCCGGTCCTGTGGTGAAGGAACGCAGAGGAAGAAAGGGGGTTACGACGATGGGACCCGGACCGGAAGCCGGGGCCGGGGCCGGGGCCGGGGCCGAGGAAGCCGACGGGCTGGAGGCTGAGGCCGCCTGTGATGTTGGTGCGGTGACCTGCGTGGACTGAACGATGGTGCCGGTGCCTGCATTTTTGCAGCTTGGTCGTGCCGAGCGGCGCTGGTTCGCAGGCACTGCGCCCGCGACGGAGGCGAGGAGAAGATGTAAGAGGATGGTTGATCCAATCATGACTGCAAACTAGCGGCTGGCGAGGGCTGGTGACGATCGACAGGGGAAGGGTGAAAGGGAGATGCGATGACGAGCATTTTGGGGGAAGGAAAAGGGCCTCTTATTCCTTTTTGAATCTCCTGTCTCTTCCAAGATATCGAGGGGGTTGATGTGAGGAGGTTGATTTGAGGAGGTTAGGGGAGCAAGCCGTGACGCATCATGGGGTGAGGAATGCTTAGAGCAGGGGGCACAGTTAATCAGCCCCCAGATCCCCAATGGATGGTGGTAAGGCGAACATCGATTGAGGTGTTTTGGTCTGCCTCGCTCGCCGGCCCCTTAGATATCGGAGTTGTGCTCTGGAGGTTGGCCGCCACATGGAGGAATTGGGGCCACCACGGTGACCTGAATCACCAGTTCCTGAGACATCCGAAGCATGTTCCCTTAGACGAAGAGAACATGAGACTTGGAAGAATAGACTTCTTTTCGGTCTGGGTCGTTCTGAATTGAGCATCACTCGTAGTGGCAAATCGGTGAAAACCGGCTCATCAAAAGCACCACACACTCGCTCGGTTTCGGCCGTCCTGTTCTTCAGCATGGAAGTCCATGATGCCCAGGGGACCAACTGGAGGGGGGAAGGAATGCCCTAACCCATGGCACCAGGCTTCAGGTCCAGATTGAACCAACAGACACAAGACCGTCCACAAGAGCATTATTTACATATGGGCTTTCCCTTACTTGCATACAACATAATGCACCGAGCTGGTCGGAGCCCACGCAGCACATTGGAATGTCGTCAAACGGGAGGGGGTGTGTGCTGGATTTCCGCAGGTTCGCAGTTGGGACGGCCAGGCGGATCCCCCGGCGCCGCACTGCGACACGCTGAAGAATGAACCCTGCCACACCGGTGTAGCGGGTCCGCTGGGATGGCAGCTATTAGTAGGGGGCGGGTTGGCGCCTGTGCAGCAACGCCTATGGCAGTCTAGTCGAGCGTTTCCAAGCTTTGTCCACTTTCTCTTCACAGTCGCGACCCAGACTGAGAGCGAGTTCACTGTTTGAAAATGGTCTGAAGACATCTGCCTGTCCCGGCATCAATGGGTGGGTTTGAGCCACATGTAAGGTACCTATGTAGTTAGAAAGGCTTCTGCAACAGTGAGCCGCAGGGCCACATTCCAAGTCCAGCCTCACTAACACACTTACACGCGGACCCATGGTTGGGTCCTCCATCTGTACCTACAGTAGGTACAGTACGTCACTCTTGAGAACAATGTCTCGCTAGCATGTAGTTTCAGCAAATGCGTCGTCAACATTGCCTCGACAAACGCAAGTCCCTTTTCGATAGTTTTGTCACACGCCCTCGGCGATGCCCTTGAACGAAACAATGCTTGTAAGCCAACAGGAAAGACGGACGGTACAGAGGGATGGCGGGTTGACTGCTGTCCCCATCGCTGGGAACTCCTTGTGTGGCCGATTCAAGACTTGCACATAAGGGCGTCCATAATAGCACCGTTAACATGACCGCTGACGATAGTGGTATTCGGGTCCGGGACTCCCTGACATGGCCAACTCTCCCTCGCCTTCAAACTCCTCCCTTTTCATCAGCTCGCCGCTACTTCTGGGTCGCTGGCGTCCCCCCATCCCTTTCGACTGCCATCAAAGCGGCAGGCATCGCAGCAAATACCCCTAACCCACCCAGTACCGCTATCCACCAACTCCCACCCACCTCCCAGACATGACCCCCATAGCCTTCTCCGTACAGCGCGAGCCAGAGAAATGCCTCCGCGCCGGCCAGGAATGCCGCCGCCAGTCCGCCAACGGCGAGCCGGAACCACGGCACGCGCGGCAGGCCGTGTGCCACTACAGCATGGCGGGCGGAGACTGCGCTGACGACGGTCTGCAGCGAAACGAGCACGAGTTCAGTCTGCGTTGCTGTGAGGCCGTGCTGCTGCTGCTGCTGATATTTGTAGATAGCCCACAAGAACAGCACGCTCGTTGTGAAGGCAAGGAAGAAGTACGACAGCGCCATGCGGAAGACGAAGCAAGCGATGGCGATGTTCCAGACAAGTTCGACGACCGGGTCTGTTGTCTCGAAGAGGTATTGTCCCATTATTGCATCCCCAGCAAGGTGAGAAGATTCGGTAATGTGCAGATATTTGATTTGATTTGATCGAGTTTCGTTGACTCTTCGTTCTTGTGAAACCAGCAGAGCGCGATAATCTTGCCGTCTCTTATACAACTATAAAATGTCCCTCTCCTAACGCGATTTCCCGTTCTGCTGTTCTGACGCCTCGGCTGCCTCGTGGACGCCAGCTTTGTGGGTGGTGTGATTGTGGAATGACGGCCTGCGTAGGTTTGCGGACAAGCAACTAGCTGTGCCCCCAACATACGACTTGTACAGTACAAGCCTCTATGCGAATGGAAGCTGGTGATCGTCCTTACCGAGAACCAAAAAAAAAAAAAGTCTCAGCATGACCGTGCTCGATTTATTCCGGCAGTCATCGCAATTTTGTGGGATGAAGTGTAATTTTGGGGGGTATCGTGTCTGTCTCCTCACTCCTGCAAATGGGGGGTGGGCATTCCTCTTGCGTTCCATCTTCTAAACCTGTAAACCAACAGAAATGTTCTGTCCAACTCTAGATCTCCGTCTTGCCCAGCTTCTTGGCCAAATCGTCCACCTCCTTGTCCTTGAGCTGAACAGTAGGCTCCTCCTGGGCCTCCTGGGCCTCTTTGTCGAGGATCTCGGCTCTCTCCGTGGGCTCCGGCTCCTCTTCCTCCTCGGATTCTTCCTCTTCCTCATCATCAGAGTCCTCGCCCTCGAGATCGCTGAGGCTGTCGAGGCCCCATGCGTCTTCATCGACAATTTCGCCGCCGGTCTTCTCCTTGCGCTCCTCCAGCTCCTCGCGGATGGCGATGACAGAGGGGTCCTCCTCCTCAAACTTGTTGCCGTTGAGCTCAACCTTCATCAGGGCAGGCAGAGAGCTGGAAACGGCGCTGGCAATGCTGGACAGGGCCTTGGGGGTGATATCGTTGAAAGCCAGACGAAGGACCTCGAGCTTGTCCTGCTTACCCTTTGCAAGAGCCTTGGCGACGAGAGCAGTACCCTTAGCAGTGAGGAAGGCATCGTTAAGACCCAACTCCTGGAGGTGTGTCCAGGTCGGAAGAACGCTGGCAACAGCCTTGGCACCCGAGGCGGTAAAGGTGTTATCCTGGAGATCGAGGATGCGCAGCTCGGTCGCATGGTTTAAACCCTCACTAATGAGATGGCTGATACCTTCCTGGCGAATTCCGTTCTGAACCATCTTAATCTCCTTAATCTTGTTGTGGAGGCTGAAGGCCCTGGCCCAGGCCTGCATACTGCCATTCTCCAGACGGTTGCGACCGCAGATAACAGTCTCAAGGTGTGGCACCTCCCTGCCTTCCTTCCTTGCCTCCTCCTTCTTCGCGTGCAGTTCAGACAGCGCATTCGCAACCAGGATACCAGCGTGGGGACCGAGACCGTTGTTGTTCAGGTACAGGTGCTGGAGAGGGACGTGAGCAGCTAGGAAGGCGACGACGGGAGCCTGGGTGTTGATGCCGAAAGCGTTGTCATTCAGATTGATCGTCGTGAGCTTGGGGAGGTTGAGGATCGAAGTAAGGAGGGAGGTCAGGGCCTCGGGGATTTCGCTGAGGAGTCGGCCGGTGAAGATATCGGAGAGGTCAGCAGACTGGCCAGTTTCGTTAGCAGTTGTACGTGAGTGTCGAAGCCGTCAGCAGCGTACCTGAAGGTTATTCTTGGTGGCCAAAACCTCACCCAGACGCTTGCAAGCGCCAACGCCCAAGGTGTTTCCCAGGAACTTGACCTCCTCGACATCGGTCGAGATCAGCTCGGCGATGTGGGGTTCCAGGTCGGCGGCAGTATCGAGCTTGAGACCCTTTCCCTCAAGAGAGAACACCTTGCGCGAAGACGCCATTATGAGTATGATGATGGGTAAAGGTAAAGAGAAGTAGAATGCTCGGGAAAAGGTGGCTGCAAGTGCGCAAAATGAGTGTCTGTCCAGGTGTTGTGGTGATAGTGGGGGCGGGGGAATAAACAAGACGATTTCAACTTTCGAAGACCCCTCGAGTCATAGGTACCCGCAGGGGAGGAACCCGGGTGGATTCCAAGCACGCCACAAGGGCAGACCTGCCAGCTGTAGTCATCAGCCCCCAGACGGGACCAGCTGGTCACGGACTCCTAGTGAAGTTGGCTCGTCGACTGGACCCACCCTACAGAGCTCCCGTGAACCACACGGCCTTCGTCGCGACACTGGATCGAGCCCAGGCGCAAACATCATTAAAGTTGTCAGGAGCAAGGCCCGACGTGATTCCTCCGGCGATTGGCCTGCACTCAACTGGAATCCGCCATTTAATCCATCCTCTACTCTTCCCTTCACTGGAAATTATCTATCTTACATCAATCTCACCTTCTAATTCACTGTACCTGGAGACGATCGGTTCCACGCCTTTTAGTAGCAAACCATTGACGATAATTACTGCATCCTTCGAAAAGCATTCCATCCCCAGCACAGCGCAAAATGGCTCGTGGAGACTCGACACCACCCGAATCGCCGCTGTCCTCCATGGACAACAGCGATGCCTCTGATGGCGAGGTCCACGACTACGAGGACGAGTCGCTCCTCCGCCCTTCGAAGCGACAGAAGCTGGGAGCGACTTCGACGACTTCTCCCGCGGTCGCCGCCGAACCCGAGCCCGAAGCTGTACCCGAGCCAGACCCGTTGGATGGCATGTCGGACGTATCATCGGACACCTCTGGTGACATTCCCAGTTCTCCCATAAATGCCAAACTAGACGAGGAGGACTTCCAGGAGCAGGTCACGGCTTGTGCCTGGGAGGGCTGCGACGCGGGTGACTTTGGCAACATGGATAAGTTGGTAGACCACATTCACAGCGATCACATTGAGAGCCGACAAAAGAAGTACACGTGCGAATGGATTGGGTGCAACCGAAAGAGCATGGGCCATGCCAGTGGTTACGCGCTCAAAGCCCATATGCGTAGCCATACTAGGGAGAAGCCCTTCTACTGCTACTTGCCAGGTTTGCAATGCCGATATCCGGTCGCCCTGAAAATGGTGGCTAACCAATACAGAATGCGACCGCTCGTTTACTAGATCCGATGCGTTAGCAAAGCACATGCGGACCGTTCACGAGACAGAGGCTCTGCGCCCCTCTGACCCAGTTCCCAAGTCGATGCAGGCCGGCCCTACGGGCAAGGGCAAGCTGAAGATCATCATCAAGACCCCCCAATCACACGCCGCCGGCCATGACGACGCCATGGACGATGGTGCGGATGACGATGAGCTCTCAGCCGACCTGTTCACGCCTCTGACCGAAGAGCAAGGCTTCACTCCCGAGGAGCTCAAGATACCTCTCGAGAAGCTTTACAAACTTTGCAGATTCCAAGTCAAATGGGCCCAGGATGAATCAGCGAAGCTCGCGGAAGAAGTGAAGTACTGGGAGAAACAGTACAAGGACCTTTGGCGCGAAAAGGAAGTGCTCTTTTCCCAGGTTGTAAAGAGCGAGGTCGACTGGCATGAACGCAGACAGGCAGTGCTGTCAGGCGCAGCGGACGTTCAGCTGTCAGGCGTGCTCGAAAGCCAAGAAGGCAATGCAGCTGCAACAAATGGCGATGGCGCAGGCTCCCAGCAAGATTCTAGCGCTAAAGAGATTCTGGCCAACGGGACTGGCTCGACGGAAGTTGCGGCAGCTAGTTAGAGTCGGTCTTCTGCAATTGAGGGCTGCTCGGGGAACCAAGAAGGGAACCAAGACGGGAACGGCGACCTCGGACGATTCGTGGGGGAACCGCTGGGCATGGGCGAACCGAAAGTTCCCTGCATCTGCTGTGGCCAAGAATATTCCTACTACTACCTGATCAGAACTCACGCGCAGGTCTGTTCAGGTCCACATCGGCGAGCACTTCGACAGCTGAAGGGACCATGGTTTAGACAGCGACCCCGGCGCCTCTAAGGATCAAACAGTCTATGTCATATGCGTGGAAGAGACGACGAGTCTGTAGTCCTCCTAGCAGAGCCTACCATGAGATGGAGCGTCTTTCAGAACTCTCCGGAGAAGGATAGTCCCAAGCACCAAGGGTATAAATAACAAGGCAATCGGTGTGGAGCCGACAAACTCCATTGTCTGCACATTCTGCCGCAGGGAGCGTCAGGGAAAGTTTGGCGAGAGGCACATGGGGCATACGGCGCATGGCGTATTGTATTAACAGGAGAATGTTTCATCGTTGACTATAATTGACGAGCAGCGGCGGTACAGCCGCCCCTAAAACACTTTGATATTGGCTGCCTACTCCTTACTTCATACTGCGTGGGGATGACTTTGACAAGAAGTAAGAACTTTTGTACATTACTTTAACATTGCCGCCATCTCTTGAAAGGGCTGGACCGGAGGCGCTGCCGAATCCCATGACGCACGTTGTAGGCCGAAGCCCTCTGAGATAGCGACATCCACTTGGCCGACGAAAAGTGAACCGCAAACACTTACATACCCTTCTTCTTGGCGCGATACGACCCTGCGTTCTTGAATGGAAACGAGCTCGTGTCCTTGTCGTAGCCGTGCTTCTTGCTGCGGCGCGACTTATCGCCGGCGAACATGAGACACCAGAGGCCGAAGACGGCGAAGAGAGTGCTGCCGAGGCAGCCTAGAACGAAGCCCGTCTGGTCCGTCCGCAGATACCTGCTGTAGCAGTAGAAGGCGGCGGAGGCGTGGTGGATGGAGGAGATGAACAGGGCGGCGTTGGCGTATGGCGAGACGGTCCCTGGCGGGGCTGCGAGGTGTAAGTACGATGCGGAGAGAGTCTATCGAGACAGACAGACAGGCGAGGAGGCGGACGGGGAAGGGGAGGAGAGAAGTGGGGGATGAGACTGACTTTGGTCCTCGGATACGAGGGGGACCGCGCCAGAGAGGGTTACGACGAGGAGGCCGAGGGTGAGGAGGGCGAATCCTAGGGAGCGGGCAAAGTAGTCCTCAAGAGCTGGCGGGGTGGACGTCAGTTCACTTGTCCTCGCGAAGATGGCGAGAAAGAGCTCACAGCCTGCGGCCTGGTAGTCTTCGGGACGGAGAAGGTTGGTAATAAACCTCGGCCAGATGATGAGCGGGATAGCCTGTGTCGCGAGCCAGCCCAAGTTGCCGAAGCTGAAGGTCGATATCGCCTGTTGTGTAGTGTAAAGGGGAGCTTGTCAGCGGCTTTCAATATGCGCGCGGGTTGGGAGGATTGCCCATACGTCCATTGAAGTGTTCAAGGGAGCTACTGAAATCCAGTTTCCGGTAATATTCTGCTTCTGAGCGACGAGTTTGCTGAGATGGAGTATTATAGCTTTCCAGGAAACAGAAGGGAACAATAACTTGAAGCTGGCTGGAGCTTCTACAGCTCTCCATCGCGCGGATGACCTCAAGGTTGGTAAACGGTACGTCTATTGGGTATCCTAGCGACGTCATTGGACCGCCCCCCAGGCTTGTCGGAGAGGCGCGCGGCCACCCTCCCTGTGGACCGCCGGCCAGCAGCTGCACGCCTTATTTGTTCCTGTAAAGAATGCCCCCTGTATTTTCTCTCAGCGCTTCTCAGGGGTCCGAGGCCGATGCCGCCCGTGGGGTGGAAGGGGGAGGCGGAATCTTTCCTCGCCCGCTTTTTTTCTTTGCCAATCCGCCACCTGCCGATTTCGCAGCGCTTGCTTGCCCTGTGGATTGCCCAACTTTCGCCTTTGCCAGCGGCGTTTCCCCTGCAAAAGTCCACTGGTGGGGGGCTGATTTGCAATCACACTCTGCCGGTTTTGTTTTTCCTCAGGCTGCCGAAGGCTGTCAACCATTTGTGCATCTCCGGGTTCGCGAAGAGATAGAGAGTGTTTTTGAGAGAGAGGGGGACCACTCACGTTAATTAGCAGCATTCTGAAAAAAGGCGACCTGGATTCTTCTTATCTCTGCTACCTGTTTGTAATTTTTACAAAAGTTGCTGGTTGTTGAACCTGCTCTGCTCTTCTACCAAATCCTTTCATTCTTCTCTCGCATCACATTTGCCCCGCCATCGTCAACACCCATCCCACCTCCTTGACCACCAATCCTCATCTCCCATTACGACTTGACAAACCCTCCCGATACGACAAGATGAGCGCGATCCTCTCAGCAGACGACCTCAACGACTTCATCAGTCCGGGCGTCGCCTGCATAAAGCCAATCGAGACCCTTCCCTCCGCCCCGCCACCGTCGCAAGACCCCTCCCTCGAACACGAAGTGATACTCGACGGCCAACCCGGCTCCGCCGCAGCCAATGCCCCGCCGGCCGAGATCTCTCTAACGGACTGCCTCGCCTGCTCCGGCTGCGTCACCTCCGCCGAGGCCGTTCTCGTCAGCATGCAGTCCCACACCGAGGTCCTCCACACCCTTGACTTCGGCCCCGCGCTGCGCATCGTCGGCCCGGACGATGGCGGCCAGTTTCGCGTCGACGGCCTCGAGGACGAGAGCCGCAGGCTCTTCGTCGCCAGCGTATCGCCCCAGACGAGGGCGAGCCTGGCCGCCGCGGCGGGGAAAGGGACGACGGAGAAGGAGGCGGGCCATATGCTCGAGAGGCTGCTCGGCGGCCCCGATGGGCTGGCGAGCGCGGGGAAGCACAACAACGGGTTTACGTGGGTCCTGGACACCAATGTTGCGCGTGAGGCGTGCCTGGTCCTCGGTGCGGACGAGGTCTTAGGCGCAGACGACGACCCTGCGTCGTCCGCGACGAAGCCCATCCTCACATCGTCGTGCCCCGGCTGGGTGTGCTACGCCGAGAAGACGCACCCGTACGTGCTACCGCACCTGTCACGGGTCAAGTCGCCCCAGGCGCTGATGGGCACGCTGCTCAAGACCACCCTCAGCAAGAAGCTCGGGATTCCGCCCAGTAGGATCTGGCACTTGGCAGTCATGCCCTGCTTCGACAAGAAGCTGGAGGCCAGTCGCGAGGAGCTTACGGACTCGGTCTGGGCTGGGGACGGGATGCCGGGCAGGGGAGTCCGCGACGTTGACTGCGTCATCACTAGCAAGGAGGTCCTCATGTTAGCGGAAGCAAGGGGCTTCAATTTCTTCGACCTTGCCCGGAGTAAGCCGAGCTTCGAGCGCGTGTCTTTTCCCGACGCGCGCCTGGACAAGTTCCTCTTCCCTGGCCGCGGCGCCCACCGTTCGTCTCAGGCGGCGGGCACGTCCGGCGGCAACCTCTACTTCACCCTCCAGACTGTGGTCTCCAAGCATTCCGGTTCCCAGATCCAAGTGATCCGCGGACGCAACGCCGACGTTGTTGAGTTTATTGTGGCCTCCCCCGCCGGCGATCCGATATTCAAGGCTGCCAGATACTATGGTTTCCGGAATATACAAAACCTGGTGCGGAAGCTGAAGCCGGCACGGCCGTCTCGAATGCCTGGCGGCAAGGCCTTTGGCGCTGCCAGACGGCCCACCGGTAAGTCGGCCGGGCTCGAGTATGCCTACGTCGAGGTTATGGCCTGCCCTGGCGGCTGCACCAACGGCGGTGGGCAGATCAAGGTCGACGACCCCATCATCGTCAAGCGCCGGGGCTTTGAGGCCAAGCCCGGCCTCCTTGAGCAAAAGGTCTTCTTGGCCGAGGTCGACGAGGCCTACTTCTCAGCGGAGGACTCCGATGGTGAAGACGGCGTGTCTCAGAACGGCGGCGACCTTCGAACGGATATTGTTGATGGAATTTCACCTTCGTATATTCGAGATACCCTGGCGCATTGGGCGGGCATTACTGGCATAGACTTGGGCAGGATGGCGCTTACCACGTATCGCGAGGTGGTCAGCGACGTGGGCAAGGACAAGGCGAGCGACACAGAGCGCGTTGTCCAGCTGGCGGGCAAGATTGGTGGAGGCTGGTAGCTTTCATGTCGATAGGATAAGTAGTAATTCAACCCTCCTTGGTGCCTCGCTTGGCGAAGCCGAACCCTCCTCTCCCGCTCCCGTCTGGCCCGCGTGGCGCTCGCAGGGCCTGCTTGGGCTGTTCCTCGTCCCTTGGCATGGACCGGCCAGAGTGCGGGCCGGGCTCGCCCCCTCGCTTTTGCATCGCGAAGCCTCCCCTGGGCGCATAGCCAGGGTCGAAGAGCTCGCGGCCGCTCTCGGAACGAACAGCGTCGGCTCTGCTGCTGCCGGGTCGCCTGTAGTCCTCCTGCCGACTTGAGTTGTTTCCTCGGTGCCCGCCGCCACGGCCGCGCCCCCTACCACGGCCGCGGCCTCCTCCTCCTCTCTCATTCTCCCCGCCCCTGGGCGGGGTCGTCGTCCCGGGGCTCGAGGCCCCGGACGAGGGGTTCGACTCGCCAAAGATCTTGGCGCGGGCCTCCTCGTATCGGCGCTGCTTCTCCTCGAGCTCTCGCTGCTGCTTGGCACGGATCTCCTCTGGTGTGAGCTGGGGCTTCTTCTCGGCGGCCTGGTCGTCGGCATCGTCGTCGGCAAGGGAGAGGTGAGAGAGCTGGCCGGTGACAGGATCACGGCGGGCAATGGTCCGGGGTGCGGGCTTGCGGCTGAGTACCTTAACTTGCGGCTTGAAGCCCGTAGCCAGTGGCACTGAGGGCTGGGCCTCAAGGAAGGTCAGAGGTGTCGGGGTATCACTATCGGGGTTGCTATGTCAGTGGCTGCTCACCCGAAAGACTGGAAGGTCCACAGGACGGGGAAATTGCATAAAGGTTATATTTGGAGGCTGGAGACATCATCAATGGACGTACGCTGATTCCCAGAGCTTCCTGTTTGACTCGGCATGCTGGGCAAGGCGCTCTGCTTTGCTCACCGGTGCCGGCGGTTCAGGCTGCAACGGTGCCCCACCATCCATCTTGTCGGCGGCAGACTCCCAGTCATCGTCCTCCCAAGCGTTAGGAATGGGTCCCTTCTTGACCATCTTGTCCAGGAGTTGTTCGGGGTTTCAGGCGCAGTATACAGACTTGTCGGCAACTAGCAAGTACGCCTGCTCAGGAGAAAGGTGCTTTGGCTGGGTGGGGTGGGAAAGGGATGAGTGTCCTGTGACCGTGACAAGGCGAGTGGCGAGAGCAGCTAAAGCGGGAGCATTGGAGGGTTTCAAGGAGGAGGTGAACGCAATGTGACACCAAATCGGAGGTTGTCCAGTCCTGAAAGAAGGTGGCTGTTCACAATTGCACACTGGGGGGGGGTGAAGGTGGAATGAGATGAAGTTGACGGGCGGTCCCTTGTTGGCTGTGCTTTGTGTGCTGTCGGTACGGTTATTTTTGTTTTATTTTTCTAGCTTCTCCCTACTGGGCAGAGGACCTCGGTAATACTTCTAGACTCTGCCACTATGAAACCAGAGTTGATGTACCGATAAAGTCTCCTCTCTGTCCAGGCTTGTGTGGAGGGGCACCAGGGGTCAGCAGGCGCATCGGATCTTGGAAACACCCTGGGGCATAGTGGGGTTGCCCGGGCCAGGTGACAGGCCAGCCAGACGACAGTCTACTCTCATTTATCACTTGCCCAGTTCACTGCGTAAACAGGATCCCAGCTAAGAGACCATCTTCACTTCATTGTCTTCTTCAGGTTCCATTGCAGTATTTCTCAATACCTATCTCTGTCGTATCAATTCTCTGCTCTTCTCTAGTGCTTCCATCGTTTCGCATCTCTTCTCACCCATTCCCAACTTACCCTCTTGGCACATCCTGGGCTGCCGAATCGGGTGTTGAACTGACCCTGGCCTGTAAGCATACACCTCCAGCTTCCAACCCTATTCCGCGGCTTCTCACAATGGGATCAAGACTATTTTAACCCGATCTTGGCTCGAGGAAATAAAGGAAAGCAATGGCTGCTGGTTCTGCGAAGCTCCAGACACCCAGCTCCGAGGCCGGAGCCAGCGCCGCTGATGACGGCAAGGCCGCGCCCAGCTGGAACAGCAAGAAGTCCAGAGAGGAGTTCGAATCTTTAAATTCGAAGCTTCTTGACCCGCGGTTCGATCCGAGTAAGTGCTATCAGTACCAGTCTTTTTGCTCGTTACTCTGGATTTGGGAAGCAGTTCCAGCATCTCTCGCATCTCCCGTATTTTGAATAATTCATCCACGAGCAAGGTCGGCTGCGGTTACGGAGATGGAAACCAGTGCTAAAATGCAGGTCGGCAGAGCACTTTCCCGACCCTCTGCTCCCAAGGAACGGCTCTGATTCCCGTAATAACCCCAAAGGAACACCGGAGGCCGAGAGGAGGATCGACCGGATCATCGCCGAGTACAGGGACCGGAATTGAGGAGCTGGTCCGCGAACCTCTCACGGCGGACTGGTCTGCCTTTGGCCACAACGGCCTTATGTGTACCGATTGAATGGTTTGACGATCTTCTATGTCGTATTTGTATATGAATGTGTTGTTTTGAGTCGCTGCTTTGTCCCTCTCTGTATGATTCGAACAAGTTCTTTGAGGGTTTGGACCTTTGCCCGAAAAAACAAGTTTCACCAATGTGGTCGGTCCCCTTTTTCCTTCTCGTCTCGCCCCGAGAGAATGAAATCAACACACCAATCAACCCCAATGTTAGGTTATTGATATGACTGGCGCTCTTCTGGCGAGTTCGCGACCCAGTGATGTGGTTCCGCCAGGAGCCGCGTGGAGCTTTTGGGTGAATGGAGTGGTGGTCACGCGGATGGGTTCGGCCGTGGTCATTCACCTCTTCCACCTACCCATATGATCTTCTCCATGCCGTCATTAATCGACTCCACGACGTGAAAAATCTAGGCATCCGTACTTACATTTCGTCTCAACTTGATCATTCATATTAGGGCTGGGAACAGTCACTTATATCAGTTGTTCACACCGAGATTAGCCTCCGTCGGCCTTAGACCTATATCTTGGCCGCTCTCAGTTGTCCTTCTTGAGCCTCTTTACTTTCCTCAGAACATCTTAACTTCATTACGAATGCACGAGAGCTTCACTGCAGAATCAGGAAGTAGTTACAGCCAACATAACGGATTCCAAACCCGGTCCTAGATACGTTGTTATCTTCATCATCGGTCACCCACTTGAACTGCGCCGGACGCCTTTACCTTGGTCGAACAGAACCACTACCAAACAACGCAACCGCCTCACTTCACACTGGATTGAATCGCAACCACGGAGGACATGGCCCCGATCATGTTGGACCAGGGGTCTGCCAAGGACGGCTCCAACACCAAGCATCAACCATCAACCTTCACAACCCCAGCCGTCTCGCTACGAAAGATCAGCAGTAAGTCCCCCCAGTGCCCATCTCCTAATCACCAGCTCTTCATGAACTGACGATTCGCCTGTAACAGAGACGGCACCCTCCAAGTCTCGCCGGCACCGCCCCTCCAACATTCTCGTCTTCCCGCCGCCCACGCTGGCCGAGGAAATCATCATCGTGAGGAAGACGCAGGAGGCCGCGTTCCTCCCGAGCCCCAGAATTTACCACAACAGCCATTTACTGCAGCAACGACTGCTCGCACGACCGAGACCCCAGCCCCTGGCCGCGGCGCAGAAGCGTCCCAGGATCCTGCTCTCGACCAAGAACTTCAAGTGGGTCAAGACTGACGACGCCGTCTGGGTCAAGAAGCGACGAATCGTCCTCAAGACGAAGGGCGTGGAGAAGATGTACTCATCGCGTTGATGGCCGGCTTACCTAGCCTTTGAGTAATGGATCATGTGGGAGAAGCATACCGTGGGGCGTTTGGAAGGCATTTTGGGTTAGACGTCGTCGCTTCTCCGTATAGGAGTATATCCACACCGGGCTGTTCGTTGCATGACATGACGGGTTTACATTTACTAGACTAGACACATCTGGAGCGGTTCCCAATGAATCCTGGAGATCCTAGCATAGCGAGTTCGATTGCAAATTATACAAAACCACATTTTGACCTATACGCACGAGCCTCGAGTTAACATGCCTTGTAGATTACAGGATAAAGATAACCAGGGTCGTTTCAGTGAACAGGGATACTTCCCCTCAGCGGCGACATAATTAAGCAATATATGAACGTAATCCCAGTGTTTATCAATTGGCAATGACAAAAACATCCTTTTTCATGTTTACAGCTGCCATTTGTTGGCCAGCGACAAAGTGAACGCTTGCAGCCACATAACGTGGGACTCAAGGAATTCCAAGAAGCCGACCAACGGCATCACACCACTCGGCTCTGTAGAGACGAGATACTTGCAGCTTGACGGCGTGGACATGATCAACACTGAGAAGACGCCGTGGAAGCAAGGACAAACACCGGAACTGGAGCACTCGAAACAGGGAAGATTGCAACACTGGGTAACCGTCTCGTCAGGCCGACCCTGCATTCTCTGGTAGCAGCACATGGCAAATAGACGCAGGGTACCGACCCCTCATCGGCGGAAAGCGGGAGCACAGACATCGGCCTTGCATCTACCTACCTACATGAGTCAACTACGCAGTACGTACGGTAGACGCATGAAAGCTCCCGGCAGCTGACGAGTAATTGGCCAGTAAGAGAACCCCCATCTGAGGGGGTTGTCGATGCGGGAGACGAAGCTGGGCACTGGCACTGGTTGCTTCCCCCCCACCTCCACCCAACCTGCCAGCGTCAGCGAGCGTTCATGTGCAAATGCCAGATGCACGAAGGGTCGCATGAGAACGAAGCACGCTGATTCTTTGGCATGTGGCCCCCCGGAACGGGAAGGGGGCAGACGAGAGGGAAGTCGGGCCTGAAAACATTTGGACATGTGTCGGGGGACAAGAGACAGCCCAGGGTTGGCGAAATGCAGACCCGGCGGTTCGGGTCGAATACTCTTCGGACGAAGATTGCTCCGGGCTGGGTCTGCGAAATGTTAACGAGGGACAGTCGGTCGGCCGGGCCATTTCGTCGAGTCGGGGTAAAGAGATCTCGAGCGCACGTGAGAACGGGACTGGGGGACTGCGGTTGGGACCAAAGGCACGATTGCCATAGCACAAGGTACACACGAGTTTCTATAGGAAGGCTGAAGCTCTCTGGTTTGAAGGTAAGTCGACACCTTGGAGCGGACATCCGTCTCACGCCGCATGAAGGGAATGCTGGTCGTCTGGCACGAACATGGAGCAGGCAACGAAGGGCGTCCCGAGGGTATAACGAACGCCCGAGCAGCGCCTGGAATACCATGTTCATGCTGCGACTATAGGCCTTATGACTCGTCAAAGAATTTGGAGAACCGCCATTCACTGAACGCTGGGCAACGTCGGATGGAACGGGGCAGGGGCAGGAGAGAGGTTGACGTAGCGAATTCCACCAGTTACGTAGGGGCCGGGCGGCCTCTCCACCGATGGGCGAACGGCGGGGACGATTGGTGGGAGTGGTCGACTTACATCCATCATGTACCATGCATAAGGTGAAAAGTCAGGGAGGGGGGGGGTTGGATACCCAAGCGTGAGCTTGTCAGCTTATTCAGCGATGTTGCCCCAGCTGTCAAATGAATCATGGCGTCGACCCTCAAAAACCGGCATGCCACCTTGGACAAGGGCATACATGACATCGTATCTCTCTCAGTGTGCGAATAGAAGGCGCGAACCCAGCCAATGGCGGCTGGCATTCGACAAGCTGACAGTGCATGGCTCGTACTATGTTCTGTAATGCATCGCAGGCTGACGATGGGGGGTTGCCTCGAGACATGCCAGGCCCCAGCAGTGTCTCGATCCGCAGAGTCAAGACTACCGGTACCTATAAAGAGTTGCAGACGTGACGGTGACATATGGGAAATGGGGGCCGTGGAGTGGCCTGGCCAAAGCAGAGCCCCCCCTTTTTGGCCCGGCAAGGTATCCAACCAACAACCCTCCCTGCAGGTGCGGCCACCATGACAAGATAGGCAGGCAGCTCTGCAGCTGTACGGCTGCAGAGTGGCGAAAGGGTATAATGCGTCGGAGCCAATGCTTCCTTGCCAATGTCATGTTGGTTTGTCGACGGTCTTGGCTCATCCACCTTGTTAACCGAATCGTCCAGGTAACACACCCACCCCCGCGGTTCACTCGCATGTCAGAATGGTAAGGGTGGCCCGCTGGCGGGGGGTCGACGGTTTCCCGAAGAGGATCTCTTATGTTTGTGTCGGCGGTCTCGGAGGGAGGCCGGTGAAAACCCCACAAGCCTGAACTGAGCCAGTCGACGCCATCGTGCAAGCGTTCGTGTCCCCGCCCCCCTTGAATGTTGTACAGGTTATCCGTATACGTATCGTTTTGGATGGTGCTGTATGTATGATTGTTCGTGCACCTCCGCTCGAGAAGCGCGGTCTTGAATTAGATGTTGGTAGTTGGTTGCGGCGAAAACCTCGCTCAAACCAGCGAGGCGCTGGACATTCCTTGACAAGCCTGTTCAGTTGGTTCTTGAAGGCCGTCTAGAACAAATGCCCCCCCCCCTTGCAATTGCAATGAAGCAAGGCTAACCGATGCCGGACGAGACGTGGTGGAGAGACGTGGATTGTTTTTGAACGACACGGCCCAAAGGCGACGCCTAGATGCGCGCATTCTGAAAGCTGTATTTTTACGTTGGGAACTGAAGCGTAAGAGAGGGAGATCTTTCGGATATCAAACCATGTAATGTGTCATTCCTGCATTTGGTATGAATTCGAGGAGGTGGCCGAAGTGGACGCCGCGGGCGGAGGTAAGTAAGGCAGGGGTGGCAGCTGCATGGACGCTGTCGCTATTCGTACTTCTTCGAATGAGACAATACATATATATCCTTACCTACACTACCTACGGCCACTGCGTATGCCGCTTGGCGTGGCGGGCGGGCAAGCAGCAGTCATCTTTTCGCCATTACCAAAGCGGCTGTGGCATGCAGGCCATCCAGAACCCTTTGGAAGCCTGTGTCCCTAAAACGGCATCCCGGACGAAATGCCTATCTACCCTGCTCGAGAGCAGCACCCCTCACCTCGCTCAACTGAGGTACAGATACGCACGTGTCCAAGGCGGTCCTTCTCAAAGTCGCACAGGTACTCACAACTAGGTATTCTAACACGGCCGGAAAAACACAGTATAGGTAGGTAAACATCGTGCCCAATTCTCAATCTAATGGAAGGTTTCTAGAAGAAGCCTCTCGCTCTACTCTATACTAGGTACACTACACTACAGTACACTACTCACCTAGGTAGGTAGGTACCTAAGGAGGAGGTACTCAGGCTACCGGGGCGCATATGGCCTGTGTGAGAGTCCAGTCCCCTTGTGGGGGTACCGTCCTTTTCGTGGGGTTAGCGAGGCGCACCATTTACGGGTAGTACATCATACCTAGTGTACGTACCGTAGACACTGGTGAGATCCGGTAAAAGCTAGGAAACCCACTAACGGCAAGGGGTATCGCAGCCACTATAAGAGGTATAGTGCGCTAGCAGAAACAGGGATCTAAAGGTAGCAAAAGCAGGGGTTAGTCATGTACGTCAGCAGCAAGTTAGGTAGCAAGGGCCAGCAAAAAACCTTATAACTAGCATTAGATTTCCTCCCTCCCTCCCACTCTAGATCTCCCATAGCCTTGTTAAACTATCTCCAATAGGTTACTAGACATCTTCAACTAGAGATATATACTCTTTGCTATCGTTGTTTACATTAACGTCAAATATCTCTTTATAACTTTAAGCAATTTCCTTCTTAATATAGGTATTACAGTCAAAGTAATCCTAACTATCCTATAATATCTTCTTATTTAGTATATCCTTAATCTAAATCTTGTTAATATTGCTTTTATCTAGGTTACTACTAATCTTACACTAAAGAAAAGATTACTAGACTATCTTCCTCCTTTTAGCTAGGCAACAGGCAGCTATTATAATAGTATAAGTAACTATAATATGTTTTATTAACATAGACTACTTAATAAGTATAGGTTAAATAGGTTAAATAGGTTAAATAGGTTAAATAGGCACACTAGGCTAGCTAGTAGTAGCTTGCTCTATTTGCTATATATACTTGTTAGTTACCTTAGATAACTACTACTTAAAGGGCTTATTAATAGTAGTATCTAGAGGTTAAAAAAGAAAGGTTATACCTAGTAGTATAAGGCTAAGTGTAATATAATAAGAATAAAGTTATAATAGTATTATAAAGGTCTTATAAAAGGTTATAACATCTATAACTAATAAGTATTTATACCCTACTATAAAAAGAAAAAATTTATTTATTAGCTACTACCTAAGGAGATACTTATTATTATAAGCTATATTATTATATTTAACTATTACCTCTTTACTATAGAAGTTACCTTTATATACCTTAAGTTAGCTACTAAGGCTAGTAGGCTTACTATAAAAGATAAGCTTTAGTAGTAGCTATTAGACCTTATTAGTAAAAATATAGAGAATAAGAGTAGCTTACTGCTTACTTTAGCTACTATAGTTAGTTTTACTAGCTATAGTATAGGCCCCTTAGGCTACCTAAGTTAACTTATTAAGGTACTTAAAAGGGATAAAGGTCTTATTAAAGTTAATAATATAGTTAGGTAGAAATTAAAGGCTACTAATAGGCAGTTACTACTAGGCAAGTAAGGGCTAACTAACCTATTAGTTAAAGTAAAGGAAGTTAGTAATAATAGTAAGGTATTTAGCAGGGAGCTTTAAGGCTTACTTTATAAGCTAGTAGTATAAAATATTCTATTATATACAAAAACCACTAAACTAACCTACAGAGAATCAAAAGGGATAAGTAGGTAGGTTACTAGCTATAAGGGTATTAGGATAGTTAACTATAAAAAGGGCCTAGGCCTCCCGCTTAAACTATCTAGTAGTAACTACTTTATTATTAGCTTATTATTACTAGAAGTAACTATAAAGGTCAGCTTCCATCTCTAGCTACTTTAGTTAATAAATAGCTAGGCTTATATAATCCTATTGTTAATATTAGTTAGATATTGTCTAGAGGGGTATTTTAAAGTAGGTAGCTACCTTACAAAGGGTTAGGTAGCAGAGGCCACTAGTAGGGTTAAGAGGGGTATTACTAGCCTGTTAGCAACGTCGCTAGCTAAAGGAAAGTAGGTAACAGTAGTACTTAAGGTATAGTAGTACGTTAACTTGTTTTTACTAACTATACAACCTTTCAACTTATTAGATGCTTTTTTTTAGTGTATATCGTCGCTTAATAATAGGGGTAGGCTTCTTGCCTATCTTCTTGCGTAACAGTAGTGTAATATTTAGGTTAATTTCGCCTAGCGGCAGGTGGTCAGGCATCGTGAATATCGTAGTAGGTTAGTGGGTTAGTTAATAGGTTAGCAAAGTTAACCATAGATGGCTTACAAGTAGGCAAGTAGGCAAATAGGCAAGTAGGCAAGTAAGCAAGTAAGCAAGTAGGTAGATAAGTAGGTTAATAGGTTAACCGCTTTCTTAATTAGGATTAGCGTAGTGGATATCCACTAGCTGTTATAGGATATCTACTAGCTTTTTCTGGCTAGCGGATTTCCTAGCTTTTACCGGATCTCACCAGTGGCTACGGTAGTGCCTGCCTACCTGTACGTAGGTAACTGGTAGCTACTCTTTGGTCGTCGGGCTGCGACGACTGGCTGACCGCTGACCCAATGCAATCAGTCAATTACTTATTCAACACCGGGCGTGGACGGGAACTGGAATCACGTTTCCTCTAAGCCTCTGCCCCAGGCATCACCGCCATCCGTTTTTCCGACAGGCACTTGATACCAGGAATTGCCTACCGATCTCTGGGAACAAGATGCAGAACGGGATCGAATAGGACTGAATGTCTTTTTTTTGCTTGTTTTTCTGCCTCCTACCTCACCCCACCTCATCTCCACGCCCTCTTCCTCTCATAGTCACCTCACCACATCTCACCTCGCCTCACCTCGCCTTGCCGTACCTTACCTTACCTACTTATCTTTGCCGACCTCTCATATTGACTTCACCGGTAACGACGCAAAGTGCCTCTCTTGCCTTGCCTGGGTACAAACAAGACCCCCCAGTTCAGGGTTTCCCCTTTTCTACATATTCACCAACGACCTCCTCCCGTCTCTGACGTCTCCCGCTTGACCTCATTTTGACTCGATCAACCCCACATCGAACCCGATTTTCCAAAGCAATTCAGTATTATCAGGAGTCGGGTCCTCGTGAACCTTCCGTCCTTCGGTGCCACTTCACGATCCGCCCTCTGCGACAGCCGCAACCTCACTGGCCGGGGGTTCATAACCTCGTCACGGACTCCCTGCCATACGTACATTCGGGCCTTAGACCACCAGTACATTGTCATCGACTGGAGTGCTACGCTACGCTGTCGCCCCCCTCGCCCCACTCTCACACACAACGCTGGTACGGATACAGACACTCACTCACTCGATCACTCAACCGACCTACCCTACCTGCCCTGCTCCATTTTTTTTTCTTTTTCGTTTTCTCACCTGGTTGCTGCGTGAAGTCAATCCAGTAACGCGAAGGGGGAAGAGGAAAATAAAAAATAAAAAAGGAAAACAAGGAAGCAAGCGGGCAGGCCTTACCTGAACTCACTCGCGCCTTCTTCCCCTCTCTTCCTTCCTTCCTTTCCGCCCCCTCCTCTTAGAATCCCCTCCCGCCCTCCACCCGTCCGGATCCAATCCACTTACCCTCCCACAACGGATAGACTGTGGCCGACCTTCACCACATCCCGCTCTACTCTCAACTTCTCACCCCCTTCAGAGAAAAAAATCAAGTCTCCAATTCCAACTCCAAAAATCACAACGCCGGCACCTGCACTTGCACCACAACCGCAACCGCCGCCGCTTTCTCACGCAAACAATCTCCCTACACCACTCCTTCTCACGCACACCCACCTACCTACGCCAGGCTTCACCACATCTGCCGCTCAGTCTCTCGCATCGGCCAATCTTTCAGCAGCGCCAGCAATATCTCGGCCTGTTTTGACGTCAACCAAGGATTTAGGCCTCTGCCTCGACTAGGCCATCCATCACTGTTACACGAGAACAGAGGACAACCAGCAACCATGTCCGGCGCCGAGGGCACACATGCAAACACAGGCGGCTTCGACCTACTGAAGCGGGCGACACAGGCCATGATGTCAGGCTCTAGGTATGTGCCATTTCTGTGACGCATCTCTCTACCACTCCTGCCCAATGATACCCCTCTACACTTGTGCTACCCTGCCTGAGCATGCATTCTCCTAGCCTTTTTTTCTTTCTTTTTTTTTCTCCCTTTCTTTTGGTCCCCCCCCCCCCCCCCCCCCCCCCCCCTCTTACTCGTTCTTGTCTACCGCCCTCCTTGCTGCAGTCATGCCCGCTCCCCATTCGACAAACGGAGCCTCTATGGCCTCCTCCCTCAACATCCTCAACATCTGCCTGGTCAAAGCTACGGCGTTAGCTCGCCTCCCACCTCTATCCGGTCTGAGATGTGTGAAGCCTTTCCCATTTGCTTAATATACACTTTGTTCTTCCTTTCCTACCTTGGGGATTTGTCCCTTGCCTGGGCGTGTTGATTTACCGCTCGTCAAAAGCTGGAGGAGCCGTGCAATCCATATCAACCTTTCCTTCATCCAATTCTTGGCACTGCATGTTACCGAGGCTCTTGCTGTCTGTCGTGGCCAGGTCCGAGGTTGTCTTTCCTTTACCCTCGTGGTCTTAACAGGAGCTGGACCCTTGAATAAGCCTCTCGTCTCAAAAGATGGTCGGTTCCTCCATCAGCGGCATGTCTGCGTCGTACATACATGCTACCCAAAAGCGTGGCGACGGAGGGGTGGCTGGCGAACGGGGTGCTCGTCCTGGAACGTCCACCGTCAGTCGCTTGTTCCTGCACCTGATTGTTTAGAGGATCTTCCTTATCTGGCTAGTGCCAGTGGCATCAGACTGCCGTCAACGGCCCTTTAAGCCTACCGCCGAATGGTCCCAGACGATCCCGGACGATAGTCCGAGGCTGCAAGCAACTGAGCCCAGTTGGCCCCGTGGTCTGTCTCCTCACCTCTCCTCTCCTTCTGTCACCGGCTCATCACCTCCGTCGGTTTACCCTTGCCCGCGCCCATTTTGTGGGTGTTGGTGGCGGCACTCCCTCATAGTCTGGGGCGCGCTCGAGCTGGCATCTGCTCCACGGCCTACGTTGAGTATTGTCGAGTGTGACATACGATGCATCCATTTGAAAGTTCCGTCGACCCCCCTTACACTCGCTTGCACATGCAAATGGAGAAATCGCTACATACCCCCGGCCCCATCCTACCCCATGCCATTGTTTATCCTATGCCCACCATCTGCCTACCCACCTACTCACCTTGCCTGAGACCCTTCGTTTGAGTTGCCGAGGCGGCGACCAACACTAAATGATCGCAAATAGATGAGCCTGGACGCGGGGGCTGCCTGTGCCAGTGCCAGTGCAAGCCCCAAGAGCCAATGCAGCAGGAGGCTTATCGGGCGAGGCCTGACTCGCTCATTGAAGGTCCGGCCAGTGGCCGGAGCAAGTCGTCTCTTGTCGCTCTGGCCTGCAGCATTGAAGCTCTTTCTCCCTGTTCCGTTCTGCTCACCTTAGGCCCAAGTGGGTTGCTTACACTCCCCTCTTTGTAGCGCCCATTCGCGTTAGGTTCAACTGAAGCGCGCCGATTCAAGTCTTTGACTAGTGGTTAAGAACAGGCAGGGCCTTTGCACAATGGAGGGGCGGCTTCGGAACAGAAAAACCCACTTTGCTCTTGTCCCTATTTGACGACACTTCCCTTTTGGCTTTCTGCGTCATCCCCTACAAACTGCGCACTACCCGGCTGGCTTGCGACGGCATCCTTGCTTCCACCCAAATCAGAAGGCGAAAAAAAAAAATCAAATAGAAAAATTACCCGTTCTTTCCCGTCGGTCGCCGCAGGCGCGCGCACACACACACAGGCTGCACTCGTACTCCGCCTCCTCTGCTCACTACACTCCGTCCTCATCAAGTGGTCGCGGGCTTGGCAGCCGTCATGAGCTAGGTCTCCTACTTTGAGTCTACCTCCGCTTTTCGCCCTCCCGCTCAGCGCGTTCATCCCTCACCGTCCCTGTCGTCCAACCCAGGATTCCCCCCCTCGCGCATTTCCCGCCACAAATCAAACGATGAACCTCACCGTTAACCACCACAACAGGACCCCCGCGGCCGCAGCTGACGAGGATGGCGCGGATCAGATCGGCTTTGATACGCCCCGCTCCGGTGTGGCAACCCCTCAACCCGACCTCCATGATAAACGCCTGCCGGGCATTATGAGCTACTTCGGCCAGGTTCGTACAGATTCTTCTCACAATTCTGTATCTGCCCCAGTCGCATCGCATCGCAATCAAAGACAAACGCTTCCTGGTCCCTCAACGAGCCAAGTCGAGACGGACGGGAAGGCCTCTCAGGTCAGCTCAGTGGATGCTGTGCCCTGTGGCGACCCTGAACCAACCTCCCCATCACTTCCCCATCATCCCGGAGAGCGGCCTTCATCACCGCACACCTCACCCATCATGGCACTGGCTCAGACACATCAGTATCCGACCCCGCCGATATCAAGACGGTCGTCGGTGGGCCTTCTCAAGAGAAGTCTGTCATTGCGCTATGGTGAGACACGGTCCGCTGCATCTTCATCTGCGCGACCGTTGCTCCAAAGAGGCATCACAGACTACCCGAAGAAGTGCCACAGCCTCACCCTCATGTCCCAGCCTTCAAGCATCGTCACAACGTCAGCCGTGCATGCGCATCACATCTCCAACCCCAGTTTTCCCAGCCCCATACCGATATCTCCCTCCTATTTCCACGTTGGTTCAGCGCAAAAAGCCACTTCCCTACACAGCTCTTCGTCAGTTGATCAGCTCAAGAAGCTAACACAAGTCGCGGCGTTCAAGAGCGGTCCGCCAACCCCAACCAGGGCGCTTTCGGCCGCGCAGCCGTCTCAGTCTGAGGAGCGGACGAGCTCCAAGAGGAGCAGCAATGAGACGGTGCCTCCCAGTGGCACACAGACGCCCAGGAGCGGGACCACCGGGGCCCAGGTCCCCGCCGCCCGAGGCAAGCTCACGATCAAGATCGTGGAAGCCAAGGGCCTGAGGCGGGCCAAGGACCCCTACGTCGTGGCTGTATTCCAGAAAACCGAGCTCATCTCGGGTGGCCCGCATTCTGTCGAGGAGGAAGAGGATGTGAACCTGCCGCCGCCGTCCTTCGGCGGCATTCCGATCCAAAGGCAAGGGAGCGACTCGGGTCGGCCCGCCATGTCTATCCCGATGCGTAGCCGTCAAAGCAGCAACACCAGTATTTCGGACTACAACACATTTCGCAATCGGTCACGGCGATCCTTCACTAGCCCCAAGTGGGACGCCGAGGCACAGTTGTAAGTGGGCACCCTTATTTGACCGCTTCGCTCTGGCTAATCCAAACAGCGATGTTGTCGACTCGAACATGCTGGTGAACATCTCCGTCTATGATCATAGCGCGAGTGGCGAAGAGTTTCTGGGCCTTGTGGACTTCCAAGCAAACAGGGACTCTAACAACCCGGTCCGCGGCTGGTTCCCCCTCAAGGGCCATGCCGATACCGTGGCGGAGAATGCCCCTACAGGAGAGATTTATGTCGAAGCCGTCTATCAGCGCACCGAGCGGAAGCACTTTGGCCCCGAAGACTTCCAGATTCTTAAGCTGATCGGCAAAGGTACATTTGGCCAGGTTTACCAAGTTCGCAAGAAGGATACCGAACGCATTTACGCCATGAAGGTGCTGTCCAAGAAGGTCATCGTCCAGAAGAAGGAAGTCGCTCACACCGTCGGTGAGCGTAATATCCTGGTCCGGACGGCGATGTCAGACTCGCCCTTCATCGTCGGTCTGAAATTTTCTTTCCAGACGCCCTCGGATCTCTACCTGGTCACCGACTACATGTCTGGCGGAGAGTTATTTTGGCATCTTCAGAAGGAAGGCCGGTTCGATGAGCGAAGAGCCAAATTCTATATCGCAGAACTGATCCTAGCCATCCAACACCTTCACAACAACGATATCGTATACCGCGACCTCAAGCCAGAGAACATTCTCCTGGACGCAAACGGCCATATCGCCCTCTGTGACTTTGGTCTGTCCAAGGCGAACCTCACCAAGAACGACACAACCAACACCTTCTGCGGAACGACAGAGTACCTCGCCCCCGAAGTTCTCCTTGATGAGTCAGGATACACCAAGATGGTGGATTTCTGGTCGCTGGGAGTTCTTGTTTTCGAGATGTGCTGCGGCTGGAGCCCCTTCTATGCGGAGGATACTCAACAGATGTACAAGAACATTGCATTTGGCAAGGTCCGATTCCCTCGGGACACCTTGTCGCAGGAGGGCCGCAACTTTGTGAAGGGTCTGCTCAACAGAAACCCCAAGCACAGGCTGGGTGCAACTGACGATGCCGAGGAGCTGAAGCGTCACCCCTTCTTTGCCGACATCGACTGGGATCTGCTGGCAAAGAAGCTCATCTCTCCTCCCTTCAAGCCGAAGTTGACTTCGGCAACGGACGTGTCCTACTTTGACCCAGAATTCACCAATGCATTGGACAACAATGGCTCTCTGAACGAACGTGCAGCAGCCTTATCCAAGGGCTTCGCCACATCAACGCCTCTTTCACCCTCCGTACAGGCCAACTTCCAAGGTTTTACCTTTGTGGATGAGAGCGCTCTCGACGACCATATGAGAGACAAGGGCCGTTACGACGACGAGGAAATGCGTGATTCCCACAGCCAGGACGATGACTGGGATGATCTGGAGGGCATGAACCAAAAGAGTAATCGTATGAGCGGTATCGTCCGCACAGCCACCAATGACGAGCAGATGATTGGGGGTGGGCACTTTGACGTCTAAACGAGTGCATTTTGGTTGTGTCCTGGTCAACTTTTTGGGTGGAGGGGCTCCTACTTTGAGGACAAGAAAGTTGGTCAAACTCTTTTTATGTCTTCCTTTTCACAAGCAAAACACGATCAACATCACGAAGTCAAAAACGAACATTCATGGATTCAGTGCATAAGGGCGGTCAACTTTGCATGTGATCAATAGGGGATTAATCGGTAATGGCGTTTGGGCTGAGAGCGACGATCATTCGGATCCTGGATCGGCCTTCAGAATGCTGCTTTGTAGCTGATCGAAGCACTTACAACAACAAAATACACACACATACACCACGTGCCTCATGACGAGACTCCACAATCCTTTGGAACCCTCAGGGCATCAGTGATCTCAGCATTTCGCTTCACTCGGCTTCATAGCATCTTTTCTCTACGCATGCATGTATTTCCATGGGCTATCCGAAAGCAGATCCCAGCTGAGAGGGGACAGATACGTCGAAGACAGATTGGAAAAGGGGAAAGACATTCTTCCGGCCAGGAAGCACTAGCTGTTGTTGTGGGAGCGATCCTCCCTCCCCCACAGGCAATCACTACACGTTATCACGTGCCTTCTGTTGTTACGGCCGATGGCCCGGAACTCGAGTTGGGGTGGAAGGTTACTGCATCCAAGCCCTTTGCCGGCAGCGACTTTGGCGGGAGGGAGGGTGAAGGGGGGGAATTGGCGACCAACTCGAGACCAGGCCGTATGTCTGCAATACTAATTAATTAGCTGGCTTATAAAGACATCTTAGTCTTTTTCATCCTATATGCCACTACGACGGTGATGTATATTTTTTCATGTGCATGAATCCCTATACTAACCGACGTGTAATTCTTCTAATGCCTAAATCTTCCTGTGATGCACAGCACCACGGAGATATATAGGATTGATGGGGCATGATCCGACCAGCTGGTATACACGGGGACGAGGGTGAGGCTGCGTCCCCCCCCCCCCCCCCCCCCCCCCCCCTTCCCCCTTTTCTCAAGCCATCAGTCTGTCAGTATGCGAAAGAAAGCAAATGGGAAGGGGATCTCTTGTTGTTGGCTTTCCGCATGCGAAAAGAAAAAACCGCCATTTGTCGTCGTTCCTGTTGTGGGGAACGCCCGCCCCTCTGTTCTACCGAACCAAGACAGGGGTGGGCCATGGGAGCCGCGCTGGTTGCCATGCTCGCCATGCTCGTTATCATTTCTTAAACCCGCTTTAGTGTTGTTCTTGTTGATGTTGCCCGGGGGCCGACGACCGGGCCGCATTGGTAACACACCAGGGGCCCTTAGATGACTCTTTCCCACCTGTGACTCCCGATGCTCCCCTCCCCTCCCTCCTAGAGGTTCGTCGTCGTTGGGAAAAGGTCGGGGAATCAGACGTGATTCCCATACTTTCTACGAGACGGCCGTCGACTTGTAGCTGCCCATCTTTTTTGATAGCCGGACTTATGTCTTTGTTTGACCGTCTCCCGGGAGTTTCCGGGGTCCATATGCCCGCGCCCGTCAGTCTTCTGTTGATTTCGAAGAATGACACGGGCATGGCTGAGTGCAGTTTGGTTTCAGGAGACACCCGTCGAGTGTGGCAGGTGGCCTGTAGTGCCTGCAGGGTCTAGTGGCGACGAGTACGATGCAGCTCGATTCGAGGAACAGAACATGTCACTTTCAAGTACACACACATACGCAGTCAGCTAGTAATTATCTTGAGCGCATACGAATAGCATTCCTAGCCAGCGAGGTTGAGTTGGACAATATACACGGGATTACCACCTCCCAGCACACCTTCTTTCCCCTCGTTATTCAGCTCTCCTCTCCCTCTCTCCATCAGCACACTCCCACTCCTTCGGCCCGTCGGGGCAAGCGGCAGGATTTACAAGATCCCGAAAAAGGCAAGAGTTGGAAAAGCACTTTTTCCCCCAGTCGCCCTCCCAGGATGGTTTGTTTTCGATCGGTTGTTTAAGACGGGATTGAAAATGCGGCGTTTGTTTTAAAAAAAACTTTTCGATATCGGGGTGCCCCAAAAGGGTTGCCCGCGTCTAGTGGTGAGGCTCCTCCTCGTCCTCCTCGATCATGAGCCAGTCGTGCTTGACGGGTTCGCCGTTGGCGGCGATGGCGGAGGCATCTTGGCCCTCGACCTCGACGGCCATGTTCTCGTACTCCTTCAGGCTGGCGGCGAGGTCGGTCTCCTCGGGGGACTTGGGGGTCTGGGGGATAGAGAAGGTCTGGACCTGGCCCTGGGCGTCAGAGTCCTTGATGGGGGTAGGCTTGTAGGACTTGAGCTCCTTGAGGTAGAGCTCCTGGACGAAGTCGGCTGCATCCCAGACGTAGTTAGCATTTCTGGTATTACGGGGCGACGCTCAGCGGTAGCGGCGACGGGATATGCATGATAAGCTAGAGGGAGAAGGGTGGAGGGAGGGGACGGCAATGGTCATTCGCCGAGACGACGTGATAGAGATCGGACGTCGGATTGACAATGGGAGGATGCTGCTCGACGTGTTTGTTGATGCGAGGTTGTTGATGGCCGATACATCGTCACCGGAAGTCGGGGTGCAAAATCGCAGGCCAGCTTCGGAGCTTGGCCTCCCTTGGCCGCACCGGCAATCCGAACCAATCTCCATCAGCCGCCGCCTCCTCCCCTTCCTCCACCTCCGGCAAATCGAACGACTGGGGAAACGAGAGAATAACGAACCTCTTCGTGAGACCGTGGGGGCAATGAATCCCCTCATCTGAACGGCGCTGGGCCTCGCCAGCCGAGAGACAGCCGAAGCGACGCGCTGTTGGCACAGTTGTCAGTTTTTTCCTGCCTCGCTCTTCCGATCGACTGCAGCGTCAAGACTCCGACGGCGGCCGAAGCAAACAAAAGAATCCATCACGGGAAATAGGGCGATAACGTACAGTGGCGCGGGACAATTGGACGAGCATCTTGATATGTGGACGGTGGCTGGCTCAATTGGGGGACACCGGGGGGGGAAGGGGGTTGTAGAGGGCGGAATGGCGGGTGGTTGAGGGTTTTGTACGGGATGGGAGAACAAGCAGCAGTAAAAAAGCTGGAGTGAGCCGGTTCGGTTCTGGTTGGACGCAATGATCCAAACGCTGCGGGATTTTAGTGGTGCCTTAGGTATAAGGCAACCATCACATTGAAAGACTCGATTTGCAAGGCAGGCAGGCAGGGCCTGATTCGATCTCTATCTTTCTCCACTTACCCACGCCTTCGGGGCGAAAGCGTGGGAACCAGACAGTGACAGCAGCGCTGGAGATGGCGCCGTAGACTGATATCACGTGAGAACTGCCTGACACTTTCCTTCGACTGACTGGCTTGCTAAACTAAGTGGTTTAGGTCGGTGAAGGATTGCATCGGCAGCTCATGTTCATCCTGTCCCCCCTTCGGTTTTTTTCCCCCACCTCTCCAGAAACAGTCTCGTCAGTCCAGAACCAAGGCGTCTAAACCGCCGACATCATAGATTCAGTGGCTCACACGGCATCCCACGCTAAACCTTTGGGGCTGCTTGGCCTAAGCTCCTTGCGATCTGGCTAGCTTGCTGAGGGCTACCTCATCGACGTTGCATGACCTCACACACGGCACACATGGACATACACACACACCAACTGTATTCCCCTCAATCCCATCTTCCCAAAGTAGACCATTTCGTCACCGTTGAACTTCGACCATAGTGGGTTAGGCAGTCATCAGTCGTTGACCCTTCACATTCACTAGTTAAGTCAAGTAGTTTGCACTCGCTCTTCTCATTTCCCTCCAAAGGGTTGCAAGCATCAAAATAAGCGTTCTTGGGATCGATCAAGCGGTCATGGATTCGCAATCCTATCGTCAATCATGTGATATCATTATCAACGCCTTGCAACTCCCAACTCTACCCACAACAGCCACTTGCCAATATGCAGCCATGGACACAAAGCGATTGTCATCAAGACGAAGGCCAACCAATGCTTGGGTATGTCCATTATAAAAATAAAAAAAGGAAAGACAAAAATCAAAACAGACCTGTTAGGCAACCAGTTGCTGTTATCCTTGGTTCCCTCGTCTTCCGCCGCGCCTTCCCCAGAACCCCCCATCATCCTGTTCGCAATACCCTGTTGTCTATATCTATTTCTTTTGGCGGTAGGGGATACGCTGCTGCGAGCCCGGAGAGTCGTAGCTCTGCTCGCGCTTGACAGTGCGGGTGCGCTCGGACCGGCGAATCTCGCCCCATACCGCGGACCCAACCCACGCGACGCCGATGATAGCGGCGATTACAGAATACGCAATGACATAGGACCGGGACGAGCTAGCGAGCTCGAGGCCCAAACCGCCGTTGATGATTCCGAGAAACATCAGAGCCCTGCCGTACCAGATGTGGGCGTGGCTGACGATGCCACGGGTCTGGTGCTTCTTGTAGTACTTGTGGTGTGCCACTCCGAGGAACGGCTGGATGGCCAGCATGGCGACGACTACAGTGCCCAGAAGAGTGTGGGTTTGCGCATAGAGCTACGTCTCATCAGCTTCATGGTTCTGGAGGGCAGGTCGGTGGGATCGGGGAGGGCGATCCCCCGTTCACGCCAGAAAAGGCAACTCACATATCCGTTGTCGCGGGCATAGACGTAGCCAGTGCCGAAACCAGCCCACATGAGCAGGAAGGCGACCGACTGCCAGGCAGCATGGACCATCCACTTGCCCACCAAGGGCATGAGGATGGCTCCGACAGGGTACAAGAAAATAAACACGATCGACATTACGATGCCGTGAGCGAGGAGGACTTTGGACAAGCCGCCGCTACCTCCGTTAAATACAACACCGCCGCTGGTGGAACCGCCATTCCCGTTTCCGTTGCCGCTTCCACTGCCGCTTCCACTGCCGTTTCCGCTGCCATTGCCACTGCCACTGCCACCGCTGGATGTGCGCTCAAAGGGGTTGCTGTCCGTCTGCACAGTTGCCTTGGTCAGGTCGATGTTGAAGTTGGTGTGGTCATCGTGCTGCTGGATGCTCTGGCTGGTGCTGGCCGAGTTGATAGCGCTGCCCGACTTCCAAGCCCCAATCCAGGAGCTGGTGGCCGAGTTGAGGGCCATCGTACCAGAGCTCCAGCTTGCGCAGTTGGTACAGAGGACGTTGGCGATCATCTTGCCGTCCTTGACGCCGGAGCCGGCGAGGAGCTGGAGATTGGTGCTCGAGGAGAGCGTGGGCATGTTGTGACCGCGTGCAGTACGGGGGCTGATGGTAACGTTACCGCTGCCATCGGTGTACATGATGAACATGTTCGAGTTAGACATGGTCGAGCCGGTTCCCAGAGCAACCCATTGGTAGCTGGTCGGGGCAGACATCTGGAAGTAAAGGTTGCCGGTACCAGAGCTCGAATCAGCTTGGGGCACAGCGACCTGGAAGCAAACGTCGTTGGGGCATGCCTGAATGGGGTCGGCGGAGGCCGTCGCCGCGTCTATCGTTTTTGGTATTAGTTATGTACCATAGAAGAACGGCAGTCTTTGACGTACACAGGGCTGCCGCCAGGAAAGAAGCTGCAAAGGCCTTCATCGTGGACAATGTCTCTGGGGACTGAATAAGTTTGAGTCGAGTGTGACTATACTGAATCACCCTGTCAGTGACTGGTCAAAAGATGGGGAAACGAATGGGCTGGGCTGGGCTGGGCTGATGGCAAAGATATATCAAGTATCAAGGAGGTCATATTGACGAGTCCGGGGAGGGAGACATGGGCTGGGAATGTGACATACATCTTTATGCGTCCGAGTATGTAGGAAGAGAGGCTCTTGGCTTGTTGTTGGAGTAGCACTGCTGCTGGAAGTGATTCGAAGTGAGGGTAGGGTGGGAGCTCCAGAGGTTCTTATGAAGAATTGTCGGGTGCGCAACGACAACCTAGCCCCGTGTAATACAATAGCAGAGACTTATGGTGCTAGTTTCAAAGCGGCGCCGAGAGAAGGCATGGAGCAACTATCCAGGTATTGGGGGGGGGGGGGGGGGGATGGTGCTTGTTCTGCCAATCGTTTTGCTGTGATTTGCGTTCGGAGGTACCTGCTTTTCCTCCCCACGCCAACAGGATATACCCATGAGACCCTGGCGAGAGATGTACGTACTATAGATAACGCCTTCACATACATACAAGCACAAAGTTATCCCGACTTTGGCTTCTCGACTCGGTCCCGAGAGCCAGGCCCTGGCCCATGCCAATTTCCCGTCATCCTTGCTGGCTGGAACTCGGGTTGGGGGAGTGCGGACAACGAGGTTCGATTCCCTCTTCCTTTTCCTCTCTGGCAGATGCAGTCATGCTGGGGACCACCCCCGGAGCACATGTAACAGATGCATGAGGTGTACCTAGGACGGCCCGGCTGCAAGATGTGCCGGATCGTCTAGCAAGTAGCTGCTGTTGTTGGCTTCGCCTCGAAGACACTCTAGGGCAACTCTAGAGCAGGCTAGTTATCAGCATGCCTCCGTCGATACATCTTGGCGAGCACAGCCACGCAAAAGAGGAGCTGCCGTATGCCTTGATGCCATATTAAGCAGCATAGTAAGCAGCTAGTGTCGTACCGCGGGGACACGGTCGGCACAACACGTTCCCCCGGGTGGGCGAAGCCTAAAAAATGGGCGGAGGGACTGATCGGGGCACTTGCCCCTGGTTGTGATCAAAACTCCCTGCAGTGCGCGCCTTGGATGCAGTCTGCCATCTTTTCGTGGTGTCAGACGGAATTGCGAACAGCGTGATTGGTCAAGCAGGAGCTTGCAGCCCCCGACGCTGGAAGCATAGGGCGCGATACGAATCCTGTCAGACATTTTATGAGGCGATGATTGAGGAAGTAAGTCGAGGAAGAGGTCTCCCTTCCCTGTTGAGTAGCGGAAGCGTAATGACAAGCTCAGAAGGGTAATAGGCGGTCGAGTGGCCCGGGGCCGGGACCGTCCTGACGGGAACCAGTAGAGTTCTATGCCCAGGTATGGGACTAGCGAGTCGGCAGGATGTTTCTGGCATCCGTTTGGAGGCCGTGAAGTCGTGTCCCGGTAGATACAGGCCCATTTAGGATGAGACAGTGGGTACATCGGGTGGAAACGAAACGCCTGATTGATGGCCATTGATACCCTGCATATACTGTACATGCGGGCACCTACCTACCGGTAGGTACCTGTTTGCTGAAGGCTTGCCTTGGGGCCTAGAAGAAAAGGAAAGTTTAGTCAAGGTGAATGAGCTGATCGACGGAATGGGCAACTCGTCCCCCCACCCGGATACAAAATGATACTGTGCGAGCGATCCTTGGTCTTCGTTGCTGCGTAAGCCATTGGTCAGAGTAAGAGCCAGAGGATATCAGACATTTGGCAAAGCCAAAAAGCATACGCAAGCATTCTGTGAGAATTGCTTGGCTTGAGACAGTTGGGCCAAAGAGAAGGAAGTGAGATGTGGAACGCAGGGATGAGTGCGTCAGGCCGCGCCTTCGGGTTGCATGCTCGGTCATCACCGCCATATCAAATGCCGGGGGCTTGTTGGCTCGACTCCGGGCCATCAAATGGTAATGGATCACCGGGGTGGGGGGAAGCCAAGAGGCGCATGGGAGAGGAAGGGGGCCACGGAGCCTGGCAGCCAGGGGGAGAGGGGAGTCGCGGGTGGACCAAGCAAGCGGTACATATGTACAGACGTGCCTACCTACTACGGACGGATACACAAAACTGTATCACAGACGGAAGCAACAATGCCCTGGACTTGCATTGTTGGCTGATGGAGATAGATACCTACCTACACTTACACGACTTACAACGTGCGTCTGTTGTTGTTATTGTTGTTGATGCTGTTATTATTTGCCGAGGACGTTAGTGTAATTTCGCATGCCGCACCTCTCGGCACTCGTCGACTTTTTTTTTTGTTTGTGTGGCTGCATCTCGGCCAGAAATCGTCAGCGTCGCCGACGGAACGGGCGGTGCTATTTTCATCCCCAAAGGTCACCCTTATTCACAAAGCCTCGAGGTCTCTCGGCGATGTGATTGTAAGTACCTACAAGGACGGATTCGTGGTACGTACTTGCACAGGCAACCTGGGCATCTGCAGTCGAGACGATCAAACCGCCCTACTAAACCAGCTGTACTCCGTACATCCGTCCCGACATGTCTAATACTCTATCTAGCCCGCATCAGTAGGACATGCATGGATGGCCACCAATGCAGGCCGCGCAATGGTTTCCCTGGCTAACCTCCAATTGCTTTGCACTCGGGCACGTGGAACGGGCGTTGAGCTACGGGCCAGACAAGACAGATGGACAGGTCACCCAAGAGCCGCCAGCCGCCCTCGCTGGGCTTTGATAAGAGATGCCAAGCCGATTGCCCGAACAGGAAGGATTCGACTAGAGCCTGAATACCCGCGCGCTTTTGACGCCATTTCCAAAACATGAAACTTTACTACTGCACACATCGGGCTCACAAACGATGCTACCCATGTATGGTTTCCCAACTATCGGTTTAACACTGCGCAGGCAATGCTGGCTGGGTGCTTTCCTCGGCTGCTTTGCCTCGACAATGACGCACGCATATCCGAGATACACTTCAATTTTTTATTTTTTTTTGCGATAGGGTTTGTCTCTTAACCAAGACGCCCAAGCCTCGATACGGGTACGGGTAACTCGGACCGAATGATGACACGCTGAAGTTCGTGTATTCCGGACGGACATCGTCTGACTTGTTCCGCTTATTGCTTGAAGGATGCAGGTCTAAAGCCAGTGACGTTCTAGTAGGCACTTCTCAGCAAGGCGCAAACAGCACACAAACACAAAAACACACACACACACACACACACATGCAAATGCCCTATCGCCGGAAACGGTACAGAATTGCGTCACCATGTGGCTCAAGGCTCTACTTTACACCGTGTACACGATGCCAATATTCCCACCGACGATTTTGCTTGCTTGTAAGAGTGGAGGCACTCGACCCGTCCGAGTCCGTACCAAGGGAGGGCTCCAACGCTGTAGGTAGACTGTATCCGTACTGATAGTATAGTCTAATCTCTTTCTATATGTCAGGGATCTCTGATAGAGTTGCAGTCTGTCCATCTCCCCAGATCTAAAACTTGAATATGCCAATGCCAGAAATGGACATGTGCTTCGGCACAGAGCCGTCCATTCTGGGTAAATCCCAACATAATCCCTTCTCCCAAGGCTCGCTGCAACAGCGGGAAAGCTGCTAATGCTTACAATACGTTGGACGATGGCGCACGACCGTTTACTCCAAACACCGAGAAACGAAACCCTGGGGGCAACTCGTTGCGAATTGCAAAAAGTTTCCAAAAAAACAAAACCCTCTCGTGCCACCCACGCAAGTTGTTACGCCGCTGTCACGGCACCTGTCACGGCGCCGCCACGGCAAGGTTTTTCGACAATGACTGGTTGCTCATGACCACCCCACGACGATCGGCTTGGTGGGTATGCCGATCTGGATGTACCAATCCGGCTGCGGTGACCGGCTGTGTAGCCGATGCAAAGGTAGGAGGCAGGATACGTCGGGCCGCCCGACGAGAGATTGCCTTGCCCTGGCCCCAGAGGTCGGCTAAGCTGGCGACTGAGTCGCCATCCATGGCAACGCCGCGTCTGGGGAATGGTGCAACAATCACCCCGCGCCGATTGAGAGTTGCTCCGACCCCACATCCGCAACTACCAGACGCATACGGAGTATCCGTATGTAAACTGCCTATCCGTACCCAGATAGGCAGTATCCGTGGTTTAGTACACTCATTACCGTTTATCCACATTTTACAGGCCGTCTAGGTAGGTAGTATATTAGTCTTCACCAAAACCCCTAAACTTCCTTGGCAGCACAGAGGCTGAGCGGTTAACGACTCGCCATTTTAGCTTTCCCTGAACAAGGTAGGTAGCCTGCCTACCAACTGCTTTTACCCCCAACCCCGGGCCTGGCAGCATGGGTTTGTTCGCCCTCAAAACGGCGCTCGTAAAGCCCTTTCCTCGGAAGTCGCTCTCCTCGGGCTCCACTAACCCCGACAGCTCGATCAACGTTGGGATCCATCCGTGACGATGACTCAAGAGCATACCTAGACTGCCCAAAACGTGACCAAACATCCATGGCCGCCCAATCTCTCGTCGACATGAAACAGTTTTACTGACCCCATCAAATGTCAAAAATTTCTTGCGCCTCTTCAATCGCGCCCGAGATGTCCCTGTACGACACACACCGCCACGCCAACGGAGATGAAGAGACGACGACGACGGCGGCGGCGGATGCCAGGTGACACGAGATGAGCACCCCTAGTCGTCCGATGCCGACGTCGACAGCAACCGCTCGGGGGCGTGTATTCCTCCCCACCTCCCACCCCCCCATTCCAACGACTTTGGCCATGAAACACACGGCCAGCCTCCCCGAACCAACGGCATCCTTCGGTATGCAAGCCAGCGTGATGTTGTCCGACCAGCTTTGCCGCGTACGTCAGCGGAGCGATCCGAGTTTTCACGTCTCCTTCTTGCCCGGACCACCGAAACGGCGTGGCGGAAGACCCGGCGCTCTTCTTCTTCTTCTTCTTCTTCTTCTTTTTCTCTTACTTTTTTCTTCTTCTTCTTTTTCGGGGGGAGAAGGTTGGAGGGGATGTCATCCGGTTCGCGCATCTTGGAACAACACGCGGTCGGGGCTGCTCTTACGAATCCCCGATGGGCTGATGCTACCACGCGCCGGGCGAGCCCGCTTAATCGCAAACACTTGTTTAACCAAAAGTGACTAACAGACCTTGTTCCTGCGTGCAAGGCAGGGTGACGGAAGGAGGTTTGGGGGGGGGAGGGTCTACTTTCGATTCAGCAATCTGGCAGGTCCGGCTTTTCATGGCCCTGGACATACAAATTGCCCGCCAAGAACCGAGCCCCGGCGGACCAAGGGATGGCAGGATCACATGGAGCGAGAGGTTGGTCATCCAAAAGCGACCCACGGGGGGAAATTAATTTACTATACGACCGGGAACCGGGAATTTATCATTATCACCATCAAGTTAAGAAAATGAGACAAAAGCATCATGGGAACGAGGTAGCCGATCAGTCTAATGCTCGCCCGTTTGCCACTTTACTGAAGCACTCAAGGAACCCAAGCTCGTGTCTATTGGATTCTATTGGGGACAATGCCCCTTGACCGACTCGGTAAGAAACGTACAAACTACGACTAGCGTTCCCTCGGAAAAGAAGGAGAAAGGACCAAATGCAAATAACGATTATGTGCCGTTTTCCGATACCCGAATGCTCAACTACTAGACTCGGCGCCCATGCCCAAGTCTGATCTGTTTGCTTGCTTCGTTTCAATAACGCGCTACAGGATAGACTGCTCACCGGCGCCAGCTCCCAGTTAAGATTCTATACTTTTCCTTTCCGCATCGTTTATCCTCACTCAAGACCGTTCGCGCCTACCAACGCCGTATAGATACTCTAAGCTCTTTCGTTGGGCGCTACTACGCTACGCACCCTCTCTAGACCTCGGTGGAGAATCGAAACGCGTGGCTCTCCAGCATGCTGCTCGACGCAACGAAGCTGAAGCCGCCAAAGGGGTCATCCTCCTTGGCTGACATGGCGCTCCACGGGTCTTTGGACGTTATGACGGGGCTCAGAGACAAGTCAGTGAACTCGGGCGCAAAGTTCTCGGCGAGCTCGGGGTCCGTGATCATGGGCTGGATGGGCGGCTCGACCTCTCTGGCCTCAAGCTTCTTCCAGTTGATCTTGTTGAAGAAACGGTGGCCCTTCATCGTCTGGAGGTCCTTGGGCATGTTGGCGCCAAGTCGCTTCTTCGGATCCTTCCTGAGCAGGCGTGTCAGGAGATCCTTGGCGTCGGGGCTTAGGAAATACGGCATGACGAGCTTCTGCTTCACAATGTTTTGCTGAATCTTGGCGTGGTTGCCGCCGCGGAAGGGCGGGTTGCCAGTCATCAAGTCGTAGCCGAGCGCACCGAAAGACCACCAGTCGACCGCCTTTCCGTACTTCTGTCCCTGGATGACCTCGGGGGCCATGTACTCGACCGTTCCCAACATGGAGTTGCAGTGGTCCTCGGAAGTATCGATCGCGACCTTGGAAAGGCCAAAGTCGGTAAGCAGCAGGTGACCCTCGGCATCCAGCAAACAGTTCTCAGGCTTCAGGTCACGGTACACAACACCCAAGGTGCTGTGCAAATGGGAAATGGCCAGCAGCATCTCGGCCATATAGAAGGCAGCGACGGGCTCAGCGAACATCTTCTCAGTGCTCAGGTGGGTGAAGAGCTCGCCGCCCTGGCCGTACTCGAGGATCAGGTACAGCTTCTCGTGGTCCTGGAAGGCATAGTAGAGCTTGACGACGAAAGGGTGTCGGTTAACCGACTCAAGAATCTGGCGCTCCGTCTTGGTCTGCTCGATGAGCTTTTTGTGCACCGTCAGAGAAGCCTTCTTGAACTGCTTCTGGGCGTAGAGCCTGCCGGTGTTGCGCTGCTTGACCAGCAGCACCGTGCCGTAGGTACCCTTGCCCAGGCACCGGAGCGGCTCGAAGTCGTCGGCCGTCATCTTGCGCTGCACATCCTTGTTGTTCTCGATAGGGATAATCTGCCCAGTGCGATCCCGGACGCTCTCATCGACGTAGTCATGCTCCAGGTTGATCTCGTAGCTCGTAGACCCACTTTCGGAGCGCTCGCTGCCGGCCTCACTCTGGCTGCCATCCTGACTGCCGCAGCGGCTCATGACGGCGCTGCTGATGCCAAGTCCCTTGTAGGGGCCGCCGTGGCCGTTGCTACCGTTCAGAGTCAAAGTGCTCGTCCGGGAGGAGGCGTCAAGGCTGAGGGGCTCCATCTGCAGGCGAAGCTTCGCAATGCCGGAGACAGCGGGGGAGGAGGCGCCGCGCATGATGGGGCTGCAGTTGGCGCTGACGACGTCGTCGATGTGGGCGGGCCGACCGCCGCGCTTCTTGGAAGAGGGGGGCGGGCTAGCGCAGACACCGTAGTCGGAGTCCTCGTCGCCGGAGGTGACGGGGGTGTTTTGGAAGCCGCGCACCGTGTTGAGTGCGGGCGTCGCCTTGGCAATCATGATCTCGGTGGGGGTGGTGAGGTTATTTAGGGAGGACGCTCCTTGTAGTAGTGAATGTTGCTCGTAAACGAGGGGCGCGCGTCGGAGTGCCGATCGCGCCCTGGACTGGTGAAAACTCTCACTTTGGTGAGGAGTTTAAATGCGAAGCACAAGAAGCGTGCCTCGTCGTCGCTCGGGGTCGGCGCGCGGCTCGGAGTCGTAGTTTCTATGGAGTTTCTGGTGGCTCGGGCTGCGCATCTGGCGGCGGAAGAATGAGCTGGAGATGTCGTACGATTCCTTTTTACTATGCATTGGTGGTTGGTCGGGTTTCTTGGGACGGCGGTCAGTCAACTAGACATATCGAGAGTGGAAGGGAGGTTGTAATCACCCAGATGGTGTTGGTAGAAGAGGGAGGAAAAAGGGAAAGGAGTCGAAACAGGGCCTGGCGTTCCTAGTGAACAAAAATCCAGGAAAATTCAGCCCGCCTAGGCCGGTTCCCTAGGCCGGGGGGATGTAGCGAGTGCGTCGGCCAACCAGAGCGCGAGCCCATGTCAGCAAGTGACTTTTCATTCACATGAGAGCGTGCAGCCAACAACTGGGCCTACCACTTCCACCTTCACCTCACTTTTCCCGCCGGGTGGAGGGGAAGGAGGGAGGGGTGGCATTGGCAGGCGGAAGCCAAATTTCGGGAAGCCGCGCTGGGGCCTTGTCTCGACACTTCATTGGGCAGGCGCAGGGGCTGGACCCATCATCCGTAACATACTGAGGTACTTTCTTTGCCTTGTTCCCATTTCAGCCCGAACTCCCTGGGTGGGCTTTTCTTGTTAAGTTTTTTTTCCCCATCGGTTCGTTATTTCCTGTCTGTCTCTGCCTACCCTGGAACTTAATGTAGAGGCATGTCTGACTGACACCCCCTCCTCTTGCAGGTCTGGGCCTTCCTCATCCGTGTCTTGGCCCGGATAGCATCGGACACTCAGCATGTCACCTCTCTCTCACTCTCTTTCCAAAAGCAGTTGGCCATGTCGGCAGAGCGGGAAGGTAGCATACAGTGAGTGCATGGCCGTGATTAACCATTTGCTCCGGGCCAGGCGGAAGTCCACCGACTTTTACCTCTCTCCCCGCGTGAGAACGGAAGCAAGATAGAAATCGTCCCATCCCTCCAGACTACCTAGCTAGGTACCTAGATTGAGGTAATTAGCTCAGGAGTCCGCCGAACACTACTGCGTAGTTGTCTTGCAGAAAGAGTAAGCATGAGCATGATGGCGTCCTTCCAATTGTGGCTGAAAGGTGGAGTGCCCCTCATGCCTGGAGTGATCTGACAACGGACTTGTTCATCCATTATCAAACACGTACATAATAGCGTCGGCCGCTCGCTAGCGTTCCTCCCTTGCTAATTTTTGTGCACCGGCCCTGTCTTGAACATGTGTGGTCTTTGCGCAACTTACTGTCGAGATATGCCAAAGGAGACACATAGAGGAGGAGCATTACAGTTATTCCAGGTTTCAATGCATGCTGGCCTGCTGGCATGAAGTGACGTCTCGCGCAGAGTTCAACAACAAAGACTGGCTGAGACGAGGAAATGACACTGAGGCGTTGTCTCGGACGGGTTCACATTGTCGACGCCTTCTAGATCGAGCAGAATGCAACACTGGCCCGAGCATCGTGTCTCACTTTGAGATGGCAAAGCTCGTTCCGGACTCCGCCAGTGGACGGATCAAGAATACGGGCACTCTCTGTCCCAGATTGACGTTGGACGAATGTCCATGTGTACTGCCAGCTTGACGTTCGTGCAATGCTGGGTAACCATTCAGATGGTGTGTTTCCGATATGAATTTGACTTGCAGCGCCGGAAACACGAGTTCGTCGCAGCAACCACGAACGGCTTCCCACTTCCCCACCGGTTCCCACCAAATAAGGTGCTCCATCCTCCGCAACCATGGAACCCTGCTGGAATCGCGACGATCTGCTCTGAGCACGCAATACGATGGATACACACACCACTAACCACATCCACCAGGATGCACTCAGGCATGGGCCCTAGTTCTCCTCTATATTCGTCTGGTGGTGCGTCTCCAGACTAAATTTCGCAAACGGGCTTCTTTGCCTCAATCGCATGCTGAACCGGAAGAACAGCCACGGGGTGACGCAAAATGCTGCCGCCAAAGCCGCGAGCACTGAGCCTGCAACGTTGGCGTTCATCCCGGCGTACATCTTTTGCGCAACGAGCGGCATGAGTCCTGACGCGACGGCCCGTACGAGCGCCAGCCCCGAAAACGCCGATGCCGAGTAGAGCAGGTACGAGTCGGCGAGGTATCCGCTGAGCGTGTGCGCCGTCTCGTTGACCGCGAAGCCTACGAGCACGAGGGACGCCGTTGGAACCATCCAGTGCACGCCGCCTACCGCCGGCGGGATCGTCCAGGCGAACCAAGCGAGGCCGATGGCTTGGGCCGGCGCAGCGAAGGCGAACCCCATGATTTTGTCTTCTCTGTTGGTCGCACGTAAGTTTCTTTCTTGTACGGGTCCTACGTAGGAGCTTTGGAGGCGCCTTACGGTTGGACAGGCGCTTTCATACGTTGGCGGTCCCGGACGATCTTCATATCCCACAAACGGGGGAGAGATGTGAAGAGCACGCCGACGGCAATGGCCAGGAAAGGCAGTGAAGCTTGGGTCTTGGTAAACCCGAGAGAGAGGTAGACTACGGTGAGCGACTCGGTGAACAAGTAGATCATACCCCATGACGACGCCGAGATGAGCGCGACCATGATGACCAGCGGCTCTGTGAGCAAGATCTTGCCAGGCCTGACGACACTTATCCGGACCAAGGCACGCCAATTTCGCGCCTCGTCTGGGTTATGCCACGCCAGCTCCTGTATCGTTGTCTCTCTCTTGATCTGCCAGATAATTCCGCCCAGCAAAATACTCGGTCTGCTTTCCCTGATCCCGCAGAGGGCGATGAACAGAACCGCTGTGACGATTGTCGCGCTATAGAAGATCCACCGCCACCCTGCGGCCTCGGAGATGTAGGCGGCGTAGATTGGTCCGAAGCACAAGCCGACCGTGGTCCCCGCGTTCCAGAGCACAATGATCCATACCCGCCGCTTCGTGTTGAACATGTCCTCCACGCTGCCGGCGATGACCACGGACGGCACGGCTGAGGCAAGGCCTGCGACGAAGCGGCCAACGTAGACTGCTGCCGGGGAGTGCACGACACCGATGAGGAGGCAGGAGACGCAGAAGGCGACGCAGGAGACGAGATACGGGAGGCGGCGGCCGAAGAGCTCGGAAAAGGGGGGGATTAAGAACCCCCCTACTGCTTGGCCGAGTTGGTACCTGTCCTGTGGTGAGCAAATTCTCCGACTTTCAGTCGTAGGAATTGAGGACTGACATGAGCGTAAACCCGACTAAGGATGCTTGCCGGCCAAGTCCATAGTCGGCGGCAGCTTCCGTGGCGGCGACAGCCTACGCGACGGGTTAGCACTAATGCAGGATGTCATTCTAGCCATGACTTTCGACTAAGCATATCACCGCATCACATATTAACAAATGGGTTGATATGGCGTCAATCAAGGGGATAGAACGCCTTTCGGGTCGTGCCGCCAGGCGAACCGCGTTTGCATGATTTTGGGGGAGAGTAGAGATATGACGTGATAACCTACCCCTGTTGTGCTTATGATGGTTCTAAGTCATGTCAACTACAGTAAAGAATGCGAGGGACCACAGACGTGCAAATACGCACGTGTAAAGTTCAAACAAGACGATGACGGCGGTGTCAAATATCTTCCTCCTTGTCGACCAGTTTCTCGGATGTGCCTTGCAGTCTCGTTGCCAGTTGATGAGTCCATTTGCCCGTCTTTCGGCACCATACTGTGCCAGAATTGCCGTTTCGTCTGCCTCGGCGACAGCATAGGTACGCTTCTCGTAGTGAACCTCCCGGGAGTTGTGTATATCAAGGACCATGGTAACCTAAGTCCACGCAGAACGAGAGAATACAAGTTGTCAAGTCGGTCTGGCAAGCGGCGTTTTCTGCCGACTGGGTGAACGAGTGAATAGACTGGTGGGTGACTGGGGAGAGATGGCGGCGAGAAACCCTACGTCTTTCCAGTCTCCAGGACGTTAACACCTCCTTTCAAGGGCTTATATGCCGCTCTGCCCACTTGACGACTTCATTTTCCAAACATCATTAGGCCAAGAAAGGGATGTAACTCGCTCGCCAGTCTTCAACTTGGAGAAGTGCCCAAGAGGCAGACCTGAATATGTCAGCCTCCCAAACAGGCAAAGACATAAAATCCTTAGGCCAGCCCTGCCCTTGCAAACTTTGACTGCTGGCATCCCTTGCGATCCTCGAGGCCCCTTTTCTGACTGTAGGAGTCATAGAGCACCGCGATGCCGGCTGCATGTAAGACCTGAAATGGTTACATCTGCCATAAGCACTTGTAGGCGGCGCATCGGCGGCCTAGCCAATCGTAACACGATATTGTGCTCTGGGGTACGATGCATGGCGAGAGTGCTTTTTCGAGTCTAAGGATATGCTGTACACGGGAGCTTTGATATTGAAGGATTATGGAACCCATCGACTTGGGTCCTAGACCCTTGCCTCGAGGATCGTTCAGCTGTGATCAGACAAGCGAGTGTCTTTTTGGTAAGATGTGCCTAGGCTGAACGCATGACCTCGCGTGCGATGGAAACGACTCCGTGTCACAGCTCCCTATCAATCATCAATGACGTGAGTAACTTGTTTGTGACAATTCACATCTGTGGCGCAATGGTCTAGCAAAGGAGCCCGCTTGTCGGCAAGACATATCTTAACAGATGCGATCGATTATAAATCGCCCTTGCGTAGGACTGTTCCCCGACGTCTTAAATATCCTGCAGCCATCAATCCCCCTCATAGATCCCAGCGACAGTTGTCTGCAACCTTTCTTGGGCTAAGACATAGAAAATCATGACCAACAACGAGTCCAGCGCTATGCTTTGGGGGTCTCCTCAGGCGACTGGTGCAGCGTTTGACTTTAGGAGTAGGTTAACCTCAAATACCCCTCGTTGTTTACTGTAGTTCTCCTGTTCTCATCTCATGCTCCTCTTAGAGCCAGCAGCGTTCTAACGTTAGATGCAGGCGACGTGATTACAACACCTTCCCGAGGCATGCTGCTTGCAATTTCCCGAACAACGCTCCATGATGATGTCTACGGCGAGGATTCGACAACGAGAGACTTTGAAGAGGAAATGGCAAAGATATGTGGGCACGAGAGAGCGGCGTTTGTCCTCTCGGGCACAATGGCGAACCAACTTGCCCTTCGCGCTCTCCTACACCAACCGCCCCACGCCATCCTCGCCGATACCAACTCCCACATCATCCACTGGGAGGCGGGAGGAGTTGCACACTTGTCGGGAGCCATGGTTCAGGGGATCCGCCCCAGAAACGGGCTCTATCTCACCCTTGACGACGTCAAGAAGCACGCTGCTGTCACGGACGACGTCCACAAGTGTCCGACACGAGTGATTAGCATAGAAAACACCTGTTCAGGGATAATAATCCCTTTGGAGGAGCTGCACAAGATCAAGGAATGGGCCTCGGCACATGGTATCGCCGTCCACATGGACGGGGCGCGACTGTGGGAGGCAGTCTCAGCCGGGGCGGGTAGCCTGGACGACTTTGGCAGATGCTGCGACGTGTTGACGGTGGACTTCAGCAAGAACTTGGGCGCGCCGATGGGGGCCATGGTCCTCGGCTCGTCTGGTCTGATCAAGAGTCTGCGGCGGTTGCGCAAGAGCATCGGAGGCGGCATGAGGCAGGCAGGTGTCCTCGTTGCTGCAGCACGGCAGGCCGTTGTCGAGAACTTTGGACTTGGGCCCCGAGACTCCCGAGCTGTGCTTGATATCAGTCGGACTATGGCACAGGAAGTCGGAAGAATGTGGGTGGTGAGAGGAGGGATAGTGCTGAAGCCCATCGAGACCAACATGGTTTGGCTGGACCTCGGAGGGTGTGGTATCGAGACAAGCGAGTGGAACGAAACAGGGAGACGGTATGGCATCAGGCTCGATGGGAAAAGGGTCATGTTGCATCATCAAATCAGCGACTGGGCGATAAAGCGTCTGGGTGCTGTAATGGATGAAGTGTTGAGCCGTGTTAGACAGACGGCAGTGTTGGGTGTTGCGCCGAAAGCTCGACTGTAGCGTGCATTGAAACGAGACATGATGTTAATCATCCCCATATATTCTGTGTTGTAGATTAAGCTGGTTTTTGAAAACATTCCAACATTTGTTGCAGTTTATGTTGGCTAAAGTTAAATACGACTTTCCTAAGCTTGGAGGTCCCAGACAGCCCAGGGGCCATGTGCATTCGAGAAGGAAGTGTGGGGTGGATTCTGTGCCTGGGAATCATGGAACGGCCAAAAGAAGCACCGTTGCCGAGAATTTTCACAGCGGATCTCCAGCCATGGCTGGTATGCAAGCTTAACTCTCGAGACTGTTTGCAAAGCATCCCCAGATTATTTTCCCGCCAGGCTGCCATTGAAGCTCAACCACTTCCTCCCAAAGCTCGCCAACTTCCTCCGAACCCTCCATTTTCCGCTCGCCGAAAGACACCTACCACCTTACTCGCGCATTTGGGCCAAACGCCCCCCTTCCGCCCAACATGATGCACCCGTCGCGACAAGCCTACGTCGAGGAGGCGATGGACGAAGATCGAGGCATTGCGCTGGAGGACATTCCCACAGACCACGATTATGAGATTCCCTCGGCCTTCTCCGGCGCCGCGCCTGAAAAGGCGTCCGCCGTCCTGGCGCAGATGGAAAGGAAGAAGTTGGCTGCTAGCATCGCGGTACCTACGGACGACAACAGAGTGCGGGCGAAGCTCCGGGAGATGGGCGAACCGATCACATTGTTTGGAGAAGGCAAGCCCGAACGCAGAGATCGTCTCCGGAACCTTCTCGCCATTCAACATGAGATGACCGGCCTCGAAAATGGCGACGTAGAAATGGAAGACGCAGACGAGGACGCGGACGAGCAGGATGAGGAATTTTACACACCGGGTGGCCAGGCACTGCTCCAAGCGCGCATCGATATCGCGAAGTATTCTCTCCCCAGAGCGAAACGGCGGGTCCAGTTTCAGAAGGCTGAAGCCTCGATTCCTCTGCGTACACACGTCAAGTTCCGGAAACAAATCAAGGACAAGCTGCAAGGTTTCGAGCTTCAGGGCAGCCAAACAGCCGGCGATAGACATATCAGCATGACGAGACTGTCACCGAACGGAGAGATGGTTGCGGTGGGCAACTGGGGAGGAGGCCTCAAGCTCATCGAGGTTCCCAGTCTGGAGGCAAAGATGAACCTCCGAGGACACACCCAGAAGATCAGTGGTATCTCATGGTACCCTGGCTCTACACTGCCGGAAAGCAACGTATCTCCAGATGCGGTGAACCTTGCTTCGGGAGGAGCCGAGGGCTCGGTACACCTGTGGTCCTTGAATCAAGATACTCCCCTTTCGACGCTTACTGGTCACGGCGGCAGAGTGTCACGCGTTGAGTTCCATCCTTCTGGCCGCTACGTTGCGTCGGCTTCGGATGATACGACATGGAGACTCTGGGATGTTGAGACGACTGCAGAGCTTCTCCTCCAGGAAGGCCACTCCAGAGGCGTGTACTCTGTCAGCTTCAACGCCGACGGCTCCTTGTTGGCAAGCGCTGGTCTTGACAGCATCGGCCGTGTTTGGGATCTGCGCTCAGGAAGAACGGTTATGATCCTAGACGAACACATACAACCCATCTACGCGCTCGACTGGGGCTCTGAAGGACACAGGGTACTGTCGGGATCGGCAGACGGTTGGATTAAATGCTGGGATATTCGGAAGGTGCAGAGGACAGCAAACCTCGGAGCACACGCCAAAGCTGTCTCTGACATACGATGGTTCAGGGGGTTGGACGACCCCATCGATGGGACCCCTCCCGTGACCGATGAGAAGGGCGCACAACAACCCAAGAAGGCCGGTACATTTTTTGTGTCTGGAGGCTTTGACGCCAAGATCAAGATCTTCTCAGCCGACACCTGGGGCTTGATACAGACGCTGAGCGGACATTCTGGTCCTGTCGCAAGCGTGGACGTGAGCAGAGATGGAAAGTGGATCGTGAGTGGTGGACACGACCGGACGGTGAAGCTTTGGGGCCGCAATGACGGCGAGGGTCTCTAGAGAGATGGTCTGCATCGTTTGGTTGGAGAGAAGAGAGAGCCATGTCCTATAGATTACTAAGATACCCCCCAAGAAATCAACAAATTATCAGGAGCTTCTTGAGCGCTCTCAGTATAGTTACCTACTTGCCTAGGTACTTTCCTACGAGGTACCTGACGCAATTCGATCCGTGCGCACGGACCTACTACGTAGGTACGGATAGATAGCTACAGAAACCGGGGTCTTAATTGATCACGTGGTACTGGCGATAAGATAACGGGTTCAAACTGGGCCGAAAATCCACCTCAGCTAAACCAAGGAAGGCGCATTCATCATCAATCAACCACCAACCCATCTTGCGACAACGAGCGACTCCTCCCCTATGACCAATTTATCACGACAACTCCACCAATTGCCGATTTGAAAGCGTATTAAATCTCGCGGCGATGGCCAGTATTGATCGCTATCGGCCGTCTAGAGAGGCATACCAGCCTCCTAACCTGCCGCCGGGGCCGCCACGACCGGATCGACTGTCACGATCTCCTGCGCGTCGCCTCGATGTTCCGCCAGCTGTTCCATCGCCACCTACACACTCTTCCCGGACTTCGCCACCGCGACCTCTTTCCCAACGTGATACGCGCTCGCCACAGCACTCAAGGGCGCAGACACCAGGCCCCCCACCCAACCAGTGGTACTTCACTGCCGACGAGACGCTGAGCACGCCGAGTGTTCTGGATGGCATTTCTCCGGCGGAAGAACGATTGCGAAGAGCCAAGGGTATCAATTTTATATACCAAGCAGGTGTCTTGCTTGATCTGCCACAGATCACTCTCTGGGTCGCAGGCGTCTTCTTCCACCGATTCTATATGCGTTACAGCATGGTAGAAGAGAAGGGTGGCATTCACCACTATGTGAGACAAAAGCCCCCTTCTATCATCTCTCGCGACAACCCTGGCCGTGTCTGATCAGTGTCAGGCGCCTTTCACACTTCCTAGATCAAAGCGAGGGGTCGAGAAAGCTCAAGCTGAACCACTGCTGACGGAATCGATTGAACAGAACATCGCGGCCACGGCTCTATTTCTCGCGAACAAGACGGAGGAGAACTGCCGGAAGACGAAGGAGATTATCATTACTGTGGCAAAGGTCGCTCAGAAGAACCCCAAGCTTATGATTGACGAGATGAGCAAAGAGTACTGGCGGTGGAGGGACAGCATTCTCATGTACGAGGAACTCATGCTGGAGTACCTGACGTTTGATCTCATGGTCGAGAACCCATACCAACGTCTCTTTGAGCTTCTCGGCCAGCTTGAAATTGTCCACAACAAGCATCTCCGGCAGTCGGCTTGGGCGTTCTGCAGCGACGCTTGTCTTACGTCCATTCCCCTTCTGCTTGAGGCTCGCGATGTTGCCATCACCGCGATCTTTTTCGCCAGTGTACACACCAATCAGAAGATTGACGACGTCAATGGCGAACCCTGGTGGAAGGCCTTGAAAGGAAACGAGGAGAAGTGCGCAAAAGCCATCGACATTGTGCGACAGTTCTATACCGAGAACCCCCTCCGCAAGCAGAACCCGTCCTTGCCTTCCCCGGCCTTCGACTTGGCCAATACTAGACAGCCAAGGGATCCAATGAGCCAGGACGCCCTGTCGTCCACAGCGGGCACGCCTTTTGAGCTGGACAGGGGGACACAGAGCCCGAAAGCTAGGGTTAATGGCCGAGACGATGTCACTAATACCGAATCGGGCTCACAGGCTACTCTAAAGGAGCCGGAGAGGCCGAACGGCAACGGTGCTACTTCTCCCGGCAAGCGGAAGGAAGTTGATTCGGACTCCGAGGGCAGAGACCAGAAACGAGCTCGACTCTCGGATGAAGATGAAGGAGAGGTTTTGGACTAGGCTTTCAGCTTACACTATTGTAATTATTCAGGGACCGGGTTTGGAGGCCTATCCCATTTTACGGCAAGGTTTCAGAGAAGGAAGGGGCCAACAGGGGCACAGAGTCAACCCCGTTGTACGATATGGGACCCCTTTCAAGGCAGCTTCGAGAACAAGCATTCTGGCTTGCGGAAAGACTCATGGCATGTCCAAGGACAAGGCGTTAATGGGGTGGTGGTCTGGCTGAAGTCATGACGCGAGCGATGCTTCCGAAGGCATAATACCTTATCAGTGCTTTCTACTCATAGTAAAACCATCACATTGGGGAAAAGCAGCATATTGTGGACCCAGGAACAAAACGGTCACCGCACAGGAACTGTTGAGCTAGCTACGGCCTCGCGGCGGAGCCCATCCGTCCTTCCTGTCTTGCGGTTGATTGCATCGTCCATGAAATCAATGACATCCACCATGTTGTCGAGCCCGAGAAGTGCTGCTCGCTCTTGCCTGTTGAGTAGCGCGCGCTTATCCGGGCCCATACCGGGTCCGCACATCTCGTGGAGGTGGTGCTGCACCAGCTTCACAGGCATCGGGGCGCGGACGACGTGGCGCATGAAGGACTCAACGGCCTCCCAGGGGCAGGACTCGTGGCCGGCGTAGAGGGCCGGGTTGGCGAGGATGCCGCGAGCAGACATGAGGCCCGCGAGCTTGGTGCCGCTGGGAGTGAAGTCCGTGTAGCCGTTGTGGCCGTTGATCGTCTTCGGCTCCGAGGGCTGTGCTGCCGCTCTGGAGACTGTTGACAGGGGCAGGGTCGCCATGGAAAAGACGTCGCCCGAGAGGAGGATAGGGAGGGTGTCGCCGTACTTGTCGAGGAGGATGCCGAGGGACTCGGTATTAATAGGGATGCTGGAGGCCGTGTGACGGGTACGGGGGTGGATGGTCAGGAAGTCGATGTTTCTGTCCTGGGGGTTGCCGATGACTGTGTCGATGAAATCCATGGTCCGCCTGTATATCGTTAGCACATCTCGGTCAGAGAGCTTCTCCAGGGAGAGTAACTCGTCCCTCAGGGCTAAGCGACTTACCTCAGGTCCTTATGAACACGGATCTTGACGCTGATGCTCCTCCCCTTGGGACTGTCTATGTCGCGCTCCTTACCGACATGCCATCCGTCACTGGCCAGGCGCTGGCGAGTGCTGACCACCATTTCACGGACAAGCTCGCGCTTCTCCATGAGTGCGGCACCGAGCGTCTCGGCACAAGCCCAGGACTGCGGGCAGCCGCAGTTGAGATCTACGCCGTTAACATAAGGGGCGGCGAGTGAGGATGAGCGGGCGAGCTCGAGGGCGCTGCTGGAGCCAAACTGAACTATCGTTGGAGGTTGGACCCCGCGGGTCGATATCGTCAGATCTTGGAAACTGTGTGTTAGCTGCCGAATTACCCTCTGTACGGGGATACAAACCACTGTCACGAGCAAACTTGTTGCGATTGAACTCCTTGGACAGGATCATTGGCGTCCAGCAGAGGTCGGTTCCATATTCATGAACGGTTTGACGGAAAGCAAGCTGTAGCATCATGAGTCTCCAGTGTATGTATTTTTCTTGATGAGTATTTGATGAGAGTACCTTGCTATATCTTACCATAGGGGCCGAGACATACAGAAACCTATCCTTGCTCTTGGCCGCATCGAATATTTTCAGAGGACTGCATAGAGTGACATGCTGTCAGTCCTTCAGGCTAAGAGAACACGGTCCCGAGGTAACTGGGGGTTGAGCTCACTGTGTCCTATCTGAAATTGTGTCATTGTAGATTTCGGCCGCCATACTGACAACACAATACGGGCACACTCATATGCGGCAGAGTGAGTTTTGTGAACCAACAACAAACAATTTGGAGATGAGTGTGAGAGGATACGACGCTGTCCAGGCTCTAAAAAGTGCACAATTACAGCGTTTCACAGTGGAGCAGGGGGGCTGTGGCGTCAAACCCAGATGGGTGTCCTCACTTGGGTAGTCATAGTGGGGGTGGGGCTTTCTGGTGACGATATCGGCGGGGTCTGCGGAGTACGATGCTCTATACTCAGTCAACCACCAAGGTGTTGAATCTGTGTCGTGAAGATTGGGCACGAGAACACTACGCTACAAGTCTCTCCTTTACTGTATGAATTCTCCAAGTAGTCAGAGATTAGATCGCTATGCCAACTTATGCCACCTGTGATTGCAACTAGGGGTTTTATTCCTTCCTTTTTCTGTACTCTAGGCGAGCGCTCTAGCAAAATCACAGAGTCAGTGATCGGGCGCGGCGTTTCGGGTGAGATACGCAGATCAAGAACTCAATTCTGGTGTTTACCTTATAGAGTAATTGCTACTATAGTCCTTCCTCGCGAAGGTCAATGGAGAGTGCTGTATCCATCTTTATATCTCAATACAAGAAATCTACGTCCCACGTGATAGATGGTGCCAATCAGTCTCAAATCGTCACCAAGGAAGCGTCAACATCTAAACATAGCTAGAACTAACTTAAAGAAGAACAGAAGTGTAGAGGCACATACTAGTGCTAATGTATCGGCGCATCGCCTTCGTCAACGAAGATCCCTCGCATAATCACCGTCAAAGTTGTGACATGCGTTCGATTGCGGACTATTCTGGGCGAATAGCAAAAAGAGGCCTTTCAGGATAGTAAACAGGGGTTGCTCCTCAGCTTCAGGTATGCATTGTACCGGATCAGGAAGGAATATGTACCCATCTAAACTATACTATTCGCAGTTTTTGTACGTTACAAACTTACACAGTACCTATCCTTCTAACCCGCAGTGACACGAGACGATCTTTCCTTGTGCGCAAAACGCCCCTCTATTTTTTTCTTCGTGCTCGCCGTCTAGTAGTAAGCTATTCCTGTCAAACCAATCACGGTAACCGTCAATCGCTAGAGTGACTAAGAAGCTCACACACCTGGAAGTAACCTGGAGTGGCATTCCTCCCAAATTGGTAAATGGGTTCGCCATTGCACACCTTGCCAATGTCTTCAGCACAACTCGCGAGATTACCGGTAGGTTATAAGCCCGTGTAAACTTCTTAAGCTTACCTTAGCAATCGGCCCAAGCCGGTTTGTTAGAGATGCTTCTTCCAGCAAACGGACCGAAGGACCATCGCTCTTCAGCAGTCTAGCCAAACCTTTCCGGATTCGACCTCTCAGGCAGAGATCGAGGCAATTGATCCACACTCATCCGTCCAGACAGTTCACCAGTAAGGGTCTAGATCGACGCCCGGTCTAGACAAGTGTCTCAGCTCGAACAATACGGAGACCGTCATGCCAGCTCGCTCCTCTACGGTAGTAGCTGGCGAACAACCACAAGGCAACACAACATGAAGATTGTGGCCTAGGCTGCCAAAGATCTGCCGGTGTTTCCGCATACGGGCGATCCCAAAGAAGTCCTGATGACGGTGCCCCGTTTGAGGTATTACCCTTCGTCTGCCCACCAGAGGAATGTCTGGCGGGTCATCCCACAGAGCGACGGAAAAGCCGTTGCTTGTCTCATTTGGTCACTCGCCGCTCTTTTACGAACTCAGCGGTCTTACAAACAGAGGAGCTGTGTCAGTGTGCGACCTCCCGTAACCCCTTTCATTGTGCGCTCATCGACACCTGCGGAGGGGAAGAAAACCTTGCTTTGCTTGTTGCGGCAAGGTCCACGAGGTAGACATCGAAAGGTTCGAAAACGGAAAAAACATTCCAGACATTGACTTCGTTGATGACCCTCGATCGTAAAGGACCCTCGGTTATTTTCCCATCTGGACGGGAGGCGCACGCTATTCTGCCCACCTCGACCGGATGCGCTCCGTCTATGACAGCTGTGGATATCATGTCATATCTAGCCCATGTTAGACCTCTTGTCTAGGCAAATTGGTCAGTGACAAACAACGTCGGAGTTGTGGCTACCATGGACTAGCAAATAGGGCGCATCCGCCAAGGCAGCGCAGGACGACGAAGATGGCCTAGAAGATGAGACAGTCACGAACCTACGTCCGCTAGCTTCCTTCTTCCCGCCTGAAGGGTTATCCTTCAACCGGATGTTGATGAAATCGTCAAGGTACAACGTCGTGCGAAGGTCAAGGGATATATAGGAACTTGGGCTGCCATCCCGGGATCGTTCACACAAAAGATCACACACTTGCTTGGAGATTTCACCTTAGTATAGAAACACATGCACATACACACCTACACAGATCCCAAATAAACAACGCCAAACACCACTATTCCAGTCAATACTCCCACCAACACAACGACGAGATGCTTGCCAGTCGACTATTGACGGTTCTGGGCCTCACTGGGTTCGTCACCGCCTTTCCGCAGATACAGGTTCACTCCGAAAAATGCCCACAAACCATGTGCATCGACGGCATCAATACGGAATGCAGCACGCGATGGGGAGGATGTTACGACCGGTGCAAGCCAGACACGCGACCAACGATGCCGCCGTGCAATCCGACGCCGTACGCCGTTCCCCCAGTCTGGCCTCTCCCGGGTCTTCAGCTACCGTTGCCGACCCGGAAATCTTTGAGGAGAGGGCCGCCCTCTCTAACGAAGCCGCCTTCCACTCCCACCGCAAAGCCCACACCGGATGACTCCTGCAGCACCCGAACAATCTGCAGGGATTTTATCGACGATTGCGGTCACATGTATGGCGGGTAAGTCACTGGCCCCCAATCTACCAAGGGCATATATCGCAAAGCCAGTCACTAACTCGAAGAACTTGAAGTTGCCACGCCGATTGCCAGCCCTGGCCGACGTTCTCAAAGCCGCCGTGTACACCTAGCGGGTCTATCAACCCATCAACACCGCCGAACCAGTACTAGAATGGTCAATTTACGCTTATGATATATGCAAAAGCTAGGCGTGTGCAATACAGGGAACATGACGGGTTGTGATCGAGATTTACGGTCAATGGTTTTAACTTTTGTGGTGTTTTAGCGAGTTGCATTGAATGTAAATATAATGTCTTAGCTAGCATGCATGAGCCTTACACTTCCCTCGCTGCCTCTCCAGTTCATCCCAATTCATCGGTTTATACACATGAGGCAGAAGCATAATGGTGCATTACTTCGATGGCCAGATATTAGGTCGTCCAGAGCCTGAAACCGCCCCATATCCAATTCGGTCCCTGTACAATTGACCTAGGTTGTTGATCTGTGAGTCTAATTCATCTAGTGTATGGGAATGGGGACGCAAAGTTCCCAACCCTGTGTTCGGTGGTGAGCAGATAACCCATGGGTGGCAGGGAGCGTCCCAATAGTTGGGAGCATGTTCTGTATGCGGGATGGTAGAATTGGGTAAGAGCAAGCAGCTTATATGCGTCTACTACTTGAAGTACAAAACCAAAGTCAATAAGGTGGTGGAGGGGAAATATAGCCAGTGAAGTCTAAGTGAGCCAGCACGGTCAACATCACTTGTCCCTGTACAGCGACCATGCAAAAGTCCGTGAGCAAGGTACAGTGTACCACTATAAACCGTAATCTTTAGTTATAAAGAATCTACTATATCTCTTAGTAATAGGTATAAAAGTAAATAATAAAATTAATATTTTAGTACTTAAGTATAAGAAGTATATACTACTATTTTATATAGTATTTTTTACTTATTTAGTAGTAAAGATATTAAGTATATTTACTTATAAGTCTTGTTCTAAGATTTTACTTTAGGAGAAATACAGTATATATACTGTATTTATACACTATAAGCTCCCTATCTAGAAAAAGTATTGTACCTTATATACTCCCTTTTATTTTACTACTCTAGTTAAGAAGTAGAAAGTAAAATAAAATATAGGCTATATAGAGGCTTACTAGATCTATATAGAATATATTTTTTCTTTTATTTTAGATATCTATAGATCTTAGTATAGTCTATTAAAAACAAATGTTTTAGGTGTATACTGTACCTTGCTCACGGACTTTTGCATGGTCGCTGTAGGAGAAGTGGTATAAGATTTGATCTCCGTCTTTTGCTGAGTGACTTTCTTATTTCCTCACTCAGCAGTTTATATCGCACCGGCTTTTCGAGTCGACAACACCACAAGGTACGAATAAAGAATCGCATCATCTCTGTCATTCTTATCCATCACCAGCCAAAACGGAGAATACTCTGCAAACCTGCTGGCGTTACAAAGAGTGCCCGATGATTGATCTCGAAGCAAACCCAGTCACCACCTCCTTGATGGCCACTCTTTAAATAGCTGACAGGCAACATGCCAATATATCACTGGATGAACCCATCAAGGAGACTGGGAATACTAGTTCGAAAAAGGCCAGGGTACTTCGGTTGCGACTTAAGCCTTCCTTGCGTGTTGTTGCTGCCTCATGGGCATCGACGCATAGCTGCCCACCTCGTTGGAATTCGCGTGTGTCAACCCCCATCTAGTGCGGAAAATTTCAGTATTGGAATTTGAGGTGCAACTACAGCGCTGCCTAATCAATGGAACCCATGGCCTTTCGGTATTCACATCAGCAGCAGCGCCGTGACGCATCTAGAAGTATCGAGAAAACACGGTACTATTTGTTTTGGAAACCCTCCTATGGCCATCAATCTCAAGAACTGTGTTAATTGCTGTAGAGAAAAACGTGACCTCGATGGTCAAATCAGCATTGTCGGCTTATCGTAGAAGACGGTAATCTAATGATTGACTTATTGATATTGGTCTGCAGCTCGTTTTTGGTGTAAGTCAAGCGCCCAGCCACAGTTCCTGTCTGGGCCCCGGTCAATATCGCTCTGGGTGGGGATCGTAGCCGCTGTCGTTTAATTGAATATTGCCCCCGTAGTTTCAATGCGG